AATTTTAATTTTTTTTTTCGGGCCCTTCTTATGTCTGTCCCCCCTCTATGGAAATATGGACATATCATTTTCTTTCTGAGTGGCTAAACGACTCCTCTCCCTCCCCCCAGTCGGATGGTCCCGATCCGCCCTGATTATTGCAGTCAGATTACAGAGAGCGTCAAGGAAGCAATATTGGCTAAAAAATAATTAAAACCATAAACCCCAAAATTATAGCAATACAAAATAAAAAAAAATAATAAATATATTTCCCCCCCAAAATCCCACCTGGACCCACCCTCTTTTTCCGTCTTGTCCTGATCCAACTGTGATGTTTGCTCCCCATCTGCATCCTGCGGCTTCTGTACAGCTGTAACCGAAATTCCCAAGCGGTGATGCTGAACGGTTGATGTTTTTTGGTTCCCGCCTGATCACATCGGTCGTCTATAGATGGAGCTATCCACTTCGTCGACACCCGTGGTTGATTCATATAATAGCTCTCCCCTTTCCCTTCCGTCTCTTATGGAATGACTCCCTTCCTCTCCTTCTTGCTCAGTGTCTTGCCTCTTAAACTCAGTCGCATCAACACCTCCTTTCATCAACCGGCTCTCCGAGATTCTTCATAGATCCCTTCCCCTTGCCCCCATTCTTCCTACCGCCTCTTCATTGAGCCCTTCTCTACAATCACCTAAAGCCTGGTTTGCAACAAATTATTTTTATTTTTCTTTCTTTGTATTGATTCCAATTGCGCTGGGATCAAACTAAGAAAAAAAAACCCCGTACCAAAATCTCCGAAACTCCCCTCGCGCCCTTCCCTATCGTGCGGTGGCACTCCTTTCTCGCTCTCCTACTCAGCAACCACCGATCAGAGTATTGTCCAATCTCCCTTGCAGAGGCATCTCATACTCTTTTTCCATTTCACTGGGTCCGGAGGATCTTCCGCCTTATCGGAATCGCGATAGAATTTACCCAACCGCAGGGGGAGCAATGCTGAAGCCCTAAAACACCCCACGCCTGCTCCTTGCTCCCGATATCATCAGTCTCCGCCACCGAATTGCATTCCTCTCTCCCTTTCGAGCCCTGACGCATTAACCTGGGGTAATTCGCCTCTTTTTGGGGGAATATCAAAAGCACCGCTCTTTGGTACTTTTTCCCCCCTTCACGAACTATTCTGCTACGAAAGCGGGGGGTCTTTTTGCTTGCTCCCGATTTTTCTATTGTTCATATACACACTTTGTTCGCCCTTTCTCGCCCTCGGGTGATTTTTTTTCGATTTCTCTCACACAACATGTTTCAACGACCAGCCTGTTTGCGAGGGCGACGACAGCACAATGGCGCGGCCGAGGATTGGTCTGCATTTCCCATTCGGCAATTGTTCGTACTAGGTGAGTGTGGTACTTTTGTTGCGCGCATCACGGAACTATGAGCTATACACTTTTTGAATGCGCTATATGGGGGAGAAAATTTCGCAAGCGCATACTCCAAATCTGTCCAGGAACTGACCATCTCTTTGCAGCGCTTGTTCGAATTTGCGAACCAATTGCTTTCATGTCGATTTTCCCATACGTGTACCACATGGTGGAATCGTTCCATGTGACCGACAATGACCAAAAGATTGCGCTCTACGCCGGCATGATCACTTCCGCATTCACCTTTGCTGAATTCTCCGCTGGCATGTTCTGGGGCCGGATGAGTGATCGGATCGGCCGCAAGCCGGTCCTCGTCATGGGTCTGATTGGCACGGCCATCAGCATGGTAGCTTTTGGATTTGCGCCCAACCTGGCGACGGCGATGATTGCGCGCGCGCTGGGTGGACTGTTGAACGGGAATATCGGGGTCCTTCAAACGACCGTGGCAGAGATCGTGACGGTCAAGGAGCACCAGCCGCGGGCATACTCGATCATGCCGTTCGTGTGGTGCCTGGGCTCGATCATTGGGCCGGCGATGGGCGGTGCACTGGCCCAACCCTGCGTCAACTACCCGTGGCTGTTCTCGCGTAACACGCTCTTCGACCGGTTCCCGTTCCTGCTGCCCAACCTGGTGTGCATTGTCGTGCTGATGTGTGGCATTGTGGTCGGATTCCTGTTTCTGGAAGAGACGCACCCCGAAAAGAAGCACCGAAGGGACCCTGGCCGTGAGTTGGGCCACTGGCTGATCAGCCTGTGCTGGGGCTCGCGTGTGCAGCTTCCCGACGATTCCGACGTGGGGGTGGAGGAGACCAAGTACTTCGTGTATGGTGATGTTCCGCCCGAATACGAAAGTGCCGAATCATCGCCTTGCCTGCGCCCCGTGAACGTGAGCGTGGGAGGGAGAGTGGACGATGACGTCGGAGCAAACGAGTGCGACCTCGATGTTGAGGGACAGAAACCGGCCGCGCCCAAGGCGTTCACTCGACAAGTCATCTTCACCATCGTTGCTTACGGCATCCTGGCCTAGTGAGTTGGCCCCAGTAGCTCGCAACCTGCATGCCACTTTGACCTGCATAATTGCTGACAATAATCTCTCCACAGTCACAGCGTGTCCTTCGATCAGCTGATGCCGGTCTTCCTCAGTACGCCCAAGTCCAACGATGCGATCGTCCTGCCCCTCAAGTTTACCGGTGGTCTTGGTCTGCCAACGAAGACTATCGGCTTCATGCTCGCCGTCCAGGGAGTCTATTCCATGATTGCCCAACTTTGGCTGTTCCCATTCGTCGTCAAGCACTTTGGCACTCTGCGCACGTTCCGCTTCGTCCTGCTGGCATGGCCGCCGCTCTACCTGGCTGTGCCCTATCTCATCTTGCTCCCCGATCAACTCCAGATGCCCGCCGTCTACGTCGCCCTGATCAGCAAGATTACCTTCCACGTGATCGCCTTCCCCGCTGTCGCCATCTTGCTGGCCAACGCTGCTCCCACGTCAAGGGTCCTGGGTTCCATCAACGGGGCTGCTGCCTCCACGGCTAGTCTCAGTCGTGCCTTTGGGCCGACGGTGACGGGGCTACTGCACTCCAGGGGTCTGCTGAGCGGGTACTCGGTGCTGGCGTGGTGGGCCTGCGGATTCGTGTGCGTCGTTGGTGCCATCCAGAGTTTCTGGATGGAGGAGTCGCCCGAGCCCGAGCGCTTCAAGGACCAGGACTCGGATGTCAGCGAGGCGGAGCTCAAGCACGAGACAATGTCGACTGATTCATACGCTGGCCGGGATTCCATTTCGGAAGAAGAGCAACGCCTGCTTTCTCTGCGCTCCAGCCTCGACCAGGAATTCGATGTTTCCACCTTGAGCTTGACCCCCATTCACGATTTCTCTACTCGCCCGGAGACCGATCTGTCTTCTACTCCTCGCATCTAAAAGTTGAGACCGGTGTATGTGACTTCGCCCACACCTTCTTGCTCTCTTCGCCCTTATCCTTCTGGAAGGACATGACACTTCTTCTAGCGCTTCGGCGTTGACTCCTTTTTACCATTGGCAATTTCTCTTTTCCTTCTCCTCTTTCAACTCATTTCCAGCCATGATACCTTTCTTATTCGCCCATGATGTTTTCTTTTCTTCTCTTTTTTTTCTGCCTTTCATCTGTGCTTCGTTTTCCTTAATTCTTCTCGCCTCATCGAGATCGGGAAATGGCGCAACTGACATAGATTGGATGCATATGCGACAGAAAAAGCATAAACGTTGGGTTACTTTCTTCGGGTTTGATTTATTCTTTTTCATCCATCGTCCTCTGGCGGTGCTTTTCTTTTGCTGCTTTTCTTTTTTGTCTTTTGGAGCATTGAAACGGGATTATATTATGATGATACTCATGCATCTGGGAGGTTCTCTGTGATTTTGCGTCTCTTGCGACTATTACCTGTTTCTACATTTTGCCTCGTGTCGAGAAACCACCATTGCGCATCGTCGATAGACTTTCCTGTCGCGGACTTTGACCCAATGAACGGCCTTAGCTCATTGCTTAGCAAACCCTTATACTTCAACTCTCTATTGTAAAACATGTTTGTTCAGGGTCCCCACACTAGCGTTTGAAATCCTGTAGACCTAGGAGTGGTTTCAGTCTGAACTGCAAGCCAAGAGAGATATCCACCCCGTAGTACATCCCTCATTGCTACCTTGTCCGCATCAGACAATTAAGACTCCGATCATATGACTTGGAAAGGGGCTTTATATTTCACTGTCCGCTCTCTCTCTCTCTCTCTTTCTTTCCCTCGTTCTCTCCCCAGTGTCACACATCCCAAAAGTTCCTCCCTAGCGCGAGTCATTGTGACCCTATTCAACTGCAAATAGCCTTCGCCCGTCACGACTCCGCCGCTCCGCCAATGACAGCAGACGATTCCCGGGGAGATCCACTTGGTACTACTCGACAGTCGGATACATTCGATGAAGCTATGCGGCATTCACATAGGGCCAATGGACATACAGAGACCAGCGCTGACACTTGACTCCAGAAGCCTAATTCCTCCCCCATTCTCGCAGATCTCGCCTTCGCTGTGACCTACCCCAGTTGGTTCCAAACGCCCCAAAAATCTGGGGTACCGAAAGTGCCGAGTTCTCCATTCCCGAGGGCAACTTAAATTTCTCCGTGACTGGGAGTGGCCACTGGCCCGAACTCCACCAGAACCCTATCGTCGTAGCCATGCGACGCAACTTCTCTCCTCTTTCTCCTCATTCTGCAGCGACGTGACGCCCTGGTAGTGTACTCAGAAACGGTGGCCATTTGATCATCTGGATTGCGCTACTTTCGCGGTATCCAGCGAACCTCATTTCCCACCTCGGAGATTAATCTCCCTCCGTCGCGTGCACTTGCGCCGCGGAGAGCAGGTTTGGCTCGCCGTCCACTTTGACGAGTGCGGGCCACCTCTTTTTCTCTCGTTTTGCTTCGCAAGAACCGCTGCCTTCCACTGAGCTGAACCTACATCGCCCGTTCCTGGACGTAAGGATCATGAATGCTGATCTAACCCGGGGAGTCCAGCCGCTGTTTCCGACCGCCGTCTCCGCAGAACTCCACCGTCAAGAGATGATCGCAGGTTTGCGGCCTTCGCCCCTCGCTCTTCACCATGCCTAACCTCCCCTCCCCGCCCTCGCCCATCTCTTCGGGCAAGAAGAGACCCCATCCCTCCGGCGAGACGCCGCCCACCCAACCCGATCCTGCGAATGCGTCGCGGGACAACCCCTCCACCTCAACCGCCGTCCCCTCCACATCTCCCGCCCTGTCGACTGCACATTCGACCGCCACCGTGGCCTCGACCGCTTCTTCCTCATCCTTCCGCAATGTCTCGGCCTGTAATCGCTGCCGGCTGCGCAAGAACCGTTGTGACCAACGGCTTCCGCGGTGCCAGTCCTGCGAAAAAGCTGGCGTCCGTTGTGTCGGATACGACCCAATCACCAAGCGGGAGATTCCGCGCAGCTATGTATATTTTCTAGAGACCCGAGTCGCGTATCTGGAGAAACAACTATCAGAGCACAATATCGAGTTCAAAAAAGCTGTCGCTTTCGACGAAGAGGAGGCTGTCAAGACCGAGACTGAAGGCGATTCGGCACAATCTGGTTCTGGCCTCGATGTCCCGGGCACCGATGGCTCAGATAAGACATGGAAAGGCTCGGCGCTCAAGGAAGAGACAGAAGGAACCGTTCAGAAAGCAGATGGAGATCAAAACCGGGATACTGATGGGAATCGTGATGCTGCGAACGAGGATAATTGGCGTCTGCACAATTTGGTGTCAAATATCGGCATGGTTTCCGTGCAGGGAACCTCTGATCCTCGATATCTCGGCTCAACTTCGGGCATCTCGTTTGCCCGAGTTGTCTTTGCTGCAGTACGGAGTTCGCTCCCAGGGAATGTGCCCGAGCGCGCTCCGATCCGTCCCAGCGAGCGACTGCCGCAGACGGCTGCTGGTCCTACTGGAGGTACCATGCGCGACTCATTCTTCGGACTTCAGACGAAGCCGATGATGAAACGCGCAGCCTTTCCGGATCGTGAGCTTGCCGAGCGTCTGGTGGATCTTTACTTCGAACATGCCAACCCTCAAATGCCTATCCTCCATCGCGGAGATTTCATGGAGCTTCTTGACCGCACATACCTTTTGGAGGAGAAGAACCGATCTCCTCGAGCCCTCTATGTTCTCAACATTGTGTTTGCTATCGGTGCGGGAATTATCTTTGAAGACAAGCCCCAGAGTTCGGATGATGAGAGCCACGCCGGCCGTGACCGCGCTTCATCCACGACGAAGAGACTCCGGTTATCGAATCACCAGTATCAGCCAGAGGAGTACCATGCCTCCGCGATCGTTCACTTGGAATCTTTCCTCGGTTCCTCGTCCAGCGAGGGATTTGGTGGCTTGGAGGAACTTCAGGCAGTTCTCCTGCTGGCTAGCTTTGCGTTGCTTCGTCCGGTTGCTCCCGGGTTGTGGTACATTGTTGGTGTTGCGATGCGACTGGCTGTTGATCTCGGGCTTCACTATGAAGATGGCATTGGCTTGGGTACCCCCAAAGACGGAAATCAAGTACAACCTCGCATTGATGCCCGCGAGCGCGGCCGGCGCGAATGGGTACGTGATCTACGGCGCCGTTTGTGGTGGTGCGTGTACAGCTTTGATCGCCTGGTAGCCACATGTGTTGGTCGACCATTCGGCATCAGCGATCAGGCTATCAGCACGGAATTCCCGTCCATGATGGATGACAAGTACATCACGAAATCTGGCCTCTTGACACCACCCGAGGGAGCTCCAACATATAAGCACGTCGCCTTCCACTACTTCAAACTCCGTCTACTCCAATCCGAAATTCACGATGTCCTTCAATATCAGCAGGCCCGAGCCGTGCGTAGGAGGGCATCTGAAAGTGCTACTATCCTTCCCCACGCCGAGCTAACATCACCATTCCTCCAAGGCTTCGATTCATTCCGTTCATGGCGGCATGACGTGCATCGCCGTTTGGTGGAGTGGAATGAGTCTGCACCAACTCGTCCGGATACGGGCGTACGGTTTTCTATTGAGCTTTTGGAGTTGAACTACTGGCAGGCTATCATCTTGTTGTATCAACAGAGCTTGACAGTCCCGGCAGAATTGGCTTCAGAGTTGACACCTGCGGATGATGTGTCCAGTCCGTCTTTCTCTAATCCCGAGGATGGCGACGACGAGGATCATGTCTATCTGAACGTGGCAGAAGCTGGTCAGAAGGTTATTCGGATCTACCGACAGTTACACCGGGTGCGCTTGGTGAATTACACCTATCTTGCCACTCATCACATCTTCATGGCCGGTAAGAAAATGACCCTGACAGTATGTCTTCAGTCTAGGCGCTGACGTTATCTATAGGAATATCCTTCTTGTATGCTATCTGGCATTCGCCGTTGGTCCGCAGTCGATTGGTAGGCATCTCTCCTTTTCCATTAATTGCTCACAAGATGCTAATGACCCTTCCTGTTTTAGACCCTGGATGAGGTCGATTTCACTGTACTTGCAGCAACTTCTGTTCTCGGTGACTTAATGCACAAGTGTCCTCCTGCCGAGAATTGTCGGGATGCCTTTGAGCGCATGAGCAAGGCTACCGTGCAAATGTGCCTTTCAACTACTGGATTTGGGTCGCAGGTTGATATGTCCCGAATCCAAGCGGCTGCCCACGGCGGTAATCTGTATGCAGGTCGTCGCCAGGCCATGAACCAGAGGCACCAGCCGGGAGGTCAAGGGCAAGCACGACGCTCGACTCAACCCCGCACCGCAAGACCAGTTCCCAAGTTCGACATGAATCTGGCCGATCTGTTCAGTGACGCCAATACACCTCTGGCTGACAGGTCCCGAACCGACAGTAGACCTCCGGGCACTAATTACGCTGTCCGGCCAGAGACTGCCGAAGCTGTTGCGCCCGGTCTAACACGGCCTTTTGGGCAGCGTACTCCATCCATGGAATACTTTATGAAATACGAAGGCCAAACGTCTCCGCAAACCCAGCAACATCCCCAATTCTATTACGGCAACTCTCCACCACAGAGTGGTTCTCCGGGTAGCGTTGCCCATTCCGCTGGTGGACCTCATGGTCTGCCACCCACAGACCCAGAGACTCAGCAACCCATGAGTCTGGACTTCTTGGACTTTGCGTCTGGTGATCCCGAAAACCAAGCAATGGGGCAAGACCCCAACGCCGAGTACAATCTTGCAGGCATGCCCACCCTCGGCCAGAATGTGGGTATTGACCTCGGATTCGGCATGGCCATGGACTTCCAGCATGATTGGAGCGAGAATCCTAATTACGATATCCTCGAGGGGTACTTCTTTGGTGGTTCGGGAGCAGGCGCACCCGGCGGTGATGCGTAAGCGTTTTATCTGATTTGCCTTTGTTTCTGCTCCCATGATGCCACGGGCGTTTCGATTGCGCTTAACGTCTTTGTTTGCATTCTTGTTTCTCCTTTGTGCTCACTGCGTTCCGCTCCCCATCCCACCCATCTCCGTCTCCTCTGCTTCTACCACGACCTGCTTGTTTTGTTTGGGACCATATAGTCAAAGAGGATTGCTCAGGTGAAAAAGGACTGGTTTTTTTGTGGGCTAAGGGGTTACGGATTTATTTTCAACCCCGTCTGATTTTGTTTTCTTGTTTTTCTTCTTTTTTTATGTCCTGCGATACCATATACTATATACACTATATCCTACACATCTCAAAAGACCAGATCTAATGTCCAGGGGTCAGGTGTCAAGCGTAGCCTCCAAGTGAACAATCTTAGAAAAGACATGATTAGCTACTTGGTCAGGTAAACTAGGTACATAAAGCAGTCCCTGCCGAGTCGTAACGGGGCTAACAGTGAAAGTCCAATGAATAAAATGCATAGGCAATAAATGCATGGCCGGCCTGAGAACGACATGGGAAATTGACCCAAAATGGCTCCCCCGTGAATGCCTTGGGCAGCAACTCCTCATCCTCCGCGCCAAAACAAACACTTCAACTTTTGCCCTCCTCGCCAACTCATAAACCTTCAAGGCCACTCGGGGGACTGGCTGACAGCCAAAGTGCTTGGTCGCGTCTCGTTGGCTGCTTTGCTCTGCCCAGCGATTCGGCGCGCGATCTGCGCTCAGACCCAAATCTGCCTAACATCAACCTCATCAGGTGCCCAGTGCTCACGATCTCACGATTTGCGATTTCTGCCCGCAACCGCAACCGCGACTACCAAATCCAAACGCAGAGCCAGACCTCCCCATCCCTCCTCCACACTCCAACGTACGCTGCGACCGCTGCCGACCGGACGCAGTAATATGCCCTGCTCTCGCGAACCCTTGGACCGAACGCTCGCTTGATTCTATCCCGCTCAGCCCTGTCGGAGCGTGGGTCCTGCAGGCAACCGACCGACTCCCGCCGAACCTCGTCGCCAGCCTCCACTTTCATTTTGAGACAGAGAAACGACTACCTAGACGCTTATAGAACCTCACTGGCTGGATATTCTGCAGGTCTCACTTCGGTTTCTCTGTCGACGGCGACGACATAGTGTTATTTGGCTTGTGCCTCTACGCGCCGCCCTTGAATCGGGGAACTAAAACAGAACCTTTTCATGACTGGACATGCCCGGTAGCGCCTACGCCTTACTAGACCATCCAGAATGCAATTTGATCACTGTCCGGCTCTCTAACATCGCCTCAACAACGGGATCAACATGGTGAAAGCGGATGTCCGGAGGGACTACTATGCGGACCTGGGTCTGCAAACTAATGCGGAGGCGGAGGACATCAAAAAACAGTTCAGGAGGTTAGGTGAGTGCTGGAGTCTCTTCATCACATGTTTTGCTGAAATACGGAAGCTAAACCAGCCGCGTAGCTCTCAAATACCATCCCGATAGGAATCAAGGGCGTGAACAAGAGGTCATTGCCAAGTTCCAGGCCATCCAGGCGGCGCACGAGATCCTCAGTGACTCTCAGCAACGGTTGAAGTACGATACAGAACGACTACGCGCAGGATATGGTAAAGTCTATGGACCATCCAAGACTGCCTCGCGCAAGACCCAGCCGAGTTACTCCCAGAGCTATTCCACGGCCGCTCCTCCCAAATCACAAGGTTCGCACCACTTCGCCTCTTACGGAGGTCCTCCGCCAGGCTCAAATCCTTCGGATGACCCCGATTTGCCTACTTGGAATGCCTCAACGTCTAACAAGTCACAAGCTCCGAAAACTTCTTCTAGTAGTCGATCGCAAGGCGCGTCTCATGGACCTTCAGCTGGCGCTGCACGGTATGCGACTCATGCACGGGCGGGACCGCAACAATGGCAGAAGCCACAGGACGAAGCTCAGACAAGAGCGGATGCGTTCAAGGGCTTCCACAATATGAGAGGTCAAAATTGGCGTGGTTTTGATCCTACATCAGGCGCTACGCCAAGGCAGCAGAATGCTCCTTTTGGTACCCCGAAACCCAAGTCCGCGTATGAGTATTTCAAGGAGAATGTCCAGACCAAGAACTCCGCAAATTCGAATACAACTCCACCAAAGAAGAAACATGGCTATGCGCCGGGAACCGCTGCTGGAGATGAGCCCATGGCTGCGAATACTAGTGCTTATACCAGCACCCGAAGCGAGCGCCCAAGTACCATGTATTTTGATTCTGCACCACCGCCTACAGCCAAGAAACCAACGAGGCCTGTGTCTCCAAATTGGCAGTCCGAATCAGCATCACCCCCGTCTCCGCCATTGGCACAAGAATTCGAGCGAACTAGTAGGAGTTATGCCACGACAGGAGGTGAGAAGACCTTCTTCGCAGGCCCTAGTTTGGGACGGTCATCGACCATGCGTACCCCAACGTCTTCTTACCGAGCATCGAATCCCCGCACCAACCCGTCAAGCCCTGATCCTGCTCAGTCGGAGAGACATCGCAGCGCCAGCCCGAAAACCAGACGCGACCAATCGTATTCCTTTTCGTCCACTTCGAGTGACCTGGACGACGATACTGAAGAAGAAGTGCGTCGACCGAACGCTTTCAAACCCATGGCTGTACCCAAGAGTCGACTCCGACCCAACCAAAAGTTTGCCGACTTCTATCGTACGAGAGAATCTAGCCCCGGAACTGGTGAGGAAGCTTCTGCCCGGCCAAACACCCATGGTCATCGACATTCGTCATCATCGCAAGGAACCCGGAAGCCTCGACGGGACCCGACCTGTATTGACTTGACGGCTGACAGTGACGATAACAAAGGCCACAACTCAGATAGCGCTGCGTTTGCGAAAGGACAATATCATCCCCAGCAGCAGGGCTCGAACTCGAGGTATGTTGGCTTTGCTGGGCTCACGTCTTGCATTGTTCATAGCTTATGGTTTTCCCACAGTATCAACTCCGCTCAGGATAAGTCAGAACGCACTGCATCCGCTCGCCATAATGCCAGTAATCTTCATAAGAAGTTTTCCGCTGAAGATTGGCGGGTACATCTCGATGAATTCGTCTTCCTCGGCGCCTCTGCGAAAGACCGTGCGAATACGAATGCCCGACCACGGGCTACCACGCGTGTTAGCCCAACACAGTCATCAACACCAGCGGGCTTTGCTGGTTTGAACGCATTTAACCCTAGAGCGGGCTCTGAACCACAGTCCCAGCAAGCACCTACGCCTTTTGCACAGGCCAAGTTCTCTGCGGACAAGTGGTCCAAGGACCTTCACAATATATCCTGGACGGCTGCGGAAAGGCCAGGACAATCGGACAACGCATCTTCCTCCCGAAGCCCTAAGAAGGCGTCGCGGTCAGGTACTAAAGTTCGAAGCACACCGAAGCCCGCCAGGGTGGCGAGCGAAGTCGAGGAAACCGAGGACACTGTGAGCGGGGACAGTCTTCCCGGGCATACCTCATCAATGCCTGTCGGTGAAGAGCCCATGGACCTTGACGACGACTCACCGTCCATACCACCCACAACTACGCCTATGCCACCAAATATACCAACTGGTAGCACAAGAACTGCCAAATACCCCGATCTATCTGCGCATACTGTACCGGGGGCTTCGCACAGACCTCCGCCGCCTCTACGAAAAGAACGTGCCCCATCTCAAAATGGTGTACGATCTCCACTCTTTGATCTCGGGAACTTTGGAAACACTGCACCCTTTACCAGCACCAACAGCAGCGGCATTGAGAATCTCGGAGACGTCTCTGCCACGCTGCCTTTCGAGTCAAGGGCAAAAGTTCAGACCACCACCAGGGACGATATTCGCCCGAGGGATCTCCAATTGCCAAACCCTCCCAGACGACCTACGGCACCAGCCCCGATCCCCATTGCGCCGGGGTCGCATAGGTCAGTTCTATCTCGCGAGAAATGGAACTGGTATGTATCCGCGATGGGTACCTACATGCACGAGTGGAACACCTTCAATCGCCGCATGCTCCTCCACTTCAATACCCGACAGGACGCCATTGAGACAGGCCTTGCTCCCGGTTGGATCAGCGCCGTTGGCGATACAACCCGATTGAGGATGAACGGGGTTGATGAATATGGGAATGGTGACCAGAACGGGGCTCGAGATGATCCCGAATCTACTGAGCTTGATGAGTACCTTGTCCCAGGTAGTGGCAAGGGTGGTTTCAGTGCTTACCTGCGTGGCATTGAGGAGGATACAAGAGTACGCAAGCATTGGGAGGTGGCTTGTGAGTTGCATCGTGATTGTATTCTAGAGCTTGGGCGGTTACGGGAATGGATTCGCAATGGGGGCAAGGTGGCCTGATATGAATGATCAGGTGCTTGATTCTTTTTTTTTCCTTTTCTTTTCTCTTTTTATCTGGATACGATAAACGAATTACGGACGACGTTGGCGTTTTGATGCGCATGGCACTGGTAGAGAGGAGGGTTAGGGGTTTGCATTACGGGGTTACGGTGTCATTGTTTGGTGAAATACCCTGCAGTCGATTTACATATGATAGATTAATTCTGGCTCAATTTCCCTGCTGTTGTACATTAGCTCTCGATTTGCCTAGTTATCCTACTAGTTACGCATTGACAGACTGATTCATAGTACGAGGAAAACCCTGCCCTGTCAGCCTGAGGCAGCATGGCACCAAGGCAGTCAGGCACCAAGGCGAGAGCCCCGCGGAAGTGCGTACTGCGGATACCAAAATTACGCGGTGACATGCGGGAAGAAAAAAAAAAGGTCGCCATTGTGAGTCACTCAATTAAAAGCAAAGTCAATTCCAAAGCCTCTCTCTTTCCTTTTCTCTAAATTACCCCCAGGGATAATTGGTATGTTCATCAATTCTATCGGAAAGCGCCGATTGCGCCGCCCCAAGGCACACCGAAACTGACCCGAGCCAGATCTTTGCCCCGCCATCCGAAGCCGGACGTACTTCTCTTCTTCTCCAAACCCCCGCCACTAGGACCAATTGATCCCCCAATTCGATATCGAATCCGACCGTCACGATCTGAATCATACCGACTGTGCGACTACATCATGGTCTCCATCGTTTTAGGCAGTCAATGGGGAGATGAAGGTGGGCCTTACCTGAAGCCGGAAGTGGAGGAGAACGCAGCACTGATACGGGATATGCAGGGAAGGGAAAGATCACAGACATGCTGTCGCAGCAGGCGACGCTTTGCTGCCGTGCAGCTGGTGGCCACAGTACGTCCTCCTAGAGATTCGTCGTTGATTTTGACATGCGCAGCTCAATTGCTCGAAACGTTGCGAGTCATGATTCACGTTCCAGATTGACTGACCGTTCCTGCTTCGTGCTCATGAATTAGATGCCGGCCACACCATTGTTCACGACAATGTCACCTACGACTTCCACATCCTGCCCTCCGGCCTCGTCTCGCCCTCATGTATCAACCTGATTGGCGCCGGTACCGTCTTCCACGTCCCCAGCTTCTTCAAGGAGCTGAAGGCCATCGAGGAGAAGGGCTTGTCTTCTGCCAGCAACCGCATCTTCGTCTCCGACCGCGCACACGTCTGCTTTGACCTGCACTCCGTTGTTGATGGCCTGGAGGAGGCCGGTCTGGGTGGCCGCAAGGTTGGTACCACCGGTAAGGGCATTGGTCCCTGCTACAGTGACAAGGCTGCTCGCCGTGGTGTCCGCGTTGGCGAGATCCTGGACGAGGAGACCTTTGAGCGCAAGCTGCGCACTTTGGACATTGCGTACCGCGCACGTTTCGGCGACATTGCCTACGATGTCGAGGAGGAAATTGCTCGCTTCAAGGTATGTTTTTGTGACGATGGAAGAAAATAATTGGCGTGCGGACGAGATATAGAACTGACCCGCCCTCCGCGCTAGGAATACCGCACCATGCTCAAGCCCTACATTGTTGATCAGCTTGAGTTCCTGCAGGAGCACAAGAACTCCCCCAACACCCTAGTCGAAGGTGCTAACGCCCTGATGCTCGACCTCGACCACGGCACATACCCCTTCGTCACCTCCTCCTCAACGGGTCTCGGCGGTGCCGTCCAGGCTCTCGCCCTGAACCCCGCCAGCATCAAGTCCGTCATTGGTGTCGTCAAGGCTTACACTACCCGTGTCGGCTCCGGTCCTTTCCCCAGTGAGCAGCTTAACGAGTTCGGCGACAAGCTCCAGAGCGTTGGCCGCGAGTTCGGCGTTACTACTGGTCGTCGCCGCCGCTGCGGTTGGCTCGACCTGGTCCTGTGCCGCTACTCGCACGCCATCAACCACTACACCGCGCTGAACCTGACCAAGCTCGATGTTCTGGATGACTTTGACGAGATCAAGGTTGGTGTCGCTTACATCCTGCCTGATGGCAAGCGCACCACCGGTACTTTCCCCGCCGACCCCAACGTCGTCGAGAAGATCCAGGTTGAGTACGTTACGCTTCCCGGTTGGAAGTGCAACACCATGGGTGTCACCCGCTACGAGGACCTGCCCGCCAACGCCCGCGCCTACATCGAGTTCATTGAGCGTGAGATCGGTGGTGTCCCTGTCAAGTGGATCGGTACTGGTCCTGCCCGGGAACACATGATTGCCCGCGAGTAGGAGTGTTGATGATTCGAGTTGGTTGATAGTAAGCATCTGCCGGTGGTAGATTTCATTTCCCGGGGTATGTCACCTCTTGTTCGGGTGTTTTTTGTTTTTCTTTTCCTATTGCAATATATTGGGATATTTGATTGAATCATACACGGTTTCGACCCTATTTGTTCTGATACCTTATCCCCCCCCTTCCCCCACGATGGATGTGTTACTTATTCCCACCCAAAAGATTGGTCGTGTTGAAGATGACAGGCATAACGACTTGGCTTGCTAAATGTAAGGCTACATAAGATGTTTTAAGGATTGTCTCTACCCTGGAAGGTTGAAGTCATAGAGTAAATAGCTCACCGGTGATACTGTGCACATATCATTTTATCATAAAGATTCAAGCCAAGAAATCCGAACATTGAGCCCATGCACTAGCCATATCCATTTAAGAAGATATCGGGCTGAGTTCTCTTTCAAACGAAAAACTACAACTTTGTAAATTGCAAAGATGTTGACAATAAATTCAAAGGCTGAAACCCCAAAATCAAAGCGGATAATCAAGTCATTAAGCCAACGAATAACTCGAACTCTGCAAAATCAAATAGAACACAAATAATCAATTTACCAAACTCCAGATTCACAGACTGTTCCCCAAACTTAGCAAACCATACGTAAATAAGAGCTATCCCCCAGTGTCTTTCCATCAGCGTGGCCGCGTCGGGCATTGTCGATACAGTCAGAGATATAGCCGAAAAAGTCTAATACAAGCCGAGCTCTAGGAGGAGAACCTACCTCCCCGATTCCAAGCTGGTGGCTTTTCAGAAGTCAATTTCTGCTACAGCGTGATATCCATCTCGTCGTCACTCCAGAATTCAAGGTAATCCCAATCCGGGGGCGTCGCCTGTGTCGCATCAACATCGGGCAATGCATCAGTCAAATCACTCTTCTTATCACACATGTATAGTATACCTTGGTTATCTGGGACGTTAGCAAAATACAACAAATGATGCGTCCAGATTCCGCAGAGTCTGGGGTGTCTTTTCGTGGGCTGGCCGGGCATAACCCAAATTTTAAGGTCTGTCCAGGGGATCAGCATGACGGAGTCATCGTCGGCCAGTAACCGGGCTTGCAGGTGATATGCCGGAACGCAGATTTTGCCACTGGCCGTTGCGATTCGCTCATGGCCAAAGGCTTCGAGCTTAACGTGGGCTGCGTTTTCGAGTTCTTGCAAGTCGCAGGCGTAAATGCCTGTGGCAGAAGCGCCTGTGTCGTCCATGAAATCCCAAACGCGGGTAGCGAATGGATCGGCGATGCCAGGGACTCGAAGACGCAGTCTCATCTGTACTTTGTTAGTGGTGTGCTATTGAATTTCCGCGGAGGCTGAAATCGTCTTTACAAAGTATACTCACGTTATGCTGGCCGTATATGTTGACCGGGGATTCCTTCCACCCAATGAACAGGGTTCCCATATCGGGATTGCACTAAGAAACGACAAGAATCAGCTAGGCTCGGGAGTTTAAACATGAGGTTAGGATAGCCTCACCTCTTCAACCCAGAATGACGTGTGACCTTGGTGCTCTTTGTTGACTTGGTTGAAGGTCTTCCAGTCAAACTTTCCGGGGCCCCATACCAGCGTACCGTGAGACCAGAAAGTGACAGTGCCACGTTTCCAAATTAGTGATCCATTGTGGTAAGCTGCAATTATCGCTCGAACATTGACCATCTGCTCCTGTGGGTCGTTATTGAGCAAGTCCTTCTCAATAGCGCGAAGGTCGTCCAGGCGCTGGGCAACTCTCCAGGGTAGTCCTGGTGCAGCGGCTATAATGGCACTATGAATGCGAATTAGTATTCAATCTAGATATGAACCAGAAGATGACATACTCGAGCTCTGCTTTGAGACCCATGTATCTCTCCAAGCGGGCTTCAAACATGTGTGGTAAAATATTCTCCTGAATTCTCAGATGGCATCGTGCAATGTTACCGTCGATATCACTAACATGCTGGTTAGTAACTGACAATGAGTAAACATAGGAGATTTTTTGGTTCCGGAAACCTACTGTTCGTCAAGATCATACTCATTAGCATCCCACTGTGCCGGCAAGTTGGCTGGATCGTCAATCCGCGATCCATCATGCTGCCAAGTTACCACTCTTTCTTTCGGACGTTGGTGACGACCACCCCCAACGCCGGATGGCAACATCCCTTCTTTTGTTTCCGTAATGGCTCTTCTGCGAATTGGCCTTTTGCCTTTACCTTTGGCCGCAGTAGTTTTGAGTCTTGGGGCGACTCTTTTCCGAGTGTAACGGGCAAGAACCTTCCCACTGGTTCCCTGGCGAGGCTCTGGTTTGGCCTTTCGCTTACGAAGGTTGTAGCGTGTATTTCTGGGTGTCTCTGGGTCCATGATGAAACGGGGAGTTTATATAAGGCTTGGAATAATGGGGTTGGAAAATGTTTGATGCGTAGAGTAAACTGACTGAGCTTGAAACAAGATGCTACTCCCCGGCGAGTTCTATGCGAGTTATATAGAGCACAGAGAGACAAAGGGTACAGGTATAGTTGTAGTAGGAGAATTAGCTTGCTATGCATTCTGTACGCAGAGCTAGGTGGACGAGCTTTGGAGCTGGCAAAGAAGCCATTTTCTTTGATGATAAACGAATAAATCTAAAGATAGCGCTGGAATGGAATAGGTCGTATCTTTGTCGAAGCAAGAGAATTGCGGAGGAAAGCCCAGGGTTTCAGGTTAGAACATGCATTGAGCCAATATTCTTTGTTTGACTGGAACCACCAGCACTCTACAGTCGCTTAAGACTATTCACTTTACTGTCCAACTGGAAGACTCGACTTTCGTTGACTTTACTCGAATGTATGATAGTGCATGAGATAGTTTTCCATTAAAGTCAAATATTTTCCCACAGAGAACAGTATATAACACATGAGCAGAGAAGTTTGAGAATGTCAAAGAGAAAAGGGGGAGTATAGTACAAAGATGTCAAGAATTGAAAGACAAAGAACGCCGCCCAATGCAAGGATGGTATAACTCTATCGATTTTCTTCTTTTGCCGTAAATCAGACAAAGACAGACTCAGATGGCCAGCAACTTCCTTTCATCGGGCCCATCGGCCCCAACATGCGGCGATCAGTACCAGGGGCGAGCACCGTACAGGTCACCGTCGTTGCGGCGCGGTGGACGAGACTCGCCGAACCGGTTAGATCTGCCGCCATTGCCGCCATGGCTCGATCTGCCACGGTTGGATCGACGGTCACCGAAGGGGGAGTCGTCGAAGCTGCGGCTACGTCGTCCAGAGTCGAAGGGGTCAATGGCGCGACGGCCGAAGGAGCCGCCCTCCTCAATCTTCAACTCCTTGATACGGTCAAGACCGAGGTTGCGAGCGATGCCTGCCTTGACAGCTGGAGGCTCGGTCAGACCATAGCCATGAATGGCCAGGTTGTTGAGAGCCAGGATGGCATTACGTTTCTTGGTGAAGCTCTGGGACATTGTACCCAGCTGAGAGCGGTAGGTGCTCTCCTTCATGATCGGCGAAACCTCCGTCATGGCCGCCTTAATTTGCTCGATGGTCTCAGCCGCCGCCGGGGAGGCAGTTTCCAAGTCCCGAGCCATGTTCACCATGGCAGTGGAGAGGGTGTTGTCCTCGGTGAGGGGCAGGTCACCCAGCTTGTTCTGGAAGAATTCGTATTCGCCATCGTGCAGGAGCAAGTAGCCTTCACCCTCCTTGCCAGCACGACCAGTGCGACCAATGCGGTGGATGTAAGTCTCACGGTCACGAGGAGGGCCCACCTGAATGACGTGAGTGACCTCGGGGAAGTCCATGCCACGGGCAGTGACGTCTGACGAGAAGAGGATGGCCTCATCGGCACGGCGGAAGTTGTTAGCGCTGTTAGTACGCGCAGCTTGGGTAAGGCGCGAGTGAATTTGGTGCACACGCATGCGGCCCAGGGGAGACTGGCTCCGTCCATCGCCGCGAATGCCACGGAGGATCATGAAAGCCTCGGCGGAAAGGTTGACTTCGTTGGTCGAGTTGAAGTAGACAATTGCCTTGAAGGGGCGCAAATTGGGGTCCTCAGCTTGGCGAGCCTGGTAGGTCTTGGCCAGCTCGAGGACCGCTGGGAGAGCGTTCTCGTATCCATGCAGGTAGACGGTCTTCTGGGGCACTCTGACGTGGGTAGGGACCTCATCATCGCGCACATTCTTGATGAACTTGAAGTCTGGCTTCATGGTGCGCTTCACCATCGCCATCACTTCCTTGGGAACTGTGGCGGAAAGCATGAGAGTCTGGCGATCAACCTTGAACGGGTCCGGAAGCAGATCCTTAATCTCATTGATCTCTTGAGAGAAACCCTGATCCAGGAGACGATCGGCCTCGTCCAGAATCAAAGTGTTCAGCTTGGGAGCCGAGACACCGCTGGAGGGGTCTGAGAAGATATCCTTGATACGACCAGGCGTGCCGACCAGCAGATGGCATCCATCGCGCTGAATCCGCATCAAACCAGATCTCTTGTGAGTACCACCCACAGCGGTCTGCACAACAAGACCAGTGCCTTGCGCGACCTTGATGGCCTCGGCCGCGATCTGCTCAGCAAGTTCGCGGGTAGGGGAGATGATCAAGGCCCGAATGTCAGACGAACCGGCACCAGAGGAGCGGTGGCGTCCTTGAGGTTGGCGCCGCTTGAGGGTAGGATCGCTAAGGATGTTTTGCATGGTAGGAATAAGGAAGGCGAGGGTTTTGCCGGTTCCGGTCTTTGCCTGGGCCAGACTGGAAGGAATTCATCAGTAAATACTCTCCAATAAGATAAATCAACAAGAATTGCACCTCCTGGAATACTCACACATCGATACCGCCGAGCATTTGGTTGATAGTCTGGCTCTGCACATCGGTCATGGTCGACAAGCCCATGCGGCCGGGGTGAGTAATGTTCCGAATGATTGAAGGATCAATCAGTCCCTTGGTCATGAGATCCGCAAATTCGGTGATGAACTCAGGCTCCTGCGACGTATTTTCCAGAGTCGCTGTCGCCTCGGCGGCGGCAGCGTTCAGCGCAGGGAACGAGGTGTGAAGGGATTTAGCCAGGACAGGAACCTGACTGCTCGGGGCCTGCCACTTGAGCAACTGGGGAGCCCATCGAGCAGACAGAGAGCGCGGGGCAGATGCCCGCAGAGCCTGGGAGACACCAAATCGGCGAACAGCACCAAGCATGATGAAATATATGGATGGAACAAACGTGATGATAAAGAGTCTGTCGTGGCGATCAGCGCGCGACGGGAAAAGGGCAAACCGAAAATTTAGGTCACATGACTCTTATCGATAAGATTTGCCCCCTGATGGTTGATGCCTGAGGCATGAAAAGATAAGGCGGAATTCCTGCTTAGTGGATCATGCTGCGCACCAATAGGATACCAACAAGTCTGAAGTGCTCTTGCCCCTAGCTGGCAATTTCTGTGGGCAAACTAATGACTAATCTTAGCGGATATACAGTATCTCCTTTCTCCGAGTATCCTCCAATCCTGCTGCTCCGTCAAGATATGCTTACTTTCAAATATGAAGTGGCGTGGCTTTTTGCCTGGGGGCTGCATAATACAGTTATACCTGCAGTATGTACAGCGCAATATGAACACCAAGCCCCTAACAACTTGTGCAATCTTCGATGCTTGGCTGGTTACAGATGCGTGATCCAATCAGAAGATGCCTACATCCCGAGATGCGCTGAGTCAGCGGAACTTCGGCAGTGGAGACTGATGGAAATTCACGCAATCACAAAGCACGTCGAGGAAAAGTTAGTACGATTAAGGTTGAAGGGACAGGAGATTGCTAAGCACTGCTGCGACAAACTATGGCGCTGACAAACTCATTCCTGGGCAGTTTGCAGTCCATGAATAAGCTGCAAACATGACAACCACTAGTCGAAAGTGGCCTGGCGATCCCTACAAACAAGGAGACCTTTGTAGGTCACAGCCAGGTCCAACCTCGATCCTATAAGATCGGCATGCCCCCCACGCCGAGAATGCATTCTGTTCAAGTTATCAATCCCTGCATCTCAGAGCGTCTGCTGGTTCGAACACCATGGCGCCTGTCAACATTGTGATTGTGGGGGCTGGAGCTGCTGGTATCACCATTGCCCACTCTTTGCTTCAAGGGGTTCCCAACGCCAAGGTCTTACTGGTCAACCCTGCCCAGACCTTCTACTGGAACATCGCATCCCCGCGCATTGTCGCCAAACCCAATGCCTTCAAGCCGGAGCAGTACTTGCTCCCGATCAAGGACGCCTTCGCGCAATACTCGGCTAGCGCATTTGAATTCGTTGCTGGAACTGCAACGGCTATCAACGTTTCTGCAAAGACTGTGGCCGTCACGCTCAATGGCAGCGGCGACTCGAAAGATTTCTCTTACGACCATCTCGTGATCGCATCTGGAAGCACCAACCTATCCGCCACTGGTGCAGTTACTGGGACCGAGATCCCATTCAAGCCATCCAATCGGGATGATGTCAAACAGGTTGTCGAAGCTGCCCAACAGCAGATCGCTAATGCCAAGGAGATCGTGATCGGCGGTGCCGGCCCAGTAGGTGTCGAGTTGGCAGGTGAGCTTGCTGAGAGCCTGGGCAGCAAAGCAACTATCACCTTGATCTCTTCTGCAGACCGTGTACTCCCTATGCTGAAGCCCTCTGGCAGTGCCGTGGGCGAGAAGAAGCTGAAGGAGAAGAAGGTCAAGATCATTACCTCCACCAAGGTCACCGGTGCCGAGGCCTCGGCTGATGGAACGAAGTCCTGGACTGTCACTCTGGACAACGGAAAGAAGCTGGTTGCTGACGTGTACATTCCCACGACCGGCGCCATCCCGAACAGCAGCTTCATTCCTGCAGAGTTCCTCGACAACAATGGCTGGGTCAAGGTCAACGAAGAGCTGCGTGTGCAGTCCTCCAGCGGTTCGGCTCTGCCCATCTATGCCGTTGGCGACATCAACACCAACAACATGCGCTTGAGTTTCAAGGCCACCGAGCAGGCCAAGATTGCCATGACCAACATCAAGGCAGATATCTTGGGCAAGGGCGAGCGCAAGTCCTACGACCAGGGTAACAGCGTCATGATGGTTGTCCCTGTCGGAGAGACTGGTGGCACCGGCCAGCTGTTTGGAATGACCCCGTTCAACTTCCTGGTGAAGTATGTCAAAGGCAAGGACTACCTTGTGTCCAAGGCGCCGCAGTATCTAGCAGGCAAAGCCTGAGTGAAGGGGGGGGGAGAGATTTGAAGGGTGAGACAATTACCAATCCTGGATAGTCAGGGAGTGACTGATAATTTGAAGTAATTTGAAATAATAGATAGTCTTAATGTTTTTATACTGTTCGGAAGCATCCAGCGTGAAGCCAAGACGCAACTAAGACAGGATGTATGTTACTAAATGTTCTGGTTGTGGAACCTGAACTGCAGTAGTACTGTAGTACAGTAGTAAGCAACTTTGGAAGGTGTAATCCCGCCCGTTGATGAAGTCATCAGAAATTTCATCAGATTGTGGCATAAAATAAAACACCCATCATAACTCGAAATAATTCATGCAATCCGTCTATGCAGACTACTGCAACTGCCTAAATCATCAAATCGCGGCTCGGGGGCCAATAATAGCAACCGACTCGGCTCCAAGAGAGGGGGCCAAGGCTCATCGAGGTCGATGGACCCTCTGAATCCCTGCAAACTCGATGCGCCGACCCCCGCACCTGGACCAGCCCTGAACGGGTAAGACTCTCCGTGATAACTTGATGAGAAATCGAGGGATAGAGTTTGAGATTATTCATTGTGCAGACGTTTGCAACCACCACAGTAGTTAGTGAAAACCAGTGCGAATCAAGCTGGTCTCTTGCCGCCACGGTCCTCTTGCCCAGAATGGCCGACTCCCCGTCGGGTTGGGGCGTCTTGAGTTCCTCCGAGCTCCACCGCCACGAAGGTGGACTCTTGCTGCAAAAAGTCTCCGTGATGGATCGCAGAACCTGCGCAACGCTGATGATGATGAGTTTCATCGGACCTCGGTTTGCACTGTCGGAACGTTGAAACTGATGTAACAGACATAGCTCGGAGGTTTTGTCCGCGATCTGAACCAGGGCTAATAAGAACTGTATCGTGCAGAGGATGACGAATCGATCGTAGTCCTGGAGTTCCAGTACATACTACGGAGTAGGTACGACATAGTCAAGGACGGTATCCTGTCGAGGGAGTCTGTGCAGGCGAGTGGGGCCGTCAGAACTTGGAAAGGCTCAACGAGAAATAGTAATCATAGACCCTCCGACGGAGCATGAGTACAGTGGTAACTCTGGAAACTAGGCTATAACCGTCTCGAGAAGCTTCTCCGCGCCCCATTGGCAAACGGCAAAATTGCTTTATAATACGCCACGATGAGCGAAACCAGATCTACATTTTCTGCCTCGGTCCCCTCAACTGTCCCGCTTGACGGTTCCTACGGCGGTAGATTCTTTCGTTATAAAAGCCGCCCGTCGCCCTTTTGATGTGCCATAGTACAGTACAACCAATTCAAACCCCTCCAGTGCAGTTCTCCATCACTTGATTTTCTCACCAACCCTCCAATTCAATACCCGTCCCTCTTACCCGGCACCTTTCATTCAATCGACATCATGACCAACAAGGCACTCGTCTTCAAGGAGATCCCCACGGGGTATCCTGTTCCCGGCCAGCACGTGGCCGTTGAGGCCGCCGCCTATGACGCCAATGTTGCCGCTCCCGCCGACGGCGTCGTGGTCCAGTCCCTCTACACAAGCTTCGACCCTTATATGCGCGGCCGCATGCGCCCCGTCGAGGTCAAATCTTACTCTCCGCCTTTCAACTTGAACCAGCCCATTGAGAGCGCCAGCATCGCCAAGGTCCTCCGCTCCAACAATGCCTCCTACAAGGAGGGCGATATCGTCATTGGCCCCTTGCCCATCCAGGAGTACATCTCGCTCGATGGCCCGAACCTGGAGCGCATCAAGAAGCTGGAAAACCCCCTGGGAATTGAGGATATCCGCGTCTTCGTGGGTGCTCTCGGTATGCCGGGTCTGACCGCGTACTCCTCTCTGTACGCGATCGGTAAACCCAAGAAGGGTGAGACCATCTTCGTCTCCGCTGCTAGCGGTGCCGTCGGCCAGATCGTCGGTCAGCTCGCCAAGCACGAGGGTCTGCGCGTGATCGGATCCGTCGGCTCTGACGACAAGCTCGACTTCATCATCAAAGAGCTCGGCTTCGACGGTGGCTTCAACTACAAGAACGAGAAGCCCGCGGATGCGCTGGCCCGCCTTGCCCCCGAGGGTATCGATATCTACTATGAGAATGTCGGCGGTGAGCACCTCGAGGCTGCTCTGGACGCGTTACGCAACTTCGGCCGTGTCGTCGTCTGCGGTATGATCTCGCAATACAACTCTGCTCCTTACCCCATCAAGAACATCCACAACGTCCTCATTAAGCGGATCACGATGCGCGGCTTCATCGTCAGTGACGCTGACATGGGCCCTCTTTACGCCAAGGAGCACCAGGAGCGCCTGCAGAAGTGGATCAAGGATGGCTCGTTCAAGGTGCTCATCCACGAGACTGAGGGTATTGATAACGCGGCCGAAGGTCTGGTTGGTATCTTCCACGGCAGGAACAAGGGCAAGGCCGTTCTGAAGTTCTAAGAGACTGGAATTATATATTCCATCCCTAGCCTTATGTGATTAGACGATGAGAGGATGATAAATTGAAATGATGAGATGCCCGCCACGAATACCTGCGAATTTAGTACACTCGGTAGGCCTCGGTTATAGTAACGAGAGGCAGTTAGCTATTGGCATAAGTTCAATATATGCATCAAACCAACCAGACCATCACTGTAAACAAGACAACCACCAAGTAAATGATTCCCCGAGGTATCGTCGCCGTGATCTCTCTTCGTGATGCAATGTGTATAGCCGGGCTAAACATTTAAGGTGCCCGCATCGGCCAATTTCGGCTGGGCGGAAAGCCGTCGACCAATCACCTGACCCGCAATAGGATGACATACCGAGTCGGACTCCCGAGGCTCTTCAACCTCATCCTTGTGCGAGTTGAACCTCTTCGTCCTTCCCTCCATTCAACCCGTTACAATGGCTTCCTTTGCGCGCCCGTCGCTGCTCCGACAGACTCTTGCGACCACCCGGTCGCCCCTCCTGCGCCAGAATGTCGGCGTCTCGCAGATGGTCGCTTTCCACGCCTCCGCCCGGAAGCAGATCCTGCCCCCGTTGCCGCGTGAGTAGAGCCTCTGTCTTGGTTGGAAGCTATGGTTTCTAGCTGAGAGGGAATCCGTGTGTGATCTATGGGATATGTGTGCTAATGACTGTTGGTTATACAGAGTCGATCGAAGGAACCAGTACGTTTTGAATACCCGAAATCTTTACCCGCATCATTGGCCGAGCCCTTTCCTAGCCTGGCATCGGCTTCAAATATAACCTACGAGACTCCTTGGGGGTGGAAATATTCGAGATGCTAGGAGGAAATTGCGAGGGAATGGCCGGCCATTGAACCCTTTTCTAACAGACTTGAACAGTGAACGACCCCATTCCCGTTCCCAGCCCTCACCCTATGGAGGGTAGCTACCACTGGACTTTCGAGAGGTTCGATACGAATTCCCTGACCATGCAAGCGACACCATTGCTAACAGTTTGATCTACAGAGCTGTCTGCGTCGGCCTGATCCCCCTCAGCATTGCTCCCTTCGCCGCTGGCTCCCTCAACCCCATCATGGATGCTATCCTCTGCTCCCTCCTGGTCGCTCACTCCCACATTGGTTTCCAGTAAGGACTTTCGTGTTTCCCAGACTATATCCGCATATTCTAACATCTATAATCAGGGCCGCCATCGTCGATTACTTCCGCCCCCAGCGTGTGCCCAAGTTCAACTCCCTGTGCAACTGGCTCCTGCGCGCCTTCACTCTGACCACCGCGGTCGGCCTGTACGAGTTTGAGACGAACGACGTGGGTGTCACCGAGGCTTTGCGCCGCATCTGGAACGCATAGAGCGGAGGGGTCGTTTGAAAAGGGTCTTTTTGGTTGTTTTCTTTTGTTCCAGGTCTAGGCGTTCCGCCTTTGTATATGTCGAAAGCTTCTTTCTTATTTTCATTTGTCTCCCGACATTTGCTCGGTGCTAAATCATCCTCTTGACCACAGTCTTCGGAGTAAGAAAATATAAACCCGTGTACCAGTGGACTGAACTTGAAGGGTAAAAGCCAGCTCTCTATAAACGATCCATCTACAATGACACAAATTTCGAAGTCAAACCTCGTTCTGATATAGAAAGGATATCAATGCTCATAAACCAGAGCGTAATAATGCATACCTTGTCTATATACCATATTTTAATTCCACATTAACAAGTCATCAATCATTCCAATCCCTCATCCTCATCCTCCTCCGCCTCCATCAACACTGGATCATCCGGTAACCGATCCTCATCATCCGCCTTAGCCATAACAGTCTCAATCAACTTCAACGTCGCCTTAAGCGGCATCCCAATAACATTATCCGCCGTCCCCTCAATCTTCTCCACCAAAATCGACCCCAACCCCTGCAACCCATAACCCCCAGCCTTATCCGCGCCCTCACGCGTCCGCACATACGCCAAGATCAACTCATCCGTCACATCCCCATCGAATCGCACATTCGTCTCTTCAACCACCGACTCTATCGCATACCCCGGCTGTCGCGCACTCGCCAACGGCGCCATCGCCACGAGAGCAGTGTACACCTTGTGATCGCGCGCGTCACGCAGCGACCGCAGCATCGAGACGTGGTGGGCCTCTGAGCGCGGCTTTTCCAGGATACTCCCCGACGCGACGTCGACGACGACTGTGTCAGCGGCGAGGATGAGGGCTGGTTCGCCGGCGAGTTCGTTGTCGATTTCCTGTTGGTAGACGGCTTGGGCCTTTTTGGTTGCTGTGCCGAGGACGTATTCGAAGGGTGTGAGGGTCTTGGGTAGGTTCTCGTCTGCGTTGGAGGGGATGATTTCAATGTTTGGGAGGCCGAGGTAGGAGATTATTTGGCGGCGGCGGGGCGATTGAGAGGCGAGGATTACGCGTTTATTGCGGAGAGCGTTGAGGACTGGGAGGGCGAGTGGTGGTGGGCGGGGGAGGGGGTTCCTCGTGCGGGTTTGGGAGGGTCGTAGGCTGGTGGGGGGTCGATTGGGTCTTCGTTGCCGAGGAGGGTTTCTTTTGAGTCTGACATTTTGTTTCTTTTGCTGTTGAGTTTTTTTCTGGTTGTTTAGAGGGACTGGGTGGTTTGGGGAGGTTGGAGGTTGTGGAAGTTGGGGATGAGTCGGAGCTGCTGGTTTTGGGGCTGATTGCTGCCCGCACGGGTTTATACCAATGCGGTGCCCGCTGGTCTTATCATTGGTTGACAATGCCTTTGCGACGTGAGTCAATTCCTTTTGAGAGACATGTAGGCAATTGGCCTGGAACATAGAGAAAATAATGTCTCGCCTAATGTATGACCTTTCTTGCCGGGGCTGAATAGGGAACTCTAAGAGCCTAGGACAGACAACGTCATGCTTGGACCAGGTCCATGGCCCTCTACCTTCCGGGAACCTCACATTGCCATGGTCCAGCTATCCGAATTCGCCAGTTTATTGTTAATTGTATATCAAATTAATAGATCTCGTAGAAGAGCTACCTGTTGTCGTAAATTGTTTAGTTTGGAAACGGGCTGGAACCTCTGGTTCTGTGGCTCAGTCACCCCGCATATATGTAGCTTCACATGTAATTGACTGAGCAGCACTGATTCTCGTTCCTACCACAAAAGTCCTTGCCCTTTAATGAGACTTGAATTGAATATTAACCATATTGTGGCCAAAATCCATACTAAGCCTAGAAAATCAAAAAAAGGGCCTTCTGCCCTGCCGACTTGGCAGATTCGAGTCCGGACACTTTCACATGCGCGGAAAAAAAATAGTTGTGGCCCGGCATATGGTTAGTCGACTAGAACCTAGTCATTGACAGTCAATAACAAGGAAGGTGAACCACCTCATCAATCCAGTTGCTAATGATTTGAATTGGTCTTAAATAGGATATATTTACATAGGATGGGTTCCTACATGATTCTGCATGGGAGTAAGCGCTTGGTGGTGGTGGTGGTTGTTCTTTGCACGTGATACGACCAAAGACTGGTACTCGAGCGAACAGACCGCACTTCCCCTGAACGTGGCAAAAGGCAAAGAGCCATAGGATCAGGAGAATCAGGAGAAACAGGAGAACTTGAATGTGATATGTTCCATTGAAAACAAAAACCCGGGTCCAACGCCCCAAGAGCTCCGTAGATACTATAACATACATTCTGGCCCCCGGGAATAAAGATGTACAAAGAAGATAGAATGCAAGCATGTGACAGATGGCGATCCTCCAAGGAGTCTTCCAAACCATTGGATTTCCCCAGGAATTCTCTCAAAAATGTGGGGATTTGGCACCGCGGGGGCATTGGGAGAAGGCACATCGAGTGCAATAATAGACAGGCAGAAAAGAAATACCCCGGACAGAACAAATTGTCAGACGGAAAAAACCGTCAAGACGAAAACCCGACTGTCGATCAGTCTCAAACAGCCGGGATTGAATGGCCTTGAGAAAGCAGAGGAATGAAAAGAGACTCGTCGTAGATGCATGATGCATGATTTCATTTTCGTGTGGGAAGGAGCCGCGTCCGGACCTCGGTACATCTCCATGGAGGCCCCCATGGGGTACCGTAAGCCCATCAGATTGGGGTCGGCGCAGGTACAGGGGAGGAATGCAAAGACCATGAACCATGCAGGATAGTCGATCGAGCGACGATGTAGCAATTTTATGATGGTCGGAAAGAATCATCCACCCGGCCGCCCTTGTTCTCAATCTCTGCGATCAGGCTTTGCCGCTCTTGAAGCTTCAGGTGAATAAAGTCGACCGTCTTTTGCAGGACGATGCTTTCACTCCGGCCTTGCCCCTCCAGCCCAGGCACCAATTCTGTGAGCCGGTCGAAGCCCTCGCGAATCGCTGCGCGGCGCTTTTGCTCCGAGGCAATGTGGTTGCTCTTCTTCTCTTGGTCGGTCAGACGAGGCTTCTCCTTTTCCTGTCCAGACGCAGACTTGGATGTGCCGGTTGGGGTCAAGGAGGACCGGTCATCGTCGCCGTCGGCGTTCATCGTGCGCTGGTGGGGGATGGCGGCTTTCGGACGTAGGGAGGATGTGAGAAGGAATAGGTGTGGCAAGGGTTTTCGCAGAAGCAAAAACGTCGATCGCGTCGATAGCGTCTTGTAGTCACGGCTCAAATCTCAGGCGTAGGAGTAGAAGTGGTTGCAAGCGACGGTGCGGAGGTCGAAAAGAATGATCGGGGAAGACGGTTGGAGAGGAAGGAAACCGATAGGACCGATAAGGCCAATGCGGAGAAACCGAGTCGGGAACGTGGGCCTTGGCGGCGTTCAAACGTCATAGAAAGTGCTCCACCCCCTGCACGTCTGCACCTCGCCTTTTTCATTTTCTCTTCCTTGTATCATGCTCTGCACAGCGTGATGAGACACTTTCAGCCTCTCAGGTTCATTTCCGCCGATTCTACTTGGAATTGATCAAGACACTTTCGTTCAATCCCAGTTCTAGACCCTGAAATCAGCGGCGATCTAGCCCAGTCCAGCAGCTCTCACTTTGTGTCGTACGATCGTGCCACCATGACCCACGAGCCTTTAAATGGATCCTGCTCATGTGGCCGTAATGAATACACCATCCAGATTCCTGATGATGTGGCGGATCACGCTCAGATCTATTTCGATACTGGTCGAGACAGTCGTGAGTATATAGTTGAAACCTTAGTTCTGATGAGCCGCGCTAACGGAATATTATAGGTCAATTCCTCGCATCCTGGCTGCGGGTCCCTCTAGAGTGGTATCAGTCTCACACGCTATCATTCTTCCCAGACGAGACTCACACTTCGATTCGTCGCGTATTCACGCCCCGTCATGCGCCACAGACGCGTCGTATCTTTTGCGGGTTCTGCGGGACACCCTTGACCTTCTGGACGGAGGAGCCAAAAGAGGAAGCCAATTTCATGTCCGTCTCAATTGGGAGTTTGTCTCGTGAGCACCAACGTGTCCTGGAAGATCTCGGTCTGCTTCCGGAGGAATCTGGCGAAGAAAAGTCCGTGTCCGGACTGGTGAAATCCTCAGCTTCGGCACAAGGATCTGATATTCGACCATATGCAATTGTGGTTCCGTCTATTCAGGAATATGATATCTCTCGAACTTTCCACCAAGGCACTGTCGGTGGCATACCGTGGTTCGAGGAGATGGTGGAAGGGAGCCGGCTAGGCCGTTTAATGCGTCAACGACGTGGAATGGGTGTTAGCCACGACCAATCGACCAGTATCGAATGGGAGATCAGCGAATGGCAGGATGAGGGTTCTGGCGGACTCGGGCAGGATAGTGAAGATTCCAATGGGCAGGCTACGGGGAAGAGAAAGCGAGAGCGTCACGTAGACGTGCAGTCCTCGCCAAAACGGGCATGATGGACCCGCTCGGGCTAGGCAATCGCTGAATTAGCGAGGGGTGATCCATGAAATCAAAACTTTGTTCCATTCGTAATTTGCAATTACGTGTATCTTCCGTATCTTCAATATCTGTGGCGTTGATGCTCCCGTTCCCGTCCCGTTCCCGCTCCCGCGCTAGTTTATCCTCCGGACACGTTAATATCAACATCATATCCCATATCCAATGCGAAAACACGAGAAGTAATGATTGTTTTGAGGTTCTGTAGAGAATTGTCTTGCCCATGTGCCATCCAACACCCTCCATTCGGGGAATTTGATATGCACTTTCAACATTGGACGGGCAATGGTAGAGACTGCCAGCCATGTATAGGACTGTATCATCGGATAGATAATACCAATCTGGAAGCTTCGAGATGTGCTGGGAGAAGCTTGCGAGCCCATCGCGACTGCCTTGTCGATATGAAGTCACGGTCGTGTGGTGTTGCTGGCTAGCGCGTCCAGGTCGCGTCTGAATAGCTTCGCCGCTCAGCCCGCTCATCTCTCTTCTTCTTTCCTCCCTAAACCAACCAACCCACACTCGAAAGGATTCTTGCCAAGTTCCCATTCATCCATATCCATCTTGGTAAACCCCCTCGACGATCTCAGAGCCTTGCCAAATGCCGGCATCGGATAGGAATCCGGTTTTCATGAGACGTCACTGACCCTTGAACTCAGGCACCATGAAGGGCCTTAGGAAGTTGTGGAGCGTTGTCAAAGGCCATAAGGCCAGTATCTCGCACCCGCTTGCCGTGAGCAAGGTACGTTTGGCTTGATTTTGTGTGCTTTTGATGCATGTTGCCGTCGATCCATGAGAACACCTCACGTTGAATGTCACGGCATGGGCATTCACCCCTAAGCGTACAATGTGTGAGAACTGATGCTGATATATCTCCTATTGAACAGAAGAAGATTGTATCAGGCATTCAGACCGCCGCCAGCGAAGTGCGGCACCGCATATCAACCTGGGTATGTTAGCCCCGTCGCTGGTGAATCTACGTAGTCCGATACTCTATGTACTCACACATCTTCTAGCACAAGGGCCAGAAGTCTAAGGAGGGAATCAATCGGGTGTACCCGAATGCAGCCCCAGAAAGTCCACGGGACAGCTCGTCCCTATCTGGAGTGACGACCTTCGCAGATGAGGAAGAGGAAGAGCAGGTGGAGCACGGCGAGGGTTCGATGGACGCAAGTTTGGGCCCTGACAATTGGGAACATGAGGTTGCTGGCCTGCCCGTAATAGAAGGGATTGATCCTGCACAGCAACGTCTCCAGGGTACAGTGGCTTAGGTCCCTGTTGTGCAAAGCCTCGAGGTCCGTTCTGCACGCCCGCCAACTGCGAGGATGGGATCGCCATATCCATTTACGTAGGTGACGCGCTTCCCCGAGGGCTCAAGCTCAACAACCTCGACGATTATCATTGTCGTGACGCCCGATGGGGAAAGCAGTACCCCGGAGCAGCCATCTCCTGCCCACTAGGTCGTCAATCGCCCACGACGACACGACGACTAAGCAGAGGGGTTATAAACCTTCCCCGACAACACCGGCTTTGGCTGTTTACGCTTCCTTGCCTTCTTCTCTCGCTTTTCCCCTCGCTTTCTTCTCTCGTCGCCTCCCTTCCCCTCGCCTTCTTTCTTACTGTCGGTCTTCCTGTGTCCCTCGCGCTCTCCCTCATTTTCTCCCGACGAGACGCCTCGCCTGCCATCAACTCCAACTCCCAGGCGTCCCGTTTCGTCCCGTCGTCGGGACAGAGCACAACTTCGGAGCAAACCGAAGAGAAAGGTACGTCTCGCAGTAGCTACTCAATCTCGACGACTCCAGGGCGTAGTGGCTGATATCACGGAACAGAAGTTGCGCTGTCTCTGTGCTCTGGCCCTCCTGCCATCACCCTCCCCCGTTCCGCCCCCCAGTGAACATCCACAAGATGTTCACCCGCCGACGAGACCAGGGGCTCACTTCGGAGCAGACCGAAGGAAAAGGTGAGTAGTGACAGCCTGTATTTCCATATTGATATCACCTGAGCGTTAGTTAACATCTGAATCAGAAGCTGCGTTGTCTCAGTCCCCTGGCTCGTCTCAGCCAACCGCCGAGGCTCGGCCTCGTTACGAAGTGCATTCAGGCACTCGTTTTGAAATGCTCACGGGAAGAGCCCGTTTGGAGGGTCAGCCTCAAACTGACAGTAAGTATTCCCAAATAAGATAGGAGATATCAGTGAACATGATCTAACATGTCTCTTATAGCTCACCCACCCGATGGCACGATGCCATCTGATCTGCCAACAGTCGTTCCGCGCTCGCCGAACGTGTCTCGGATTCCTCGCCCTCGGGGCCAGGTCTTCGTCAACCCGCCAGACCACGATACCGATGCTTCTGGTTCGGGGTTTTCAACAAACCCCACCGAGACACGGGGTGCCGTACCCGTCCGCAATCGTCGGTCCAGCAACGGCAGCCGCACTATGCCCGATGTGCAGCCATGCCTTGCGGCCTCCTTCTCCATCATGACGATTGACAACACGCCACGGGAGAACTACGGACCCGCAGAAAGTTTCCTCGCGGCCGCGAACTACGGTGATCAGATCTCGTCGCTGCCCTCGACACACAAGGCCCGCCAAGCAGGCCCTCGCCAGACTCGTCGGAAGCTTGTTCCCCCGCAAACCGGACCACCCAAGCCCATCGTGTTAAGGGACTATAATCAGGCGCCCCCAGTGGGTAGCCAGTTCTCCAAGTTCCTGCCGTCCGAGCAGCCAGTCATCCAAGCCGGCAAAGCTCAGCCACGACGGTTACACTGGGCAAGGAGCATGCAGAATTTGTGGTCCCGGGAACGCCGACACGAGTCTGGTGAGGCAGGGCTCCAGACCGCCAGCAAAGGACTAAAGTCGTGGTCCTCAATCCCCAAGCTGGCCCAGCCATTGACCTCCAAGCCGGCCAAACTGACAAAAGCACGGCCGGCCAAGGCCTTGCCTAAGCCTTCGGCCCCCGTGCTTGTCACACCAATGGCCCAGCAGTCAGTCCAGCCTGCGATGCCGACGCTGGCACTGTCTGCAGTCAATGTGCTGGCAGAGACCCTCCCACGTCCCCAGGAGTTGGTCCAGCCCTCGACCTCGACGCCCGCACAATCGCCAATCTTTGTGCTGGGCGAGACGGTCCCAAGTCCTGCGGTGCCTGCCCCAACCGCCAACCGGCCTCTGGTAAACGCCGTGGTGAGCCCCATGACAATTGCCCTGCCGCAAGATGGGCAAGGGGATTCAACTCCCCAGTCGTGGGCCGAACTCACCCTTTGCGTCAACCGACTGGGAAAGCGGTTGGTCCATGAAAACGACCCGGAGCAGCGAAAGAAGTTGTACGCAGTAAGTTGATCTCACCTTGGTCTCGTCTAATTGATGTGAAATGAGTCGAATCTAACTGATTATGCCTTTTGATTTGATAGGACTTCGTTCGTCTGATGTCCCTCCGCGCCGACGTGCTGAGTCGGGAGGATCTTTGCGCCGAGCAAGAGTCCCTACTCGCGGTGATGCGTGCCGAGTCCTCAGGGCGCCGCATTTTAGCGTCTCTGCGGGCTCACACCATCTACCAAGAGGATGGGACCCTTCGTAACATGACGGTGCCAACAGATCAGATTGTGAAGGAGTGGTAGTCAGCCGGTGTTCTTGTCGTGGTGTGCCCCTTGCGGAGGATGAAGTTGGGGGTGGTGGGTCCAACCGCGTGCGGTGTGGTGGTCCATTGTCTGTGGGGGCCAGACCTTCCAGCTCGTTATGATACCCCGTTTTCATGGTGCTGGCGTTCTTTTTCTTTCTCTTGCGCTGGAGGCTGGACTCTCTCCCAAGTGATTTCGTTATTTCTTCTTCTGTTTCTCTTTCTTCTCTCCTCTCTTTTCCCCCCATTTCTTTCTGGGGTGTTTTTTTTTCCTTTTTTTTTTTCTCTATTTTTAGTGTATGAGTATGGATTCGAGCAGTGTTTGTGGTCTCCATACCACACTAATCAAAGTCGCCAGTACTGAGAGTTTGCTCCCGCTTTTATACTGTAGAGTACAGGAGACTGTCCATTTTACCCTTCGTTACGTGTAGAACTTTGACCGACTGGCGCATTGTGAGTAGATCAATAGTAATAACTAATATTGGGGCATCAAACTAGGCATGATCAGGCAGCTAATGTATACGATTCTTACGAATCATCTCGACAGGTCTCATCTATAGCCCACGTCTAGTTCTGTCCAAGATTAGACCAAGTCCATCTCGGGGACTTCTCCATCTTCGATTCAACACCGAAGAAGTAAGCACGCATAAAACGAGAATAGTAGGTTCTATTAGAACCACCCTCAATCATCCCAGAGACCATATCCTCGAGAACCCTAAAACTGGAGTTGATGATCTTCTTTCGATCCGAATCTTTCAGCTCGAACCCCCGGGCTTCAGAGCAGCAGATGCAATCTATCGTACAATGGCCCATGCCGCGACGTCTTCCAGGACCCGACTCACATCTCTGGCAACATCCACATTGGCGACTACAACACCCACCCTTGTCCGCGCAATCTGCGACGAAATGAGGATGGAGATACCATTTTGGGTTGGACCTCCAGGTTTCGTATGCCCTGCGTAATGGACCGGATGGAAGTAGGGATTCCAATGCGTCAAGTTGTCGTTGGTCGCGCCAATAGCACTTTGCACATGCATTCAATTGATCGAGACATATTGTGAGCTGTTCTTGGTCTTTCTCACAACTTTCACTGGCCTTTATAGACTGGTAGTCTCGTTTCAAGCACTCTTCCCTTTGAGTAAAATATCGAAGTGATAGTTCAAACTCGAAGATTCCCTCCAGGACCTGCCCAACATCGAGGCTCTTGGTGAGATTCCGATTGTGTTTCAAGTAGAATTTGGCGATAGAGAGACGGAAGGGTTGTAAGGAGTTAAAATCGGTGTGTCTTTCTAGGAAGGTATCGATTCTCTTGTAGAGGGGGAGAAGCAAGTAACTGCACATTTTGAAGCGTGAGGATCTCGCAGTATTCTTTCGAGTTTTGACAAGATTGAAAGTGGGATGCGATTATGTTAGGGTATTAATACGGGCTCTGGACACTGATCTGTTGATGACATCGCCGTCTCCGAAATGGGGACCAGCTCAGCAGGACTAGGCAGTATCGGGAGTTCCATGTGCCACTCTAAGGCTAGAAAGAATGACCATTCCAGATAAATTCCAGATAAAATTCCAGGAATAACTTTCAGTCTATAGCTAAGTATATGAATGAGAAAAAGGGTGGGTGACATAAATCGCGCTGTCCGTGGAAACTCGGAACCCCGAGAGCAGGCCTACAGATTTGCTGGCCCAGATGGATTACTATGAACATCAAAGCAAGATAGTCTTTTGGAGACATATTAGACTTTTCTAAATCGTGTTTTAATAGAGCAAGTATTAGATCCTACGAGGCTCTAGCTGATTCAAAACATCACCTTCATCAAGTGTCACAGACATCTTTTGAACATCGTTCAAAAATTTTTGCAGATTTCCTTTTGAATAGCGTTTGGATCTTTATAAAGAGGCTTCAAAAGAGGGTTGCAAACAACTTTTGTAAAAATTGTAATATTGACGCCTGTAATCACGCTTTCTAAATGCTAACTAGACAAAAATCCGCTTCTAATCTATTATTCGTACCTTGAAGATATAAGAAAAGGAATAAGTAATGCACTCCCAAGTTTTCTCTCCCACCACACACCAAACCGATACAAATGCCTTCCATGAAATATCAAAATCTAGGGCTTGTACGAAGAACGACGAGGCTCCAAAGCTTCTCCATCGTCTTCTCGAGACACTCGGCTTCGGACACGCAGAGTCATGCCAATGCCAAGACAGATAATAACGACAGCAAACTCCTCAAGCACAGCCATAACCAGCTGAACCGTGACATTGCCATCAAGTATGCTGAACTTGGAATTGTGCAGGAACCACACGAAGAACGCGTACAGCAGACGCACGAGAATGAACGGACTCGTCAAAGCAACAGCCAACATGGTGCGCTTCTCGCCACGCTCAACGGAGCTCTTGTGTAGAGCCACAACAGCCAACATGGCCATCATAACCACCCAGCTGACGCCGTACAGGATCATGCCAATCTTGACCTTGATGTCGGGGTGTTGGAGGCCTTCGGCGGACATGTTGGACGTGAGACCCACGATGCTCAGAACCATGGCGACGGTGGTGAGGATACGGAACAAAGGAAATGCAAGACGAGGAAGCGCCGTACGGCCGGTGACATTTTCGACGGAAAGATCACTGTTTTGGGAGATTGTCAGTATTAAGGTTGTGGCTTGGTCGGGTTAGGGCTTGGGTGGACACTCACGCTCGGGATAGGAGGCCAGTGCAGGCGAGCATCAAGGGTGAGAGACCGATTGAGCTACAAATTGCAGCTGCGATATAGAGGCCCACAGAGGAATTGCTGATTGTTGCGAGATCGCAGCATGCGCCTACAATGCGGGCCAGGGCAAAGGTGGAGAGGAAGAGGAAACCGCTGTTTGTGCGAAGGCCATGGCGGATGACGAGGAAGATGGAAAGGAAGAGAGAAGGAAAGTAGATGATCAATTGAAGAATTGAGATGCCGTGACGGTATGTGATGGCCATTGTAGGGGATGTTGTCTGGCTTTTTTTGAGAATAAGGGAAGGTATCAAGTGTGTCGAAGATGGAATTAAGCAGACTTGTTGGGTCGTTAGAGAAGGAAGGATGCGATTGATGATGAGAATATCAAAGTCTTCGAGGATCTTAAATCTCTATATAGTATTCCTATGCCATCTTGCATACCCTTTTGGACGAAGAATATTTGTGAGGCTGTGCTGACAAAGTCCATATAGATTAACTAGTTAGTTAGCCTGTGGTTCGTCGTAGATTCTACTCTATTGAGGATGGGAGCAGCCAACCAGAATGGGGCTTGGTTGAGCTGACGGGAAAAGCTTGACAGAAACCAGCCAAAATTCCAGCCACAGACCCCATCCAACCCATACAAGGGCCATCAAATCACCATTCGGCCCTACCGTGTCTCCTTAAACCGGCGTATGGTTGACAAGCCTTTTGGTGACGCCGATCGCAATGCATGCCCAATTGGGATTAGCGTCTCACTTATTACCCGATCGGGCACATTCCGCGAGAGGCGGTGCACTCGGTAACTCCCGACGTGGTGACGCCCCTCTTGGCCATCGATTAGGCTACCCTTTTGTACAAGGTCGAAGGAGAACCCGAACAGAGCAAAGTCCACAAGCCCATCAAAAGCCATCGCTCATATCATGGTCTACTGTGGCAAGCCCAGCAAAGGTTGCGGCCAGTGTCGAACCAGAAAGATCCGATGCGATCAAGCTCGACCAGCTTGTTCGCAATGTATCCGGGCTAAGCGGGAATGCCCCGGATATCGGGATCAGCTATCTTTAATGTTTCGCGACGAGAGCAAATCAGTCGTGCGCAAAGCTAAGGCGGAGGCGGGCTCCTCCTCTGCTAGTTCTGCTAGTTCTGTGTCGTCAGCCCGGTCTAGACAGAAGCGGTCGCCAACGCGATCGCCTCGCATTGCATCCCCAGATGGGAGTGGCACCGAGAGTCTGCCGTCTGAGCGGTCCCTACCCCTGGTGGACCCGATGTACAACTTCATCTTCGACATGGATCCACAGTTGGACTTTGCTATGCCGAATCCCTGGTCCATACCGCTTGAGGTTCAACCCACGCCTGAAGCATCTAAACAAGAGGCCATCTGCTATTTCCTGCGAGGCAATGCCATTCCCGGCAGCTTATGGATGGGGGACTTTGTCACCCGATTCTTGGCTGAGCCCGGGGCCAAACCTAGCCAGAAAGCTATGCAATCTAGTATAATTGCCGTGTCGTCGGCAATGCTCTGCCGAGTCCGGAAGATGACCTCACTAAAGGACCTGGCGCAGAAGGAATATGTCTCAGCATTAAATCTACTAAACACGGCCTTGGCTGACGTGGAAGAGGCCAAGACGAATCAAGCATTGGGGGCTGTCGTACTGCTTGCCGTTTATGAAGTAAGCTTACCCTTCCCGAGCTGTGGTCCTCTTCATTGCGAAGGATTAGAAACAGGCTTGCAGGATCTGACGCGTGTCTATTTAGGTTGTCACATCGCGGGCCCCTCGGGATATTGACCAATGGACGAACCATATCACTGGAGCTACAGCACTCCTGGATTTGCGGGGCCCCGAGCAATTAAAAACGGAGATCGGTCTTCGTCTGTTCTTGCATCTCCGCTATCAGATTGTGTGTTATCTCTTCTCTTACTCGTGTTTGACGCCGGTGCCAGACCTTTCCTCTAACACCTTACAGATCATCAGCTGTATCCAACGAGATGCCCGGGTACCGCAATCTTTACTGGACTGTACAGAGTATGCCATGTTCCTCCGCCCAGGTGAAGCACACGGCAATCGCTTGATCATGATCATCGGCCGACTATCCAACCTTCGCGTGGACATTCAAGAGAAAATCCTCACCGACCACCGAGAGATCATATCGGTCGCTTCCAGCATCGAAGCCGACCTGATCGCCTGGCTAGCCGCACTGCCGCCGGACTTTACGTACGAAACTCACACCAAGTCCCCTTATGACTTTATGTTCCAAGAGCGTTGCCGTGGGCTGGCTCTATATGACGACAAATATTACGAATACCCCAATCTCTGGGTCTGCAACACGTGGAATCAATATCGGTGTGCCCGCATTCTCGTCAGCGAGATCATTCTATCTCATATCCGAAAGCTCTCTGAGTCGTCTTCCATCCGATTACTCTCGGATGAGTTCCGACAGCATTGCAAGACGATCTGGGCGAATACTCGGCGCCTCGCGGTTGATATCTGCCGCAGCGTGCCATACCACCTGGGTGCACACTTGAAGCATGCCTCGCCCAACTTTCCACCTCCAGAAAGTTACATGGGAGGGCTGATGCTCCTCTGGCCATTGTTTTTGGCGGGCATTGTCGAGAATCCGAACCATGCGCTACGGCGATGGGTCATACAATGCCTGAAGATGGTGGGCCACAGCTATGGATTTGACCAGGCTTTGGCTATCATGGATATTGTGGCTGTTGACCCGGGTATCCTTCGAGGTACCGAGACGCGAGCTGAAGCAGAAGAGTATGCCTCGCCTGAAGAGAATCAACGCCCCTCGGTGTTGCCTGATCTCCACTATAGCCAGATTCCTCCGTCGGCAGAGACCATATTCTAGAGGAACCCGGGTGTTCTGCCTTTTCTTTGTTCTATATATTGTATGTATTGAGTCACTTGCATAATCTATGCAGTCAGTGCGATCGGGCGCAGGGGTTGGAAGTTCGCGGTCTCCCCGTTTTGAGTGGGGGCTCAGACTCACTATCACGATCATGAATCATGACACATTTCGTACGTGGGGGAGGAGTTGGGATATTCCGATAGGATATTTGAATTCATTACTGTGCCGGTATAACAGTTGGGTTTCTGGAATGAATTCGATTGGTTCCCCTCCTCATTCTGTCCCGCGTTCTACGGTGTGGTTCTAGTAGTGGAGGTGAGGCTATGCACGCTCAGCCCTGCGGCTAAGCTCCCAACCACCGACCATGAATGGAGGGGCATCACGAGTAGACACTGCGGCGAGACCAAACAGGCTAGACTGGGAGAATGTCACATTCATTGTCTAGTTCGAACAGGGTTTTCTGTTTGCATTAGATCAAACTGTGCTCCAGGGCTTCCTCTTTGTATATAGTTTGTTCCACGAGGGGAGCCGCATGCTCCCTATCGGCCTGAGGCACCCTCCCCACAGCCCCTTCTCTGCCAGAGCCGCCAGCCTTACGGTCCCAGTCTCTCGCACAGCGCCGATCTGCCTTGTCAGTTCATTGTCATTCTGACTGTCAAACACAGAATGACTCCGCCCGCTAGTGCATGATTGGCCTCGCTAAGCTCATTCATATGCCCGCCCCTCTTTGACTGAGGCTTTCATTCCATGGATCTCTTTGCCGCCTTGAAGTCCGCCTTGTTTCAGATGTTTGTCCTACGAATTCACCATGGGCCCTGAGATCCAAGTCAAACCATGCAGCATCTGGGTTATAAGATGGACGCATTGCCTGGGTTTAAGGGCATTTCCGATCAGCCAAGAAAAACCATCAGGCTATCTTTGGAACCAGCGAACTCTACTTCGCAAGCAACCCTGATCCATTGACACAGGCCATTGCATATCCTTTGCATCATTCACAATCCATCTATACAATGCCTACGTTTGAACGACCAATTCCACCCCCCATGTGGTCATCTTTCCCATCTAGCAGGCTAGAGAATCACCATCGCGAATCCCCCCTAGCCATCTCCCCCGACTTCCCCAGCTCCCTACCCACATCAACCCCGATAATGGGATCCAATCACTCCCAACCCCGCCATCGCACCGGTTCCTCCCTCATCAACTTCTGCCGGGGAGCAACCTTTAGAAAGAAGAAGACTGCGGCATGGGATCCCCCCTCCTACGAGGAATCCCAATCCCACCCGAAAGCATCCATACCATCTTCACGACTATCCACCGAATCCGATTCAGACTCCCGCTACTCATTCCTCAAAGACTTTGACACAATCTTCCTCGTCGATGACAGCTCCAGCATGAGCGGCCCCCGCTGGGCCGAAGCCGAGAAGGCCATTTCCGCCATCGCCCCAATCTGCACCCAGCACGACGCTGACGGCATCGACATCTACTTCCTCAATCACCGCCGCACCTCCACAGCCTCCACCACCGGCGCCTATAACAACATCACCACTGCCGCCGACGTCCGCGAAATCTTCCACAGCGTGCGTCCCCGTGGATCCACCCCCGTCGGCCACCGTCTCCTCCAAATCCTCCAGCCCTACCTCCTCCGCGTCCAAGCCATGCAAGCCGCCCGCACGCCAGACGGATACCTCTCCGACCCGTCCCTCTACGTGAAGCCAGTGAATATCATCGCCATCACGGACGGCGAATTCACCGACGACGCGGAGAGCGTTATCGTGCGGGTTGCGCGGACGCTGGATAGTGCGGGGTGTGGCGCGTTGCCGTGGCAGGTGGGGATTCAGTTTTTCCAGATTGGCGAGGATGAGCGGGTGCGGCGGTATCTGCAGGAGTTGGATGATGATTTGGACAAGTGGTGTCAGGATGAGAAGGTGAGGGATATTGTTGATACGGTGCCGTGGAGGGGGCGGAGTGGGGATGTGTTGGATGCAGAAGGGATTCTGAAGTGTGTTTTGGGGGCGGTTAATAAGAAGTATGATCGGAGGTCGGTTTAACCTAAGGGTTGAATGGTTGATTTGGTTGATTGATTCTTTTCTTGAATGTCTTTGTATATTTGAAACCTTTTCTTTTGTTGCTTTCTTGCGTTGATGCGCTTGGTTGTTCTGAGCTTGCTCGGGGTGGGTGACTGATTAATTCTATGGTTGAGGCATGGAATGGCGTTGGATGGTGGCATTGATGATGTCTATGAGATCTATGAGCATTCGGGAGGTAATTTGAATGAGATCTGTCAAAGTTATTTGATCTTAAAGTCTCCGTATACTATATATCCGGGTAGCAAAGTGGCTGGTCCATCGACATCTAGATGGCCTATTTCTTCAGTCTCTGCATCCGGACTCTGAAGTCCAACTATTGTACAATATTTCCTCCGTAGGTATTGATGAAAAAATGTTCAGCTACTACCACAATCGACGTATCATGAAGCATCATCATGATCCTCGATACATAACTACTGTACTGTATTAACTATTAACCGCCCAAGTGGAGTCCCAATCCTGGGCAAGCTAAATCTCCCAACTAACCCACCCTAACCAATCACCGCGCTACACTGGCCGATCTCCGTCCCTTTCTTGCGTCAGGGGGCCAAGCAGGGCGTTCATTCGCCGAGACCGTTTGTGATGTGATATCCTGGTCGGAGATCTCCAATTGCAGACTCGGAGGGGACGCAAGTGCAGATGACTTGCAGGCTGGGAAATATGAGGTGTTTCATAGCGTGTCGCAGGTTTTGCAGGGTCGAGGAACTGGAAGTGAGCAGGGATGAAAGGCGAATATACTAGATAGAGGTCATGGTTGGAGGGAGGAGGGAAGGTTGATGATGATGGGAGAGGAAGTACAGTATAGAATTGTTAAAATAGGATCGCCCTACTAGCCTCGTAGACAACCACAGTATGGAGATACCTCGAGGAATTAATGATCGGATCCATCAATAATTCATCATCATAATAATCGTACCTTGCAGCTGAGGAGTCGAACCACGGTTCCACCGGAGAGTTGGCAAGCCACCGAAGATGATAATCTCCTTTTTCTTTTCTTTTTAGATTTCTGCTCTTCTCTTGGACTTCGCGATATCTCTCCATTCGGTGCTGACCTCCTGCTAATTAGCAGAAGTACCCGGTTGCCTACTTTTCGCCTGATCGAGCATCTCCTCCTCCAGTGCCTGTAACCTGCTCATTTGATTCAACCCTTACGCCCCGCTCCCACCTTAACCCTGACATCACCCGTTCACCTCATCGATCGGCATTGGAATCCATCGTCAATTCATTCCCCGCAGTGCCGATCGCCTTCGCTACGCAACAGAAAAAAACCTCTGCCTCCGCTCTGCCTCCCCCTCACGACTACCAACTTAAACGAACTCATCGTCATCTCCTTCCCACATCTCCTCCTCCTCCTCTCATCAACCACACCAAACACACCGAATCCACCGAATTCCAGCGGTCGCAGTAGCTGTCAACTGCGCATCCGCCCCCAAACCACCAACAACTCCAAGCGCCCGGGCCCTGACGCAGGTAACCAGTGCCGGCGCTTCGCCTTCGCCCCCCGCCTCCGTCATTGGCTCTGGTCGCTCTGCAGTGTTCCTGGAAATTAGCCCGCGGTTCCTGAAGCATCCGCGTCTGACAAGCTCACTCGAGATTACTATCGTGACTCGCCAACCTCCTCTTTCCCCCCCTGGGCCAGGCTGGTTCTATTGTCGGCCACTGTCACACACGTGTCGAGTTGAGCTCCACTTGGGCTATGGCATGGTGATTCTTACCGTCTGTCCAAAGGTCGTGCCATTGACCACTTGAAACGCAGTCTCGGCCATTGCTTCTTAGACCTGTCATTGGCTTTCAATTGGGGCTTGCTTGGGGGTCTCCTTCTGAAACAGGTACGGCGTGTACTGCAGCGTCAGCGCCAGCGCTGTGCGTCGGCTGTAATTATAGAAACAGTACTTTTTTGTTGTTGTTGTTGTTGTTGACTGTTGAGCTGTCTAGACTGGTCTCTTGGCGGCTGTCTCGTTGTCATTGTCCTTGGTGCTTTCGTCTTATATTTGATTGTTCTGCCCGACCCTTCTGTTCTCTGTTTTCTGTGTTCTATCTTTATTGTTTTGCTGTTTCCTTGTACTACGAGCTCGACTCGACTTTTCCTTCGTTTCTTGTTGTGCATTTACATTCGTTTCTTCTGTATTATATTGGCGGTGTTCTCTCTATACTTTCGTTCGGTCTCTCGTTCCCCAGCATTGCGCTTGCATCCTATCCTCTCTTTTGACTGTTGATCAGTTTTCCTTTTTTGTCCCTTTTGATTTGCATATTTCCCTACAATCCCTTGCATCTGCCGGTTTGTTGAACCTGGCTTTTCCTTTCCAGCGATTTTTTGCATTGCGATGACCTCGACCACCCTCATGACTTTCTTACTGTGAGTGCAGATCTGCGACTTTCCCGCGGCTTAATTATGAAAACTAATGAATCCCAGGAAGACTAACCCCGAGATCCGATCGGTCAAGCTGCTCGGATCATGGGATAATTTCTCCAAGCCTTATCCCATGGAAAGGGATAGGCGCGTGGGACCCGGTCAATGGCGTGGTTGTCATACTTTTACAGATATAATAGGCGATGGGCCTCCCGGTGACAAGTCTCAATGGCGTACCGGAGGGTTGAAGATGGGTGCCACCTACTGGTACTACGTAAGTCACCATGGTGGTTCCTGGGGAAGTACAAGACTAACATAAACACTACAGTACCTGCTGGACAATGACGTCGAATACTTCAATCAAGTCGAGCCTGTTACGACTAAATGCCCGTTTCTACCAGGGCAGCCAGTCAATGTGCTCAATGTGCCGATCATCCTCCCCGACAGCTCCCATGCTCGTTCAGGTAGCAACAGTTCACAAAAGTCCGACTACCGAACAATGAACCCGGAGGACAAGTTCATGAACCCCCGGAAGCCACCAAAGCCCAATCTGGCACGCCTACAGACGTCTGTGCCTCGCCCGCAAAAAGTCAACCCATCCAGTGCTACCAGCACTTCCCCCGGTATGGTACATCGCAGTGCGTCTCAGCCGAATAGTGCCACGCGAAAATACCATCATTCCAAGGACGCTCGCTCCATCTCGCCTCCGAGAAATTGGGGCCTCCCTGCTTTCCAACCTCTCCAGGAAGCAAAGAGCCCGAAATGGACCGATGTACCATTAAGATCCAACACAGTGGATGGAAGATTGCAGGATCGCCGCAATGCGCCAGGAAATGGCATCATTGCTGGGCCGGCTTCTTCATCTGCAAATCGCCCTGAGTTGTGTGCTGCACCCACCATTCAAACTCGCCGTGCAATGAAGACAAACAACACCGAGGCTGGACAGCCGCCGAATCTACTTACCGTGGAGATACGCCCTCATCTCCGCAAGCCTAGTGTTTCAAGAGGCGCCGCAGCAGGCCCCACTTTGGGAACAGTTGATGAAACACAGGCTCTCAAGGATGATCTTACAACTCCAAAGGGGCGCAATATCCATGAGAAGCGACTCCCCACGCTACCCAACACACCGTCCTCAGTCATGGATGAGGCAGTACACGCCATGGATGAAACCGACAAGGCCATGAACGCCCAAGTCCTCCACAGCCACTTTTCAAGTCTGACCACGACCGCCAACGAGTCTATCCACTCTCGCTTTGTCCCTGAACGCAGCCGCTTCTCAGAATGGAGTACAGACACCGAGACCGAAACCGAAGCCGAGGATATCTCGTCCGAATCAATGATCTCCACATCCACATTCAACCAAGATACCACCGACTCCCCAGCCGTAGACGACTGGCACACACCAGAGCTCTCCCAGACCAACGACGCCGCAACAAACACCGACCCAAACACCCCACACCTGACGGTGCACTCCAAGCCGTCCTCCCCCAACTCTGCCTCCGGAGACATCCCCCCATGGAACATGAACGCCCTGAACATCTCCCTCCCCCAACTCACCATCTCCCTGTCCTCCCCGGGCCTCCCAACAGGCCTGGGCATCGACCAAATGGACGAGGTAGAAAGCAACCCCAAACGCCACGCTGCCCTTTTCAGCGCCCTCGAGTCCATGGAATCCCTCTCGCTCTCTCGCAATCCAGACGGCTCGCCCATCCTCTTCCCCGAGATCCAGCGGCGCTCGGACGCGGGGCGCAGTGAGGTCGATGAAGAAGTCTATCGACGTGTTCTGTCGCGGGCTAGTGAAGCCTCGCTCCGGGGTAATAGTACCATGCAGGAGATCATGGATGAACTGAGTTATTTGAAGAATATGATTCAGGCGGAGATGGATGGGGAGCCGTTTTAGGGAAACTACAAGGGGGGATGGGGGTTCTTTTTCGCTTCTTCACGCTCGCTTGTATATTGATTCATTTGGGTGCTGGTTCGCCTGGTGATGTCTGTACTATTTACATAGAATATCGGCATATATGTGCAATATATTACTTCAAACGAGATTCCGTTAAAGAAATTGAGCGAAATATTACCTATATGAGCGCATAGGTAGGGACTAGGGCTCATTGGTCATGGTCAATCTTTATGGATCCAGATGTTTGCCTAGAGATATCAAGGAAGGAATCGGAACGAGCCTCCCTCTAAACTCTCTCTCGAATCAAATCCGCCGCCCTCTCCGTTTTACAACTGCATAAACACTCGCCTGAATATTCACATGCGCGCCAATGCTGCGGCCTTTTGTAAAGCTGCTTTCCCAAGCCTCTTTGAAGTTGGATACTCTCCGCACCCTAGGAGTGGACCCATCTTGAGCAAAGACAATACCTTCAATGAGATGGATAGCGAGTTTCTACTCACACGCATTGTGCAGCGAGCAGGGTCGGCTTATGAAGTGTCCTTGGACGATCTATCGCAGGATAGTCGCTCGCAAGACGTGACCATCATACACCAAGGAGTGTTGTGGGGGATATGAAAGGATATCGATTATGCGTATAGCTGAAATGGACGTTGACGAATCGCGTAGTAATCATCTGTGAATAAAATATGAACTAGATACACTGACTAGGAATCAAAAGGTGTCCTAATAATGCAATCACAGAAAACTGGTTAATATCTGACTCTGAGTGTGCCTCCATGAGTCCATTTTCAGACGATGATGAGATGGGTGGTCATGTCCGTCATGTCATCTGTGACTACTGCGCAATGCTTTACCATCACCGCGCTTTGCCTGGTCATTTTGTCTTCTTCCTTATCGGCCCTCTCTTAATGAGAACCTTCTAGATCTGTCTTTTTCCTCTGTCACCTTCATGTCAACAATATTACCAGACTTCTCCTCGTTAGACAGACGTGCAGTCCGTTATTCTATTCGCTTGTTTCTTCTTCTTCTTCTTCTTCTTCTTCTTCTTCTTCTTCTTCTTCTTCTTCTTCTTCTTCTTCTTCGTTCTCGCGGCCTGCAAGGGTCAACACATTCTGACGGGTAGAATATGAGCGCAGTTGCTTTACAACACTGGGTTGCATAGACTTAATGGCCAATTGCAACGGTGTCTTTCCCTGGGAATTTGTAGGACTCCGCGCAATTCCAGAGACCTCCATCAACAATTCCACCACACGACACTGTCCATTTCTAGCTGCTAAATGCAAAGGAGTCTCCCCATCATGATTCCTCAGATTAGGGTCCACGCTACTGATGTTAGTCAATAGTTTGACGATTTTGTGCCTGCCGAAGCGAGCAGCCAAGTGCAATGCTGTGTCTCCTGCATTGTTCTTCTGATTCAAATAAAGGTCAACATCGGGATCGTTAATCAGTAGCCGCGCAACTTCAAAGTGATGAGACTTAGCAGCGTAAGACTTGGGCAGTTCTGCATAGTTATGTCTCAAGTTGGGGTCCTCTTGTATGAGACTCTCCACCATGTAGTTCAAATCACCCGCAGAGGCCAAATGCAGAGGTGTATTTCCGCACGAATCTGGAAGGCAGGGGATGAAGGTGCAAGAAGCAAGAACCGTTTCCACAACTCCGACGCTACCAAGAGCAACTGCTAAATGGAGAGGTGTGGCACCATTATGAATTTTCTGTAGAGCCATGGCGTGGTCACCAGGGCATCGTTCCTCCATGTTAAGTAGCAGCTCGATGATGAATGTGTTGCTGTAAAAAAAGGCGAGGCATATTGTACTCCATCCATGGTCATCGATCGTGGAGGGGTCAACTTTTCCTGATTGTAACAAAAGCTTGGTGATGCGGTACTTTCCATGTTGTATGGCTACATGTAAGGGATTTGTCACTCCCATAATAGTCTTATATGTTGGAGTTCCATCATTTTGAAGGAGATGTTTGACGATCCTCACATGACCCGAGATTGTTGCCTCTTGGATTGCAACCCAATTGAGATGCCCATGTGAAGTATACCCCGTGTCAAATTCGAGTAGCTTGGTCAAAATTGATTCGTTCCCCTCGTTTGCAGCCATCTTGACGATGGGGTCCAAAACGTGTGGACGATAATCAAATTTACCGGCAGTCACGAATGGCAGCACAATTGAACTTGGCCCTAGTCTTGCCGCGAGTTCCAAGGGAGTTTCACCAATTCGATCTGTAGCCACTACATCGACATTCTCCGAACTCAGAAGCACGGTAATTATATCACTGAATCTGTGCAGGACAGCGATGTGCAGAGCGGTCCTTTGTCCTGGGTCTGTGCAGTTGACGTTGACATTTGATGCCTTGATGAGGTATTTCACGAATCCTACAGATCGGGTCGAGACAGCTAACAGAAACAGATTCTGGAGATGGTGAGGATCTTTGGTGATGGAAAGCATGTTTTTGTCGCATAGGTCTTGGAAGAGGGATTCGATTTCAGATGCAAGAGGCAAAGACCAAGAGATATGGAAGTGCCAATATGTATGTGCATAATCACCAAATAAAGTATGATCTTCTTGGGTATGTCGGAGGTTCCACGCTTGCGCAAGCGTTTTCCCCATGTTGAACTCAAGCGGGGTTTTCGATCGAAGAAGCTTCAATGCCAATTTGTTACTGCCACGTAAAGAGGATTGAGTTGAGCGAATGATACCAGCAATGGCATTCTCGGCGTCCAGCTCAGGGAACAGCTCTTTTGTCACCGCTTTTCTAGTTATCCCCATGGAATGCATGTAGGTGATGATGATATCTGACATGCGTTTATGAGCATTCACAATGTCGATCACTCCATCAGCCTGACCCTTAGTCTTTATGATCAGGTATTTCTTGAAACTATGATGAACAAGGTGAAGGGTCAACTCCTCTTCATCAAGTATGACAAGACCGCCACAGTATTCCAATGCGTGGTAGATGTTGTTCAGCAGCCGAGATGGATTCCAACTTGTTTCACCCGGTGTCACACTCAAGGCTTCACGCAGCTCCTCGGCAGTCAATGGACGTTGAGCCACGGTCACCAGCTCCAATATCCGCTTCTGGTATGGAGACCCCGATTTGTTTGATCTCTGGAGTAAGCGCGAAAATGTCTCTGATAGATCTTTGGGGAGATCATCTAGAGCTTGGCGTATCTCCTCATCTGTCTCCATTGTACATAGAGACTCGATTTGCAACGCTACCCATAGAAACATTCCCTGTGAGCCTTTCACAAGAGTCTTTTGGATTTCCAGTGGTAAAAGTGGATCTCTGATTATAAGCTTCTGCATCTCAACACGCTTACCCAGCTCCTCCGTAATGAAGCTCTCAATCTCCAAGTCATTCTGAGGTATGGGAAAAACCTGCGCATTGAATGGTTCTAGACCAGCTCTGAGCTTCAACGATGCATTGGGCTCTTGACGATAGGATAAGCAAAAAGAAACATTCATTGAATCTCGTATGGTCAAGAGGTAGACCAAAGTCTCTGCTCTTTCGCTGTTGCTCAGTTCATCCAAGCCATCAATCACAATAAAGGCTTTGGAATTGGGCCGTAGAATTGACTCCAGCAAGCAGAGCATTCGTTCAAAGGGCTTCTTTCTGGATGTCGATTCAAATACTTCAAAAACGTGCGTAAAATCCGTAACTCTCTCAAGAAGCTGTTGTACGAGAGATCCAATGACAGTTCGTGCTTTCAAGGTCTCCGGTACGTCATGGCGTGCGAAGAAAAAGGCCACAGCCACGGTTTTACTTGCGGCATAGAGATGCAAGTCATCAACCATGTTTGCAAGCATAACTGACTTTCCAGATCCAATTTTGCCAGTATAGATCAAGGTATTTGGGTTGGGATGATCTTTCCATGATCTGTAGTGAGGACAATTTCGGAAGAGGTTTGTGTTACCGGCTTTTCTAGCCCGCTTCCAAGGTGCCATATAGTCAAATTGGCAACAAAAATCAAGTATTCGTTCTCGTTGTTGCAATTTCTGCTGGGCAGAAGCAGACCTGAAAAACAGGTTCGAAGCATTTCTAAATCGAGAAGTAGCTTCAGCTTCCTCTTCGGTCCGCCTTGCCATCAAATAGTGAACTTCTTCCTGAATTGTCTGGCTCCAAGAATCAATCTCCGAGGTGTACTTTGCTAGGTGTGAATCAGATAAGGCAGCACCAAATTTTTTCAGTGTTGATCTTTTCGTGAATCTCAAGATGTCGTGGCACAGATGGACAACCACGATGAAGTATTCATAGATGGACGACTGTAAGTCTCGAGAACGCGAGTACAAGACACCGATCTTCTCAAGTCTGGGTGCCGACCGACCAACATTCATGAAAAGCACTGAAAGTCTCTCGAGGTGAGAAGAAGACCCTGTAAGTAGCTATACCGTCGCGGTCAGTATATGTTAGGGGAAATGGCATTCGAGCTTGGAATTATTTGGAGCTACTAGGCCCCTCTGGTAAATCTCAGTAATTATATGACTTACTAAGAGTGATAAGCGCACCAACGACCAAACACCACATGCGATGATATTTTGTGATCCCCCCACCATAATATCACCTATTGCAGTAAATCTTTGTACCGTCTCGAGGAGTTTGATAAGTCTTGGTCCCAAGCACCGGCCACCGTTGATACGGTCAATCTCCGCAGTGAGCCTTCTCACATCCTGAATACTCGGCGGCGATGCGAGAGCTTGCGATCTCTTCGCGTTGAATCTTGCTTTCTGCTCACCAGATAGGTCTGCAACAAACTCAGAGATGGCTTGGCCTAGGCGGACCTCGGGCTTCAGGCGTGAAGCTGTTGCTAGCGCCAAGGCCATAGCGAGTGCATCGTATACAGGACAGAGACATAGAAATGAGAATTCCTTGAATGAATATTTCAAATGAGAAAGAACAATCTCGGGAGACCTCGCCTGAGAAGGAGGATGCGGCTGAGCTGGGCAGGGCAGACATGTGTATATGTGGCATAGGTGTGGGGTCGCTGCGGCGCCTCGCCAACAGTTTTGCTGTGATTAGCAAGTTTCATACAGGCGCTAGTTGCGCTCAGTGGCTATGAGAAAGCCACTTCAAAAAGAATTAACAAATGTACTATGATTTGAAGTCTCCCAGCCAATGGATTGCCGCCCTTATTTGGTCTAAGCTAGAAGTTGAGCGTAGTCCGAAAGATTACATAGTATGACCACGTCCAACTGTATGCCCAGTCTAAGTGCCTATGGTAACCCATCAAATAACAGACAACATGAGCAGTCGAGTGGTGCCTCAATACAGACATAAATTCACTTACAAGAGCTCATAGTTGAGATCAATAGGTCTGAAACATATGAGCAGCATTTAACCAGAGTACTTGGCCTGGGGAAAGGAGGCAGTCGGACAGTAACATAGAGACACTTGCTGCCTGATCTGACAGGCATCAATCAGACTGGTCACTTCCTTCACGTTTACCTAGCAGATTTACTCCATCGGGGAGTCTGAAGTAGGCTTCATTTATAAGAAATGTAATATAACAAGATTTCTGGGATTATTAATGGCATCTTCTACTTCAAGTCGGGGGTTTCGACCGTTGTTTAGTGGGTAGTGGAGGCTCACCGGCATTGTATGCCAAGGTCACATGATGAGTTTCCGGAATATTAACTAGTGACATGCAATCTTGCGTTCCTTCAGATAGCATGCTAGCTTCTCAACTAAAGTTTGCTATAGTGGCATTCTATGATGTTGGCGTCTCGTACATGACGAGGGTGAACCAGTGGCAGCCGCACCCACCCAAAACACACCACGCGAGGAGAATCCCGCGACCCACTCACGATCAACACTTCACCGCGAAGGGACCTCCAGCACCAGCACCGCCAACAGAGAACACCAGTCTGATCCATTCAACATCACCCAAGGATGGGGTAAGTAAGCTCATCCTCGTCGCTCATTTTAATCATGGAAAAGTACGTCCCGCAACTCACTCCGGTCGGAGAAAAGTCCCTGCCGGCGAAATGTAAACCCAGGACCCTGGGGTACTGTCCCTCGATGGACCTGATTGCCCTGGCTACAGACGACGACGAGCTACGTGTGTTCCGACTCAATGGTCAACGAGTCTTTGGAGGCTCATTCAAAGGCGATCCGTACCTCGGGGAGGACGAAGCGGACGGAGAGGTAAGGGCGTTAGCGTGGAAAGCGAATGGTAAGTATCAGGACACATCGTTGCGGCTCTCCAAATTACTCATGTCAGTTGTCTTATATGAGAAGGAGTGTCTGACCACGTCACTAGGTCGTCTCCTCGCTCTCGCTTGTGGAGACGGATCTGTCCGTATCATCAGTGCATACAGTGGCAAGACTGTGCACCACTACCAGGCTTATGAGGGGGAAAAAGACGATGCCCCCGTTTCTGAACGCAGTTTGCCTTCAAAAGTGACATGCTTGGGCTGGGGCATCAACTTCACGGACAGCAAAGCTGCCAAGAAGCATCTCCAAGGTGCTGCTGGCCAGGTATCTGTGGAAGACCTCCTGACGCCGGGGATTCATCCATCGAAGGCAGCCGCAATCCTCAAGGCGGATTTACCGCGAGAACTGGCACTGCTCGACATTGAAAGCTCTCTGCCTAAACTGAGCACTCTTCCCGCGACGGGCGCCGAGGATGACCTGTTCAGCTCGCGGGCGTCTATTGATGCTATCTTCCATTCATCAGCCAAGGACAGTAGCGACTCGGTGGATGTGCTGTTTGTCGGGTTTGATGATGGCAGTATCCATCTCCGCATTTTTGACTGCTTCGAGATTGGCTCATTTCCTATCGGAGACGCGCCGGGTGTTGCTGAGTCGTGCCATATTCTTCGCCATGCGTCACACCCTCTCAGCTCAACGCACGCTTTGCTTGCATCCCCTTCCCACGGTCAATCTCGCGGGCCTCTCAATCTTGTTACCTTGGATCTCCGGTTTATCACCAAGTCCGGGCGATATCTGTCTTTACTTGCATCGAAGACCACACAGCTGCAGAATTTGTTACGATATATCGGCCAAGTCCAGAAGCAGATCGAACTCGAATGGAAGAATGCACAAGAGTTACCTGCGCGATTTCTGCGGAGTGTCAATCAGGACTTGCAAGAGCAGTGTCAGTGTGATTTCACGACGGCTATATACCATCTCGTCGTGACTGGTCATTGTTTTGAACCGATGAAGGAGTTCTTGGTGGATATTGTTGGAGAAAGAGTGAGTATACTCCATGGATAACAATGAAAATCCGTGACTAACAACTAGTCCAGGGGCACAAGCGATGGGACAAAGCTGTCTCAGGCGGCTATGAAAGCATTCGACGACTAACTCATGAATGCCTGCTTCCAGCGCTAGAAAGGAGTCAAGTCCTCCTCAGCCGACTCGTTGGACTTTCCAAATTCCACAAACTCAACGATGTTCTCGGTCTGAATACCTCAAAACTCAATGCCATTGTTGAGACACTTGATTGCCTGCACCTCCTCGCTCACCGCATCCTCACCCACGCCAACGAGGAGCTAGATCAATTTTCTGCTTTCTCACGCTGGCTTCGTCATGAGATATTGATTCTGAGCAGCGAGCCTCTCTCACAAACATGGGACGAACTCCTCGAGAAACGAGATCTATTCCATGTCCCTCCAACCGTGAAATACATAACCGGTGCGCTACGCAAGAATGTTTTGCATAATTTCATCCGTCAACTACCGATGATTGGAGTGCCGCAGACGCCTACACCTGTCACGGATAAGTGGCTACCAGATGGACACGATCGGTCCTTCTATGATACCTTTAAGGCATTGCTGAGCCAGCAAAAGCAAGTTCAGCTGGAGGGCGGTGATGGAACTACAGTAGATGCGCCAAAACTGAACGACTTGACACGGCGGCTGGGAATTCAGTTTAATAAAGTATTCGCAGAGATTGCACTCACGCAAAGACGGGGGATTTTGCATCGGTCCCCGATTACGCTGCATCAGGACTGTGATCGGGATGTTCTTGACATGAAGGTTTGCTATGAGGTAAGTCACTGTTTAATGATCATTCGTTCTCCTCCCCTTTCTCGGACTATGGCTGACTGTTTCTCAAAGGATATGGTAAAGGGGGATCCTTGCTCTATCTATGTGGCTGCGAGATCAGCTTCTACGAAGTCGCTAGGTTTGTGACAGATCGACGTTCCTTCTTTGTATTACTTTCTCGTTGACCATCATTCTAGTGTACATCTACCGCATCGTTATCGATTCGATCAACGGAGTCAGCTCAACTCGGGAAACCTCGATTGCCGCCCTTTCATTCAAGGAGGGAGTCGTGACTCAGTTGCAAATTGTCGAGGATGACACTCTCATGATCCTGTACACTGACTACGACGCTGCCTATCTTCTGAATCTTCCCTTCCAGCCCGCCTCGGTTCTGGAAGCGTCTGACGAAGCCGACCCTCTCGCAGTACCATTGACCTACGTTGAGAACAACCCTCATCCCACTACGGCGAAACCAAGCATCCAGCCCGCACTGCTGGACATTGAATCACTCTTGGAGGGGACAGACATTGTCATACATACCTTCACATCATCGGGCCCGAAGTCAAACCCAATCCACTTTGACGTCAATGGGCGGCAGGGTCGTCGGGCTGTCTGCGTATTGTATGGCGACGCGACGCGGTATGATGTGATGGATCTGGACGCGGAGATGGAAGAGGAGGAATACGATGAGGAAGAGGAAGAAGATGATGATGATGAGGACGAAGATGTTGATCAGTGATCATGATTAACGTGTATGCTGCATTGGGGTTCCTCGGCGTTGGGTGGGCTTAGCCTCTAGCAAGTCCTGGATCGTGGCTTTTTGCGCACTCTTTTCTAGTTGAACACAATGGACCTCCTTCTACCAGTCTATGAGTATTCATCAAGGATACCTCTTCCTCTGATATACATCCTCCGTACAAGCTGGACTAATGATACGGCCATTGTATGATTTGAAATTAGCTAGCCCTTGCCGAGTTGCTCATCGCCAATTCCCTCGCTACAGTCCAGTCGCAGAATATTTCTGGGAGATTCCATGCAGGAACCGTGTTGACACATCAGTTTGTAGTCTCCACAGCAAAAAATAGTTCCTGGGTAGCGCGAAAAAGTGTGTGTGGCCAGGGCTAAATGGAGCCTGTCGCCGGGGCCACACGCTGAACTGTGTGGGTGCCTTCTTGAAGAAGGAAAATCAAAACAAGCAAAAGGGAGGGGCAGGAAAAAAAATCCATAGGGGAGCCCCTCTCACAATGTAAACAAAGCAACTTCGCACTACCATTAAGTACAAAGACGAAGGCATAGAAAAAGATAAAGGTTAAGGGTCACCAGGATATAGAAATACACAAGAGCTCTCAAATAATGATGGAAAGGTTCCTTGAGGTTGAAACACTTTTGCTTGTTTTGGCAGTGCTGACCTAAGCCATCGCAGCCTCAGGCCACAATTATCACGTGCAGATGGAGGCCCCCGCGCCTGCCAATCAGCGCGCCTGCCCCAAGTTGAACCTCAATCTCGCTCTGTTCTTTTCGGCGTCGAAAATCTGCCTTTTCACCATTTCATTACTTGCCAAAACAAACCAGACACTCTGGGCTGCTCCGGTGTCCTTCCTTTCCAGTCCTCCTTCGTATCTCTTTTGTTGGGCGTGCATTCAAGGCACCTTTCTCTCTCTGTGACTCTTCGCGGAAAGACCTGGTGCATGGCTCGTCATATCCACAAAAACACCCCGTCCCTTCCCACCTACCAACCACTCTAGAGATTCTCCTGCAACCCACGCCCACCTTGCCCATCGACTGTAATTTGCGTGCCTATCGCCTGTTCAGTTTATCGCACGGCACCAAGAGGGATTCGATTCTTTTCTTTTTTACCGTCCTCTTTCCTTTTTTTCTTCCTTCTTCCTCATCTCCCTCTTTCCTTCCCTCACCCCCACATCTTCCATCTTTTTTGCGTTGCTCTGAGCAAACAACATGGATGCTCGCCAGGTGTTGCAGAGCACCTTGTCGCCCGGTATGTCTTTCCTTTTCCATTGATAGCCTCTGGATGAGAGCTTCCCACACCCCCCTTTGGACTCGACTAGCGATGATGGTGGTGGTGGCCCCTCGCTGACCGTCTTTCTTCTTCCCGCAGATGCGGCGGAACGTACCAATGCTGAGCAGCAGCTCGCCCATGCGGCGGAGGTCGACTTCGTATGTGAACTACACAGATCCTGGTTTTCTCGTTTTTCTCATGCCCCGCTCCACCCGGGAAGGTTCTTGCTCGAACCCCCAAGACTAACGCTCTTTGTGTGATTTCCTAGGCTACCTACCTCGTCACCCTAGGCCAGGAGCTGGCCAGCGAAGAGAGCCCTACCCACATTCGTGTTGCTGCCGGTATCGCCTTGAAGAACGCTTTCACCTTCCGAGACCAGACCAAGCTCCGTGAAGTGCAGGCCCGATGGATTCAACAAATTACCCCCGAGACCAAGACACAGGTCAAGGAGCTCGCGCTCAAGACCTTGGCATCCGATACCCGAGCTGGGAATGCTGCCGCTACGCTGATTGTTTCGATCGCCGCGATCGAACTGCCCCGAGATGAGTGGTCCGACCTCATGAACATCCTGGTCCAGAACGTCGCCAGTGGAAACGACAACCTAAAGCAGTCCTCTCTCGCCACTATTGGATTTATTTGCGAGTCCCAAGATGCCGATCTCCGTGCTAGCTTGACTACACACTCAAATGCTATCCTCACTGCCGTTGTTCAGGGTGCTCGGCGCGAGGAGCCGAACATGGATGTTCGCTATGCCGCTATTGCTGCCCTCAGTGACGCCGTTGACTTGTAGGTTCAATTCTAGGGATTTTCCATGGCGCTTGCTAATACTTTATAACAGTGTGCGATCTAACATGGAGAACGAGGGCGAGCGAAACTACATTATGCAAGTGGTCTGCGAGGCCACCCAGGCCGACGAGGTCCGCGTGCAGGCTGCTGCGTTCGGCTGTCTGAACCGTATCATGGGCGCATACTACGAGAAGATGCGCTTCTACATGGAGAAGGCTCTCTTTGGCCTTAGCATTATGGGCATGAAGAGCGAGGAAGAGGATGTTGCAAAGCTGGCCATCGAGTTCTGGTGCACGGTTTGCGAGGAGGAGATTGCTATTGAAGATGACAATGCCGAGGTCAGTTCTTTTCGCAGATTATGATTTTGCCTTGGAAAAAGGCCCATGCTAATATCTGTTCGTTTACTAGGCTCAGCAGGAAGGCGTCGAGGCTCGTCCATTCTACGGCTTTGCTCGTGTGGCTGCTCGCGAGGTCATCCCTGTCCTCCTGCAGGCCATGTGCCGCCAGGATGAGGATGCTGATGATAACGAGTACAATGTTTCACGTGCCGCTTACCAATCCCTCCAGCTGTATGCTCAGTGTGTCCAGGGCGATGTCATTCAACCTGTCGTCACTTTTGTTGAGGAGAACATTCGCAACGAGGACTGGCGCCGTCGGGATGCCGCTGTGGCTGCCTTTGGTGGTATCATGGAGGGCCCCGAGCCTCGTGTGCTGGAGCCTCTGATCAAGCAGGCTCTTCCTGTTCTTTTGGGCATGATGGAGGACGCCTCCGTCCAGGTTCGGGATTCTACTGCCTACGCCCTGGGCCGCGTGTGCGACTGCTGTCCTGAGGTTCTGGATCCCGATGTTCACTTGCAGCCCCTCATCTCTTGCCTCTTCAATGGCCTTGCCAGCAGCCCGAAGATCGCCAGCTCTTGTTGTTGGGCCCTTATGAACGTTGCCGACCGATTTGCTGGTGATGCCGGTTCTCAGACCAACCCTCTGTCCAAGCACTTCGACGAAAGTGTCAAGTCGCTCATGCAGGTCACTGAGAGGTACGTAGACTTCTTTCCCTATAACGATGAGTTGAGGCACCCTAGTTAACCCCCGAACAGACAGGATGCAGACAGCCAGCTTCGCACTGCTGGATACGAGGTTCTCAACTCATTCGTCATGAACTCTGCCAACGATAGCCTCCACACCGTCGCCAACCTTTCAGACCACATTCTGGGACGCCTTGAGCAAACCATCCCCATGCAGCAACAGGTTGTGAGCACGGAGGATCGCATCCTCCTCGAGGATATGCAGACTAGCTTGATCAGTGTCATCCTGGTAAGTGCTTTCAGCTATCTCCATCTCCAAGGACATGACTGACTCTGACTGTAGGCCATCGTTCAACGATTCGAACTTGAGATCAAGCCTCAGGCCGACCGCATCATGCAGGTTCTGCTCAATGTCCTGACGACTGTCGGCGCCAAGTCCAGTGTTCCCGATGTCATCTTCGCTACTGTTGGCGCCGTTGCCAGCGCTCTGGATGAGGACTTTTCCAAGTACATGGAGTCGTTCAGCCCGTTCCTGTACAATGCTCTTGAGCACCAGGAGGAAGCTGGCCTGTGCTCTATGGCTATTGGCCTTGTCAGCGACATTGCCCGTGCCTTGAACGACAAGGTCCAGCCTTACTGCGACACTTTCATGAACCTCCTCCTCAACATCCTCCGCGTATGTCCAGCTCTCCGACGGGATATAATCAGTGACTCTTTGCTAACTCTTTGCAACCAGACTTCTACCAACCAGCTCAAGCCGGCCATCCTGGAGACCTTCGGAGATATCGCTCAGGCCATCGGAACCCCCCACTTCGATAACTACCTGCCCGTCGTCGGTCAGGTTCTTCAGCAGGCCTCCTCCGTTACCACCAGCTCCGATCTTCCTTATGACATGGTGGACTACATTGTCTCTCTGCGTGAGGGAATCATGGATGCTTGGGGTGGCATTTTGCTCTCCTATAAGGGTAGCTCTCAGAGTGAGTTAAATTTATCCTTGACATGGTTCTACGATGCTAACAAATATGCAGTCACTCTGGTCCAGCCTTTTGTTGAGTCCATCTTCCAGCTGCTCCACATCATTTCCCAAGAAGGAAACCGGTCCGAGGGCTTGATGCGCTCTGCTATGGGTGTGATTGGGTACGTTAATTGTCTATATTCTCTTATTCTTAACATCTCGATGCTGATTTATGTACAGTGATCTCGCGGATGCTTTCCCCAATGGCGAGCTCGCCTCGTACTTCCGCCACGACTGGGTGACCACTCTGGTTCGGGAGACTCGCACCACCCGCCAGTATAGCGACCGCACCATCGAGACCGCTCGCTGGACCCGTGAGCAAGTCAAGCGCCAAATCAATATGAGCACTGCCATGGCTTAAATTGCCGCCAGCTGGTTTCATCCCATTGGTAACAGACCCCCCGCTGTCCCCGCTCCGGCTCCCGTTCCAGGAAGACCTGGTCCTATTGGAATGAGCCAAGCGGATACCTTAGGATAGCTCAGGCTTCAGGGCCCAGTCCCACGTGAAGGTACGGGGTGACCCGGATCTCTCCCATGGACTTGAGGCCTTGCTGGTCGGTAAGTATTGTTGTCTCCATTGCTGACGGGCACCTTCTCGCCATGTGTTCCCTTCCCCCATCGCAACGCTCCCGACACTGGACAATGAAATTCCCGCTTTCATCCACCTCTTCATCCCTTTGTTGATCATCACATACGCCCCCAATTCCCTCCCATCTACCAGCACTGGCTCCTCCAGGTGCGACCGATCCCCTGATGACCACCATTCAATGACCCTATCCCATCTTGCCCCTCACATCTCCCCGTTATTCTTGGTATCACCCCCTCTTCTTATCATATTTCCCATTCCAATTCCCTACCCTGTTTTTTAATTAGACCAAGACCCCTCGCATCTTTATAGCATTGCACCTCATGTAGCCCAAAGAATTCATGTATCCTTCTCCCCTTGACACCCAATCTTGTATTCCCAATCATGTATTTCCCAGAACCATGTCTGAACTTTGCCCTGAAAAAGAGTCTGCCATGAAAAGCTGTTCTACTTCCACCACCTATCTTCATCGTATACTCCAACCTTGATCCCGACCCAACCTCTATTAGCCCTGCCCATGCCACTGCACTGGACACCTTCCCAAATTCCATTGTATAGACATATCATATCTGCTTTAGTTTGATTTATGGGCGATTTATCTGCGCTTGAAGTAGTCGTGGGATTCATTGTAAGTAACAGGGAACGTGACGGTTGGACCAAGTAAATAGCGGATGGATGATAATGTTTGCTGCCTGAGGCACAAACTGCTGATTTTCTGTATCGACACGTGACCTTTAGTCGATAAGGGCTGCCGACCGTTGAAACCCTAAGAAGCACCCGCACAGTCAGCGAAAACCAAACTTCGCCGACCGCCGCAACATTTTCATCCTCGACAACCCGCTACACCGAAGGACCATTCCCTCGAGGTATGTACGCCCTCCCCTATCACCAGCCTCTCAGCTAGTCTGGGAATGCAATCATCCTGTTGTCCTCCTACGATGTCGAGTTTTTCGTACCAGTCGCAGCAGGCGTGCAGGATGATACGCATCTCCCAACCCGGCACGGGCTGAAGAACTCCTTTTGCAAGGAAGGGGCACTCTTTGCGCTCGAAGACTAGTGGTGGCTGACTTTAGTTGCAATTGAACACCCCATCCCGACTCGCAGAGCTTCACATTTGCTTGTGAAGTTCGCAGTCGCGATAGGGGGGTTCTGTTGCGCCTTGTCCAACAGATACCTCATATCCTCTTTTCCCGATCGATTTGAGAATCTCGACTCTCCACAACCGCCAAAATGGTCAAGACCTCCGTCCTCAACGATGCCCTCAACGCCATGAACAACGCCGAGAAGGCCGGCAAGCGCCAGGTTCTGATCCGGCCTTCTTCCAAGGTCATCGTCAAGTTCCTCACCGTCATGCAGAAGCACGGTACGTTTAGATACTCGTCACTATGAATACTGCTTGGATTCGTGCTTGGAAACCGGTCTCGCCAAGAGGAATGCCTGTATTCCTCTTTTTGTATTCGGGTTGATAACTAGGCGGCCGGTCTCAATCTCCTACGACGTCCGCCTTTTAAGTACCCGATAGATTGACCTCTTGGCGAAGATCTTACATGTTTCCAAGCGCTTATGCTTCAGTATTTGGCGACTTTTAAATTTTCGCAACATACTGATATCTTTTCTTTTCAGGCTACATTGGCGAGTTCGAGGAGGTCGATGACCACCGTTCCGGCAAGATCGTCATCCAGCTGAACGGCCGGTGAGTTTCTATGGTCTTCTGTTCTTCTGATTGAGCATTTCCTGATACATCTACTTTCCAGTCTCAACAAGTGCGGTGTCATCAACCCCCGCTACCCCGTCCAGCTCCGTGACCTCGAGAAGTGGGCCACACAGCTCCTTCCCTCCCGTCAGTTCGGCTACGTCGTCCTGACCACCTCCGCTGGTATCATGGACCACGAGGAGGCCCGCCGCAAGCACGTTGCTGGCAAGCTCCTCGGCTTCTTCTACTAGATGGAGTCGCCCTAAAAAGCAATCCGAAAAAAGTTGTTGTTTTGACTGGTTTCGCATGTCACTTGGGCTGGGCCCTGGGAATGTAATCTTACGAGTAGCGGAGTATACCCCCGATGTCATAGTCTACAGAGTACACGGTTCTCATCCAAATGTCAGGCGACTCTAGTCTGCAATTAAACCATTCCTCGTGTAGTTTAATAGTCCATAGATTTGATGATAAGGTCCTTCGTCGGACCGAGGCTCGGACTCACCGCCCTTGCGCTCAACCCGAGTTCTGCCCGTATATTTCCCCGCAAGTCGAGCATGTCTTTGCATCTCTACGCTCACGATGCCTCTGGATACGATATATCTTACTCGTCATGGGGTAAGTTGTCTCTGATTAATTATATCCACACTCCTTGTACACGTTATAGCTTGCCTGGACTGTCATTTACTCACCTATCACTAGCATCGGCTCAACTGGACGATTGACGTGCGAACTGGCACTTACAAGTCCCAATTCCCGACTCCAACGGGCAACCCAGCCGATCCAGCGCTGACATCTCACGGTGTCCGTCAGTCACACGAGCTGGCTGTGCATATTGCTGGCCCGGATTTCCATCCCAAGCCCTTCCGAGTATATTCGAGTCCATTCTACCGGTGTCTGCAGACTATCCAGCCCTCTATAGAGGCCCTCAAGAAGGAACATCAGGAATCAAAGTACACCGATAGCAATGCAGCTCTCCCAGGTCAAATTGACCCTGCTGCAGATCTAGATGTTAGAATTGAGAACGGTCTAGGGTAGGAGCGACCCCAACAACCAACAAATTTCTACCACCTTGATCCGTGGACTGACTCTGCATATAGTGAATGGTTCGGCCCGACAACCTTCTTCGACCACCCTTCCCACCCAACGCCACGCACTATGCATGCGCTCTTCCCGTCAATTGTTCCATCTTCCCCGGAGACCAAGTACACGCCACTTCTGCACCCCTCCACCCGCGGCGAGACCATTGCCCAATTACACAACCGTGTAGCCACGGCTTTGGAAGGAATCATCGCCGATGTAGATGCAGAAATCACAGCACTAGAAGCCACTCTACCTGCGGAGCAGCGCACAAGCAAATCAATCTTGATCTGCGCGCATGCCGCGCCTCTTATTGCAATGGGCCGTGTTTTGACCGGCCAGATGCCTGAAGATAGTTCAGAGGAGGACTTTTATGTGTTCACTGCTGGGATGAGCACTTTTAAGCGGAGGGAAACTAGAAACCAAGATGAAAGTCGGTCTCGGGATCTGTTGGCGGAGGGGACGAGGTTTGTTCGTTCTCGGGGTGTTCCAGCCTGGGAGGGCGGTCATGGTGTGGGGGGTGGATGGGATTGTGTGAAGAATGGGGATTGCACTTTTTTGAGTGATGGTGCTGAGCGTGGATGGTAAGTTTCGCTTCTTTTTCCCTTCCTTTTATGTCCTCCAGCCTGTGATCTACTTTTTCGGGGGTGTGTGACCAGATCATGCTAATTGTACTTTGACCGGACAGGCATTTCAACGGCGAGGAGTCCTTTGATACTGGCCCTATGGCACCTGTTTCTGAGCAGCCTACTGTTCTGGGATCAGTCAATTCCGAGGGAAGCAGAAGTGGACCCAAGTTGTGAGCAAAGCATCTGCTGTAGATATTGCATCAAATATATATTAGATATACATCTTTATAAGAACATGTTCCGTCCCACCTCCTATCCAGTATCCACCCAGCCACTTGCTCTCTTTCCTTGGCTTCTTACTAGAACTAGACTCCTCCATAAATCTTATAAATCTTATCAGTTCGGTAGAATGTCCAATTGCCGTACCGACCTTCCGAAAAAGGCAGTCCGAGGGTAACCGCAGTCACGTGCACGCCCTGTCCATGACGGATGACGGATCTAGAAAAAATCAGGTCCGAAAGATTGATAATCTAAAACTTAAATTCCCGCAGTTGAAGATCACCTGCAGACAATTAAAACCTTGTCTTCATTTCCTACAAAGTACGACTAGGTTTTCTGCATAACATCCCTGCTGCCAGCCCGCCACACCTGATGGCGACCATCACGCAGACTCTGCCCACCACGGCAATTGAACTCCCCACTTTGGCCCAGACCTCCAATGAAGAACGACAGCGTAATCCAATTCCTCCCTCAGCACCAGGGTCCATCGTTCTCGACGATGTGATGCAGCAATCGCTCATTGCAGATTCACAAGTCCCCGATGGAGGTTATGGCTGGGTTCTCATTTTTGCTTGTGCCGTCGTGACTTGGTGGTTTGTCGGTGCCTCTTATACTTGGGGTGTCATGCAAGCTGAACTTGTTGATCGGAAGGGCTATTCATCTTCGACACTGGCTTTTGTGGGGTCATTGTGTCCGGCTTGTATTTCATTGCTTGCGGTACCGAATGCGACTGTTATTCGGAAGATTGGGGCTCGTGTTACGGCGCTATTGGGCATTTTCTTGCTTGGACTGGGGAGTATCCTGAGTGGGTTTGCGGTGGATAGTGTCGTGGGACTGTTTATGACGTGGGGATTTGTTGGTGGACTCGGTACTAGCCTATGCTTCATGGTGAGAGAGAGATGCTTGACCCCATTCCAACTATAGAATCACAATTCACTAACCACGATCACAAGGTCGTCTCTGTGACACCAGCTCAATACTTCAAAGCCAAGCGCGGTATCGCGAATGGCATCGTCTACGCCGGAGGAGGCCTCGGTGGCACCGTCATTAGCTTCATCCTCGACACCCTCCTCCAAAGTGTGGGCATCGCCTGGACCTTCCGCATCCTCGGCTTCTTGATCATGGGCACCGGCCTCCCAGCCGCGTACCTCATCAAAGAGCGCGCCCCCATCAAACCCACCAAGATGGTCGAATGGAGCCTCTTCAAAGACGTCCGCTTTGCCGTGCTCTTCGCCGTCGGCGCAATCGGGACATTCCCCCTCTTCGTGCCAGCCTTCTTCCTCCCGCTGTACACGAACAGTCTGGGTCTACCCTCCAGTGCGGGTGCAGGTCTAGTCGCGGCATTCAACTTTTCTTCTGCCATTGGGCGTCTATCGTGCGGGTTTGCGTGTGATAAGCTCGGCTCGTTGAATACGCTTTTCTTGTCGTTGTTGCTGAGTGCGTTGAGTATCTTCGTGCTTTGGCCTGTGTCTAGCTCCATTGGACCCTTGGTTGCCTTTGTGGTTATTAATGGGTCTGCGAATGGGGGATTCTTCTCGACGATGCCGACTGTTGTTGGGAATGTGTTTGGTTCGGCGCGAGTGTCTGTTGCGGTGGGTATGATTGTTAGCGGGTGGTTGGGTGGCTATCTTTTGGTGAGTTACTATCCTCGTGTCTATTCTATCCTGGGCCGTTCATCACTAACATTGATCATTCTGGTAGGGTGCACCGATTGCGGGTTATATCCTCAATGCATCCGGTGGAAAGGAAGGTGGCGTTGGTGCCTACAGACCGGCTATTTTCTATGCTGGCTCGATGGCAACGGCTGCTACGGTCCTGGCGGCTGTGGTTCGAATTAAAGTCGATCGTAGGATCAAGAAGACTGTATGAGATACGTTGCAACGAGATAGTACAGTGATACAGCTACACATATTAGACAGGATACTGCATACGAATTGAGACAGTGGGTACATTTGGACCTTTGACTTGGACAGTGTTCTTATCAATTATTCAAACAAGGCTATTTTCGTGATTTCGTGGTTGATTCATGCGGGGACACCTTGCTCAGGTTGTGGCTGTTCAGGCTGTGGCTGCTCAGGGAACCCGTAATCGATGGCAGCATCATTTTCCACCGTATCATCTGCCACGATATCGGACTGAGCGTCAGCCTGTGCTTCTTCTTGCTGCTGCTGTTGTTGAAGCCGCTGCTGTTCCTCTTGACGAAGACGCTCCGCTTCCGCCTCAGCCGCGTTCCGTGCCTCCACCTGTCTTTCGCCGATGCCCGGAATGAGACTCGCGAGTAGCAGCACAATAGATCGTTCCACACGGCGAATGCTGCTCCATAATTCGCCATGAACTGTGTTTGGAGCATTACCACCCGCCTGGGCAGTCGCAGCGTTCTGACCTCCAGCGGCCTGTGGCTCCTGATCCACTGGTCCACCTAGGTGAGCGAGACCTTCGAGATGGCGCTGGATTGGCGCAACAAGCATTGCTTGGAACCGGCGAGGAATTTCTGTATCGGATAGCAGGGCAATAAGCACCGCACCGGCGACGAGGAAGACACGGGCCCAGGAACCTGAGCTGCTGATCATGTAAATGCAGAAGTACAGGCGGATGAACAGCCAGATCCGGCGCAGATATTGCCCGGCGGGAACGTTCTCGACTTCTCGGCGTCTCTGTTGGTTGATCACGGCCTGGCGAACAATATCTTGCACGCCCGCTGGGTTTTGCCCCGCAGGAACCGCATGATTGACATTGTTGTTTCCAATCGGGGTGATGTGGATGTTGGAAGACTGTGGCATGGGTGTCGCCAGGGGAAACAATGTCGCGCTAGTTGAGGGCATAATCAAGCTCTGGCGACCATCTGGCCCAGTGGCAACGAAGACCTGCATGGGCGAAGAATGGGGGCCTGCTGCTGCCAGATCTCCGCCACGAGTAGTGGTCAGACGGTCGACACGCCGATAAATGACCAAGATACGCTGCAGCAATCCATGTACATGTGTATGCAGGGCATGCCCCCGCATATGAGGCCGTTGCTGTAGCCATTGCTCGGCGTGAGAACGCATCTGGTACAAAGACTCGTGGAGCGGGAGGAAGTGGTGGTCCAAGGCGTCTTCTGCATTTTCAACCTGACGGCGTAAGCCATCGATCTCGTGATTTTCGGCGACAGGGTTGGGTGCGTCCATGCCATAAGGGACAGATTGGACTATTCCAGGCGGGGCCCCATTCAGGTTGTCCCAATAGTGCTGTCGTTCATGTGGAGCTACTGGCGGCGGCAAGCCACGGAATCGCAGGCCATCTCCTGCAATCTGAGGCGGGGCAGTATTGCCGGGACTGAGCTGGGACGGCACTCGGCTCGTCTCCCTCATGCGACGGACAGGATCGAATACAGAGCCATTGTTGTCAGCGGGTCTCGAGGCTGAAGGGGGCGGTAAGACCAAGTGTATCGAGTGCTCAGTTTCCTAAGATAGATGGTGGTCAGATGAGATCCGGTGAACATGAAGCAAGTTGGAGCTGCAGTGGATGGAGACCTACCTCAACAGTGCCCAGGACTTCTGACAGCATCTGGCTGTTATTCAACAAAGGCCGACCTTGATAAATCAGTCTCTGGGTCGAGGGTGCAGGCTGACTCGGGAGGGCCTGGGTGATGCGTGCTCGCAATTCTCCGACGGTGGTTTCAATTGGCAGGTCAATGATTGTAAACCGATTTGGAGCTGGAAGTGAAGGAGATAGGATGTGGATTGTGATAGTCCGCAACCTTCTGTTCTCCTCACCACTGGGTGCAGTTGCCGCTGCGGCTGGCGAGTCGTTAGATGCCATGCGGACAGTGCTCGAGGCCGCCGAGCTCTGCCGGATGGAGGTGAGAGACGAGCGACTGAGAACCTGATGGATGAGCTGTAGTGACTCGCTTGGTTGTTCGTATGCTGATACAGAAGATGGCTGTTGTATTCTCGACCGGAGGCGTATCGAGATGCGGTTGCTTTGGAGTTGGTGAGAATGGTCACAACAAGCACCCAGAGGAGGGGGAAAGCCGACGTTCATCAAGAGGGAAAACAAAATCCAGGGCGGTGTATAACTGCCGGACACTGCTTCAGCCTCTATATAGATCTGTGGAAGCCCGTGGGCGCATTGGTCGTGATGTTCAATCTGGAGATCTGGCAGGAAGCCCAGCCAATGGCGATAAGAGTGAGCTATTCGCTGGTAGAGTGAACGGCGTCATACAATGAAAGAATCATAATCAGTGACAATGCGTAAGAGTTCAATGGTAGAGCCAAAAGTTAGCAAAACCAGCTTAATTTAAAAAAAAACCCCCCCAAAGAACAGCACACAAGTTGATGCTCTCGCGACAGTCGCAACATATGCACGTGCCATTCTGCCAGGTGTCTCCCGGGCGGTGAACCGACCCAAACGCATTTCCTGTTCCGGCAGACGGAAAAAGGTTCTCCTTAGAAAGCCCCTGGAAAGAGGTCGGCTACCCTCGTAAGCGAGCTCTGATGGTTTAATCTGCACGATGGCCAAGCGCCTTCTCAATCACTCTACATTTCTCCAGTACCGTGCTGCTGCCCCTGTGAGTGGGGTTGCTACGTCGATGGAGGTCCTTTCGTTTCGGGCAACTGCCCGCCACAAGGCCAGCGTCCGCCATTTTTCGCCGCAATCATGGAAACAATACCGCAAAGAGAACAATCATGAAGGAAATACCAGGGGTGGGTTTGGATCAAGGCTGCGCTTTGCGCTGCGGAATACCAAGGTGGAATGGTACCCGATTCCCGTCGGTCTCGGAATCGGTCTGCTGGGAGTCCTGCACTTCTACAAGACCCAGCGTGACCGGACTGCGCAGGATGAGGCAGGTGATGACTGGGAGAATGGGAAGCGGCCACCACGACGCCCTCGAATTGTGCCGACAGGATCCTGGCAGGTCCAGGTCATGTCCACTCTGCCCCTGAAGGCCATCTCGCGTTTATGGGGCCGGTTCAACGAGATCGAATTACCATACTACTTCCGCGTTCCTGGATTTAAGCTCTACTCATGGATCTTTGGGGTCAACCTCAGCGAGGTTGCTGAACCTGACCTTCACGTCTATCCAAACCTTGCCGCCTTCTTTTATCGCAAATTGAAGCCCGGTGTCCGACCTCTCGATCCCGATCCACGTGCCCTCGTAGCTCCCTCGGACGGACGCATTTTGCAATTTGGTATGATCGAGAGGGGCGAGGTGGAACAAGTCAAGGGCATGACCTACAGTCTGGATGCGCTGTTGGGTGCGGCGACACCTGCCACTGCCGATCATAGCAATCGCATGTCGGACGCAGCGATGCAGGACACCCACAAGGATGTCGAGAACATGAAGGCCGATCAAGAATTTGCTAGCGTAAACGGTATTTCCTACACTCTGCCATCGTTACTGTCTGGTGAATCAGGGGTCCCAGCGGAGAGACGGGCATCGATTGATGCCTCCACCACCTCGAAGACGACGTCGGAGGTTCAAGTCCAAGCGGAGTTGGCCCGTGGAGAAGGCACCTCATGGTTCGCGCCTAAGGCGGCTGTCAACCACGCATTGTTCTATGTGGTGATCTACTTGGCCCCCGGTGATTATCACCGGTTCCACTCGCCCACGGAATGGGTTGTGGAGAGCCGCCGCCACTTTGCGGGTGAACTCTACTCTGTTTCGCCCTATCTCCAGCGGACTCTGCCCGGTCTGTTTACCTTGAACGAGCGTGTGGCACTGCTCGGCCGCTGGCGTTGGGGCTTCTTCAGTTACACCCCGGTCGGCGCCACCAATGTGGGCTCGATCAAAATCAACTTTGATTCCGAACTGCGCACTAACAGTCTGCTGACTGACACTGCGGCGGACTTGGCTGCAGCTCGGGCGGCGGAGCGAGGCGAAAAGGACCACGGATTCGTCGAAGCTACCTATGCTCACGCCAGTCGCACGCTCGGCGGACACCCGCTGCGGCGTGGTGAGGAGATGGGCGGGTTCCAGCTGGGCAGCACGGTGGTGTTAGTATTTGAGGCTCCTCTCGGCAGTCGGAAATCGTTCGATGCTGGCTGGCCGGACAATGAGCGAGGCGCTGGCTGGAACTGGTCCATTGAGAAGGGCCAGCGGATCAAGATGGGTGAGAAGCTAGGCTATGTTGAGGAAGACTGAATTGTCGTACAGGCAATCTCGTGTATGCCCTAGGTGAATGCCTGCCAGGCTGGCAAGGTCACACCGAGTCTGCGGCACAGCAGGGCGTCGTGCCTGCTTTCTTTTTGTTTTACTCGAATCTCTTCTGTCCTGGGAGGGTCATCTGTTGTAATATACCATTTTTTGTGAGATTTTGGCGAGGACGTCCGTCCTTTGGGGGTGATCCATGTCCGTGTCTAGTCGCATAATAAAAGCACTGCACATTGAATTGAGATGGTATCAGATCTTCATACTTTTATCTTCAATACCGCATCAGATCGTAGCGTGCCAAGATCTCGATAGGCAGATAACGTATGGACTAGACTTGGGTAGACTCTGCTCACTTGAGAGGAGTTCCAACTCCGCCTCGTCTGCACGGACCAGTCAACGTGTGCGCGGGACCCGTCTTGATTTGCTGGCGATAAGCAGCGACGTCACTGCGGATCTCTTGGCAACTGGTAGCTTTGCAGAACGAGGAAGAATATCGGATTTATGATGACTCCGTCGATGTTTATGAGATGGCAGTGCAAGCCAGAGACCAGGATGAGTGGGATGGAGAACCGATACGATACATCCACAGTGAACGGAGTTGTGATACGCTAGCAGCTGCCAATCTGGGTCGGACGGGTCATACGTGATCGACGTTATCAGGCTATCCTCCAGACCCCAGAACTAGCTGATAGCTATCATAGTCCCGACAGGAGATACAGAAATAACCTTCATAGACAACTGGTTGAATTATCCAGTCGAGTATTCAAAAGGAAAGAAAAGAAAAGAAAAAACCTCAATCCATCTCTCACCAACAATCCCCAATCTGACCGGTCTGGGCGTCAAAAAAGACAAAAACCTTGGTTGGAGCGGGTCGCGCAACCTGGGCCAAGGAATGAGGAATCGCCAACCTTCGCTGCTCCAGCATTTCTGTTCTTCGCCTCCCCCGCCACAGCTCCAGTCTTTCTCTCCTTCTTCTCTCTTTCCATTCTCATCGTCTCCATCGTTTCCCCCCCCCCCCCCCCCCAATCGATGGCCATTTTTACTCTGCCCCGGTCATTCCAGAGCAATGTCTTGTCGCCCCAGAACCCTATGGCATCCGCCGCCATGAGCGCGGTAGGCTCCAGCTCCAGCTTTATCGCCGGCGCTCCCTCACAACACCCGCCATTCTTCCACCTCGTCCTGCTGGTTTTTGAGGCTGTACTGGAGGTTATTTGTGTCAGTCTGCCGGGTTACTTTGCCGCCCGACAGGGCATGTTCGATGCAGAGGCGCAGAAGCTGGTGGCGAATCTCAACGTGACGTTGTTTACCCCCTGCTTGAGTATGAACCTGCTCCCAACTCGCTGAAAATGGGGACGATAAATGGTCCGATTGCAGTAACTAATACTGCGAGTAGTTTTTATCAAATTGGGCTCCCAATTGACGGCCGAAACTCTCGCGGATCTGGCAATTATCCCCGTGATCTTTGTCGTTCAGACTGGCATCTCATATCTTTGCGCCGTTGTGATTGCACGATGTTTCCGATTCAAGAAGCGCCAGTCGAACTTTGTGGCGGCGATGGCGGTATGATCAGTTCTATATCATGGGCTGTAATTGCAAAGGATACAAGCTAACTCTTTATGTTTTGTTCAATAGGTGTTTGGCAACTCCAACTCCCTCCCGATCTCGCTTGTCATGTCCCTCTCCCAAACCCTCCAGGGTCTCCACTGGGACCGCATCCCGAACGATAACGATGACGAGGTGGCTGCCCGTGGTATTCTCTATTTGCTCATCTTCCAGCAGCTGGGCCAGCTCGTTCGCTGGAGTTGGGGATACCATGTCCTGTTGGCACCCAAGGACCGATACTTGGAGAATGCGGAGCGTGAGGAAACTGGCCAGTCACGCATTGAGCAAGGCCAGGCACGATACAGCGATAACCCAGACCAGACCGATCCAGATGAGCCCCTGGTTCGCACTCGCAGTTCCGACGATCTCCACCATTCCCCGGGCGGCAGTACCCGTTTCCACTCCGGGGACCTCACACCCGTATCAACGCGTGCCTATTCATACACCAAGGGATCGTCAATCCATTCCCATGATGATCTGGACCAAGAAGAAGATTCAGATGCTCCGCCGTCGGTCTTGGGCCCACCACCAGAGGGTCCATTCCTCCCACGTCAAAACACTGGAGTCGATATTCTCTCCTTCCCCGACGTCGAATCCACTGCACGTCAATGCCAGTCTGCAGAGAAGACCTTCCTTCAGCGCTGCAAGTCCTCTCTCCGTCGACGCCGCGAGCGCATCCGTCGCGCCTGGGAGAAGAAGACCGACGCGCTGCATGGACGACTACCCCCCAAGGCCCAAAAGGGCCTCTCAGCCACGACGCGCGGTGTGGCCCGCTTCCTCCACGGCGCGTGGGACTTCATGAACCCGCCTCTGTGGGCAATGCTGGCCGCCGTCATCGTTGCCTCCGTTCCAGCTCTACAACACCTCTTCTTCGACGAAGGCACCTTCATCCGCAACTCGGTGACCCGAGCCATCGACCAAAACGCCCAAGTGGCAATCCCGCTGATCCTGGTCGTTCTCGGCGCGAATCTCGCGCGCAATACGCTGTCCGAGGAGAACCTAGCGGACATGGAACACCCCGCTGCGGAGCGGAAGTTGATCATCGCCTCGCTGATCGCGCGTATGCTCCTGCCAACGCTCATTATGGCTCCGCTCCTGGCGCTTATGGCCAAGTTTGTGCCTATTAGTATTATGGATGACCCGATTTTCATCATCGTGTGCTTCCTGCTTACGGGTGCCCCGTCGGCGCTGCAGTTGGCGCAGATTTGCCAGATTAATAATGTCTATGTCGGGGCGATGTCCAAGTTGCTCTTCCAGAGCTATGTTGTCTGGTATGTTTACACTCTTATTCTCCCTTTTCCCCCACAGTCAATTAGAAACTAACTGATTCCAGGATTCTCCCCTCCACTCTTATCCTGGTCATGTGTGCCCTGGAAGTCCTCGAATGGGCTACCTAAAACACCCAACCCAACCCACACTTTCTCACAAACCCATGTACACGTATAACTTCAAACCCCGGCGAAGCTGGTCTTGCCTTTGTGTCATTCGTTCGCGCACTCGGTAGCGCAACCGTTCGAGATTCCTTTTGGCGTTCTTCGAGGCCCGTGAATATGCTTATTAGGGCTGGGCTTTTTGCATTGGCGATGGTGGCGTACATTGGTTGCTTACCCTATTACTTTTTTTTCTCATGACTTTACATTGCATTCCTCCTTTGGGAGAATATTGGGAATTCTACATTTTTACGCCCAGGTTTACCTGGCGAGAGACAACGCGATACATATAAGTCAAGCAGATGTCATATGCTCTGTATTGACAGTAGATCCGTTACATTTCGTAGCTGCAGCTGTACTTGTCGCTGTACTAATACTCCATCCCATGCAATGCCATTCAGAAGAAGTGACCACCTCCCTAAATCGGACACAGTCCCCCAGCAGCCAACATAGACACATCATGCGCAACCCGGCCCGCGGGATCCCCCATAACATCAACCAGCATGGCCATGCCCGTCGCAAAATGCCACAAAATATGACAATGGAACAGCCACACCCCGGGATTATCAGCGCGGAAGCGGAGCACCGCGTACCCACGACTGGGGATCTGGACTGTATCGCGGAGGGCGGCGCTAGAGAGATCGTAGGGCTGGAAGGTGGGGTCTTCTGGATTTGGGGGTTCTGTTTCGGGGGTGGATTCTGGTGGTTCGAGGCCTGGTGGGTAGGGGTCTGTGAAGGGGTTGTAAGAGCCCCAGCCGTAGGTGGATTCTTGGACGGCGAGGATGTAGAAGTGGTGGCCGTGCTGGGGGGTGTTTAGTGGGTATTTTTCAGAGATAATAGAAAATGGGTATTGGGACTTACGAGGTGGAAGGGGTGAGGGCCCTCGTCTAGATTGTTTACGACGAGGTCTACCCATGCTGCCTCAGGGCCAGTCGAGAGGGCCAACTGGTTGGTATCCCAGCGCTCTCGCGGAAGACTGATTAATGGTGCTGGTGGATCGCTCTGAGGTTTCCAGGTGGTCTGGTTGAAGTAGCCTTCGGGGATGTTGTGGTTACGGGCCATTTTCTGGATTTTGGTGTAGACGACGTGCGTCTGTTGGGCCTTCAGAGGTAGGCTCTGTAGGATTGAGGGGGAGGAGGGTACTTCGTCGAGGTTGATGTGATTTCGTACTTGTGGTGTTGGAGTTTCCACGGAGCCAGAGATAGATCCAGAGCGGTAATGGATGGGGAAGGTTTGGTCTGGTGTGAGTGCGGGATTCATGTACTTGAAGCATCTATAGTAAGTTAGCTAGTGATACCCAATAACGAATTGAGAAGTCTGACCCTTGGTCCAGTTGTACCATCATGGAAGATGGTGATTGCGCCGTAGATGAAGTACGGAGAACAAAGTCCATGCGCTGACCTGGGTACAAGATGCCCACAGAGTTGACGTTTTCCTGCTGGGAGCGCTTGACGTCAATGCTGTCAACCTGAATGAGGTCTATATTCTCTTGATCAAATACTAGTGACAACCCTGCCAGAGCTCTGTGTTGATTATCAGTGGTGAGCATCATTATAGTTCATGGTGGCTCATACCCAGTGTTTACGACACGAATTCGATAGACTGTATTCGGATCAAGGTCCAGGAATGACGTGTTGGCCAACTGCTCAATACAATCGACAGGTCGAGCAGGAACAGCCATGGAGCATTCAAAGTGGCCCACTCCATTGACCAGCAAGGAGTCCGGCACCGGCTAGAACGTAGAAAGCCGCTTAGAGCTCACCCCTTATGTACATCCTTTCCAAGTAACTCACCTCATTTGCAAAATTTCCAGGAAGTTTGTACCAAGCCAGGACATCTTTCGCCGGCCGATGATACCAGTCTCCAATAAGAAGGAGAAGCTCCTTTTCGTAACTGAATTTCTGCGCATCACTCCGAGCACGCGACATCAATCCTCGTACGGTACTCTTGGCCACCGGGGCATGAACGACCAATCCGCCGTAGAGACCGTCTCCGCGAGAGACACCCGAATGAGCATGGTACCAATAGGTACCACTCTGATCGGCGGGAATAGTGACATTGTAGATAAATTGCGCCCCGGGCGCTATGGGGCATTGTGAAACCCCGGCGGCGCCATCCATAGCATCTGTCAGGAGTTAACGGCCGGGATTCAATGATTGAAGGCATGCTACAAATAAGAAGATTATGGACATACTGGTAACATGGATGCCATGCCAATGCAGGGCAATTGATTCTTCCTCTACCGCATTGGTAACGGTTATGAGCAGCGTATCCCCAGAGCGGGCCTCGATAGTGGGACCAGGGAAGAGATCTAGAGAAGACAAGCGGTCAGGATGAGCAGGTCCGAGAGTTATTCAAGGGGCAAGGGACAGGCACAATTCCCGCACCATTGATCAGATAAATCTGTTTCAAGACACCATCGGGCCTGCGCAGACCCGAGGTGATGCGCCAATTGAAATGCTGTGTGACTGGCGGACGATATACATGATCTTCAGGGTGAAGCTTTATGCGGGGGTGATCTGTTGCCGATAGATCCTGGGAAGGGCGTGTTTGCAGCGGCTCAATCCAGTCGGACCAGGGGAGATGGATAGTAGGATGATAGATATACACTGCCATCATCCATAGACACGCGAGGAGGGACCCCGTCAGGAACCATGTCCGCACTGAACGGGTTGGTTGATGTGGTGCGACGGGCTCCTTGGAGGCTGGTTCCTGCGTCCGGGGACCCTCCGACGCCGACTGTTTTGCCGCTCCATCACTCCGCGAGAGGGTCAATTGCGGGCGATGGTGAAGATTCACGTTCCGCATGAATTTGGATGGGATTGAATCCAGATCGGAGAAAATTGGAGGCGAATCCAAGTCGATGGTAGTGACAATCTGTAAGGGGGATGTGTTTAAACCCCGGCCGCACGGGCCTTCGGCGCCCTTGCCGATGGGTGAAGCCCAAGTGGAGTCAGGTGTGAGCTGGGAAGGGGACCGGAGCGTGCCGGTGAGGTGGTGAGGTGACTTGGAAAGCGGATCAACGGGAAGCTGCCAGAAGGAAGTGGTGAGATCTGTAGGAATCAGTGGACTGAGGGAGATGAAGCGTTGTGGTGTCCAGGAAGCAGTCACGACTCACGATATCGAAGGGCTCCACGTGCTTGGCAACGGAGTGGAGATCCCAGACGGAGACCCGTGGATGGGGTTGCAGATCAACCACCATGCGAGTGGGGAGGAGTAGAAATGATTCTCATCGGATTGTATACCGTGGTATAGTATACTTCCTACGGAGTACAGGATCTCGGAAGGACTGTCAGTCACGACTGGATCCCACGTGAATCACCATTCCAGGACTGTATGGAATCGGCATCGACAATACCCGGTCCATCGACCCTGGATGTCCCGATCCAGACCGAGTAGTATTTATGATGCTGACTGCCCCGTATTTGTGATTCTTAATCACTGATTACTTGATTATTCTGATTTCCGGGCCCTTCGATTCGTCCATGCCCATCAGCCTTCCCCTCATCTGCTTCCCGCACTTGGAGACTTGGCCAACCGCATCCCTCCCACCGTCCGCCGGTGGACCTTGTTACGTTGTTGCAGAACACATTATACCATCGTATGTAAATACCCACAGCTGGCCCTGAACCGGAAACTCTCTTTCCACTATTCCCAATCCTCCCTAGACTGGCGCCTCCTCTTGCTCCAAACTAAACTCAGTCCAGTCGGCGTCATGAGCATCCAAAGTCAAACGATCCCCTCACGTGGGGCTCCCCGCAGCGCAGATTGGATTCAAGGGGAGATCTGAGGAATGCAAATCCCTACCTTCGATCTTCACTCACACATACCACACACCCTCTCTCTCTCTATCTCCGACCTCGCCGACGGGAACTGCAGATTCAAACTAGTCAACTAGTCTGCGGTGCGAAGTGCGAGGTGCGAGGATTTCTGCTTCTTTCTGCAACCCTACCCATCGGTTCATCCCGATGTGCCCCGGACTGGTGAGCTCTTAAAGAAGGAGCTTGTTGTCCCGGCTTCGACATTTTGCAGCCTGTCTCTCTCTTTACCTCACTTTCCTTCCTCTTGCCCTACGGAACATTTCACCATCATTCACTATGGTGCTGCTCCTCGGAACTGTCCTCGCAGTGCTGCTGGGGAGCTCCCCCGTCACGGCAGGCTCCCTGCGTGACATCGAGCATGTCGTCATTTTCATGCAGGAGAACCGTGCCTGGGATACGGCAAGTCTTCCTTCTCCAGTCTGGTCACCCCACCAGGAGGGGTGGTAATAACAACCAGAGATGAGGGCTAACTCGAGCCGCGTGCATAGTATTTTGGCACTATGGCCGGTGTCCGTGGCTTCAATGACCCCAATGTCCAGGTCAATTCCGATGGCCAGTCGGTCTGGAACCAGTGAGTGCTACAACACATATCGCACTATTTGAGCCTTCTACCTCGAAGCTAACCCAATCTTCCCCATAGGGTCGTTGATCCAAGCATGTCTACTGCTACTAAGACTCTTCTGCCCTGGTACCTGGGCTATCAAGGAGGTGACTCGCACAAGGCAATTCAGTGCATGGCAGCCGGTGACAACGGCTACCATGATAACCAGGCCGCTCTCAACCAAGGTCTGAACAACCACTGGGCCCGTAACAACACTCCCTGGAGCTGGGGATACTACAAGCGTGAGGATATTCCCGTGCAGTTCGCTATTGCCGAGGGATGGACCTCTGGCGACATGTACCAGGTACGGCTTAACAATTACCTTGTGCTCGAACAACAGAACCAAACAGTGAATACTAATCCGATGACAGGAGTCGCAAATTACCGCCACCAACCCCAACCGTGTCACTCTGGTCAGTGGCTCCGTCAATGTCCCCGGCAGCCCGCAGAACTCCACCCAGGGTGGTGTGTACATTGACAACAACGAGATGCCCGGTATGCCATACTTTGCATATCTTTCAATCGTCGTCTACTTTAACTAACGCTGGTCTTGCAGGCTGCGATGGCAATGGGATCAACTGCTACCCACTGAAATGGAAGACCGTTTACGAGTTCTACGAGGAAGCCGGCGTCTCGTGGCAGCTCTACCAAGATACCAACAACTTTGACGACAACCCCTTGGCCTGGTTCCAGCAGTTCCAGCAGGCGAACAAGAACTCTCCTCTGGCCAAGAAGGGTATGTCTTTCGTCGGCCTCGATGCCTTCTACGCTGCCGCTGCCAATGGCTCCCTCCCCGAAGTCAGCTTCATTGTTGGGCCTGCCGAGCTGTCCGAGCACCCGCCCTACCAGCCCAAGGACGGTGGCTGGCTCCAGAAGCAGGTTGTCGATGCTGTCATCAACAGTCCCAAGTACTCGTCTACTCTCCTGATGATCAGCTTCGATGGTAAGATATACTCGCGTGCCTGCATTCCAGAAAGGAGTAAGCTAATGACTTGTGCAGAGACTGGTGGATTCGGTGATCACGTTACTCCTTTCCATTCCCCCCCAGGAACCCCCGGAGAATGGATGAAGGATCCATTGGGTGTGTTCGGTGACGTCTTTGTGGGACCTGGTATGTCAACATTGGTTCTATTTACCCGAGGGACACCTCTGATTGGCTCAATTCTCTAGGTTTCCGCGTGCCTTTCTATATGATCTCCCCCCTGGACTCGCGGCAACCGCGTCTTTACCGAGCGGGCCGATCACAACTCGCAGATCCTGTTCGTGGAGCAGTGGCTCACGGCTCGTGGGTACAAGGGTATTCAGACTGACCAGATGGTTCCGTGGCGACGTGCCCACATGTCCAATCTGGTCAATGCCCTGGATCTGGACAACGTATGCAATCATGACTAGCTCCTTTATCTTTTGGCGCATCTAACTGACAATGATTCAGCCCGATCTGTCTCTCCCTAATATCCCCGAAGCCGACACCCCCATCACCAACAGCAACGGCGACTACGTCGGCTCATCCCAGTGCCAGTCCAAGTTCAGTAACCCGCGCCCTCCCGTCCCCTACGGCCAACAGGTGCAAAATTCCACCAACGCCCTTTGGTTCGAGGACGGCTTCAAGGAGGTTGTCGGTTACCTGACCGAGGGGCGCTACCTCGTCGCCGAAAAGGGTGGCTCTGCCCTGACCAACTCCGGCGAGCGAGACTATGTGACTGCCACCCCCGCGACTGATAAGCATGATTCCAAGCACCAGCGCTGGGTGATCCATTACACCGAGGACGCCGAGAGCGAGATCTTCACCATCTCCAGCGCCCTCGACGGCCGCTGGCTTGGTGCCCGCGGTGCTCTGCTGGACAGCGACCGGGGTGCGTCCGCCGAGCCCGTTCGCATCACCTTCCTCGGCAACGGTCTGGGATATGCCGTGCAGTATGTCCGGGGCAACCAGTACATTGACGTGAACCACGTTGGCCAGCTCGAGATCGCGACCCAGCGCCAGGCGTCTAACCTGGGTTTCAAGCTGTTCAGCGTGACCTATCACGACTAAATGGGCTCGGTAGGAATATGATGAGGGCTTGGCGATATACTAGCTTTTCGGTTCGTGGATCGTCCTGAAGGCAAGTGTTTTTTATGACGATGATGATGCCTGCATTCTTAGAGAATATGCATATGGGCGGCATGCATTATTTGGAATTTCATGATTCTTTTGATCTTTTTTTCTCGTTTTATTTGCATGACCGAGCTAGCTCGAAGATATGAATTTGATGCGCAATTACACATTACGAGACTGTTGTTCCTGAAAGAAAAGCCCATCCCCATGGAGCATAATCTTTTCTTATCAGTATGAGAAGCTTGTGATGTATTGACAAGTACGCCTCTCTCGGCATCAACTTGTTGACAGGGAAGTGTCGCGTGTTTTGTGGAGCAATTCATCTAGTTGCATGGCTTCTAGACCACCATAGTATAACAAGGCTTGTCCAAGCTATACCGACAAGCTTATTCCAATCATTCTTGGTGGTTCTGTGGACCTGTGGACCCGAGCGGGGCGTAATCTTATCAACGCCCGCAGCGAACTGCGAGCTTACCTTCTCCGCGTCCAAGCTCCTGTCCCAATAACGCGCCCCGCGGCATTCTCCCCGCTCCCTACAAGAGTGCACTTCTCCAGCCATGCATCAGGGTCTATGAACGACATCAATTGAGCCACCCTCCACCCTCCACCATGCCCAGCCCAACCCAATCCATCCACATCCTCGGGCTCGGCAGCATCGGCTCCTTTCTCGCCCACTCAATCCGCGCCCTCCCCAACCCACCCCCAGTCCGCCTCCTCATCCACCGCAAAACCCCATACGACCAATTCGCCTCCAAAGGCTTCACCCTCAGCCTACGAGTCAACGACGACGGGCCCCTCCAAGAACAATCCGGCTTTGGCGCCGAACTCCTCAGCACATCCACCTCATCCGAACCAATCCAAAATCTAATCGTCGCCGTCAAAGCATCCGCAACTGTCTCAGCGCTGCAACCAATTCAACACCGACTAGGTCCACAGTCGACTATATGTTTGTTCCAGAATGGGATGGGCCAGATTGAAGATCTGAATGAGCGCGTTTTTACGGATGAGGCGCGGAGACCGACGTATATGTTTGGGATTATGCGGCATGGTGTTTACCTGCGTTCGCCGACGGAAGCGATATTGTCAGGGTTGAATGGGCGGGCGGCGATTGGAGTCGTGGAGGATGAAGAGCGGACAGGGTCGAAACGGGCTGATCCGCAATTCCTACTAGATACGCTGTTGCGATCGCCGATTCTGCACTGCGAGCAATTAGCGTGGAATGAGTTATTGCAGAATCAGCTGTTCAAGCTGGCGGCGAACTGCGTGCTTAATCCGCTCACGGCCATCCTCGATGTTCGCAACGGGGTGATTAAGGAGAATCCTGATCTGCAGCCTTTGATACGGCGCCTTCTCCGGGAGATTTCCTTGGTGTTCCAGAGTCTGCCTGAGATTAGGGATTTGCCGAGTGATCAGAAGGATCGATTCGCGGTTGCTTCGCTGGAGAGCCTTGTGATGGATACTATTGAGAAGACGGCGGGGAATTCGAGTAGTATGCGAGAGGATGTGCGCAAGGGTCGGGCCACTGAGATTGAGTATATTAATGGCTGGGTTTTGAGGCGTGCGAGGGAGTTGGGGATTGAGTGTGAAGCGAATGCAGGTTTGATGCAGCTTGTGCTGGCGAAGAGTCGGTTGTCTATGGGATCCTAGGGGCTTGTTACACTACGTGTGTACTAGCGCTGGCCGTCTGATTAACCACGTACAAGGTTGTTCTAAGCTAACCTGCCTTACTCAAAGCACGCAAGAATGTCTGTTAATAGTCAAGATCAAACGTCTACAGAGTAAGCTTGATCCAGTATGCTGTTCCCTAGGAATTCTCTGAATACCAAAATTCCAGCGTATTAAATGCGAACCTAGAAGAGGTTATAACCCAGCTCTAATCCCTCCTAGTAATCGTCCACCTCTCTAGTCTAGTGGTTTAAGAAACCATAACGGTACGGCCGTATTTCCCACTAGACGGGCCCCTTCCAGGAAGGGGTCTTTAGAGGTGGAGGGTTACTCCCTTTTTATGCTGGCCGGACACAGAGGCCACCATCGCGGCTATGTTTTTTTTTTAATTCTTAATATATTTCTTATATCAAAATAAATCTTAGATTAAGGAGAATACAATAGTCCCTGTTTAAACATAACTAATACTATCAGTGGTGGGGTAATGGTGGTATTTAGCCGGTGTGAGTAACGTGGTGAAGTATTTGGGCATCATTAGATATCGCGAGATATTTATATAGTAACACCGAAGTTATAGGTTCGATTCATAGAGGTAGAGACTCTTTTTCTATTACTATCTAACTATATCCAATGGTGAATTGGGGAGCTACATCCAATTCAGCGTATTCTAGCCTACAATATCTACCGAAAGTAACCGGTCCGTTATCGGTTCCAGTGGGGAAGCGCGGCGGGGCAGTCAGACACCCACTCCGGGCTGTCAGCGCCCGTCCACGCTTAAGTGCGGGGACGGCAGCTGGATAGGTCTTCCTGACTAATAGCTCCGTACAACCTTCGTTCTCGAATCTTCCCACCGCTCATCTTTACTCTCCATCACCAAGGCCTGCTTAATTACAATTTCACATTCTTCCACATCCTCAGCTTCAAGATCACCACCACCAACAGCATCTGCAAAATGTCCATCCCCAAGACCGCCGTGAAATCACCCAATGCCCCCGCCCCTCCCCCATTCCTTTCCCAGGCCATCGTGATGGGCGATTATGTCTTCTGCTCCGGTCAAATTGGCAGTAACCCCGAAACTGGCGCCCTCGTGCAAGGCTCCATCCAAGACCGAACCGTGAGATATACCCCCAAGCTGCCTTATGCCAGCTGAAATCCACCAGACCAGACAATGTACGAGGTCGTCAACAACTACTGACTCACCCCACAGAGACAAATCTTGTCCAATCTCCGCGCTGTCCTGGAATCTGCAGGAACGAGCTTGGACAATGTTGTCAAGTGCAATATTTTCCTCACGAGCATGAGCGACTTTTCTGCCGTGAATGAGGTGTACACTACTTTCTTTTCTGCTCCGATGCCGGTGGGTTCTACTTAATGCTTCGGGATAGATTATTCTGCATTACTAATGGGACGAACTAGGCGCGCACTTGCGTTTGTGTGGCGGCGTTACCAATGGGAACTGATGTCGAGATTGAGTGTATTGCTGGTGTGCGAAGCCCTACTAGCGAGAAGCTGTGAGGCTGCAAGTCTAGTTCAGCAGATGATACTTGGAGTCCGAAGTTGAAGGGAGATCCCGCAATACGCGTCAATTGTATACATCCATTGGTTAAATGAGATTAGGAAAACACAAATATCTTCCAACGACCCTCCCGCCGGTCAGGATTCCAATGTCCCTCCATCCAAGTACCCCGGCAAATTCAATTAAGCAGAGGTAATCGTAAACGGTCCGGCAGCGTTGTACAGAGTAGGCATCTAGCGTTGACCAGCGTTAGTCCAACCCGCAATCCCACAAACATCCAGAAACCACATCTTGCGGCAAGACACGATTCCAGCAAGGCAAACAATAGATGGCTTACCTGAGGAGCCGTCGGCAGCGAAGTTCCCAGCCTTAAATACCAAACAGAACCATCCTTGACCTGCGGCAGATCCTTTGGAATCTTGACAACCACCTTACCAGCAGACTCGGGGATATCGCCAGCAATCTTGACCTGCGCATCGAAGTGGATGGTGTCCAGGTTACGCACGGGGTTGTTGTACAGGAAGACAGTATAGTTGCTGCCGGGGTACTGGGCCAGCGGGTCTGCGCAGTGCGTTGTCGGGGCACGGTTGAACCGGAGGTGGACGGATTGGCCGGCTGTCACGGTCGAGTTGTCGGGGATGCCTTGGTAGACGTTGACGCAGGCGTAGTCGCGTTTACCCCATGCTGGATGGTAATGGGTTAGTGATGAGTTCCTTGGGGTTAGGAGGATAATAGGATGTATGGCGAGGTGTACGCTGGTACTTATCGAATGCAGCCACGCTGCTAGCGAGTAGCGAGGCAACAACGGCACCGGTGAACTTCATTGTGATGTATTTTCTTGCGTTTGGAGATGAGGAAAAAGTAAATTTTCTGACAAGATATTAGAAAACGGATTGCGTGAAATAGAGTGGCAGCTCTCTGCTTTTATAGCCCGGAGACACCAGTGCTGCAGTTTCAATGCAGCCCCTAATTATAGGATCGGCCACGGGACCCTGTTTCTGCAGTATCCGACTGACGATGTCTCAGTGGGTACTCCACATGGCCAGTCGAGGGTTGCTTGGCAATGGGGCTGATGTATATTGGTGGTGGATCGGCGTGTCCGTTCTCGCGAATGTCTCGCAATTAGGACTGAAATGTACTGAATAGGAGGTGCGCTGGTAGTTGATTCGTATAAATCTGCAGGCTGCCTTCAGCCCAATACGATCGGGGTGGGCTTGCTTATTGGTCGGGTTTCGAGTTTATAGATCTGCAGGTTTGGCGGCCTGATTGGTCCGTTACCAACTACACAAAGAATATACGGGATTGATTGATGATGGATTAAAATATGGAGGAGTCAAGTCGAATGTGGTGATGAATCAATTCAGGATATCAGATTTCACTCAAAGACACATCTTTTAGCCAATTTTGAAAGACCCCCTCGGCCTCCAGTTCTGTAGTTGTAATCAGACTGTAGGGTACGATCATGGCTCATGTCCGAGGGGTCGCTCCGTGCGCTTCGTCCCCAGGATTGTATCTACACCTGAGAGGAGCTCCATCGAACACCTACTCGTCAGCTGAGCCAAGCATCCAAGAACCCATTCTTGGGTATCCGAACCCACATTTGCATCTCTGGGGCGACTCGCGATAAGTTCTATGCCAAGTTCGAAGTCCCTATCGGGGAATCCTCCGCAGTCGATCACCTCTCGGGACTGCTTCATAGTTTCGGGTGGAAGGATGATGGGATGTTGGGTTTCTTGGATGAGCTCAAAGACAAACGAGATATGTTCGCTTTGTAACCACAAGCTCCAAGGACAAGGCTGGCCGGTCCGCTTGGGCGTATGAATGACTACAGATACTCGAGTCACTCTCGGTCGCTGTGAAGATGATATCAGGGACCTGTTCCTTGATGAGGAAGGTGACCTGTCTGACTTACCTTGGCAGGGTCTGCCTGGATTTCAGGGTTCTGCGCGATGATCATCTTGGCGGTGGGTGAGAGGAAGATAGCGAGGAAGATGATAGATGAGAGTACGATAGTAAAGATAGCCTGCGATCTCGGTGATGGATGACCACAGATATGCGTGGAGTCGATGGAGGGGCAGGGGAGTCATAGATAAACCGTTTAAACAGCGTCAGAGATTTGGATTCTCGGAAACTACCAGAGACCCTCAAGGATATCAACAGTACCACGCCTATCTGGAAACTATCGTTTACAAATTCCTCTTCAGTCTAATGTCAACTACATAAGGTAAATACGCAAGATACTGAGGGTGAATTGAATAAAGTAACCATGGTATCAACTTCACGTATGATTCAGCCCTGACACCAGGACGTCTCACAGAAGTACATCTTCTAGTCGAGTTTGGGAGGCATGGCAGCCTCAAAGCCCTCTTATCAAATGTCATGTTTTATGACAAGAAGCCGGGACGGCGCTCATTGCTCTTAGCCCGTAGGATGTCGTCAACCCTGGGGATTAGCTCAAAGTCACATCGGCTCGACAACTGGGCGAGCCCATGGAATACCCAGTACTGAGTATCCCAACCTTCCCATCCGCCAGTGGAATAGTCTGTGATTAGCTCCCACACAAGTTGGGAGCGCATGTTGGGGAGCGATCCACAAGGAATCACTTCGTAACGGTTGCTCGCATCCCATCGTGTGGTGTATCCAGGCTTGTCCTTGTTGTCGACGGTATGATAAATCACCGAGTCCTCGCTGTTCTTGAGCCACAGTGCCTAATAACGGCTCGCCGGTATGGATAGGACGGTACGCGATGATGTAGACATTTGTTACTCTGGGCCGCTGTAAGGATAATATTAGTGACGTGTTTCCCGACTAGGAGGTGATCCGCCCGACTAACGTGGCGAGGGTTGGCCTGGGTTTGTGGGTTCAGGCCAATAATAATATTAGGTAATGGTGTTGAGCAATGCAGATACCCGTGTGTATGTTCGGTTGAAGGAATGTGAGATGGAAAGAGGAGGATGGAGGAAGGATAGCAGATTAAGGAAGAAAGCAGATCACCTTGCTCGGTGATGGCAAATTCGTGGAGAGAAACGAGGACGAGGGAGAGTATGACCGAGATTTTTAAAATCTCTCGCGGATTTGGATGCTCATGAACTGCCAGGCATCCTAGATAGAAACCAAACAATCCACGCCCATCCGGAAACTTCTAAGGTTTGCGCTTAAGAATCACACGGAAGAACTCAGTGATCATAAAGTGAGTTAAAATAGCAGCCCTGAGATATTCAAATTGATGAGACGTTGCTATCAGTTTCTACAGATGAAGCTTTACTTCTGGCGGGTGCCACGCCTATCTCATCTCGATGTTTGGCTCCGCAGCCTCCAAGAAGAAAATCGAGTGGATGATTATGCCTAGTAGAAGGGCACACCAGTCTTAATCTACCTTCGCTACAGGACCCAGAAAACTCCAGACACTCTCATACTTTCAATTTAGTAGACTTGTCCGGCCATGCCCCATTCTAGGGGTGTTGATGTCTCCAGTTGAGCGTCGGAGAAATAACATGACGTTAGCAGCGTTGAAATCTTCTGATGACGCTGGAGGAACTTGTGTTCAAGAACCAGAGTTATGATGTGAACTGAGATTTGCATGAGCAGTATTTTCAACTTACAAATGACAATCAGCCTGGGCCTTGGGTAGCCTGTGTTTTTTGAACGTTAGGTTATCAGATGCGGCTACGGTCTTATACCGTGCGGCAGCCAATGAGCGACCACCGGGTTTAGTTGCGGACTTGGAAGTTTCCGTCTGCCCCCACACTTCTCCCCTAATCCACAACCTACAGCTAACGGACCGAGCACCACGTCTGCAAAATGGAATTATCAATCAAGTGGAGCTACAGCAGGACTTAATATCGTTCCTTGCGCTCGCCACCATGTCTGCCTCCTCTAAGCGATCTGGCCGGATCGGAACGACCAAGTCAAAAACGGGTTGTCATACCTGCAAGTCTGTATTCCATCGCAAGAATTCTACAGTTTTACACCCAAGCGAACATGCATCTGATAACTTCACAACAGAATCCGACGAGTTCGATGTGGAGAAGAAAAGCCGCACTGCGTGAGATGCACCAGCACTGGTCGACTATGCAGTTACGGCGCATCGCCTCGGTCAGCCCCCACAGAGCCATTCAATGTCCTCGCTCCGCCTTTGGGTCGTCTTTCCACACATCTGAATATCTCATGTCCTCCATGGGGTGAACAGCAGGCAGGATGGAGAGAAAGACGTGCGTTTGAGTTCTACTTCCATCGCGCAAGCCCACTAATGTCTGGCGAACTCGACCTTACTTTTTGGAGAGGCTGCGTCCTGCAGACATGTCGCATGGAGCCTGCGGTATGGGATGCAATCATATCACTCAGCACGCTATACGAGCGTCCACCTCTTCATGAAACGCCGCCATTTCGGCTCATTAATGCCCCAGCAGTAGTGCGAAGTCAAACCCATCGAGAGGCACTGGTTTGGTATTCACGCTCCCTGTCAGCCTTACAGCAGCGAATCAACCAAGGGACTGCAAATCTTGACGTCTGTCTCATCAGCTGTATCTTGTTTATCGCGATCGAGCTTCTCCAAGGCAATCGAAAAGCGGCTGTGGGATTGTACAACCAGGGAGCTCAGCTGATCATCAGCGCCGACCGCGGGCCCTGGATCGCTTCTCTCGGGCCAATTTTCCGTCGGCTGGGCACGTGGGTATTCATTCATGATGGGTCTAAAAGCGAGGACTGGGGCCTCGATATGGCCTCTCCTAGAAGCTGTTTTGTGTCCATAGATGAAGCCAGAAACGTGCTCTGTGCAATTGTTGCTGAAATGAAGACCTTGGGTAATGCTACTAAATTACATTGGAAGCAAGCGGCGTCAAATCGCAAGCATGAGGCATCGGTGCTCCAGGCTAAACGAGATCACCTCAGGCGGGAACTTGGCCACTGGCACGACCTTTTCATATCTTTCAAGTCATCAAATACACATGAATCTCAGGACACCGCTGGCAGCGTCGGTGGTGCAAGCGCCCATCTTCTTATGACCTACACCAGTGTTTTTATCGAAATTGAAACCATCCTCAGCACCGATCAAGCTGCATATGATGGATATGAGCTTGAATTCAGAAGAATCCTCGAATATGCATCCACCGCCACCGCCGCGACCCGCAGCCCAGATGGCACACAGCCACCATTCATGTTCGAAATGGGAGTTTTTCTCCCACTATTTATCACGGCACTCAAATGTCGATACCCTCAACTACGTCGTCACGCTCTCCAGCTCATGATGGACGAAATCCCGCCAGCGCAAGGGCTGTTTATGTGTGGACCTGCCGCTCATGTGGTCGCAGCTATTGTGGCCCTGGAGGAGAATCCAAGTATGGCATGGGATGGGCCGTTGGAAATCTGCCGGTTTCTCAAGGAGCCAGGATGCATCCCTGCTTCACAGAATCGTGTTTGGGACTTTGGTGTGTCGTCAGATATGAATAATAAAGGGGAGACGCAGAATTGGCTGCATTACAGCCTTCGAGACTTTGAGGATGACGATGAGGGGCGGATTCGATTCACGCAACGGAGTATACTGTTCCTGGGGCTCAATGCCCCTTTATATGAATCATGATAATGTTAGATGAATATACTCCTCCAGTATCTCTTTCATCAGGACTAGTAATTCATCTCGTGTACCTACATCCTGCACTTGTCGTCCTACTGGGGGAAACATTTCAATTCTAGCCTGAACAATCAGGTGTCTATGTGTAGTTAGTTAACTATGTATGGCTGTTATTGCCGTACGGTAATTTCCGCAAGCCCCTCTGTAAGTCCTGCCCCTCGTGCATCCCTTTTTTCCATCTTTGCTTCCTCCTTCTTCCTTTCTTCGCCTCCAGAGTCTTCATGAGTTGAACTGATGCCAAGTGACTATTCCCACATTGGCATCACGCATGCTCTTCCCCAGTTATGTTTTGCTTACAGGCGGCTCCACATCCCCCATCCCAAGGGACCCGTCCTGGTCCGTTCCGCTATCTTCCAATAGACACGCGCCAACCTACCAGATAACACTATTAATCATGCCACACGCGACACAAACCCCAAAATCAAAGCCATCTGCGCCCTGTATCGATCCTTCAAAGCTAAAAGACGTACTACCTCTCTCTTGTCCCAACTGGGCTGGGCCCAAAAGAGTGATCAACAATCCGGCCGCTGTCAATTCAGCAAACAACTGGCCACCATTGCTTCAATTGCAATCACCGCTGCTCAGGATGTGGAAATGAACTCAGCCCTGAGCCCATCCTTCTCTTGGGTTGTACATTGTTTTTGGAGTCAAGAGCCAAGCCTTTTTCCTTTCATCTCGCTTGGGAGACGGCGACCAGAGACGCCCCCGTTCTGGCGCTGGGGACCTTGAATGCCAGATCCACCAGGCCGGCTATGGGGTCACCTGAGCCTCCCGATAAGCGCACTTTTTCGCCACCTTTTTTCTTCGAAGCTGCTCCCTTTTGCGCATCGAGCTCGCGTGTCCTGAAATAATTCTGTCCATTCGGCAATTCCGGTGCTTGTCTTACTTATCGCGCGTACATCACCCGTTTTGGGCTCGCATCTCGGCTGTTTGGCTGGGGGTTCGGCTGCATCTTCAAACTATTCAGGGACGTCCCTGACCGCTTGACGTTGCCGTTCGCTTGCCCGCCGCGGTTTTTCTGGGGCACCAAAATCCTCCCCCCGCCTCACGACCTGCCCGATTTGACCATCTTCCTGCAAACCTATTCGGCTTTAATCAAGCGTGCTTGTCTCACTCGATAGACTCTCTGACATTGGTCTCGTGCCCCTTTTCTGACGTCTTGGCCTCTCTTTCGTGGCCTTCTGTGCGGTCTCCTTGAAAGCACATGCCGTCTTTCACCGAGGACCACGCTGGTCCCGAAACCGAAGTAGCAGGTAGGCTCCGCTCTCCTTCTCCCTGCTTCGCCGATATTCTATTTCTCAGGCGTACATGTAAACCTTCACTGCTCTGCCAACGCAACATCTTATCTGTCCTAAGCCCTCATCATAACTGTATCAATCTAACCTTCCCCTGACCGGCCCTCCAATTGGCCATATCGGACGGTGGGCAGGTTGTGACATCGCCATCTACCTCCACATGCACCTTGTTCTTCGATCCTACGCGCTCTATTTTCATTTTGATTTGACTAATTCCCGGTAGATATTGCACCTATTTCGGGGACTGGCTTGAACATTCCTTCTTTGCGCAAGGCCTTGCACGCAAGTGGAACCGCCGCTGTCTCTTCACCTGACGGGACGACCGTCAAACAGTACCGAGCTCCCGTGGCCAAAGTAACTGCAAGGACCCCAATTCAGCCACTATCCTCAATGCCTTCTGCTTGGAGCAGTCAGTCAAGCGTCAAGCATGATGCTTCGATTGGAGATGACAACGAGCAAATCTCCAAGGGAGATGAGGATCCCCAGATGAGTTTGTTTCATCAAGTGTCGGAATGGCTGCAGCATGAGAAGGTCAGACGCAAGAACCGCAAGGCTCGTCGAGCTGAGGCCTCTGGTGCCACGGACGCTGCTCGTGAGTGCGAAGATTTTTCGATAGATGAAGCTCCCATTTGCTCAGAGAGCACCTTCTCTCTCGACAAGCTAGAGAAGATTCTTCTTCAGTATTCGGGTGCGCGTACCGGGGACGCTCTTTTGTCTCTTCAGCCTATCAAGCGAGCAGTCCGTCGGCGTCCTAAGGGCCTGCGTCGTGGATCTGCCTCAGAGTCTGATGTTACCGACATTGAGGCTCCTGTACCCAGCGTAGAAGCTGTTCTTGACAACTCAAAGACCCTCGCATACACGGGTGGTGCCGCAGAGGAGGAGAGCAATGAGAGCAGTACCTGCTCAAAACGTCTGAAAGACCAGGAAGCTTGGTTAACATTCAAGACGGAGATTGTGCGTATTGCGCACACCATGCAGCTCCGGGGTTGGCGCAAAGTACCAATGGAGGCTGCTGGCGATATTAGGGTCATTCGCCTCAGCGGTGCTCTGACCAATGCCGTCTATGTGGTCGAGCCACCCAAGCAACTGCCTGGCCCATCAAAGACCACCAATGGCTCTACTCCGTTGGCTCCAAGAAAGCCCCCCACCAAAGCTTTTACTACGCATCTACGGGCCGCAAGTTGATCACTTGATTGACCGAGAGAAGGAATTGCAGATTCTGCGCCGTTTGGGCCGTAAGAACATTGGACCCCGCGTCTTGGGTACCTTCCGCAACGGCCGATTCGAAGAATTCTTCGAGGCTCGTCCGCTCACACCTCGAGAACTTCGGCTTCCCGAAACAGCCAAACAAATTGCTAAGCGGATGCGAGAGCTTCACGATGGCATTGAGCTTCTGGAAGAGGAACGCGAGGGCGGTCCTGTGATTTTCAAGAATTGGGATAAGTGGGTGGATCGCTGTGAACAAGTGACCACATGGTTAGACAAGGAGCTCAAGTCCCCGCAGAACGAGGAAAATGCGACTGCAGAGCCTTGGCGCCGGCGAGGTTATGTTTGTGGTGTGCCTTGGGAGATTTTCCGGAAAGCAGTGGACAATTACCGGGTGTGGCTGATTGCCAGCTGCGGCGGCATCGGTGAGATCAAGCGGCAGCTTGTGTTTGCGCACAATGATGTATGATTCCCCCCTCGAAGTTAGAATTGACTACTGGATGCTAACGGAGTTGCACAGACTCAATACGGCAATCTTCTCCGCATGGAACCTGCTACGCAGTCCCCACTCCTCTTGCCTGCCAATGAGCACAAGCAACTTGTTGTCATTGACTTTGAATACTCATCGGCCAATACACCTGGTCTAGAGTTTGCTAATCACTTTGTAAGTACTGAATTTCAACATCCTATTGACTATCATAGGCCTTGTCTAACATTCCACAGACTGAGTGGTGCTACAACTACCATGACGAAGAAATTCCATGGGCTTGCAACAACCGTCTCTATCCCACGCCAGAGGAGCAGCATCGATTCGTAGCCAACTATCTTACTCACCGTCCCGCCATTCCAGGGGCTCCTACTTCGCCCTTGGCTACCCCCTCCGCTACTCCCTCCATGCGCGGCGGTCGTTCAACCACCGCTATTACCCCCTTGAACCTTGACGACGGCCACGAAGGCCCTCTTGGACAGCAGCTAGAGGTTTCTGGGGAGGACGAGCTTGAGAATCAGGTGAGATACCTCATGCACCAGACCCGCTTGTGGCGTGTTATGAACTCTGCACAGTGGGTAGCATGGGGTATCGTGCAGGCTAAGGTTCCAGGCATGGACGAAGGCATTGCTGAGATGGCAGCTGCATCTGGAAAAGGCTCGTCAGAGCACGAGAAGCATTCAAGTGGCCTTGGCGAGCACAAGTCTCCACCGGTTGACCCTGATGTCGATGAGGAAGAGGAAGCTTTTGATTACTTGGCTTATTCCCAGGACCGGGCCATGTTCTTCTGGTCTGACCTCCTGGCTCTGGGCCTGGTTAATGCAGATGATCTGCCTGCGCCGATGCTTGAACATATTCGCGCGCGGGCTGTTGATTATTGATCAAAGTTGAGGATCTGATATTAGTGTTTTGAGATGATGTATGAGCGCGGATGCACACGATGATGATATTACGATGTGGATGTCAGTTACGCAGTACATAGCTAGCGATGTGCATAAATACTTCCGGATTTCGAATTACTCCCGTGCATATCATCGCCAAGGGGTATCTCATTCAATAAGACAAGATTCCGTAAATATCCATCCTGAAAATGCGCCTTCAGATCGCATCCATCAACGGGCCAATCCACCATGCATGGATATGCAGCGTAAATTATCAACCAGATTTGCGTCCCCTGTAAATCCCAAGCACTCGGATCCCAACTTCAAGAAGAGTCAAGACCAGTCAACTATCGCCGCATCTCCAACTTCTTCCTCGTCGCCTTCTTTGCCGCATCAACCCACTCCTCATACGCCTTCCCACTCCCATCCTGTCCCTCCTTCATCCCAACAACCCCCTTCATCATCTCCCCAATGAACCCAACAAAATTCCAACGCCGCAACGTATTCTCCCACGCCCACGCAGCCCTCTTCCGCTCCTCACGCTCCAACGTCTCCACATCGCCAATTTCCCGCGCCCGCGGACGCGGGTCTTGCACCACCGCCATCAAATTGAAATGTGTCTCCTCAGGCGGGTATCGCGCAATGCGCCGCTGCAGCACCTCGATCACTTTCTCCGGGAACGTAGACGGGTCGCACGCGCCGTGGCTGATGGGATGTGGCTGCAGACCGTCTAGCTCATACAACGTGCCGTTGACAGGCGTATACGCAATAAAGTGGTATACATCCGCGGCATTCTCTTCATCCTGAGGACGGGCAGTTTCATCCGCGAACGGGCTTGCGCGGGCAAAAGTGTTGTGTGTGGTGCGGATAGCTTCAGAGTTGGAGAGGGCTTCGCCGCGTAGCTCGGGCGGGAATCCCGTTGTGAAGTCTTTGAAGGATTGGAGCTCGTTGCCCAGGGCGATTGCGGGGAGGGGGTCGGGTGGATTGTCGTGGTTGAGGATTACGGAGAGGATGGCTTGTGTGCCGCAGGCGTTTTGGATTGTTTGGGCGGCGAAGAAGACATTGTTTTCTTCGGCGGTGGGATCATAGCTGCCATCGAGAGGGGCTTCGGCGCGTGCGCCGGCTGCTTCACGGGTCCATTTAAAGAGGAAGATTACGCCGTAGACTGAGCTGTGAAGTTGTGGAGAGTTAGTTAGCTCGGAAGAGGTGCACGATTGGGGAAGTGAGAAGAAAGGGAGGAGTGTATACCCGAGGGACCGTATTGTGTCTGCATCGAGGGAGATGAGTTCTTCAAATTGGACATTTTGTACACCGAGGGTCTCAATGAGGGAGGTGAATAGACCCTGAATGCTGTTAGCTCATTAAGCTCTGCGTAGGAAGTTTAGTGAGATACCTCATCGGACTCGATAGTGCTCCAGCCGCCGGTGTCGGCCATGATGTAAAAGTTCTAGTGTACGAAAAGCTTCACAGAGACGGTCTTTGAGCACTCAGAGATAATGCTGGCGAGTTTGTGCAGTTGGATAGTTCGACAACCTCGTGTTGATATCGGCATGTGTGACTTATGTCATAGGTCACGTGTGGTATATCAGTCACGTGGGGGAGTCTGTCAAAGTGTCGATGTTTCTGAATTGATTCCAGGTCAAATGATAGCAAATATTGATAATGAATTATACACTGGAAATTTGTTCGGACATAGAACTGACCACAATGCTATAGAGTAACAATGCATCTTTAAGTCTATGAACCCCATAGCTACCATTGCGGACACGGAAGTATTGTACATCCCGTGACATGAGCGGGGGGCAGATCTGTTGAAGTCTATAGAATTTGGTGCTGGATTTGCATTTCTGGTTTGTATAGGTCCATCTTACTCTAGGTCAACGGGTTTGATTGGTCATTCGGTCTCGGGCAACAAAACCAGATACCTTAACAAACAGCGCTGTTAGAACTATGTGGCCCCGGAGAGAGGATTCGATGATCGTAGGATTGTTGATGAAGCTAGAATCTAATGAGAGGTTGGATAGTCCAAATAGACTATATCATGTAACTGATATCCTGTATGCCAAACAAGCGCTCAATTCTTCCACTTAGGGACAAAGCACTGTTGGACTAAGTATTGATCAACACCGTTCGTTGGCACTTCAGACAGGACATAGGATGTCTCGAAGGCCCCAGCGCTCCAAGAAGTCCAGCCGAGGTAAACATCAGAGTTTGCACTAGATTAAAGTTAGTAAATCCAAGCAAATTCCTTGGATTGATTACTGAGATAGGTTGAAAATAGGACTTACTTCAGGGCATCAAGCTGCTGACACATGTATGTTCCGCAACTCTGGACATTGCCGCCTCCAGTCTCGCTCAGCAAAGCTTGCCGATTGACTGAGCGCAGCCACTGTGCGAGGCTGTTGAATGCATCGACATTGTTGGTCGTGCACTCGGCGTGGGTGCCGCTATTGTCACTGTCGAGGTACTTGTGAACATCAAATATCAGATTAGTGGTAGTTCCATCTGGGTTGACTACCGCTGCTAGAGCGGCACCAGAGCCATTCTCAATGAAGTTTGCAGCGCTTGTATAGTCTGTACCAGGGAGCAGGATCATTTGAGACGTGGCTCCAGCATTTCTGATCGCAGTCACGGCCTTCTGGACCGTAGCAGCCCAGGTTGTGATATCAAGATCATGGGGCTCGTTCATGATTCCAAAAATGACTTTGCTCTGGCTCTTATAATGAGTCGCCAATTGTGTCCAGAGGCTAACGAATTGCGCATCCGTTGGACCGCCTTGTCCAATGACACCACCGTTCCAACGGGCATAGTTGTGGATATCGACTATGCAATAAGCACCCAAGGAAAGACAGCCTTGAACCATTTTGTCATACTTGCCAAAGTTTGTCGAATCGAGAGAGCCACCAAGATTGTTGGCAACAAGATACTGCCAACCTGTCGGGAGGCGGAAGATGTTGAAGGTGTCAGCGCTGACAAAGTGGTTCATTTGGTTGACACCATCCACAGACTCATCAACGACCTGAGTCTGGTCCTGAGTACCACTAGTCACCATGCCAAAGTCGAAGCCGGCGATATTGACACCGGCAAATTTTACTTTGCCCGTCGGCACGGAAGAAGTTGAAGACGTCTTCGTAGAGGTAGTTGTAACGAGCGTAGTTGTAACGAGCGTAGTTGTAGAAGTACCGCTAGTGGCTACCCAATAGAAACGTCAATAAATGAGTCAATCAGCAAACGGCGGGATACTCACCCGAACCTGGAATGCACTGAGAGTAATAATTGTTTTGGAAAGAGCAGTAGTACCCAGATACACATGTTGTTGCGCCGCTCCATCCGATTCCGCCGCCTAGTGGAATTGTCAGTATTCTTGACTCCCAGGTCTGGTGTTTATGACCAACATTGTCCCCAGGCCGACTGCTGCCCCAACGCCGATCCACCAATGGCAAGTAGCGTTAACAGGTTGCGCTTGTACTGAGTTATCATCTTGCAGTTACGGTCTCGAAAAGGAGATGTCAGGAATAGGACAAAAGCAGATCTGGGGGTTTTATACTTCTGTTGCAACCATTGTTGATCAATTGAGTGATTACCTGGCAATTCTCAGATACATAGGTCCAATTTCCCCACATTGGTCGGGGTTATCTCTCTAGGACACGGACATGGGCCCTAAACACATACTGACGAAGTTTATTCCTCCGGGGAGTATAGAGCAGCCCTCTTTTCTAACACTATTCCCGGTAAGTCCCGGGACTATTGTACCTAGAATTGCCGAGAACCACATATGTCCGTCGAAAAAGGCTAAAGTTGTAAGGGGATGGTTTCATTAGACGAAACTTGACCGACATAGGAGTTAATCTCCTATTCCTTGATCTAATTTACTCTCCATGGCACGGAAATTGGCCCGCAGATACATGTTCACGGAGTTTATCCCTTCGGAGGCCAACACGGCCGGCTGCCCGTCTCACACTATCAAACACGCTAGGTCCCTAAACGTTGCATCTCGAACTGCGGGGTACCAAGCGCATAGGGTGAGGAAGATTTAGCTCCAAGGGCTAAGCTGCAGGGTCATTTCTTCGGAAATTGCAAAAGCTTGTTTACCCTCCCCTCATAATATTACTTCGCTTATGTTATTATTCTATCGCACAGAGATGCCATACAACTTCCTTAAGTCTGAGATGGATAATTGATCGATGTAAGTTGCCCTGTATCTCGCGTTTCCAACGCTTGTGTCCGTTCCCAGTCACCGACGAGGTGTCAGACAGAATGTGGGGAACTTCCCTCCGCAGTACTCTATTTTCCTCCGCTTCAACTCAACCCACCAAAACAGCCCAAGTTTGGTCGATATGTCCGAGAACTGACCTTCAAGCGTAGCATGTATCCCCAAGGTGACAACTTACAAAAAAGCCGGAATGGTATCTCCACGAATCTCTTTTATTCAATTATCATAAACGTGCCGGCCCAAGCAAGCCTTTTAGCCTAAATTATGTTGACATCCGGGGTCAAGTGAGGTATGAGATCGCTGGTGGATATCTTGGTAAAACAGCAATGTGTCCTGTTGGGGTGACTTCACTTGCGTCGCCTATCCCGGGTGCCTACTTATGAAGAAGCTTGGTTAAGGCCTGATGGGCATAAAAGGACATCCTCGGGGAGATGAAACGCCCACAGAATGGCAAACTCAGCATAGACCGAGACGCTTCTTCGCTGGCATAAGGATGTAACCCATGGCCTGATACCAAGTGGCGTTTGCGCAGGGAGTTACGAGTGAGTAGTGTATATCTGCTTATGAATATTGATAGTGACTTGATTGATCCAGATCCTACATCAAATAGACTAATACCTGACCTATGTTACCTGTTAGCTCCTTCGATGAAACACGAGGAGGACGCAACGATTTCTGCGTGAAAGAACCATTGCTGATCTTAATCGTGAAGGTCACTTTCTATATCTTCAACAAACTGCTGGTTAGGATCCTAGGCCATGGATGAGACGTCATAGTCATAGTCAATTTCACTCACTACGTAGAGCCATTAGTTTGCTATCCAGTCTATGTAAGAAAAATATGGACCGCTTGATTTCTCTTGCCCTCAATTTACCATTCGGGCATTGAATGCCACAGTATGTGTCGTTTCTGTTCATACCGAAGATAAAAGGAATAAACAGTCTCGAAGTTAAGTATATAAGATCAAAACATCATTGAGATGTGTGACTCTTCTGATATATTATGAATTCCTTCATATGAAGATGTGAAGCTCTCAAGTTGGTGATTCGAATGCCCTTCCAAGCAGTATGTTAACAATATTACTTATAGTCATCAAACAAATCATTTCCTGCTATCAAAGGCGCGATACCAGTTAAGAGCAGATATCAGATATAGATAGCTGTTATGATTCTGCAGGTAGTCTAGTCATTCCCAGAGTCGTAAGTGCAACATCAAGTCCCTGATTCTTTCAGATCAGTAGATCAGCTTCTATCGTCGATGACTACGAGTGCCATTTTCCCAACGATCTAGATATAAGGTGCGGATAAGCGACTAGAAAATACATTTGAGAAACACGATTGAGGCTTTCTTAAATGCTTTGTCGGCCTTGGACGACATACTTTGATCAAGTTCATGAATCTTCCTACTGAAAGCTTAACGATACAGCGGGTTCGATCTCCTGCTCTGGTCAATATTGTAACATATCAATGAAATCAGCATTCTCTATCATAGCCACACTCGTAGGTACATACACGCAAGTATAGAAGCACACCTGGAGTATAATCTTGCTTCATGACGAGTTTTCGAGGAAGACGACCGACCTCTCCAGTCTTGAAGTGTAAGTCTCACGTAGTGCGCTTTCATGGGCCGAGAACACTCGCGTGCTTGGTTTTTGCTAAACTCCGTGACCTCGACCTAGACTCACTGCATGCTGTCACCATACACGCTACGTCATCTCAAAAACAACCCAGAACAAACTCTATACTTAGTGAATTGAGTACGATCGGCTTCTCCGAGCTCCTGAGCTGCTGTAAAGCATGAAACCCTGCCCTATGATCACCATACTTTCTCTATATAGCAATCAAAGAGAGATACCTAACTAAATCCAGCACCAGTGCTATCGTAGACGCCAGGAGATCAACCAAGCAGTCGTGCACGTTGACCGGACCCCAAACGCCCTACGCAAGATAAAACCCTATTTTCATCTCACATACCGCCATATGGGTCCCAAAAAATATCCGAACAAGATTCTGCAGGTTAGAAAATAGTAAAGAGCGACGACACATGGAGGGTGGAGGGGAGAAGCTAGGAAGGGAGGGGGCGATAAATATAGAAACACGCGAAAGTGGCGGGCCGATCACTAGCCCTAAGGGTCTTACTCGACTGGCGGGTGTTTGGAGTGGTGTTTGGTTCATCTCCAGTGCCGATCTCAAACTAAACTTAACCAACCCCCTCCCTGCTTAATCCCTTGGCTTTTGATCCCTTTTCTGTTCAGAGTTTGAACTTCACCACGCGATGGAGGAATCTACTGGTAGATAGAATTCTTGGCAAGGGTGATGGGACGGGTTTACTAAAAAAAATAAACAACATGCAGGGTGATACGAGCACGTCCCGATTAGGCAATCGGCCACGATGAATATACCTGTGTGACTACCTGAAACGACAGACTCGATGATTGGCATCCCTACTGCGCCCCCAAATCTGGACAGTATGAAATGTCCATTCTCGTGGGTGCGTCTATCCCTGCGTGCCACGCGAGGAGCTCCATGCACGCTCTACTGTACAGTAGCATGCTGTTCTATCGTGGGTCGGGCTGGAAACTGGAGCCGGCCGAATACGAGGTTACCCTTTTCTTCCCACCCTTTTAATCCAACCACGACATTTTCCGATGAGGAGCGAGGGAGTAACCGTACCCACCTACTGTAGTAGTCGCTGCTACTGCACCTGAAGTTATTTTGTTCGCTTAAAGTTTACTACACTTTGACCGCTGAAGATGCACTAAATATACTAGTATGCGGCGGCAGGTATTTTGCACGCTGCTATCCAATGGGGATGATCAAAAAAAGCTCATTTTATTTCGCTTGTTCTCTTTGCCTTCCCCGCTTGTTGCGCTATTCTTAGTATTCTTCAAGTTCCCGAGTGTTGATGTTCCTGGCGATCGTTGTTTGAATTTGGTGATGGGCCGGTCTTGGTATGTGTTGTGGAGTGAGGAGATTATAAGTGATTTTCATGATGGAGTGGAGATAGGGATTGATCGAGGATAGCCCGAGCGTAGAGGGGTAGGAGGTGACTCAGAAAGAGGGTGTAGCTATGTTTAGAATGAAAGTGTGATGAGCTGAAGCTTAAGCTGAACGTCATCTTAGATGTGATGTAGTTCTACCTAAGGAGTAGCCTGCCAGCATCGATCGTTGTCACGCCCTACGATCTAAATCGTAGAAAAAGAGAATTTGCACTAAGTACAAAGCCAGATTTGATTCAAGATATGAGATTTCAAAATCCAAACACCACCTTAATTTCTATTCATAGCCTGACCCCATTGTAAACGAAAAACATATTCAAGACAATCAAAATAGCTTACAGACGCTCCAAATGATGCCAACGAAAGATTGGAACAATAATGTCCGGGTATATATCACTTAGTAGAGTCATTTCCTTCAGCCCGCAACCGCAGCAGAGTCTGAGTAGCCACCAACGCTCATGCTCAATATCACAAACCCCCAAGATAAACAATAAAATGAGAAAAAAAAATTTGACATCGGTATAGAAACAGAAGTCAAATAGGTAGAAGAAGGATAAGTGAAGCGAATGGAGAGAAAAGTCTTTTCGAGGTTGGAATGTTTCGCGAAGCTCACGTCCAGCAAGTCTCCGGTGCAACCATCGCGGGCATCTCAAATGCATGCGAATGGGGGTAAACTTCCATGTTCAGGCCCAATGCCCCTTCATTTCGAGGCATATCAGCGCAGAGAACGTCGCCACCATAAGGGGGTGTGAAAGCCGAGGAATGTGAGATCGAGCTGGAGTGGCTTAGCTCCGACAGGCCTAGCTGTGGATCGTGGGCATCGAGAAGTTGTGGCGATGGCGGATAGAGGGTGTGAGTAGGTGCAGCGGTAACGTAGCCGTCTGCAAGGGTGAAGGGAGATCCGGCGACTGTCACGGCCGGAGGAGACTGGAGAGGAGGTGTGTAGGCGGCGTATGAAGGGGAGGCGGATGCGGGAGAGGATGATGAAGGGAGAGAGTATTCGTGCAGCCCGTGGTAGGGACTTGGTGGGCCAGGAGAGTAATGCTCGACCGAGGGCCGTGGAGACCAGGCCAGACGGCTGCGATATCGTGCAACGCAGTGGCGAGGCAAATCCATCAATGTCATAGTGAGACGAATTTCCGCGTTGAATGGATCTGTAGCGTTGTGTGCGGCGAGAATGCGATATGATTCCTCGATGATTCCAACAGATAGAGCTCCCAAGTACGAGCCACCCATATCAGGGTAGAAGCGGTCGAGAGCGACTGCAACGGCGAAGAATTGAGACAAGACAGAGAGGGCGTTCAGTTCGGATTCGCCATTTCGGAGGAGAGAAGGGGGTAACCAGAAGAGCCATTGTCGCAGAATCTGGATACGGTCGAAGGCTTGCTCGGGGGTCTGCGTGGGGAAGTCCTTGCGGAACTTCTGTACAAAGTCGATCAGCTCTCCCAAGCGTTGGGAGTGCTCTGCGTTGTGTGAGACTCGCTTCTGGGAAACCTGTAGCGCATGGATGGTCTGATCTAGCTGTGCCAGATCCTCGTCAAATGAAACTGGGAAATCCGAAGCGCTCAAAGCGCGCTGGTTCTCGACAAACTGTACAATCTCTGACTCCTGCTTCCAGACTGGATACATAGTCTCGAGGATGGAGGAAAGGCCCTGCTGCAACGAGACCCAGCTTTGACTAGTGGATGTTAGTAGTGCTTTTTTCCATGCTGAAACCACTTTAGTCCTTACTATTCGGTTGCTTGCCAGGAAAGCAAGACATGGGCTGAAACAATGGCCTCTGCGTTATCCTTGGAAGGAGAGGTGATAGCATAACCGAGCGCGGTCCGAAGACCCTTGAAAGCAGCTGCTTTGTGGTGCAGTGCGAGCTGCTTGGTTTCGGGATCTCGCGTGAGATAGGCAAGATGGTAGGCAGAGAGGGAAAGAAGGGCGCTCATGACGAAATCGTTTGACAGCGCAACACCCAGGAAACTAATCAAGACTCAGTCAGGTTCATGAATACAGACCCAAGCCCTCTTAATCGGAACCTACCTAGGCAACATCTGCGCCCACACTGTGCAATTACTGAGGCCTCGTCGATGTAAGTCGATGGAAAGCCCGATGAGGTGGTGAACCAGGCGCAAATCTGATCGAGACAGACCAGACCAGCCAGAAGGAGGGCATCCAGCAAGCTCTGGATATGGCGTGAGACCAGTCCTGTGCCAATTTTCAATCTCCATTTCGATTTCGGGAGACATAAGAAGATCTGGGCCGCGCCGTGAGGCGGGAGGACTGCCTCGTGCCGCGGCTACATCTTGATAGTCACAGCGACAGTTGTGCTTGGTGCAATTGCGACTAGAGATGTCTCTGTTAGATGCGCCATGTGTATTTAAGGATGTGTTTGCACTGCAGGACTTACCATTGTGGGAAGGTCTCATCACAGCGAATGTGTCTTCGCTTGCACGTCTTGCATCCATTCCTCGACTTGGTATGGCTCTTGCGGGGAGGGCCACCACCTGGACCGGCCATTGTAACTGTTATTGAGATATGCTGAAGGTAATGCGGGCAAAACAGTTCGGTCTCAAAGAAGACCGTTGAAGATGTTCAGAGTAGATAAGGCAAGGAGATGTCCAGTGGTTAAGGTAACCTTTCAAGGTGGGGTGATCAGTTAGATGAAGGAAATCGTTGATGAGTAGGATTGTCGGCAAGTACTCGAGCCGATCAGGTAGTTAAGTAATATAGACCAGATCGGAGAGATGAGGTCGCAGAAGTTTATAAGAGGCGATCGACCATGGGAAGTCCAAAAATAACTTCTGGCCGGTGGAGGAATGAAGAAATGTGTCGAGGGAAGTACTGGAGATGATGTCGTCCCGCACGTGGTAAATACGAGTTCGGCCGGGGGAATACCTCGCGCGGCCAAGATCGATCTCCGAAAATTCAAAAAATAAGAATTCCCCAGGGCGTTTTGAAGTTCGGTAAGGGGGGGGGGGGAGGAAGGTGTGAAGAAGGAGACGGAGGGTCGAATCAGGGCGGAATAAGGAAGAAAATAGAAAAAGCGTGTTGATGCTGAATTGACGAAGAGGGCGAGCTTGGATCAGCGTTGATTAAAAAAAAAATACCGTCCCGGTCCTGACGGTCAGGTGCAAAATGAGGCAGACTTAATCTTACAAAAAGGAATTAAAAAAAAAGAAAGAAAGAAAGAAAGGACTAAAAAGAAAAAAGGAATAATTATTATCAACTAAAAGGGAAAGGAGAAAAAGGAAAGCGAATTCAAAGAAGACTCATGATGCGAATTAGAATTCGGTTATAATAATTAATACTATTATTATTATAATTATATTTTTAATAATAATATTATTAGCAGGGCCACCTCTCTCGTCCCTCTTTTCCCCAGTGACGATCGAGATTTTGAGCCTCTACAGGGTCGCCTGGAATAGCCCTTTCAGCTCGGAGGGCTAACTCAGACCGATGACTAGGGAGCAAGTCCCCACTGGAGCGGGAAGACTGGAGACTGGAGGAAAAGAATGGAGACGCATGGACCAGGACAACCCTGGTCGAACTAACTGACCAGGCGGCGAGGACCACATGGCGCCAGTTGGAAGAGTCCAGGAGGCTGGGCACTGGGCAGACCAGCGATAGCAGGCCCGTCATAGTCTAATTCGAGGGGGGCTTCACCAGCTGTCTCCAAAGGCTTAGGCCCAACCAAGGGGAACTTCTCTGGGAGTCGCGCCTGTTGCATGGTGAGTGGTCGTTTTCATGGCCTGCTGGTTCCACCGAGCGACATGTGAGCTCTCTATCTGTCTGGAGGAGAAGAGTAGAATAATAATAGGCTCCCAAGTGGATGACGCGGGATGGATGAAGATTATGGTTGGTAATCATCCGCTCCCCAACCAGAGAGCTCCTGGACCGCTAAGGTTAGGGAACCTTCAGAACTGGGTATCATTCAGCGGCGTGCCGGGGGAACCCAAGGATCTCCGATCAAGAGATCGAAGCTCCAACAACTGCCCTTCTTGGGTGGACAGAAGTGGAGCCAAATCAAGAAAACAGCCGATGAATTGCCTGGGTCAGCCAAGCCGACCGCATCAACCATCATCTTGCTGGTTCACCAGCGGGGGGGGGAAGGGGGTGGGATAAGGTACCACTCGTCGCGCACTTTTGCTTGTGACACGCGGGCGAATCATGGCTGCCATGCTGCTGACGAGCTGGCTGGGCCTGGGACCAGGATGGGTAAGAGTTACTTGGGAGAGTTTGGGTACACAAGGGTCGCTGGGGTATGTTCAGAGCCAGAGAAGGGGGAAAGGGGCGCCAGAGGGAATTGGTTGAGCAAGAAAAGAAAAGAAAAGAAAAGACAAAAGAGGGGCTGATATTCCCCATTGCTTTTGCGCCTCTCTTTCCTGTCTTTTTGGTGTTTTTAAGTTGTCGATGTTTGTGTCAAGTTTTCCTTTTGGCAATGCTTCTTGTCTGGAGCAGGTCTCATCCCTGCAATCCCAGATCATTGGATTGAGGCGTTTGGGAGAATCATCACTGGTGAAAGGTGATCGTTTTCCTTGCGTCTAGCCCAAGACTATGCGGAGGCCCCCCTGAAGAGGCAGCCATGCAAACGTGGGAGAGGGGCCAGAAATGAAGCCTCCCAGCCAGAGGGAACAAGCAAAAAAGCAACGAAGATCCGATGATGATTGGACCTGCAGTAAGGAGAGAATGTGCCATGGATCGGCCTGGCAAGACTGCTGATTTGCCTAGCAGGGGCTTCCGCGATCTGAGAGGACCCTTGATGGTGGTGGATCACAACGTCGAGAGCCAAGAACGACCGTATACCCAGTTGGGTTAAGGGGCATGTCAATCATTCACACCATCCCAGGCTGGCTCCGTGGGTCTGGGCAAGAGGTTTTGAAGCAAACAAGCATGGATGGGAAGTAGTCCTGAAGAGGCCTAGCACAGAGCAGCCATAGACTCATAGTGGGACTCCATGGACTGGTGGACCAGGGAAAAAAAAAAAAAAAAAAAAAAGAGTCATCTGGAGTCGGAGGGAACGGAGGATTAACGGCCGACCGATGGACTTTGATTCTGTGGGCCTCGTTAGGCCCGTTAGGCCCAATTTCGGCTTGCTCAGCCTGGTGAGTCTCTTAATTTTGGTGTTTTATAGTTTGACGGGCGGGCGCCGTTTCTACCCGCACAAACATGAGACGCGGTAGCCTCAACTCGGTAAAGACACCCGAAGCTGCAGAGTTTGGGGCGTTGCAGAAATGGGGGAACTGCTGCGCCAGAACCTTGAAAGTGGAGGAAACGTGGGACAAGGAGCAGCAGAAAAGGTTGATGAAAATGTCCGTTGAGTAGTGGTTCAGTAATCATCATCATCATCATCATCATCATCATCATCATCATCATCATACCAGAGTCGGGATCGCCGTCTCATCTCTCCGTGACGGGCCAAGGGCCCAATGCGATCGTGGCATTGCAGGCCCGGCGCTCCGGAAACCCATTTCCCATGGGAGTTACCACAGGGCTGGAACGCAGGGAACTGCCTCCGCCTGGTCCATGCGGAAGATACAGAGCGGCTGTGAGGTGAGGAAGTGATGGTGATGGTGGTTGGTTGGCAAGCGAGAAAAATGCAAGACAGCGGGGAGGCGAAACGACGGGCACTCAAACGGGAAAATGCGCAGGGATTCGGGTGATACAGGGATGAGTCGAGCTCTTCTTTGCATTCAGGGGGACTTGGAACGGCTCTTCCATAGACTTGTGCGACGGGATGAAGCACATACACTGGACCATACATGGACTCGACCAGGTCATGATCTGATGGACGTTTCGAGACAGTCAATGCGAGCTTTCTGCCATTTGAGAGCAACAGACGATGACCCTGGTCCGTTAGCTCTGCTGCAACGCTCATCCTGACAAGATTGGACCGATGCGAGCGATTAGTAACCCATCGAGTAGTTAAATATTGTAACTAGTTGATTATCAAGCACTCGATATGGTTATAAAAGATCATCTGACGGAGTAATCTTCGATAAAATCAGAAAATTAGATACGTGCTAGTCAGACTAGTCTCTAAGTACACTAGGGCTACAACTAGGCAGTGAGACAAGATGTCTAGTGTCGTAGGCAATCTAAACTTTTTGATACTTGATGGGCTCTTTTATCAGCCACTCACACCCTGAAGGTCCAATCCTCTCCTCGCATTGTTTCTCATTCGTCTTGCTGCAAGAGGGTCACGCTGCGGGCCTGCAGTGACCGCTCATTAAAACCCTGCCTACCACGTTTTCTGGGGATGCGTGCGTGCCAGAAGTCGGTGTGTCCGACATGAAAGATACATGCAGGGGAATATACTTTGGGTCCGAGGCGACCGCGTTTCGAAATTGCCCGAGAAAGGAATATAACTGGATGAGATTACAGGAGACAACCGAATACAAGGTAAAGTAATGCATGCCTCTAGAGATACATTGACCGAGACCAGTATGTACATGCTTGGTACTTTGGTATGTAGCCCATCAAACAGCCACGAAGAATATCCATGCGTAGGTTGTTCAGTGTAGACACGCTGTGCTATGTACGGAGTACATTATGCAGAGTTTACAGAGTACTTTCTCCTAAGTTGTGTTTTCCAGGCCATATTCGATCCCCGTGCTCCCAACCTCCTTTCCAAGCTTCCATCTCTCCTCAAGCTGAATGACTGTGTAACAAGTGAGCCTCCTCAGTGGAATGGGTGACTGGTGACTGGTCTAGCCCAAGGAGAACCCTTGCTCCACACGTGGCTCCACGATCCTCCAACAATAATCTGCAGCATGACGATCCTTCTCGCATTATTCCACCTGTTTCATCCCCTCGGCCACGCTGAAAGATCCTGCTTACGCGGAGAGTAGCGCGGTACATTTGACAGAGTACCAGACTCCCAGGCAAACCTGGTGGTTGAAGTATGTACAGTCCAGTTCCCTCCAGGCTAAAAGAGTTAAACCCTGACCCATAGCACTTTTCTAACTCTTTCGGGCGCAGGGCGAGTGCCGAATACGCTTCTTGCCTGTAACGGCGCTAGGGCGGAAAATCCCGTTGAGAACCATGGGCTGTGCGTGCGGACTTGTTCGGGTCTCCATCAGGCCGGACCAGACATGCCAAGCGACTTGAGAGATCCAAAGTGTGGAAGAGGCTACTTCTCTCGAGAGTCATCCTGCAAGAGTCACTAGCCGGGAACAAGTCAGAAGTCAAGAGGTGGAGACCTCATCCCTCATCCGCCTCCACCATCTCCAAGCTAATTGACCCTATTCCCCCGTGCTGGGAATGCAGGAGGACATCATTGGGCTTGAAACAGCCTAGCGCTCTCGCTACTCGCTACATGGAGCCAAAATAAGTTTAGCGCCATCTGCAGAAGCTTTGGCAGGCAGGCAGCGGTTTGGGGGCCAAGCCGCTCTGACAGTCAACTTTAATCTCTGCTCGTGGGATTTTGGCTCCAGACTGGCTGGAGAAGAGCATTCCACGCCCTTGGGGACGTTGTCCTCGGAGGTTCTTCAGTGATTTGCGCGATGGAGATCCTTCGGCTACACTGCGATCGGAGCTCTGTCTTCCTCTCTTTCTCAATCCTTATTAATTCTAACAAGGTCCTGCCCACCAGCCGAATCTATCAATCATAATTACCGAGTACAGTATTCAACAACAGAGCACTAACTAAATTTGGGTTGAGTAACGTGGGAGTCATTCGAGTAAACTATCCGTCTGCCTCATCTGGAGGAATATCTGGCACAGTTGGAGGTATCCACTCACTTCCCTTCCCCGTGTACCTATCTAATCTGGCCTATTTCGGTCATTTGCTAGACAGGATGAGCGACTTGATTCCGGCCTTACTGTAATGGAAGATAGGTCTGGAGTCATGGTACTCCGTACAAAACCCTCGCGCGCGCGATACTCCGGATCCGTGGACGTCCAGTTCCATACATTGGATCCAGGGTCTGCAGCAATTAACCAAGAGAGCAAAAGAACCATAGTTCCTAGTCTTCGATATTCGGACAGCTCAGCTCATTTTGCAGATGACATCGCCCAGCGTGGGCAAAGGTCTTTTTGTCCGCAGGAAAAGAAAGCACGGCCCATGGGAGGCAGACTACGCTAGGCAACTTTAACCCGCCAAGTTTGTGCCATCGTAGACGCGTGGGACTCGAGGTTAATTCGCCCACGCTTCTTTTGTCCTCCCGTCGATCTGCGCCCTGCGATCAACACTGGCACTTGTCCAGTAGTTAGGGCGTCCGGTCTATCGGGTCCAGACAGCCGAGCTGGGTCGAAAAAGGGTTCTTTTACTCCCTCTCCTCGAAGTAACTACATACTACTGTAACTACTTATCGGAGGCCTCTGGGTCATGTCGTCGATCGGATAATTCACAGAACTCTCTACCGACTAATTTTGTTTTGGTGGCACTAGTGCTATTCTGACCTAAGTATGCCGTAGCTCTCTACCAAGCATCCAAAATATAAAGGGGGAAATCCCAAAGCATAAAACGGGGGTCGCACTTTAGACCTATTTAACCAAGCGAGATGAAATGGGTAGATACATTGGTCCTGCACGGTTTCAAGCGAGACGAAACCTACGCTCGAAATAGATCCCACTAAAAGTGTAAACTCCCTTCGCTCACCCGCAAGCTTCTGCCCTAAAGGCCTTCGTCCCGAGCAAAGCCCAAGTTAAATAAATAAAGTCGTTAGCGTCAACCTTCTTTTCCACCCAAGCCACCACTGCAATCCAACCCGCTTGTCCGCGACGGGCGTTCTCCTGCAACGCCTGGCTCCGAAGGCAGCAACGCCTGGTGTGAGGCTGAAAACACCATGTTGGCCTGATGCGCGATCTGACGAATGTGGTCTTCTAAAACCACAGGATGGCGGGCTATCCATCTCACCTAGCATGAAGGCATGTAGTCATGATGACCTGGGGTGTGTATCGCAGCCGCTACGCCGCGAAACGAAACTAAACTACTGTACGGGGGTCTGGAAAGTAGACTAGACTGCAGGTAGAGAGCTATTCTTCTCAATTACTTCTTAACCTCCAAGTTCCATCTATCGCCAGGGCACTTCTTCAGTGGTCTTGCCCGTTTGTCATCATCATGAGGCCAACATGATGCCGAGCCACCGCCTCGACCATACTGTTTGGCTGTTGCAACCCAGTCCATCAACAGTATAACAGCATAGCGATGTCATAAAGGCGACTATTCGTCCGATCCAGTCCTATCACCACATATTGTATATCTGCATGGCAGCTGGTTTTTGTTCTTTCATTCCCTTGTCTCTTCCTTCTCTCTCCCGAATACAGAAAGCTAAAGCGTTTCGACCAACCTCTGGCCTCAATGTGATCTTGGTTTGTCTCTCTTGCCGAGACCAGTTCTTATATTTTTTTTTTTTTGGTTTTTCATTTTCTTCTTGGCGTGGCTGATTCGAACTTAATTGGCGTCTTCTACCCCGCCGACAATCTAGGTCATCAGGGTAAAAGACAGAACCAGCCGCGATGGGTTTCCACAAATCGTCTATGAATGTTGAGCTCAAGGGGGGCCATATACTCACTGCATACTGCGCCCGCCCGACTGGGGACGCCTGCTACTCGGAATTGGATCTGAACGGGTTTCTGGGTATCAGAAAAGGTAAGTAGTCGTCATTTGAATCTCACCTCGCTCCTTCCCGTCTGCTTGGTCATTTCCCCCTTGGATTTTGCAGTCTGCCTCGCGGTGGCTGGCGACAGGTACCTGCATCGCACGACATTGGAACGTTGCCGCGATCCAAAAAAGCCACTTCCCATGGCGGGCAGGATGAAAGGTGTTATGACGAGCACGACTAACGCGAGACACCGCCCCCTAAACTCCTAGGTAAACTCACATGGGGCATCAAAGACTTCTCGGAATCCGCGAACGACATCCATCTCGAGTGGGAGGGAGACACCAAGCCCAAGAACCCGATTCTCCATGCCGAGTTGATGGACGGCGAGGAAAATCACGACTCTTGCGTGAATCTGGCGGACTGCATCAAGAACGAGGATGGACGTCTGCGGTTCATGGAATGTTTCTAAGTTTGGATTGGTGTACTGGGCAGCTAGTTTGTTGCCGGTTTTGGGTACTCGAAATTGTGATAGAAATTGAATACTCCGTACAGGACGAAGGATGGGTCAATGATAGCCTTTCCACATACATCATATTATCGTTGTTGCAAGAATGTTACTACCGGGTGTACGGAGGACAACACATTGAAGACATCTCGGGATCTATCGACCAAGCCGTGCGATATCCCAAATGGGTTAATGAGACGCACCCAGCACCATCTGGCTTGCCGAGGCGCGGCCATCACACATAGATCGATGAGAACAAAACTTGGGGGTGATAGATAATCAAGGGGGAGAACGAAAACGGATCCCATGGAGACCGGTGTTGTAAAGTACAGCTGAGGCTGAAAATGAAACTTCACATACCCTTGTAAACCTCCTGAGACGAATCCAGAGTAACAGAAAGTGCCCAGTGCCCAGTGAAGCATAAGGGGGGGAGACAAACACCCAGCTCGTGGATTGCCGCCTTTTAAGGTATAGTCGCGACCCGCCACTTTGTCACTGTCAATTAAACCACTAGTGTAGCCGGGGTTGCCCCGAGTAGCCTCAATATGCACGTCACCCGGCGAGGGGCAGGGGACTCGCGGAGCAAAGGAGAGATATTCTGCGAGAACGGTGATGCCGAATGCCATTAAGGCAGCCAGGATCCGATGCTAAGGGTTCCTAAGGTGGTGAGTGGCCAGTGGCCATCCGATCACATCGCGCCTTCCACTGACACACGCTAACCTCGGCTTGATCCTTGTCTGGAGTTCCAGGGTCTGCAGATTAGAGGGTGTGGGTGTGGTATACTCCGTGCTCCGGACGGAGTGCGGAGGAATCGCGATGGATAAGGGAGAGGGAGGGCCTGTCCTTTGACGAGGATGATTACTCCGTACTCCGTCAAGGAAAGGCACTTGAGTGGTGCCAACGGCAAACCCAGCACGCGGGTCCCTCTTTTTCGTGGAAAGCAGCAGTAAAAGGAAAGGCTCGCGTCTGTCTTGGTGTGCCCAGCACCAGGTAGCCGACCAATCGCTATCCCGATCGACTTAAGCTCAGACTCCCGAGGCGTCAAATAAGCGAGCTTTGGTGAAGATCTTGTCGGAAAGGGCAGACAGGCGATGGCTCCGCTACTATTTACGGTGAGGCGGGAGCGTCCAGTAACTGCATTGGGAAAAGCAGATATATACCAGTGATGAAGGGTGAGTCGTGAGTCGTGAGTTATGGAAACAAAGCCAAGGGGATCAGACTCCTAGTCTGTACCTTTGACTGGCTAAGGAAAGCACGTATCCAAAAATAATCTTGCGGATAATGCCGACGTCGCAGCGACAGAGAAGAGATGGCAGAGAGGTACAGGAGTGCTATCCTGGAAAAGGCAGGAGATAGGTAAAGACCGGCCCATCACCCCGCCAGTAAGTTTGAATGAAGTTTCATGGAGGAGGCATCTACCTAGGTATCTAATCTATCTATCTGAAGGGAAAAGGTGGAGGTGAAAACATGGAGAGGGATGCATTGCTGAAGCAAATCGATAAGCATCGAAATGCAGAGGGAGAACAACAAAGAGGCAAAGGGGGAACCAAATCATAGATGAAGTGAAGGGTATCAGAAGATATCCATTCCCCGAGCAATCATCAAATCTCACGTAGATGAACGGCCAGATCAAATGACTCGATCCCCTTCTGCATATTCTCCTCTTCGTGTTCTCGTCCTGATAGTAATGGATAGGTATTCATCATGAAGAGATGAATGGGGGAAAGCAAAGGAAGTATGGGAGCAATCAAAGAGAAAATAACGCCCAAATATGACGCTCGCGAGAATCGTGACCTTATAATACCCATGTACCTACCCAGCTCACGCACTTCCTCCTCTTTCTAGGTCAAGCGAGAATGGTCAAGCAACACCATGATGGAGAGTAACTTTAAAGGAAAATCGATGATGAATAAGGGGAGAAAAGAAACGGAAACGCTGGATTCAAAAAGACGGCGACTGGAACCTTATGACAGGAGGCAGTTCTTGACTTCTGCCTCAAGCCTTGAAGAACATGTGCAATTGTCCCAAGGAGAGCAAAGAGGTAGAGGAAAATAGATTTTTGAGGCCGTCATTCATAAAAATGTCGGTCATTGCACCGTTGCACGAGAGTCTCATGAGGCCCACCACGTAGTTGAGTCGATGTGAGGGAGATTCGGGATAGTCCAGCTGCCAGGGAGTTTTAGATGTTATAGGCTGAACGCAACTTTTGGGCCACGGGGCCAGGAAGCTGTGAGAGGAACGAATCAAAGTTGGGTATCATATGTTTGTAGCCTTGCAGGACCTGTTGTCATGATTTTGTTAGATGGGAAGCAGATAATTATGTTGATTTTGAAGCAAAATTTACCTGCTGGAATGAACCTTGGATATCCCGATACTCTTCTTGTGAAAGCGTCTTGGTCGGGAACGACGCAATTGACTGGAAGTACTCTCCCAAGCAGGCCTCCATGGCCTGAGGATTCTTCATGACCATGTTGTTGAAGCCCAGGAAAGCAGACGCCTTCTCACGGGTGAATTCAATCTTGCTCATGGACTTCAGGAACGGCGAAGCAAAATCGTGAAGCTGCGGTGCCAGAGAGTCAGGGCAGCAGAGTCCGAGTCGACCCAGAGCCATGGCAGCATTCTCGTTGACGGAGTCAATGATCTCCTCGTTGTTCATGATGATAAGGAGGGCGTGGTACAGTTTGTCAGCATAGGGGGCAAGCGCAGCCTTCTCATTGACTGCGATCTCACCACAGGACCAACAGGCATTGTTCAGCACACTGAAACCCGTTGAGCGATCATCATCCCGAATGAGGTCCAGGTCAAGTTGCTTGATGAGAACCGGCATGATAGTGGGGATGTAAGGCTCCAGGTGCGGGAAGATGCTGATAGCACAATCACCCAACAAAGCGTAAGAAGACTGGCGAACCTCATAGTTGGGATCCTGCATGCAGAAGCCAAGCAGGTCAAAGAAACGGGGCTGAGAGTTTGCGATTAACTCGCCGCTCTTCTGTGGGTCGATGGCCTGGATTACAGCGCTCAACAGATCCAAGCTAGTGACCAAGAAGTCCTTGTCAGGCTCATCAATGGCCTCGTTGCTTTGAGAGGCGATGAACTCTTCGAGGTTCTGGTAGATGATTTTATTGCACCGCTGGAAGAGGTGAGGAGCAAATGGAGCAAAGGCATCGCCGTATGCGGCAGCGATGTAACCCAGACATTCGAGCAACGGGAACAGCTCCTGTGACTGATCGGTGACATGGTTGTACCGATCAATCAGAGCAGGCATGAGGATTTCGACAAGCTGTGGCTTCGCCAACTCGGTCATGACACACTCGGCCAGAGTCTGGATGCAATCGTAGAGGATATACATGTTGCGGTCCTTGTACTTACCGAAGCACTGGACAAACTGGCGGAGGATGGGCTCGCAGTAAGGAATCAAGTTGTCGTCCGACTTCTCTTCCAAGCTGGCAAAGGCTGAGGCAGCGGCTTCCTGCACCTTCTTGTTGTTATCAAGCATGCGAGTCAGAATACCCTCCATCATCGGCTCAAAGTACTGTTGCTTCTGGGTTGGGTCTTGGAGATGTGATGCCCATTCTGAGTAGCGTCCGAGGCACCAACAGGTAATCTGCCGCACGACAGGCTGAGCATCATTCAGCAGAGAGATTAGGTATGGCACAAGCTCGGGGAGGTGAGGAGTGACTGCATCCATGCAACCATCGGCAACGGCGCCCAGGGTGAGTACAGCCGCCTCACGGTTGGGCCACTCCTCGTGGCGAAGAGTCTCCTTCAGGTAGGGCAGGATAATCGCAAAGATCTGGTCGTGGTAGACATTTGAGAAGACATCCAGTGCAGCGGCAGAGCACTTGCGCAGGGTCCACTCGCCCTCAGGATCATCCCCGAATTCGGAGTCCTCAATCTCGCCCTCGCTCAGATCATCCTCGTCTTCCTCTGGCTGCTGCTGCTGCTGCTGCTGTTGCTGCTGCTGCTGCTGGCCATTGGCCGCCTGTTCACCGGTCTTGGATGTATCCAGACGAGCACCCTTTGACTTGGCGAACTTAGGCTTCAGATCTTCGGCGCGATCCTCCTCATCAGCATCGTCCTCATCACCCATGAGACGAATAACGTCCTCCTCCTCGTAGATCATGTTGCGAAGCAGAACAGGAATAACCTTATGCATGTATGGAGTCAAAGGCTGGCGAAGGCTATCCTGTTCACCAGCAACAATCCAAAACTCAGCCGCATCAAGAGCAAGCTCCGGGTCCTCCTGATTTTGCTGCTGGATAAGAATGTAGGTGACCAGACCCTCCATGTGTGGAATGAGCTTCTCCGGCGAGAACTCCACCAACTGCGAGAATGACTGGCACACCATCTTCCGCACTTCAGTGTCTTCGTCTCCCGAGAGGCTGAAAAGTTGCGAAAGGAACACGTCCAATGAGGCTACCAGAGCAGGCGGCATGTGGGGGAGGAAGACATGAATGCTGTTCAAAGCGAGCGAACGAATGCGAGAGCTCTCGCGAGTGGTGAACTCAAGCAGCTTCGGAATGATCACATCAAGCGGGCGTTGTCCAGAGTAGTCTCGGTCCAGGATTTTGCGATTGTCCTCACAGACCTTGAACAAGGCCGCCATCGCAGCCTCCTGGGTAGCGATGGTGACGTTACCTTGGTCATTCCCGACGAGGGACAGCAACTCCTGCAGGACCTCGGGCCAGGCCAGCAGCCCACCCTTCTGCACCAGCTCAGTAATGATACTACCAACACCTCGCTGGACTTGACGGTCGTTGTCTCGGAGGGCGACCAAGGCGGCGGAACGAATGAAGTTCAGACTCTGCTGAGGAATTGTGTTGTAGGCCAGCGAGAGCTTCGTTTTCATGTTCATAGTAGCGGCGAAACGGACAATGCCGTAAGTACTGGGATCAATACCCGCCGCAGCCACGGCGGGAGGCACCTGGGGCGTCGAGAACATGTATGTGATGTAGTTCACATAGTCCGGGGACGAAGTCGCATGCGACAGCATCTAGTACCCACGTAGGACTCCGGTCAGTAATTGCGATACTCGTCGTAGTGCTGGTGGGTGCGTATGTCTTTGATACTCGAGGGTAAAGAGCGGGGAGGGGACAAGTGCAGAGGATCTTCACAAAGGGGAAAAGAAGGGGATTCAGGTACATCTTCAGCTTGTTTTCTGAGCTGGGGGTCCACGCTGTTCAGCGAGTCCCTGAGACAGCAGGCCAGCTGCCTCAATGGCTCATCTTCGGGTTGCCAATCCATGTTGGAGCGGTGCAAAGTTGACTGGTCGCAGCGACTGTGAGAGCAAAAGTGATTGTGGCACAAGGAGCCCCGCCAAGAATGTGGGAACGGGCCCCCCTTCGCTGATGCCCCGGATCGAGGGACAAATCTGCAACAAAGAACCCTGATCTAAAGACAAGATCAGTTTTTTGAATTTGGATTTGAAATGCGGAGGACAATGTTGCACGGTGAAAAATAAAAAAGTTTTAGGACCGGTTCGTCTGCCCTATCGAATTTCGAGGAGGTCGGGAGGTGGCCCTGGCAGAAAAATGTGTGGTTACCAAGGCGGTGAGTGGTGGCCAAGGCGGTCAATGGGTCTCGAGTGGTATAACTGGAATCCCGATCACGAACTGGTCCAACGACGAGACTCGTGTAGGCGCGATAGGCGGGGTAAAGGCCAAGCGCAGGTAAACCTCTGGAATTCCTAAGTAACAACCTCAAGTTAGTGAGATTTAGAGAAACTTGGAACGTTGTAAGAAAGCTGGAGATTGGCAACGGAAAAAAGGATGTGCCGGGAGCGAGCGAAGTATATATCGCGAGACGGCTGCGACTGGAAGTGGGATGGAGTGCGAACACGTATAAGCTTGTCGCCAGCTGAAGTCTGCCCGGGAAGTAGGAGAATGATCTGATACGTACCAGAAGTTGTCAATGTAGCTGAGAGCGTACCGACACGAATCTCAAAAGTGACGTAAATACGGGCTAGAGATTCTAGATCGCGTGAGAGGTTCGGAGGATTCGTGATGGAGGAAGCTCACCCTCGTCTAGTAGCAGTTAATGTGGCCGCTACATGATAGAATCGAGTGGAGAATAGAGTCCGGGCAACGATCCTTCCTGGCACGGGGCCCTCTGTGTGTCGCGAGGCAAGGATCGATCTCTAGACGTATAAAGGGAAGATGAAGACTGGAGCATCACCAAACAAGTCATCAATCGAAAGGCCAAAAATGAAAAAGATACATTCTACACGAGGATAATAACCGGAAGTTGCCAGCTGCTCATGCGAAATCTGTCTCAATTCCCTTGGACCAACCCATGCGTATCTGCAAAACATTATATACGTATCTATCAATCCACCAACCCGTTCAACGATCAAGCCATCAAGCCCAAACCATCTTCTTAATATCATAAACCAAATACTCCAAAATCCCCGTCCTCTTCTTCGCCTCCGCCAAAGAGATGATATCGCACTGCTCCACCACCGACGCGCTCTCTACATTCTGCCCATCCCCGGCCAACAGTGCGCGTTCAATATCCAGACATATAGACCGCACCCGGTCAAGTTCCCGTACGTTGACTGCACCACTCACAGGGCCGAGTCGCGGGCTAGCCACGGCGTTCTTTGCGGGTAGGGACTTGAACGCGACGAAGCGGGTAGTGGCGCGCTTACTGCCGCGCAGCCAGGAGACGAGATCCCACTCGCCGTTGGAGCTGGATGAGGCTTCCAATGTTGCGGGACGGACGTTGGACTGTAAAGAGCGAGTATTGACGCGTAGGGCGTTGGCGTCGCCGTCGCGGTAGATGATTACCAGACCGACGTTGCTGCGCTCATCTGACTGGCTGTCTGTCAGGATGGAGGTGATGTATGTCCCGTAGTGAATGCGGGAAATGGAGCGGAGGTCGATGCGCTCAAACGAGAGTACCTTGCCTGTCTCCCAGTCGAAGCGGCAGCTATAAACTGCTGCGTCAGTGAGCAGAAGGACAGACTCTTCGAAGGGCAAGGTGCGTAGTGTATTCGGTTGGCGGGGAGTGAGCATTGTCCAACCGCCGAGGAATTCTTCTGAGGGACTGCTAATGACGATCTTGCAGCTGGTGTCGATGGCACTTTGTCGAATCTTTTCGACGGAGATGCCCGGGTCGGTGGTTTGGAGCTCCATGGAAAACTCGTCGAAGACGTGAGTTGACACATTACCGAGGAGGTAGTCGATACAGGCTTGTGAGAAATAGTCGTTGACGATGTTGTTATAGTAGCGTGATAGCGTGAGACCGAAGTCATTGAGAGCACCGCGATAGTCACGTTTCCGCGTGCGAGTATAGTCACCCTTCAGAGCTGCAGTGGACGAATACTGCTTGGAGATGGCGTCGCCGTTGTCGGCCCAGAGAGTATTAAACCACTGTGTAGATGAGTCTCCGCCCAGGTCAATGTGAATGCCTTCATGATGAAGCTGCTTCTCGAGTGCCGCCTGCCCAAAAGCGCACTGCGCAACGCCCGTCCGGTCAAGACAGTCCATGCAGTTTGTTCGCACAATGCCAGTCTGCTTGCGTGAAGTAGAACCGTCCTTAACGACCGTATATTCGAACTCCTCCAGTGTGTCTTTGACACGATCAACCAAGCGCGAGACGTTTTCAAACTTCATCCCGCGACACTCGCTGTGGAAATCGAACCACTCAAACTGCAGTGGCGTCCCATCGATGCCGCCCGCCTCATTGAATACATTAGTATATCGTTCGTATTGTTCTCCCAGCTTCAACTCCCCAGCATGCTTGTCAATCAGAGAGACGGCCTGGACCTTGCCATATCGGCGGCTCATTTCTCGGAAGTGTCTACCAAAGGCAAGTTGGTTGGTTTCAGCAGAGTGATGCATTATCGGCATGGGCTTGAAGGAATACGGCGACTGGGAGAAGTACAAGGGGATTGACCCTCGCACTTGCAAGTAGGAATAGACATTGTGGGATGAGTCCCAGTCTGGCACCGAGAGAATCTGTTCCGTCTCGACGGTATTCGCTGTGTTGCCTTCATCATCTACTCCACGGCGCAGGTATCGAAGACCAGGTCGATTAACAGACCGCCGCGAAATAAGTGTCAGAAGGAAATTATGCTTAGGCGCTTCTGTTTTTTCCTGGGTCTCAGTTTCTTGGCTCTCACTGAGAATTCGGCCTTCAACGTGCTGGTCCTCGGCAGACTCTGTTGACGATGGCGTCTGCTCAGGAGCAGCCACTGTAAACTCACGCTGCCCAACGAAGCCCTGTAGGAGGGGCAGGACAAAGCCATGTGCACCATTATCAATGAATGTATTCATGAGATATTTGTTCCAAAAATACTGTCAATGAGTCAACATCTATCGATAAACAAAAGCAATGGCCGATGCATCTCGAGTAATGCCACAAGAACCTCGAAGTAAAACATACCAGTGGATCTGCTGCCTTGTGGAGGGGTTGATGTCCATTGCGCACTTCCTGCGCCTCAAATGACCTCGTCAAATCATAATCATATGCAAAGAAGAAATTATGCGACGCAAAAAGAATCTTCGTATATCGAAGGAGCTTCGGCAGTAACTCCGCCGCCTGATCAGAGCTTGGACGACTAACGTCGCCCTGTGCAGCAGCCTCAGCCTTAACTTCAACCTCTCGCGGGACCGCCGCCTCAGCAGCCTCAGCGACCTCATCCTTAACTTCAGGAGCATCAACCGACATCCGCGGCGAATCATCAAATGGCGACTCTGGAACCTCCTGCTGCGCACCAGGCCGGGGCAAGCCCAGGTTCTTGCGCGACAGCCAATTCGCCGCGAATCGGCCGAAACGCACGCGCTTCCCAATTACATCCTCGGCGATACTACCGACGCTCAGCCCACGGGCATGGAATGTCTCACGGACAGGCGAAGATGGTGCGCTGTTGATTTCTGTCTCTGCTCCGTCTGTCACATTATCCGGCACTTCCTCCTCGGAAGGCGAGTCGAGATCTGGATCACCCTGTGAAACCTCTTTCCTAGCCTGGGCAATCGCGCGGGAGGCGTCAGCTTTGGAGGAGATGGGGATAATGGCGACATTGGTCACGGCGTAAACAGGGCGGCCTTGTATTTGCGCAACCTGCTGGCGCTGAGTGATGGAGATCAGGAATGAGTAGGATGCGACAGATAAAAGGCCTATATATTTGAATTGTGTTAGGGCTGTAAAGAAATCGCGCCGCCGCCCTAGCCCCGCAGGAGCGCAAGCTTACCAACGAGTCCGTATGCCTCTAGCACGTCCTGCCCTTCCAATGACTCCGATGAGGCGGGCAATGCGGTAATCTTGTTCGTCTTGTAGTCGATTCGAATCGAAGACGCTTCATTGTTGCTCCCGTTATGATTAGACCGCAGTCCGTTGGCGCCATTCCCGTGCAGAATCAGCCCATCGACTGCGGCGATGATAACCAGTTTCCGCAAAAGGCCTGGCATATCGCTTCGGTGCGGCCCCGGAGGTTTCAAATGCGCGGCAGCGAAATCGTCGGGGAGCCAGTTCGTCACTGCACCGTGGAGGGATAATGATATTCACGGAACTGACTCCATCAACCGGCTGAGCAGAATGCTCGTGGGAAACAGGAACTTGCATCCCAGCTGACCAGCGAAATACATCATCGGATCGGAGAGGCCCCACTCCCGACCCTCGGCCTACTTAGCTAGCCAATCTTTGACTGGGAGAATTTTGATTTCGAGCATGATCCTACCACGTACTAATTTTGATGAGCTTTATGGGCAAGAATCAGTCATTTGGATTGGATTCAAACATATTGACCAAATCTCATTGCTAATCTTATGGCTAATCCGCTGGCCTGGCCTTTTGCGTAATTGCGAATTAGATCGAATGAGTTCTGATAGAGAGTATATTAGAACGATCATCTCCTTCTGGTCGTCTTTCTAGTCCTTCTTCTAGTCATAGTAGATAGGGCTATAGGATGCAATGGAAAATTTTCTACGATTTGACTTTCAAAGACTGTGGAGGTGGAGGGTTACTAGAAGGGACTAGAACTGGGTTATAACCTATCTCGTGATAATGCACTTCAAGATTGTTTCCTTGCGGTTGCTACCACTGCTGTTGCTCAACATCCGGCCGAGTCCATCTGTGACTATTACACTACTGCGTTGCTGAAGCAGTAACCTCTACCATGTTTACGTTGAGGTGGTTACTGTCTACTTGCAGATATGGCAAAAGAATTATCGAAGGAAAAAAAAAGAACAGTTCCAATGACCACACGGTATATACAATGATGCCTCTCTCGCCCCAGTACCAAGAAAAAAGATCACAAATAGAGAAAATTCAACCATTTAGAGAACCCAGAAGTCATATCCAATCATTTCATACGGGCATGTCCAGTGCCTGGGTATGAGATTGCCCGTCAACCCATCTCAGGCATTTTGACGGCAATGGTAAAAGTACAAGGAGCTCGGGGGAGAGACATAGAGGAGAAGCCAGATGGGCTGGTAGCTCGGGATAGGTAGGAAGATGAGGAAGAACAAAAAGGAAATGGTTTAGAAAGCATGGCGACAGTTGACCTCGTGAAAATGCTGAGAGCGCTTAATGTTCGGTTCAAGACACTCATGGATATTTCGATCGAACTAGACCTGGGTGTTCTTCTTCGTGTGCATCACAGTCCGTTCGCGCCCGTCATTTCGCGCGTAGGTAGGGCCTGGCTCCCCGTCGCTCTCTGCTAGGTCGTCCATGCCGATCCCATGGTTGTTCTCGACATCATAGGAGTGGATGAGACCCTCCCGATCGCCGTGGCCGTTCATAAAGGCAATGCTCGACGAGCTTCGGCGAGATTGCATGGACCGCCGGGTCTGGAAGCTGGAAATCGCGTCGGTGGGGACGCCTTCGTCGTCGAACTTGGAATTGACGAGATGCCGGCCATCGGGGTCATGCCGAGAAAGGTTGAGAAGATACACTCCCGTGAAGATGATGAGGAACCCACATAGCAAGGAGATTGTGTTGACTGCATCGGTGGTATTGAATCCTTGGAAGAGAATGAAAGACGCGCAGAGCGTAGCTGTCGTGAACGTCACGTAGTAGAGGGGGTTAACACTATTAGAGCGATCTTCATTAGTACTCAACTTCTCGAAATTTATCTTGATTTCCTAGGCTGTTCCACTCACATCGAGGTCGAGAAGGCGTTCAATGCCTTGTTGATGTAATTCATCTGGGTGAGAATGCAGAAAGCGGTAACAATGGCGAAAACGTATGTGGATGCGTGGACGAATTGGTTGTTGCCTCCGATTGTCAGTTTCACTGCGATACCGAAGGCCTTGACAGACATCACGGAGATGGAGCCGACAGTCGAGCAAATCGAGATGAAGATTAGAGGATTCTTTTTTCCGTACACCGGAGCGACTCGATAGATCATCACGGTGGAGAAAATTGCAACCGCCAAGCAGTAGAAGAGGAATCCTAGAAGCAAGGTTAGTGAATTCGAGGAAAGGCGCGGGGATATGGCTTTCGGCAAACTTACCTGGCTTCACGGCATACGCCAGGATCTCATCAATCCGTTCCACAGGCTTGTCTGGAGGCGCGTGGAGGACGATAACGACCGAGCCGAGGAGGCACATCGCACAGCCCAGTTTACCCAGTGTTCCCAACCGCTCATTCAAGAAATATGAACCAAGAACCGCACTGCGAGCTATCAGCCATTGCTGCCGATCAAAATTGGAGGAAATATTGGTTTGGCTTACCCGATCAACACACTGAGTGCGCCAAGAGGCGTAACGAGAATCGCGGGCGCAAATGCATACGCGGCGAAGTTGGCGACTTCTCCAATGGCCACTGGTGTATCCTGTTAGCTTTGTCGCCTAGAAATTTCCAACCTAACGACGCGGGATTCATACATGTCACCACGCCCCCCCCACCAGATCGGGCTCTTCAAGTATGAGAACCCTTCTCCTTCAAAACCATGCTGCCTGTTGGCGTGTTGTAAACCCTGTAATCATCACCATCAGCGCTCTGGTCCCACTTCCATAGCTCCCCGCTCCGCCAGATGGAGGGTAATCGCTGCCATCGGGCCGGGTATCTCTTATTGTCTTCAATCGCTATTCAAGTCCAGACGAACCTTTTTCGTGATCACGAAACTTGTGCCTAGTGTACCGCATTAGCTGGACGTCCAGGCGACTTTGAAACAGACATGATCCAAGGGATCCAAACGTACCGATGGCCATTGTTGATAGGATGGCTAATATTAGCCCGACATATCTATTGGCGATTGCGCAAGTTAAAACTTCTTGCCACTTTGTCCACAAAGAACCAGCGCATGGAAGCGCCAAGAGTCTGGGGGCGGGCGACGTACTTGTCCGGAAGCATGTTGACGCAGGTATATTCAGGAGCGGACGGCTCCTACTGTTCGAAAGACCTCCACTGCCAGCAATGGATATCGGGGAGGGGGCAGGGGAAATGGAAACGAGCGACTTGGTCAACGAAGGGAGAGCGTGGTGAGCTGAGCGGGCAGCGGGCGGCGGGCGGCACGGGACCGAGTCAACTCCACGGGTGAGTTCGAAGGGAGGGAGGAGGGCGAAACGAGCGCGCCAGAAAAACGAGCCAGCCCGAGGTTTTCTGTTTGAGAGGATAAAGAGGAGGAGTGGGAGGACGTAGTGGTGGTGGTGGTGGTGGTGGGGAGGAGGAGAAAGGCACGAGAATAGTGATGAGTAAGAGGACAAAGGATGGAAGTCGCAAAGCGCAGCCGAGTAGTACAGTCGGACAGAGTACAGAGACCAGTCCTGCGTACAGGACAGGACAAAGTGTTCGGTGCCTGCGTGCGGTGGGGTTCCGTTTCGAGACTGGGCCGATCGGGACGCGTAAGAGTAAACGGCTGAGGAAAAAAACCCAGGAAAAAACACCACAAATGCCAGATCGTCTCTGTAGCTAGTGACGAGATTTTCAGGGGGGTGGACGATATGAATCTTGTTGTCTATTGCCTATTGTTGATAGAGGAGGTATTCGAACAGCCTACTCCGTACATGCTATCTCTCTATCTACGGTAGGTACGGAGTATGTACAGACTGTACTCGAACTACTTAAAATCACCGCCAGTCCGTAAGTCATTGGTCGAAACCCAGGAGCAAGAAGAATAATTAATATCAAGCACCTGGACCATGCCCAAGTTTCAGCAACACACAATTTTAATGCTTGGACCCTGAGTGTTCCCAGTGGCGGCGATCGTCGTTTCATATCGATCTGGCCACCCAACCGCATTCGGTGTGTCCATAGTTTCCATCGCGATGGGGCCCCGCCCATACCAGTGCCATACCAAGGCGCGGTTGATTGGAGAACCCACATGCGAGAAATGAAGCCCGAGGGAGGTACATACAGTAAGTTAGTTAACGTTAGTTAGTACAATACTATTATGTAATCCTTTGGACGTGTCTAATAACAGGAGAATTTATGGCTGGCTGGGGAAGTATAAGATTTGGAACGATCTATGTACACAATTCTCGTCATTACTACAGTACAGTGCACTATGTAAAAAGGCCCTTCCCTCTCCCCTACAGAGTCGACATACTAAAACATTTTTGCCTTCTCCTTTATGATTCTTTTTTCCTTTACCGACCCTAGCGTGTTTGGTTTAGACAACAGATGAGGCGTTCTGGGTGCACTTTAGAAGCACCAGGGCAACTCTACCGGAAGCTTAATTTAATTGGTTGAGTTCGTGGCGCATCTCGAGCTGTAGGCAGCACAATAGTTCATGAGAGTTCAATCTCAGGAGTAATTACACGAATATCGCCGGCAACATGGACCTCTGCCCATCTATACTGTGGATCACATGTCTCCTCAAGAACCCAATCTCATTCATAGTTAGAGACTAATGATAATAGTGCGGCTGACGCCGTCACACCGATACGCCGAGAACTATGTTGAGATGCAACCGGGGCCACGCAAAGAATAAATCCAAGTCCAACCAGACTGCCATCAACGCCAAGCACAACAGATTTTGGTTCGCAGAATGGTATCACGCAAAAAGGGGGGGATGGTGGGCGAAGAAAGGAATGGAAACCAGACAATAAAGTACACAAACAGGGGAGGAGTTAAAGCCGATATAGCCACTGAACCTGATTCCGAGGGCCCTCTCCAAAGTGATTCGAACGAGGGAAGAGGTGGTGCCCTCCAAAAGACCGCAGGAGGAAGGGAGTAAAGACATACCTGGATCTGATAGTAAAATGGAAATCTTGCACTCTTGGACCGGTGCAGTCGCTGCGGAGGAACCGGGTTAGTAGAAGTAGGTGATGAGAGCGAGATACAGCGAAGCGGTCGAGGCACTAAGCCAGTAGCATCCATGAGCGGTTAGACTGGTTGGCCAATCCAGAGAAGGGTGGGCGGAAGGCGAAAAATCAAACATCGCTAGGGTAGGAAGGGGAAATGTTTGGGTTTACGACGGGCGGCGACGTTTAACCTCGGGGGTTGAGGTCTCCTCAAAGTCCCATTCATCCTCCTCCTCACGGGACCGCTTAGAGGGATTTTCATGAGTTTGGGAGTCAGTATGCACCAGATCCGCTTCATCCAGCTCGACATGTTCCGAGAATTCAAGGACGTTGTAAGAGTCCTCATCATATTCGCCGTTTCCGTCGTCGGCCAAATCGTCGTCGGCGGTACTGTCAATGCCCACGGGAGCATCGGGATCATAATCCTCAAAGTCCTGCTCCGAATATACGCTCTCAATGTGGGCGAGATCGTCCTCAGCGTCGTCGGTAGGACCTTCAAAAAGGTCCTCAGCGATTCCAAGCAGGTCGTCTTCAGGCTCTGGGGCTTGCTCCTGGGTGGTAGATTCCTCCCTAAGAGCGTTCTCCACAGTAGACTCCGACTGGCTATTCGACTGGTGATCAAGATCATCGTGTAACGCATCGACGGAATCATCCTGAGTGGCAGGTGCAGAATCAGGTTCCTTGGAAGCGCCTTCGTCCTGGACTGAAGCAAAATCGATCGGATGAACTTCATCATTGACCTCAGAGACACATGTCTCTTCTACAGCGAGTCCAGTTTGGTACTCTTCATGCTCTTGTCCCTCATGGCCGTACAGTTCAAATTGTTCTTGGACCTCCAAGACTTTGCCCTCATCCGGATGATTGGTGCTATCTTGATAGTCTGCATCATTCTCATCCAAAGAAATTTCAGCGGCATCAGCTGAGACGGTGGACCCTTTTATTTCAACCTGATCAGAGGCAGGCACAACTGTAGATGTGGACTCTGTCTTGGGAGCTTCAGAGTCATATTGCTCCTCGTACTGCTCCTGATGGTCATGCGTGTTCTCATCGGCATACTCATCCGCCTGATCCGTCTCATCTGCTTGCTGTGTTTCGGCAGCGCCTGTTTCAGACTCAGCCGGAGCATCATGCTCGCCAGAGGCAGACTCATGAATGACCTCGGTGGGAGCGTCCGGAGCATCGTTATTTATAGCATCATGCACTTCAGACTCGACATCGACACTAGAAACCACCTGCTCTTGGGAACGTTCTTCAGCTTTGTGGAAGGACAGATCATGACCATCTCGATCCCCAGATGGCTCCTTGATGGGATGCTCGGCCACTTGAGGCTCTTCGTGGTCTTCTCCATCCTCAAAATCGCTCCAGGGGTGGACATGAGACAGCCCTTTACCTTCATTGGCGGCAGTCTCGAGATCAGCTAGTTCAGAATGAACAGCTGGTCTGCTACTCAAAGTCAGATACAAGGCTTCGGGCTCATCATTGCCATCATTATGGCTAAGTCGAAGGTAGATGTTCAAAATCTGATGTAAAGTCACATTGGAAGTGTGCGAGGAGTCCTATCAGTCATAAGTTAACAACGCTGTTCCAACGAAAGATGACAAAACAGTAAAAGGAGTCAGTGCTTACCTCTGTTAATTGAATACCAAGCGAGTCGATATCAACAACCAGGACATCATTCTCGGCAACATTATCCAGAAGCACTTCACGGAGAGAGCTAAACAGTTTACCAATGTTGTCGTACGCGATATCTTCGTCATGGAGGAAGAATGTCTCGGCTGAGTCCCCTTCCATAGGTGGAAAGAGCGAAATCTCGGCTTCCTGGTAGAGAACCTTCACTGGATGGAGGGACTCATCCTCCTCACGAGTGTCCTGGCCTTCTGTCTCGTGGGAGGAGCCATGGGTCTCAAGATGCTCGACATCCTCGTTTCCAGTTTCGTAAGCATTTGATTTGACCTCTTGTGCAGGGTCAACATTTTCAACGTCCTCAGCAGAGGCGTCAGCGTGGTCATGGTGGTCTTCAGGAGCCGGAGTCTTGCTCTCGGTGGTTTCATTAGTGCCCTGGGGCTCGGTGTTTGGAAGGTTGGCTTGAGACTCAGCGTTCTCGTCGCCTTCAGCATGCCCGGGTTGAGCACTCTGAGCTTCTGTAGAGATAGGAGGAATCACATCGCCTTGAGCCTGTGTATCCTGTCGTTCATTCGCTACGGGAACCTGTTCTGGGAGAGAGGTCTCGTTGCCATCGTGGGCGTGCTGGTGCTGCAGCTCGTCGATCCTAGAAGGACTTCCCCTTGGCTTATGGATGTCCTCAGTGGTCTCTGCTTGTACTTCGATGTGAATGCTGGGAACAGGGGCAGCAAGTTCATCATCTTGGCCGCCCTCCAGCATCTCTGCTTCGTACGTATTCTCTTCGTACTGCACATCGATATCAGGGTCCTCGTCAACAAGATCGGTGTCAACCATGGATCCTTCAGAAGGGTCATCAGCCATATCGGCATCATCGTTCGCCTCAGCACTAAAAAGCGAGACTTGTGACGTGTTAGGGTAATCATCTGCTCCCATCATATCGCTGTCCATGTTCGAGACGTGGTCTTCCATAAGGTCGATATCGATGTCAAAGTCATCAGCCTGTCCCTGATAAGGGGAGGCCATCTCCATCGAATCTTCCAGTGCGGGGACCTCCATCGTAGCAAATTTCAAAGAGGAAGCTGTGGTCATGGCATAAGACGCGTCGAGAAGTGTCTGTCACCAAGACGTGTGTTGCGAAGGCCAAAGGTGGCGCGTGCCGGAAGCGTCCAGTTAGAGGGTGAGGTGAGAGAAAGATCAACGAAAAGGGGGTTATGAGAGGTTCATGGGGAACGAGGATCGGCTCGGCTCACGAATCGAAAAGTTGTAAGGAAGAAAGAGGTCTCCTACGCGATGAAAAGCGCAATGAGGAAAGGAGATGAGGTGAGGAAAGGAAAAAAGCCGAGTTGGGTTGAAGACTAAGCGAAGGGGGGGGGTGGACGTGCACGGGCCAAGGCCGAAGAGAACAGAGTAGCGGCCCGCGGGCGACTTGTCCATCAACACCACAGGGGGCTCTCTCAAGCTGTCGATTCTCCAGAGACTACCCACTACTCGCGATACAGCGAATCTTTCTATCTCTTTTCACATTCTCAGGTCTCTACTTGTCCCTTGATCGCCATGGTATGAATTCTTCGGTCTCCGTGTTTGTTGTCGGTTGTGACAGCCTGGAGCTAACCATCTGTCCCACATCCTCCAGGTCGTCCTCGCGGCATCCATTTGCACTCGCGGAGGGAAAGCGGTCCTCTCGCGCCAATTCCGCGAGATCCCCCGGTCGCGAATCGAAGCTTTGCTCGCCTCTTTCCCCAAGCTTGCGGATTCGCAAACCCAGCACACCACCGTGGAGCAGGACAACGTGCGATTCGTATACCAGCCATTGGATGAGCTGTACATTGTTCTGATCACCAACCGCCAATCAAATATTCTCCAAGACATCGACAGTCTGCATCTCTTCGCCCAAGTCACCACAAGTATTTGCAAGAGCCTGGATGAGCGAGAGATTCTCCGCAATGCCTTCGAGCTGCTGAGCGCATACGACGAGTTAGTGACGTTGGGTTACCGGGAGAACCTTTCTCTTTCTCAGATCAAGACCTTCCTGGAGATGGAGAGTCATGAGGAGCGCATCCAGGAGATCATTGAGAGGGTATGTTTAGACTTCCGGACTGGGGGGTTCTATAGCAAGCTTACATTATCGACAGAACAAAGAGCTGGAGGCCAGCGAGGAGCGCAAGCGCAAGGCCAAGCAATTGGAGATGCAGCGCAAGGAGGCTGCTCGCACAGGCCGTGGTGTAGCCCCCCGAACGCCATCCTACCCCGTCTATACACCCCCGTCGCGCCCGTCGGTGCCTGATACCTACGACTCCTATGAGGCGGAGAAGAAGAAGTCCTTTGCCAAGTATGTTCACCGTTCTAGACGATGGAAGGTTGAGACGATGAATCTACGGGTATCTAACAGTGTGGTTCATGTCTAGGCCCCTGCCCACTCGCGGCAAGGGTATGCAGCTCGGTAAGAAGTCCAAGGCTACCGATATCTACGAGAAGGTCCGCGGCGACCTTGGCCCCGAGATCGAAGAGTCCAGCCCACTGGTCACTCCTCAAGCTTCTACTCTTGTGCAAGAGCCTGCCTCTGCTCGAGAGTCGCTTACAGCAGACCGCGAGCCCATCCATGTCACAGTCGCCGAGACAATTTCTGCGACGCTCACCCGGGAAGGTGCCCTGAAGTCATTCGAGGTTAAGGGTGACCTTCAACTCCGTATAACTGACCCGGCATTCACCAAGCTCCGCCTTGATCTCAGGGCGAACCCTACCCAGGGTGCTCAATTCCGCACCCACCCCAATGTCGATAAAGCCCTCTTCACAAGCACCTCTGCAATTCAGCTCAAGGACACCTCCAAGCGCTTCCCCGCTAATAATGCAATTGGTGTCCTGCGGTGGCGTGTGGCAAGCTCGGCTGACAATGCCGAGATCCTGCCCATTACTTTCACTGTGTGGGTGAACAAGGGCTCTGACTCGACAACCGTCACCGTGGAGTATGAGCTCACCGGTACGGACAGCCTGCGCGATGTTGTTGTGACTATTCCCTATGGCGAATCAGAGCCGGCGGTAGCCAGCTTCGATGCAGTTTATGAAGTCTCAGGGGACAGCCTGGACTGGAACCTGGGTGCCGTGGACGAGTCAAACCCATCTGGTAGCTTCGAATTCGAGTCCACCGGTGACGGTGATGAGAATGAGTTCTTCCCGATGAGCGTCCGATTCACAAAGACCCAGCCATTTGTTGACGTGGATGTTCTTGACGTCTCCTTGCTGGAGATGGAGGGCGAGAGTGCTGGATTTTCCAAGGATATTCGCAGTGTTGCAGACAACTTTTGGATCGAGTGATCTGGTGTTGGGATTGTATAGAGTTTTCTTCTTCTTCTTCTAATGATGCTCGGATTGAGGCCTGCTTTTCTGGCAAATTTTTTTCCCTTTCTTTTTTAAAAATCCTGTTATCAGCCCCTGACCCGATTGCCCTCCTACAAAGACCTTCAAGGTACCTCCTCCTGAGGTCGTTTCTTAACCTTGACAACCCAAAATTGACACAATATCTAGAATTAAGCAAACCTTGGAACTCTGCTCTCACATCAGGTAGACTGTCAGGATGCGCGACTACCTCCAGGTGGTTTACCCCATGTCTTAGATACAAAGTTGTCTGATCAATATTGTGATGATGAGCGCAATCATGCCTTGGTAATGCACGACGTCAGGATTATGGATGATAGGCCTACGCTGCAGATAATGCACGAGCAATATGAGGAGTCCTTCTGAATAGGGATAGCCCTTACCGTTATCCGACACAGCTACCGTCAAGCTTTCGGTACCTTGGTGACTTTCCATGGGCCGTTAGTCTGCTCCTCTTCTAGATCGAATCATCTCAGCTCGATTCACATTTGAACCAGGGACAATAGCTAAACAAGTGCCACATTTTTGAAACGTCAGATTGACTCTACTTGTGAAGTCTAGACCATCGTAGCCCTTCTCAGCTAGCAAAGCAGCAAGCTGCGCATATCGAGCTGTTGCTCTATACTTACGAATTTTCCAGGACTTGACCTTGGAAGTAATGGATCTTCTATCAAAAAAAGCTGTAGCAGGCCCATGTCTCGCCTTTTGTAAATCTCGTGCTTTTGCTAATCGTCCTATCTACAATGGCAACGAGCACTGCCTCTTCAGGAAGCGTCGGAGCCCAGAGCCTCTCGGTTCCAACAACCGACAAACGGAAGACAAAACAATGGGTCTTCTGGGGCCCTTAACCAACGGTTTAGCCAATGTGCAGGGCCGTCAGCTCAAATCTGATGCAACAGGACCGTCGTCGCCAGTTGATGGCAAACGTGATGATCCATCAGCCATACAAATCGTGCAAATTCACCCAGAAAAGATCTCAAAATCGCCTCAGCCAACATTGCAATGCGATGAGGCAAATCCAAACCAGGTAGGTATTTTGTCTTATGTTCTTCTTGTTGCCACTATGTGAGCTTACCGCTACTGCTGTGTCGACATCGTCATGACCGTCATGACTAAGTATCTAGTAGACGAGCTTTAGACTCTCGCGGGTACCCGGACCCAGAGAACACATTATAGTTACTGATATCTGGCACGCAAGGGTCCATTTGGCTTTTAGGTTGAGCCTACCAATGGTTTTATAACTCAATTGATGCCCCCTCATCTTGTGTTTCCATAAGCGTCTGATCGTCCCTACTTCAGACCTTGTTCAACCTCCCACAAACCTTCAAGGTAAAATACATATACTAGAAACTGGCAATATGAGAGGTTGCTGACAGAATGACTCTACTGTAGGAATACTTAGTCTATATTTTCCACCAGTTTCACTATGAGCATTCCTTTCCCGTCATGGAACGAACAACAGAGTCTATTCATGCTATCAAGTGTTGATTCTGAGACATGCAATCAGCTAAGCTTGGTATGCTCGCACGTCTGGAGAAACATCATCATAACCCAGACTAATATCACTCATAGGACAACCCGCTACCCGCTCTTCAGAGGCCCGAGTCAGAGGCCAGCACCAAAAAGATGGCAATTCCACGACTCGCCGAAGGAGCAGAGTCAGCCTTCACCTCACCTGGTAGATTTCACCGTCGGCATGTACGTCGAGCATGCGAAAGTTGTCGACAGAGAAAGACCAAATGCACTGGCGACAAGTCCGGGTGTCGCAACTGTCGCGAGGCTGGCATCATTTGCTGCTATACCGATGGTAAAAGAGAGAAATCGAAACGGTCAGTGAAGATGTCGTTTGTTTCGTGATTTCAGGAATTGAAAGTTGTTAATCCTATCACTTGCAGGCAGCTGGCCAGTCTGTCATCCAAAGTGCAGGCCTACGAAGATATCATCAGAAAACTGAGCAATCGCTTCGGGGTCTCTGATGAGCAGCTTGTTAACATTGCCTTGGTAGCGGTAAGGAGTACGATCCGTCTCCATTGTCCAAGCCATGTCTGAGATAGTATAGGAATCCGCTCCTGATCTGGCGCTAAATGCCGATGCCAGCCTGGTCACTACGGGCGAGAGAAACCAGGGCTCAGGCTCGGAACCACCACCAGATCGATCTTCATCGCCCAGTGCATTTGACGGCGTTGTTCATACAGAAGAAGACTTCAACAGAGACGAGACCGCCCGGGCAACTGGTTTCATTGGTAGAAGCTCGGAAATTTCCTGGCTTCAGAAGCTAAGTAAAGAGATCAACAACGAGTGCGAGGATTGGTCCTCGACCAAGTCCAACGAGGACGATGGTAACGGTTTACCCTCTCCAACATTGACGCCCCTACCCGAAAAGCCTAGTGATCCATTAGTGGCTTCTTCTAATTACTACATCGACGATTTAGATGCTCCAAAGAAAGAGCAGGTTGATGCATTTGGAGTACCTTCGCGGGACACGGCAACTAAACTGCTCAATGCCTATCTGACCTCGGTGCATCCGTCCTTCCCAATCATTGGCATCTCCACCTTCATTTCGCAGTTCCAAGTCTTCTTCAGCCAGCCATCTCTCAAGCCAGGGAACAAGTGGCTGGCCATTCTCAATTTGATTTTCGCCATTGCATCGAAGTATGGACAGTTGACCGATGCAGAGTGGAAAGATGGCGAAGATGAGCATCAAATGTATTTTTCCCGGGCAAGAAGTCTCAGCCTGGAATATCAGCTTCTACATCATCCTGATTTACAGCAACTTCAGGTTGAGGGACTTGCTTGCTTCTACTTGATTGCATCTGGCCATATCAATCGGTATGTCGTTGAGCTAACTCTATCCGTGGGAGGATACTAACATTTCTATTTTCCTTGATGCAGAGCCTGGAAGTTGTCTGGCAGTGCTGTCAGAGGGGCATTAGGCCTCGGTCTTCATCTCCAAAACGTGGGTGTATGCACATCTGATACCTCGAAGGAAATTCGATATCGCGTCTGGTGGTCACTCTACAATATCGAGCACCTCCTCGGTGTCATGACGGGGCGTCCGTCCTGCATCATCGACAGCTCTTGCACTACACCTCTTCCAGTCCCATTCGATGAAAGTGACTTTCAAAAAGAAGAAGTTGCCCAGCTCATCAGTGTTGCTGGACGAGGTACATCGAGTCCCTTGGATCGCATGTCATTCAGCAGCAGCGCGGCCAACCTGGATTCTACCGCAGACTCAGACACAAACGACACCCCAGCTGAAAGCGATACAAAGAGGAGCCGGGCTGAGTACCTGAGGAGTCTCCCACCGTGCATGTCACTCTACTTCTTGCAGATGACTTCACTGACCACCATCGCCAAGCGAATGACGACCAAGCTCTACAGTCCAGAGGCACTGCAGTCTCCATGGGCGAGCATCGAATTCACGATCCAGAGTCTCATGCTTGGAATTGATTCATGGTTCATGAATCTTCCCTCGGCATACGACTTTACTTCCACACAGACTTCTCAATGCCCCGTTGGACAGCGAATGGGGCTTGCGTTTTTGTTTTACAGTACCAAAATTGGAATCACCCGCCCGTGTCTCCGTCGCCTTGACACGTCTCCTCCAGAGGATGACAAGACGCATGAATTCTGTAGCAAGACCGCTGCCGAGTGCGTTGAGTCTGCATGCCATATGCTGACATTGTTTCCGGACACTCCAGATGCTGCTATGTTGCATAGGATCTCTCCTTGGTGGTGCACACTGCACTATCTAATGCAAGCAACTACTGTGCTTCTACTGGAACTTGCATTCCACTCCCAACATGTTCCAGAGAAAGGAAACATGGTTCTCAAAGCCGCCAAGAAGGCAATCGACTGGCTCTCCGCATTATCCAAGACAAACATGGCGTCCGAGAGAGCTTGGAAACTATGCGATGGATTCTTGCGCCGTCTCGCACCCCACATCGGAATTGATATCAACGAGCTGTCTGATAATGAAGGTTCGTCGAGTAACTTTCTCTTCGATGCCCCAGACGCTCTCCATTCCACTGAAACTGGAGATGATCAAATTATCGACAATCTCTCGTTCGATCGATCGTCGAGCTTGCCTGCAGTTCCCGAAACTACGGCGGATTCCCTTGCTGCTGAGATGGACTCCATTGCTTGTTCGCCGACGAAGCAACCCATGAGCCCTCTCGATATGTCGGTGCCTTACAATATCGAAGCACCTGATCTACTGGACACATTGACCAAGCCGGAAACCTCTCTCTCGGGCCAACTACCCTACGACGAGTTGTTCCCCTATGATCCAGCGACTGGTCAGATTACTGGGTCATTCTTCCCGTCCGGGCCAAATATAGATCTTGATATGGGGTATTTCTGGGGCGATGCTGTGTGTTGACTGAGAATTCCGGATAGTTGAGCAGGAAGAGGGACGCTGCTACTACCCCTCGATCGAATGGAAAGGTATAGAAGGGGGATCTCAGACTGTCACATCGAACTTGTGCTTCTTCTTTCTGTTTGGTGTTAACATTGAAGTCACACATGAAAGTGTATCTAATAGACTCAGAACAGACGGGCAAAAGTTCTTGTTTTCTCTGACAACTCTTAATGTGCTACTATTCTCCATGTTCATTCGTTATTCAGAATCATCATTCATCTCAAACCCTTGAAATGGGCATACCAATGTACACAAGTTTCGATGCTCTACACTGCTTCTATCGTACAGGTCATGTCGGTTGCACCCGCTCGGTCGTTGTTTCAGGCGGCCCCAATCTTTATTCCCAGTCCCAGGGAAAGGAAACCACGTCACTTCTGCATGAACCAACGATCCAGAACTAAACCTTGGACAGATCAAGGAGTCTAGACCGGTCTGTGCTCAATTGGTCCATTCATCTCCGCAGGTCCATCATCATAGGCGAGTCACACTTCCTCGGAAACAGACAACAGGGCAAGCTTGGCCAGAAGACGGGAAGATGTAATAACGACGTGCTCAATAATCACCAGACAGAGCTATGTGATCAGAACGTGTCTGGCTCCCACTTCCGCTTCTTGGTGGTGAACAATGCCCGTGCAAGATCATCCCGATTGAGTTCCCCGGAGCTTCGAGAACCATCCCTGCTGTTGGCAGCGACGTAAGTTATCTTATTGAGTACGATATGCACTTCCCCAGCAAATGCAGCTTCGCACTTCCACTGTAACCGTTGACGAGTCTCCGAGCGATCCCAGAAAGATGGCACCACACCGAGCATACCACGCCCGTCCATCACAAACTTCTCAATACCATCTAGTATCGGAAGTAAGCGACGCTTCACACCACACGCCTGATGATTGAGATCAATCTGATAGTCAGGGTGTTTCTTAAGTGAGACAATGAGTGCTGAAATGTCAGGTCCCACTGAAGGCTGTTCTTTGCCATCATGCTTATCCTCAGCGCCAGGCGGACTAAACTCAGGATCTATCAGAGTAGACCCTATGAAGATGGACTTGGCCCGCAACGCGAAGAAACGGGTCATCTGACCAAGGTGGAACAGATCGCATTGGCTGGCATTGCCAAGTCCAGCCCGGCACTGGAAAACACGATACTGTGGTGCGGTGTGATGTGGCAGGGCCCCGGAAGTGGTAGGTGCGGGCTCATCGTTCTCCAGTGCGCCGTATTTACGCAGGAAATGTGCTTGCAAGTCGGTGATCGTATTCAGGACACACTGTCGTCGGTGATAGAGCTCCTCTATGAAGGATCGGTTAGCCGGATTCTTTCTTGTCATCTGGTAAGTTCACAGTACAACATAGCTGTGCCATACCTTCTACTCCATTCGCCAAGTGTTGCCAACGGAGATATGGACTCTCTGGCATCTCTGGTGAGTGAAACCAGCGCCTGGAACCGGCTACAACTAGTGTGTGTGTCATAATCTGGGCGATGTCCTCTTGACCCAGGAAATTCGCAACAAAACATGCTTGCCGGATTCGATCTTCACTCATGTTCAAGCTCTTTTCGCTGAATCTGTGAAGGCGTGATTTGCCCAGCGAGCCCGGAGTATAACACAGACGAGCGGAGGTCTTGCTGACAGTGTAATTCAAACGATTGAGGGTATGCGCAACATGCCGCGAGGAATTGTAGTAGTCGGCAAACTCAACTAACCTAGCAATTAGAGACAGAGGCTGAGCTTTCAGGTTGAAGGAAAACACAGTTTCCAGACCTTCCTCCTCGTCATCGGATGCCAGCGACTCAGAGCAGAGGATCTGCAAGAACAGTTCCAAGGCCTCAACCCCATACAATTCGGTATGTTGTGTTGCTGGGAGCGTCAGGATGGGGAGAGAGTTCGAGCCCGAGGTTTCAGCTAGCTGCTGTGCAAGCAATTGTCCCTCAATAAAAGTCTTGGTAGGATCCAAGACTACTTGGAAATACGGACTGTTCTTCTTGAGCATCTGACTGTCGACTTTCCAGTAGTAGCTTTCTCCCGAAAATGGCTTTGTGTACTTGAGGATCACATCTCCGCTTGGCGAAGCGATGATTGGTGAGCTCAGGCTACTAGTGTCACTAGGACGAGATTCCTTTGGCCTGAGAAGAGATGTGTTTGGTTTCTCAGGCAGGTTCAGAGTGGAGGCTTCATTGAGGGCAGTTAGGGTCTTATGGGAAGGCATGGAAGGCGTTAGTGGCAAGGCAGGGTGCGATCCCAATGCCATTGCCAATCTCAACGCTGGGCGTTCTTGGAGTTTGTTAGAGGATAGATGATTGACTGTTCACCGTTCGGGTACATACAGGTCTGGATGTACAAGCGCGTAGAGATATGTGTGAACGCATCCAGTCACTTCTGGATCTGAACTTGGCTTCTCAGGCCGGTTCTTATGTCGATATGCACTGGATATGTTTGATCGTGGGGAGATCTGAGGGGCGTTGTGCCAAGAGTACGAAGTAGAGAGGCGAGTAGCTCTTGGGAATATTGTGAAGGAGGGTTATGGTATGGGAAAGAGTGGAAATGTGGTCAAGCGAAAGTTCGAAAGAGAACATTTCTTCACTTTCGAGCTGGCAATGTGGCTGGACCCTGAATTCTATTCCAATTGACTCCCATCGGCGTTGGGATCGGACGTGTACTGCGGGCAGAATGGCGGGGAGGGCGAAGGGCGGTATACTTTCAAGCTGACCGCCCTCGGGGTACTCCGAAAAGATTGTGACTAATCACGCCACATGGACAGGCAGGTGGCGCTTCTTGGCTGACAGATCAAAGCACATGATCTAGTCACGAGATACGGAGTGGGAATTCCGCTTTGGTAGATGTAGATCATTATAAAACTTCAATTAAATGAGAACAGACAGTTCTGGTCTTCTATGAACAGTGTCTCGTACATAGGTATCAGCACAAACACAGAGAGAGATGTGTATGCCAGTGAGAGTGAGCCAGAGGAGGTGTTCGGGTGGGGGGAGGGGAGGAAGAGGAGGAGGAAGACCTAAATAGGCCAGACCGCACAAAGCTCCTAGATTCGAGAGATCTGATAGATGTTAGATCTCGGCGTAAGTTAGGCAGATTGATGAATGCTTCCAAGAAGAGACAGGAGCACGAATATGTGGCTTTTGTTCGAACATCAACTAGGATGAGGGGAATGTATCTTAAATGCAAAAGACATGAACCTATGCAAATCTAGCACGAAGTTGATGAACATGAATAATCATAATGGTGAAGGGCATAGCGGGTCGTGGAGAAATAGAAAATAGTAGTATAACCTCGATCAGGGGAGGATGACGACAGGGACATGGAAGACGCTGGGGCCAACTGGTATCGACGAATCTTCTTGGTGACCTCCGAGATGCTCCTTGCGGTTGGTTTCTCGCATCTTCAAGGCTTGGTCGACCATGTAATGCAATTTAACAACACTCTCCGGCAGGTCCCCTTCTGGCGAGTCCCCATTCATGCTGCGAATGGGATCTGATTCATAGTTATGGATCAGCTCCGCCGGGACAAGAGAGAACAATGCAAATGATTGCTTATTCTCTAGATATGGTATAGCCTCGAGGATGTCGCGGCCTAGTTGCGGTGTTTCGTGGCTGTCTTGGAAAGCCAGATCGAACAGGTAGTCTCCAGTATAGCTTGTGAAAAATGGCTCGCTGGTGAGAAGGCCAATTACGAAATCATGATTTGCACATGCCGCCATTATTGTGCTCTGTCGGAATTCAGATGTAAATGCGGAATCGATGGCGCTTGGCAAGCAGAGAGTCAGGCCTCGCGATAGCAACGGTGCGGCTGGGACACCCTCGTCCGGCTCAACATGGGGTTGTAGGGTCACCGACTCGGTGACGGAGATGGTTGATGATTTTCGTAGCGCACTTCCAAAAGTCTCCGAACTGAATTCGAGCCAACCATTCGTGCTCGGCGGGAACATTGGCGTATCTATTTCCTCGTCATGTTCCTCGCAACTGGTAGCGGAAATTTCGGTTTCAATAGTTTTCACGGTCGTTGCGACAGCGTCCCGGGCGGCTTTGCGAAGCGTTGGAATCAAAAGGTCCTTCTCCTGTTCATGCAATGGCACGCCAGGTGCCCACGAGGTGGCTAGATTTGCCCACCGCGCTACTTTAGCAGTTCCATGCGTGTATTTCCGCCTGACCAGGTCGGCCAAGGCCTTTCGTGTTTGGAAGTCGGCGCTCCCTCGGCCCATGAAATTGACGGTACAATTCAAGACTCGGCTCCCTTCCCACAAAATGAACCCATGTTTTTTGGCGTAATACGTTAACTGTTCAATGGTGTCGTCGGACCAGTCGTCGATGATGTCTGCTTGGACCTGAAGCACCGCAATGTGAGGGCCAACCTCTGCCGTTAACTTCACGAGGGTTGCGGAGTCTGTGATGGTTTGGGAGACGAGCACGGCCACGGGTTGGCCGTAAGGAAGACCCTTCTTCGCCGAGGTCAAATCCTGGATGTACTCCAAGATTCGGTTGTCGGGAACTCGATCCGTCTCCGACATCGTTGGGCGGCCGTACGTGCGGTGTGCGGAGAGGGACTGCTGGGAAGGATGTGGAAAGGAGGGGAGGAGATCGAGACAGAGCGAGGAGTGTCTTTTAATGAGGGAGCTGGAAGCCCCAGCGGGGCAGCAAGCTCCACTTGGTGGGAGAGCTAGCGCGATGCCTAATCCCTGACAACTTCAAACTGCCAGCAGGAAGAATAGCGTTGTTTTCCCCATTCTGAAGATCACCTTCAGAGCGTTTCTGGACATGGGAGGGGGCGCGCCAGCGTATGGAGAGCAGTGGAATACTGGGCCCGTTATGATGCGTGCACTCATTACCTGGTGGGGCCCCCCAAAGTATGCGATCCGATCGGGGAAAGGGTCGGGGTACTCGGGCTTGTCGGGCGCGCAACGCTCTTCCCCGGCGGCAGGCTGTTCCCCGTTACTGACACGGTGCAGCCCTTGAAGGATTCACACTATCGCCCAGCGTCGATCCAATGGCACTGGAGGGAGGATCAGAGGCATTTGCCTTGAAGTACATTACTGGATGAAGGGGTCGGTCCCACCGCAGATTCGGTTTATCGTGCGGATCGTCCCGTGGGGCGAGATATGGCAACAGTTATGTGTGATGGATGTCGCAGCATGGTTTAGCCCCAGACTAACGTTGGGCTAACCTTGGACGGTAGCAGGGAAAGACGCCAATGACACCGGCCATTCGGTTGTGTCAATCCTGCGAGGGACTGTTGTAATTTGGCGTTGAGGGGGCGTTGGAGAAGACCTGACAAATTGATGCCCTCTTTTTGGGAGCTCTCGGCACGTGACAGACAGCCGATCTTGAAATTCAGGCATTTCCAGCCAGGAAATAGGCTTGAGTCTCTGAAAACAAGAAATCTTGGCCTTGAACAAGCCCGGAAGACGACCGAAGACTGTGCAATGCATGCGAGAAATGGGCTGACTGCCCTGAACTCTATTGAAGCTCCTAGTGGATGCAGTCTCCGTATACTGAACTTTTCTTCCATTCGTCCTTGCTCGCTCTCCTGCCCATACAGGAAGGTGATTTCTCCCCTTGATAAATAAGTAGTAGTACTTTTGAGACACACAATTGACTTTCCAGGCCGGGTTAGGATGTTTTCGTGTATGAACTAGTATGTGAGGTACGCGCCTGTGCTGGTCAAGATAATCTGATAAAGAGAAAACTGGTCTATACGGTCTCCGACTAAGCTTCCGCTAGCCGCAGTTTTTTTTTATTGAGACTAACCAGCCCTAGTACCGCCAAAAGCCTATCCATTTTAAGGACAATGCCTTCTCATAGTACGCATACATCATGACATACTTACCGTTATGAGGCTACCTATGAGCTGAGACACGATACCTAGGTCCGGATGATTCCAGTTGCAATGTTGAAGAGCACATTCCTCAAGTCTGCATGTTTTGTTTATCCTAGGAGCTAAATGCGTCTGAAGCACGGAGGTCCATAAGGTTTTTTGTAGCCAAGACCTTGGATGATTGCGGAGTCAGGCTCTAGGGCTGTGTGGGTCGAGGAAGGTCATTTTTGCTGTATGCAGGTAAAGTCTCGACCAACTCATTGTGGGAACATTGGAATCACAGGACAGCGACACTATCCGTTTTTCCTGTGCGGCAGGGAAGTATATATCGTGGTCAGTACGGAGTACTAAATTTCTATCACCTAGAATAGACGACTAGTCGACATATTCTGAGGTCAGAACCTACAGTAACGCTAGTGAGCCTCTTTGTTTGACCGTATTCTGACAAACTAGGATTGTTTGAATATTGTTTTCAACGCTCTCAGGCTGTGACAGAAAGCTGATACTCTTGCAGAGGATCCTGCTCAGAGCGTTCGATCGAAGGGAAATTAGTCTATCAAAGGAATCGTAACGAAATTCATGGTAAGTATGATCGGCGTACGTGTTTGAGCATTCAGATCTAAATGAAAGTTTATAGGCGGCCAAGATAAAGTGTAGAAGCGATGAACTGTTGGAAGCTACCTAAGCATAAATCCGATTCCATCACTTTGCTATCTCCTTTGTGATTGGTTGAAACCCAAGCCACAGGGCCTACATTACATACTATAGCCATCAGTTACTATGGGAGAGGGGTGCACAATCATCCTTGATGGTAGCTGAGTACCAGACGATAGGTCTGATGGCCCGATCGTTCCTGCCTAACTGTTACTAAAGAACAGGAAAGACACCGTCTGACTTGACCCGGATTTGTGTTCCTTGGCGGGAGCATAAAATTATTCTGCCGGGGCGGAGACATCGCCCGTCACGCCACACCCTCCCCTGAAATAATAATTTTAGTACCGGAAACTTACGATCAAGATTTGTTGTCGCCTTCTTGCCTGTCGACATTCTCTTTGTCATTTCACCAATCCACCTCCTTTTCGATTGTCGCATCGTACGCTCCGGCCGTTTGACTCAGTTTTTCAACCCCCAACCCCCAAAACTTCGCAACCATGCCAGGACGGGTCCTGCCGACTTTCACACCTGCCGAGGTTGAATCGCATAACAACGCCAAATCGTGCTACATCACTCTTGGTCGCAACGTCTACGATGTCACGGAATTTGTGGAAGACCACCCAGGTGGTGGTGATCTGATTTTGGATTACGCAGGAAGGGATGTCGAGGAAATCATGAAGGACGAAATTTCCCACGAGCACTCCGAAGCCGCCTACGATATCTTGACGGACTACCACATTGGATTTATGTCGTCGGATGCATCCGGAAAGGCACAGACATCTGGAGTTGATACTGAGGAGGCAATTTCTCAGCCCGTCTATGAGAGCACCGGAATGTCCCGGGAAGAGGATCTGTCAATCGATACAGACTATACTCAGGATTACAAGACACACAAGTTCTTGGACCTCAACAAGCCACTGTTCGCGCAGCTTTGGTACAGCAATTTCTCCAAGGAATTTTACTTGGAGCAGATCCACCGTCCTCGGCACTACAAGGGGGAGTCTCCGCCCCGCTCTTTGGTAACTTCCTGGAACCCCTCAGCAAGACTGCCTGGTATGTGGTGCCTATCATTTGGCTGCCACCGGTCTTCTATGGAACCATGATTGGAACGCAGGGTCTGGGAGATTATGCTGTGGCTGCCGCATACTGGATTGGTGGTGTTTGTCTCTGGACGCTGATCGAGTACCTCATGCACCGCTTCCTGTTCCATGTCGACAAGTATGGATCTTACTTCCTCTTATGCCATTCTTACAGCAGTCGCTAATTTCTTCTCTTCTAGCTGGCTTCCTGACAACCGAGTTGGTCTGAGCCTGCACTTCCTCCTCCACGGAATTCACCACTACCTGCCCATGGACCGCTATCGACTTGTCATGCCCCCGACATTGTTTGTGATTCTGGCAGCTCCTTTCTGGAAACTGGCCCATGCCGTCTTCTTCTACGACTGGTTTGCAGCTGTCCAGGTGTTCTGTGGTGGTGTCTTCGGCTACATCTGTTATGATTTGACTCACTATTTCCTCCACCACCGCAAGTGAGTTTTCTATTCGTTCTGTCATTTGTATCGATTTACAAAAGCGATTAAGATGCTAATATTTTATAGCCTCCCTCTGTACTACAAGGAGCTCAAGAAATATCACCTCCAGCACCACTACGCCGACTTCGAGAACGGATTCGGTGTCACCAGCCGATTCTGGGATCGGGTGTTCGGTACGGAGTTGGAGACACCAGCTCCCAAGGGGGTGAAGGCTCAGTAAAATGCCCGTCTGTTCGCCTAAAGCCTCCACAGCGGCTGCTGGCCTTTTGAATTCACGAGTTCATGCTAGATTTTCGCTTCTGGGTATCCCCAAATCGCCCGGGCCTGTACATTTCTGCTCCTTCATAACGGCAATTGTGGCATCCCTGGTCGATTCTTCTCACGACCTATTCCATGCATATGCGGCTTCTCTGGCTCTAGGAGATGAGCGGGAAAGGATGTCTATTCGTTGTACTGTACTACATGCATCACCAACTTATTAGTTTACATGACATAATCATAATGAAGAGGGAATATTCATAAGGAGCATTCCCATGTCCCTGAGTCTGACTTTTTATTGCGTTTTCACCTTTTTACTGTATTTTATCAGTGGTCCATCTACCAAAGGGAAGTCTCTATGAGCAGACACTGCCATGTGGCGAATCGACACCTGAGGCTAGCGAAAATCATGGGGATCACATGACTGGACACCACCTCACTTGGACACTTTTGACTCCCTCGACTAGCCACTCTGCTTATTCCTCCAACCGAATCTCCGATCGCAAAGGAGAAAAATAGCGCACGTCAAGCCATCACTTACCGAGAGAACAAAAGAAAGGGTTCGAAAGTCAAAATCTAAGCTCCCTTTCGCACTCTGACCGAGTCCCAAGTGACTTCCCTGACCCTCGCCCTTATTTGAATTACAAACAGCGAGCAAGACGCACCCTTTGCAATGTCGGGACTCGACGTAGAGGCTCTCCTCGAGTCTACTGCCGCTCCTGCCGAAACTCCTGCTACCAAATCAGAAGAACGCGATGATCGCTCTCCCGCGGACCCCTCCGAACGCCGGGATCGTGATCGTTCCCGGGAAAGACGCCGACGCCGTGACCGTAGCCGCGACCGCCGCCGAGATGTTGATGGCGACGAGGAAATGAAGAGCCCGCGCAGCGAACATGGCAGTGCTAACGGAAGCCATAGAAGCCGGAAGAGAAGCCGGAGTCGGGAGAGTGAACGGCGACGCTCGCGTCGTGATCGTGATGACCACCGCTCCAGTGGTGACTTCTATCGTGGCCCAGGACGTGCCCGCTCGCGCTCACCCTACGATGATCGCCACTACCGTCCCTCCCGACGAGAGCGTGAAGAAGAGAGACGTCCCCGGCGTGATCGCGAAGGTGGCCGTCGTCGCAGCCCTAGCCGTCGTAGTCCCAGCAAATCCCCCGAGCTAAACGAGGATGAGCGGGATAAGCGGACTATCTTTGTCCAGCAACTGGCCGCACGACTGAGGACCAAAGAGCTAATGGCCTTTTTCGAACAAGCCGGCCCTGTGAAAGAAGCTCAGATTGTCAAGGATCGGGTGAGCGGACGATCCAAAGGGTACGTATAATCTTTACACCGCACTGCTCCAAAAGAATATCAGCTAACATACGTTTCTTTCAGTGTCGGTTATGTCGAGTTCAAAAGCGAAGAGTCCGTGCCGGCTGCCATTCAACTTACCGGCCAGAAGCTTCTAGGCATTCCCATCATTGCGCAGCTCACCGAAGCCGAGAAGAACCGCCAAGCTCGTAACCCCGAGGCTAGCTCGGGTCCATCACACTCCGCGCCGTTTCACCGGCTCTATGTGGGTAATGTTCATTTCAGCATTACTGAGAATGATCTCCAGAATGTCTTCGAACCGTTTGGCGAACTCGAGTTTGTCCAATTGCAGAAGGATGAGACTGGCCGAAGCAAAGGTTACGCATTTGTGCAGTACGTCTTCCCCCACACTTTCCTCTTTAATATACCTTCTCTATTATGCAGTGAACTGACTTGTCGACACCTAGGTTCCGGGATCCCAACCAAGCTCGGGAGGCCTTGGAGAAGATGAATGGATTCGATCTCGCTGGTCGGGCTATCCGAGTGGGCCTTGGCAACGATAAGTTCACCCCCGATTCGAACGCGAATCGTCAACAGGGCCCATCTGCAAACCAACCGAATTTCCAGGGCTCCTCATTTTCCGGCCATGGAGGCCGTGGTGTTCAGGCTGGCGGCACTAGCAACTTCGACCGTGCCGGCGGAGGCCGTGAAAACGACAAGGGCACCGGTGCCAGTGCTCTCGATGACACAGACGTTGCGGGTGTGAACTTCAACAATTACAGTAGGGACGCGTTGATGAGGAAGCTTGCACGAACAGATGAACCCGAGCCTTCAGCCGACGAACAACAGAAGATACTTCGACCCAAGACCGAGACCAAGCCTCTGCCTGTCAATGTGAACATGGCCAGTCGCTGTGTCATGCTTCGCAACATGTTCGACTCCAACGAGTAAGTACACCCACTCCCCTCCCCGTTATCGCCAGCATCGATCACCAGAATTTGATAACTGACAATTTCTTCACAGAGAAACCGGCGAAGCTTGGATTAAGGAGCTCGAGGATGACGTCCGGCAAGAGTGCGAGGATAAATATGGCCATGTTGTTCACATCTCGCTAGATCCGAATTCTCAAGGCGACATCTACCTGAAGTTCGACCGCGTCCAAGGTGGCGAGAATGCCATCAAGGGCTTGAATGGACGTTTCTTTGGCGGCAAGCGGATCACCGCTCAACCCGTGGTGGACGCAGTCTACAGCAGTCTGTTCACTCGCACCAAGGCTATTTGATGTCCACTTTGCCAGTCTCACCCATGTCCGTGGGGTTTACTGCATATGATCTCTAACATGGCCCGTTCTTTTCCAGGCAGATCCCTCTTGGCGTCCTTTTTTGTCTTTATAGGCTCCCCGGATGATTCTGCTCCTGGTAGGTGCCGATTTTCCGCCTTGCGTGCTTTTACTCCATTTTCTTGGCCATTGCGACGGTCATACTACTCCAAATGATTTTTGTCTCTAGGAGCCCTCGTTTTCTTCTGAACATTTTAGATAAAGGTCCCGATCGGCGTTACCAATGGACTTATTTTGTTCTTTCTATGTTTGATCCCTTCTGCGGAAGCAAGACTCCGTAGTTCGCTATCCGGCTTCCAGTCGTAGACCGATGTGCCTTGACTGCGTACACATCTCTAGAACCATTCGACCTGGGCATAGGGGTCTTCTAGGCTGCTCCCACCGGAGTAATTCTGTCATGTAATTCCTACTGAAATAAGAGAAAATAAGGTCATCACTAAAAGTCCACTTTGGCTTCAAGCTGGCGAGCCCGCGGAATGGATCTGCCGATGCCGTCACCTTATCTGCCGACGCTCGGGCCAAAGAAATGCGTCCCCCCCACGTCAAGTTGTTCTTACACTCCAATCTCCCTCCACCTCCCTCATCAGCTATCAATGGGCCATTCATGATTGTCCCTTCAGCGAGGCGCGTAACAGGCCGGGCCTGGGCCTTGGCTGGTAGTTACGGTACGTACACCTCCAATTCTACAATCGGTCTCATCTCCGAGTTACTTTGAAGATCCTGGCGGACAACCCCGTACTTTCACTTACTAAACCTTGATGCATCTCTCAAACAGGCTTCACCCGCCCCCGAACGTTACGAAAATATAGCTCTGAAGTCGCGTCGCAGAGCGAACCATCTGCCGTCAAGAAACGCCCCCAGTTTCACGATTACTTCGTTACGCATTTACCGTCGTCCTCACTCCATCCGGACCCTCGAGGACCAACCTCTCCCTTTCACAAACTACCTCGTTCGGCCTCAATACCACATGTCGGCGATACATCGCACTCGCCGACGGCATTCCAGAATCTGGTAGACCGTGACATGACAGTGGTCCGAATCCCGCTTCGCAGCGCCAAGCATCACTTCGGAGCCGTCACTGCTCGCGGCACACGGCCCAGGAACGAAGATACATACCAAGCCGGCGTCATCGATATTCCTGCCTTCGCGAAGCGGCCACCGGCGTCAATTACCATCAATCGATCCAACAGGCGAAACCCCGCACCCTCTTTGCGCGAGTCGCGAGCCGCGGACACGGCCAATGGGGATCCGCAAGTCTTTTATTTCGGAATTTTTGACGGGCATGGCGGATCCGAGTGCAGTACATTCTTGCAGGAATATCTTCACGAATATATTCAGAACTCAGCTGCAGATTTCGAGCTACAATCGAGTCTTCGTACAAACCAACAACGGGTGAGTTGTGGGGAAGCCGCAGCAAGCTCAGCTCCTACCGGTTCCCTTCCGGTGATGCAGGAGGCCAACCGAAAACGCATTGGAGATCTGGAGAAGAACCTCGTCCAGAATTGGCGCCGACTGGTTGGCGGTTATTTCAAGAGATTCAAACCGCCTCAGTTCACCTACTACGGGCCCGACACTTCCACGGATACCGCATCTAAAGGCTATGTCGCCATTGAGGAGGTCATGGAGTATGCTTTCTTGCGTGCCGACTTGGATTTTGTCAAGGCGCAGGCAGCCAAGCGCGATGACGATCTTGCTCAAGCGGAGAAGCCGTTAAACGAGGATGAAATTCTCCACAGTCCTAGCTTGACCCGAACTCCGAAGATCGGTGGCCGGTCGCGATTCAAGGGTGGAAGTACCGGCAGTATTGCCCTGATTTCAACTCCCAGCCCAACGCCTTTTTGGCACCCAGCCGGCCCGTCGAGTTTGCTCGTGGCCCACGTGGGCGACACTCGGGTTTTACTCTGTTCGACTCTGACCGGTCAAGCTATCCCACTCACTTCCAATCACCACCCGTCCTCACCTATAGAGGCAGGACGACTGCGCCGCTACGCCGCCACATTCGTGACCGATTCATTCGGCGAGGAGCGCATGAGCGGACTAGCTAACACCCGCGCATTCGGCGATGTCCAATCCAAGCGCATTGGCGTCTCCGCCGAGCCTGAGCTCTGTCGCGTCGAAATGGCCCCCGCCGAGTTTTCATTCATGGTCATGGTCTCTGATGGTATCAGCGGCACCCTGCAAGACCAGGAGATCGTCGATATTGTCAAAGAAGCTCGAACTCCTGAACAAGGCGCGCGCGATGTGGTCAGCTTTGCTACCGAGGTGACCAGAGAAGGCGATAATGCTACTTGCCTGGTCATTCGACTCGGTGGTTGGGAGCGACGATTGGAAGGTGGCGTGGGTAGTTTGGGAACCAAGGAGTCTCGCGAGTGGCGGCGACAGGATGCCACCGATCCGCGCAGGTCACGGACGTGATGTCTCCTTCCTACATTGCAGAAACGTTGTCTGGTTGTATATATTCTTGATCCTTACCATGGGGTCTCATTGCACATAATTATCGCGCTTGTCTTGCTGGAAGGATAGGCTTGGAGGTGTTCTTTTCCATATTTCCTGGTCTGCTACTTTACAGGAATCTTTGCATTTACATCATCGTCATGTACATCTTTTTCATATTTGTTACTTGAGCATAGTTCTTTCCGTCTTGTACTACTCACGGCATGATCAACACCATACTTCTACCAAAGCGCTTCCACATCCCCTCTCAGTTGAGTTGTCTCTCTAACTTGGTCCAGTAGTATCTCTTGAGTTATTTTTATACTTATTCTCGGGGAAGATCAGGCCATATAAACAAAACAAATAGCCTCACCCTCCTACTGTCCTAAGCAACTACCGAAGCCAGACAGGACGGCCTCAGCCAAACAATAGCCAAAGTGGATTCTCCCGCGTGGGGAAAGCTTCCAAGGTTCCGGGCGACCCGTAGAGCACAAAATCTCACGCCTCCAACACTCTGGCTCTTCCTTCTCACAGAGCCTCCATCCCTAGCAGGACGCTGTATCACTCGCATCCTAAATAATCTTCCATTCTCTTCTGCTTTGTCCACTACTCCACCTTGTGCCCTGCTACACCTCAGCTGTCGAGCTGCCCCAGAAGACTCCACCAGAGCAAAGGTACGCGTCGCGCCCATCTTATCACCCTGCCTTATCGCCTCGGGACGAATTTTCTCCTGAACGCCCACCACCCCCCCCCCCCTATATCCTTAACTCTCTTAGCTTTCAACTAAGCCCGCAATTCTTTTATCCCTCCGACCAGATCCGATCGCTTCCTCCTCAGTTATCGCTAGCTTCCCTCCTTATCATTCTTATCTTTTACAAAGACCACCGACTGTGCTGTGCCCTCGACCGCTGGCTGCCACCGTGTCGTGTCATCATTCGCAACCCAATCAACAAATCACTATCCCAAAACCCCTCCGCCATCCACAATGAGTGCTCGGACGCGACGACAAAAGGCCGCCTTGGGCGTGTCCGCCGATGATAGTGAAGATCTGTCCACCGGCAATGGCAGTGCCTCGACTCCATCCAGATCCACCAGGCGCACACCGTCCAAGAAGAGGTCCCGATCAGCTCTCAAGGAAGAGGAGCCCGCGGAGAACATCTTCATGTTTGCCCCAAATCTTATCGGTATGAAGTCTCTTTGCGCTGCTCCAGCGCTGTCATTCTTCCTGCGCCCGGTCCATTATAACGTATATTAACGCTCGCTCGTAGGGTATTTCCGAGTCGTCCTTGCCATCGCATCCCTTTATTACATGCCCCTCCACCCTCGAACATGTTCCCTTCTCTATAGCGTGTCGTGTCTGCTCGACGCGCTGGATGGATATGCGGCGCGTTACTTCAACCAATCGACCACCTTCGGCGCTGTGCTGGACATGGTGACGGACCGTTGCACTACCTCCTGCTTGATCGTTTTCTTGAGCTCTGCCTGGCCCCGATGGGCCATTATTTTCCAGGGTCTGATCTGCCTGGATCTGGCTAGTCACTACATGCACATGTATGCCACGCTGAGCATGGGTGGCTCGGATCAGAGCCACAAGAAGGTCGATTCCAGCCGCAGCTGGATCCTCTACCAGTACTACCACAGCAGGGTATGGCGCTCCCCCCAGCTATCAGGTTGATACGCTCAATGCTAATTGAGACTTTCTCCCTAGGTTGTCCTTTTCATTTGCTGCGCTCTCAATGAGCTGTTCTTCATCGGCCTCTACCTGCTCTCCTTCTCCTCGCCGATCCTGTCGCCCTCCCTCCTCCAGCCCGTTGGCGGCGCGCAGCCTTCCTCGGTGCAGCCCGGAAACCCCGCCAACCCGGTGCCCACCAGCCTTTTCGCCAGCCCGTGGAGTGCCGGTGCCCTCGAGATGGCTCGCGCCAACAAGATCGATAGCTTCTGGCCATGGGTCATCACCGGCGTCTCGGCCCCAGTCATGCTGTTCAAGCAGTTTGTCAACATTGTCCAGCTGGTCAACGCCAGCCGCTGGCTTGCAGAAGGCGACCGCCAGGCCCGCCGTGCCAACCGTAAGAAGTGATCTGTTGCAGATCTATTTGAAGTGTGGCGTTGATCATTTCGTCTCGCTGGCTCGCGCCTGGCTTGCGAGATACTTCGTTTTCGTCTTTCGCCCGACTTTGTCCTCGGGTCCTGCATCTCTCTGGAGCTTCGGTCGGTCTGTGATTTTTTACTCAAGGGGTCATTCGGGTTGATAGGCTCGAGAAGTCGTCACCTAGACTCCCTGTCGGAATGGTTGATTTGGCGGTTCGAGTCCTACTTCGTGATGAGCGTCTTGGGCGGGATAGGAAAAAAGGTCCTTTCCTGGAATGGTCTGATTATTCGATGGACCTTGTATAGTGCATACAGGGTTGTGTTCTTTCATGCTCCTTTCATTTCCTTCATTCTTCTTTTTCATGCCTGGTTCTTCAATTTTGACGTTTTCACCCCATTGTTCTCTTCCCCCTTGGTCTGACCATTTTTAATGCCGTTGTTATAGCTCATTTAATGCATGTCCCCCGTGTCTGAACCATCATGTTTCGTAGATAATCTCAATCATTCCTATATACTCCAACGACTCAAGGTCAACTGCGGCGGGCCGCTTTAACCGGCAAAGCCGCATATGCATATCAAACTCAACAAAGAAACCGAGGTGGTCGTTGATTGTTGCATCGGAGGTGGATTTGTTTGCGTCGGCGGAGCCGTCGAGTGGGCTGGTCGACTGGCCCGACTTGGCCGATCTCGGAGCTGGCGGGGTCGACTTCACCCGCAATCCTATCTTTTTTAAAGCTCTACTCTCCTGCGTCGATCCAATTGAGTCACCTCCAATTGACAATTGCCTCGTTCTTCCGTTTGTTCAATTAGCCTCACAATGCCTGCCTTCAATGTTGTTGTCTTCGGTGGTGACCACTGTGGTCCTGAGGTACGTTTGCTGCAAGAAACGACCCCGCTATTCCCCAGCACTCAGAGCTCTGGAAGGGGCACGCGCGTGATTGATCTTTTAGCTAACTCGACGCGAATCAACAGGTTACCGCTGAGGCTATCAAGGTGAGACAGAAGAATATCTTGTGCAATAGAGCTTGTGGCAGAAGAATTCTAATCCCATGTCGTGACTAGATCCTCAAGGTGATCGAGAAGAACCGTGATGTTACCTTCAACCTGCAGGACCACCTGCTCGGTGGTGTGAGTGCTCAGCGCCAGGAATTGCGAAAGGTTTACCAGCTAACTAAAACCTAGGCTTCTATCGATGCCACCGGCTCTCCTCTCACCGACGAGGCCCTGGAGGCCGCTAAGAACGCTGACGCTGTCCTTCTGGGCGCCATTGGTGGACCGGTATGTTCGATACCCTCATCTGAAGCGACAGGAACGCAATTGGGGTAATATATACTCATTGGAAATGTCTTGTGAATAGAAATGGGGCACCGGCGCCGTCCGCCCTGAGCAGGGTATTCTGCGTCTTCGCAAGGAGATGGGCACATTCGGCAACCTGCGCCCCTGCAACTTCGCCGCTCCCTCGCTGGTCGAGAGCTCCCCCTCAAGGCCGACGTTTGCCGTGGCGTCGACTTCAACATCATCCGTGAGCTGACGGGTGGTATCTACTTCGGCGACCGCAAGGAGGACGATGGTTCCGGCTTCGCCATGGACACTGAGCCCTACTCTCGCGCCGAGATCGAGCGCATTATCCGTCTGGCCGCCCACCTGGCTCTGCAGCACAACCCCCCTCTCCCCGTGTGGAGTCTGGACAAGGCCAATGTCCTGGCTACTAGCCGTCTGTGGCGCAAGGTTGTCACTGAGGTTATGGCTAAGGAGTTCCCTCAGGTCCAGATTGGTCACCACCTGATTGACTCCGCTGCCATGCTTATGATTAAGGACCCCCGCAAGCTGAACGGTATCGTCGTTACTAGCAACTTGTTCGGTGATATCATCAGTGATGAGGCTAGTGTCATCCCCGGCTCCCTGGGTCTCCTGCCCAGTGCCTCTCTGAGCGGTATCCCCGATGGCAAGAACCGTGTCAACGGTATCTACGAGCCTATCCACGGTACGTTTCTTTGCCATCTGCCCTTTGGGTGAACGTTACTGATTCATTGTACCAGGCTCTGCCCCCGATATTGCCGGCAAGGGCATCGTCAACCCCGTCGCCGCTATCCTCTCCGTCGCCATGATGATGCAGTACTCTTTCGGCATGTTCGATGAGGCCCGCATCATCGAGAAGGCTGTCGAGAACGTTATCGAGGCTGGTGTCCGCACAGGCGACATTGGCGGCAAGGCCACCACTGTTGAGGTTGGCGATGCCGTCGTTGCCGAGCTCGAGAAGCTGCTCAAGTAGAGAAAAAAGTGGCCAGTTTCGTCTCCCTGGCAGGCGTTTCCTATATGACATATAACGACTGTAGAAACCAAAATTGAATACCCTTTCGGATCCTTTCCAGCTGTTATTATTGATCCAAATGTCTTTTTAGAGATCTAATTTTAAGGCTCGCAGATTTGATAAAGATGAAAGTAAAAATTGGCTGTGCACCTACAATACAACGACCAGGGTATCTGAAAGCCATGCCAAACTCCACAAACTAGGACAAAAACAACGCCATTCCAGATGCTACCTATGCCTTTTAGACATCCACCTCACCGAATCACCGGCTCGCCCATCCAATCCGGCTCCTCAAGTCCAGAAGTCGAGACCAACCTCCCAGTATCAACATCCTCACTTCCCGTCCGACTATGAAGTAACTCCGTAATACCTCCGCGCAGAGACTGCCGCGCACTGTGTCGTCGATGCCGGCCATCGGCCGAAGCAGACGGCGCAGCCGCAACCCGACGACGATTGTCATCGCATGCGAAAACTTGGAAGCCGCGGACATGTGTATCTTTTCCGTTTTGATGGTTCTCCATCACGCGCATCTGAATCACCATGGCCTTCAGCACGTTACCCGCATAGGGGTCTTGCGCGTCCTCTGCGATGTCGCCGTCATCGCCCTCGACGTCGTCCTCATTGCCTGCACCGGGAACTTCTTCATTCCGGCCTGTTCGTCGACGGGCGTTTTTAGATCGTTTCTTGCGCCGGACTATGTCCTCACGTACCCAACCTCCATTGCGTCCGCCCACGCCTTCCAGTGGTACATCGACCCAGCCACAAGGGGCGTCACCTTCCCAGGTTCCGAATTCGACAAGGTCGTTGCCGCCCATGCCGGCCAGGAAGACCATTTTGGTGGGTGTGTAGCTCTCGTCTAGGTCGAAGTCGAGATAGACACGGATGCGAACGACGGCAACCAGTTTAAAGAAGTGGAGGGTTAATGTATGTGGTTGCGGACCGTCGGATTGCCAGTATTGCGCGGGGGAATGGTGTCGTAGAGCTGCGACGCCGCAGCCGGGTTTGGAGGTGGACACAGTCCACGAAGCGAGGGAGGAGATTTCGCGGAGATTGGGTGGGAGTGGTGATGGTGATCGATCTAGTCAAGTATTAGGGAATTCCTATAGTTGCTGACAACAGCCCTGGCTGCTGTGAAGGCGTAAGTGGCTTCATACCTCTGTCTTGCATTTCCTCGTCGCCGTCCTCCTCCTCTCCCTCTTCGGATTCATCCTCAATAATGCCGTCAACCTCGTCGTCATCGATTACCCCCGAAGGATCAATCCCTTCCCCAGGCTCAAATTGGGCCATTGCATCCATCCCATCCTCGTATTCCTCGTCATCCTGCCCATCGGGAGAGTAGTCATCGTCCAGTTCCTCTTCCTCCTCCACAGTCTCTGGAGGCTGCTGGTCTCCTCGCGGTCGCCTGAATATAGAGAAAGGGTTTGTCTGCGCTGCCGGGTGTGCAGATGCTGGTGCCATGTCTGGCGTCACTTCCTGCGGCCCTGTGGAGGGTGGGTGGCGATGGGTTGGGTTTGAAGGGGTATGTCGCGACGGCGGGGTCTGGAATTGGGTGCGCAGACTACCAGGGCCATTAGGATCTTGATCCTGGTAGTCGCGCGGGTTTGGTTGTCGTCGCAGGTGCGGCATAGTAAGGAATTTGGGAGTCGTCCAGTGCGGCCTGTGAATTTCCATGTTTACTTTGGCGCGGGGAGCTCGCTTTCCTTTTGCGGTTAGCGCGTTATCGGAGTCTTTGCGAAGTATGAGAAACAGGTTATGCTACAAATTATATTAGAGATCAAGCTGAAAAGCTCAGTTCGGCCTTGAAGACGTTGGCTCACGATGGAATTCCTTTCATGATCCTGGCAACATGTCTACTACCCATCTATTCTATCTTAAGATGTTTGCTAACGATCCTACAACCTCCTTGTCCGAAGAAATGTCCACTGCGGCCAACAGGAATGAATACTTTATGAAGGAAACCAAATGTGTTGATCTAAGTAGCACCCGGAGTATTTCTCACGGGTTGTTACTCAAAAAATAGGTGGCAGCCACCGGCTCACCCACTGCTTCAACGATAGGCCTCAGTGTGAAGTTAGAACGAGCATCAGTGGTTTGGGAATAGTATGTGCCGTCCTCAGCCTCCTTGAAAGAGCATAGCCGCGAGGCTGTTCAAACAGATAAAGCGTATAGGTATGGTTGGTACTGTCTCGAGGTCGGGGAGCAGTATACTCAGCGACAGCATCGCTAGAGTTTACAAAGCGACCATTTTTCCCAATCGTATAGTTGCCTCCCCACCAGTGAAGCCGAGTTGTCGTGTTCACAGCGAGTCCAGGAACTAGGCTGCTGTAATACTCCGAGGTCGTAACATCGGAATCCGGGATGTTTAAATCCAGCGTGAAAATCATCCAAGTGCTGTCATCTGCGGTCTCTTGCTTGTCTCGCGCGGAAACAATGGGCTGACTGCCGACATCTATACTTCCCAGTTAGAAAATCTGATAACGTGCCAGCGAGCTCATAACACTACCACTTGGGCCGATCCATATTCCTGGGGTGATGGTCACATTTCCGAAGCTTGCTCCAAGTTTGCTTTTGGTCGAAGGATAGCTCTTGGGTGGCGTTTGTGCAAGCGCCGCAGCTGCTGCAGAAACCAGACAAAATACGCTGAACTTCATTCTTCCAGGATATAAATTGAATGCACGTATTCGACCATCTTTAGCGGATCAATTCTCACCTATGTGCTTGAATACAATAAAGATTGTGAGAAGCAAGCGATCGACGCGACAACCTCGGCATGGAGACCCAATCAAGCCCAATGTAGTATTTAAAGCCGATAACCTCGAACCATGACGAATCTCTCAACTCCCTTCCCAGAAAGTCAGTTCCATTCGGCGGAGGGGATCTTGAGACTTGATCATTCAAACTGAAATTAAGGAGCATCAAGGCCGCGTAATCGTACCGTCAAAAACGTCGAATATGTTTATTGTAGAATCGGCACTCCCGCACTTATAGTCTTTGTCCACTGTTCGATGGGTCTGGATTACCAAAAATAGTAGGATCTGATTGATCTATTCAAGAATTTACTCACACTATTACTCTGAGACGTTGTCTGCTATGCCTTGACAGCCCCTTAATGCGTTCAAAAGGAGGCGAAAGGTACGTCGAAAGTTGGGGAACGTGTTGTCATCAAAATCTATCAAACGCGAGTATTTTTTACTTAATGAAATAAACTCAAGTGAAATTTGAATCTGATTTTGACAACTTATGTGCTCGCAAAAAATGAAAGAAAAAAAAAATTGTAATCGTTCCACATATAGAAAGTCCCCTCTCGTCAAGTACTAAGAGCAACACCTGATTCCGTCCGTGAAAACGAAACGCGAAGAGACGAGCTCTTGTGTCACAAGCCCCAGACCCTGTATAGCCACTGCCACATCCAGGCTACACGATACACTATATCCTTTCGAATTCCCAATTCTCGGACCCCTTCACCAGTGCAATCTTCCTCAGTTCCATCGAGCTCCTCCCGTGGTCATAATTATTACCTTCTGCAACAGCATTTTTTGCTCAAACGAGGGCAGCCATCTCCAGTCATATGTGAGAACCCCCGATTCCCACAATAGGCCTCGCATCTGCCACTCCAGAACATGCTGCACTGACTCGCATGGAAACAGTTGTCGTCCAGTTTGTCATCGATCTCATTGGGGCTGTCTTGGGCTGGGATGGCCATGATGCTGGCAGCGAGAGTGAGCAGAAGGATAAAGTTGGTCTTCATGATGATGCGATAGAAGGGAGATAAAGTGCTCTTTGGTGAGGCTTTGTCTTGCTCAAGCAGAAAGCTGCAAAGGGACTTGCGATTGTTGGTTTCCAAGAGCATACGTAGACGTATTTATACCCAAAATTCATTACAGTAATGAAGCTAATCGGGAAGGACACAATTTGTACGTAACATAGTGTAGGATGAGAAGAATAGAGACAGTCGAAACAATTGTCATCTGACTAGCTACGGAGAGTATATGTGGTCCAATGATATTAATAAGAATTTCTAACTCAAGGTTTTCCTACTAAGCAGACTGCTGAGTGATGCTTCTCTTTACAATATAACTGTACACGTCCATCTCTATTACCATATCTCTGTTCCAAACTGGACACCTGACTCAATGCCAAGTCAAGGTCGACAAGAAAGGCGGATCTCATTCTCTTTGCTTTTTGCCAAATATATTCCAAAGTATCTCTCAATCGTGGTGAATCACTCAAGTAATACCTGTCCTACCGTTATAGCTATCCATCGGAGGATAATCATTTCTATGCAGCGAAGGGAATATTAAGTTCCAGGGTCAAGTTGTGTTCTTTGGATAGTTATATCTCCAGCATGTTTTCCGAGGGTTAGGTACTCTAGTGTCAATTGATTGCTCGGAACCCAGGCATACGCATAATATGTAGGAGACCTTAGTTCAATGGCCTTGTACTACAATCTCGCCGATGGGGAACATGATCCATATAATTGGAAGGCCCACCAAGTTTCGTGTTTGGACGCAGCGAATGATCCTCTACCCAGTCTCTAAGCAATGCGTCCGTAACAAGAGCACAATGTTTCTCCTAAATCAGCCATGCGAGCATTGACTGTATAATCCAGCTATTAATTAACCCGAAACCGACGGCCTCATGCCTTATGTTCACGTTGATATCAAACTCTGAATAACATTTCCTTGCATGACCCTGATTACGCAACCCCTGCCTCCTTAGCTTTACTAATAACATCCTCCCAGACCGAGTCGTCGCCTGAGGGAATATGCATATCCAAAATCCCCTCCCCATCCCTAGCAAAATCAATCAAGTCTTCTTCAGTGCCCCAATCGCTCATAGCCATAACGCCAATGGGCACACCACTGTCCTTCGCATAACCAGCTGGGCAACTAATAGACGGGCAACCCATGAAATTTGCCAGCCAGACATACTCCATATTTCGCACAGAAGTCTTGCCATCCGACAGACCGCGAGAAAGCTCATTCTCACCGCCGTCAATATGCCAGCCCGGAATCGGCGTTGAAGGGGTGAAAATCATCAGACCGGGATGAGTCTTGAAAAGATGCGCAATGTGCTTCATGATCAGATTGCGTAGGCGTTGGGCGGCGAGGAGGTCTTGGGCTGTGATCTGCCACATGCCCATAGACACGAGGACTTTGTTCGGTGCTGAAAGGTGGCGAATCTGGCGCGCATCGACACAGGATGCGATATCTGCCATGATGGTCAGGACGTGGGCACGCTGGCCTTCGGGCAAGTATGGGATCGTGATGTCGATGACGTCGTAGCCATGTTGTCGATAATATTCGAGCGCAGCGTCGAACACGGCTCGGACAGGGGCCTCGGCACGGTCGATCCAGTCGCGCACAATACCAATTTTCTTGATCCGCTTACGGCCAGCGGCCAGTGGCAGCGGTTTGGGGAACTGTGCAGAGATCGCATCTTGCGAAGCAGGCGCAGGGTTTGCCATAACGCGATACGCAAGTGCGAGATCGTCAATGCTGCTGGCCATGGGCCCGAGAACACCGACGCTAGGCGCGAGACTCATGGATGGTGCGCCAGACACACGGCCATGAGTAGTCTTTAGGCCCCAGATACCACAGAAAGACGATGGAATACGGATCGAGCCTCCGCCATCTGCGCCGAGTGCAATTGGCACCAATCCTGCGCCGACGGCGTATCCAGATCCACCAGAAGATCCACCACAGTAGTAGTTCTTGTTATGAGGGTTCCGTGGGGTTCCATAATTGGGATTATTGTTATTCGTGTCTGGAAATGCAAAGTCAATCAATTAGCCACGAGACAGCAACGGAGGAAATAGCTCGCATCAAGTACATACCCAGGCCGAGCTCATGCATAGTTGTCTTTCCGATCACAATAGCACCGGCATCTTGCCATTTTTGCACACACCACGATGTCGCATCAGTCCCATGCTTGAAATCGAGCTTCGTTCCAAGAGTACGCTTGTAGCCAGTGACGTGCACTTCATCCTTGACCGCAACTGGGACACCATCGAGCGGTCCCAGCGGCTGTTCATTCTTGTACCGGTCTGTAGAAGCCTGCGCAGCTGCACGAATGATATCAACCTGTGATTCCAGAAAAGCAGTAGAGTGCTTCCCCGCGGGCGTAACGTCGCGTCGCACGAGAGGCAGCAACGCCTCAACGACCGCAAGCGGGGTCACTTCGCCCGACGAATACAAAGCATGGTAGTCGGCAGAAGTGTAATAGCAGTTGTCTCCTCTCCTCTTCTGCACAGCAGGCGTTGGAGCATCACTAGGCACCTTCTCGACGGGAATCACAGTGGGATCAGAACGGCCAGCGTACTCGTGGAGATGGGGGATTTCGCGAATGACATCAAAGCCGGCATTGCGCCAGAAGTGGCTTTGGAGGAAACCGAGATTGTGGATTCTAGTTGGGGCACCGATACGTTAGCTATCTGGTATATTGTCAAGTGCAGTACGCTTTGTCGCATCTTACAATGTCGCGCCGATCGCTAGAGGAGTACCTCGAAACACCGGGATTGTCTGCGTCTCATTTTTGTAAGGTACCTTGGGGCCTTCTCGAGGCACTGGGTAATTCAGAAATGTGATGTTATCGGAACTCATCTTGTTGGGAGCTGTAAGCTTGTTGACGTAGAGCTGTCAATCTCGAGCAAGCCGAGGAGTTGTTCCTGAGCAATTGTCACATGCCAACTATGGCCGTACATTTGAGAGGTCAGCTGACACTCTATCCAGATGTACGGCTTCACAGTACCACAGAGAGCAATGGTATAGAGTCGGAAGTTTGTCGAGAAATAAATTTTAGATATCGCAGAAGTCCTCGTAACCAACCGAAAAAAGGTGATTCTTCAGTCTGAACACGAGTATGATGTGGAAAAATGTAGTGATCATGAAGATATGATACAATGTATAAGCTTAAATACTCTAATCCTAAATCCAACTACAGGCGTAGTTTAAAATTGAACTTGTCCATAACCAGAGCAAGGCCAGTCAATATCGCCGCATATACGATCAAGATGGCCATCGCCAGCGGCGTATTCACATCCAACGTTGGAATACTCAGATTGACCGCGCCAGTCAGGAGATTGGCAACCAGGAAGATCGCCAGACCACCACGATTGAATGCGTGAAGAATGCGGCTGGTCGCGAAGGCATTTCGCCCCTCCTCTCCTTCCTTGCTGGTAGCTCGGTGAACAGATGGGAAGAACAGAGTCTCGGCCAGACAAAACAGCAGGATCTGCGCATTGTTAAAGGCTGCAACCCACAAGACATAAGGCATGTTGGCGAGCCGGCGCGAGACCAAGATGTTCGCTCCATATCCAAATGCATAGGAAGAGTTAAAGAAGAACATGGTCGACCAGAACATCACCTGAAGAGCCAAGCTCACCAGCACAGACCTCCGTGCCTGCTGCGGGGTTTTGGTGGCGGATGTGCCCTTGGGAATGATGCGAGTGCCGACACCTCGGCCAGCGAGGAAGATGGCTAGATAACCCAGGAACGAGAAGACACCTTCACGGTTCTTGGACAATAGATCTGGGCCTCGGGGAGAGATCAAGATGTAGCTCTTGAGCTCGGTAGACTCGAGAGCAACCTGGTAAATGATAGAGATAATAACGGCCAGGGCTTCATAGGATGGAATCAAGGCCGTCAAAGAGTCAAAAATCTCAACAAACGGGGGGAGAAAGCCCAAAGTGAAGAAGAAGTTCCAATGGACTCCATACTCAGTCACATGCTCCGCATAGTCCAGGCCTTTTACACTCCAGAGGCGAATGACACCTAGTACAAGCAGAGGAATCGAGTGACGCAGGGAGTTCATGAGTCGCCCAATGAACGGAGTCTTTTTAGACTGGGCACGGCTCTTCAAAATGGCGCGCGCAGATACCACGCCAGCTGAGAAGACGAAGGAACCCACCCCCAAATCCATCAACGATGTTCCCCAATTCTCCACCTTCGCGAAGCGGCGCGGAAACACTCGGAAATCAACCGCGAGAATTGCCACGCAGGTGACGACCATCATAGCTGCCCGGTAGGTCGTCAGGAACGGGTGGACGGGGAGTGATCCTTCGTCCTGGAAACGATCATCCTTGCCAACTGCGTTGCGGGGAGGCTTCGCTTTTTGCTGAGAGCGCTGAGGGGGTTGGGTGAGGTACAGAAGGACGGCGGGCGTGATCAAGAAGATGTTGAGGAGGACGGGCGCGGAGGAGTAAGCGGTTGTCGCGAATAGAATCGCCAGCACATTGAGGATGAAGTCTGTCAACAGCGCGGCCGGGCTGTATGGTGTGAAGAAGGATAGTCGGGACTGAAGAGCAGACCACAGAAGAACGGATGCCTAGATACGTGAATTTAGGTCAGGAGATAATCGCATGAAGAAGGTCAAGATTGTCATCCTACCGACGCGACGAAAGAGACAGCGTTGATATCGGCAATGTTGCTCCCCGCTAGGTTCGACACAAAGGCCTCTTTTCGAGCCTTGTAGCTCGGATCCATGTTGATTTAGGTATGTCGGATCTAGTAAAAGGAGTGGAATTGCCGAATTGCCATCGGCAGCTTGGAAGAGATCCTCCGCAGGAAATAATGCAGTGCGGGATGTCAAAGAGCGGAGGAACTCCAAGCTCGGCACGGAGACATGGACACGGTGGCAATCACCTGACTCGTCCTGATCTATGTAATTGAAGATAGGATGAAAGGTGTTATATTCAATTACCATAGCCCAGAATAAATAAAATTCATGATATGATAGGTACTCATTCAAATGACAATTTCATTACACGGTACACACAATATTATTACCTCCGACAAAGTTCAACAAACGAGGAGCGGCTAGAAGTGTCCAGGATCGGATTTCATACTCCTCCGCTTCTCGAACCAGGAGCCAAGTAGCTATGTAAATAGCAGCTTGTTCTCTATAGTAATCTGTCCCTATTCAGCGCAATGCAATTGGACGCTCGACTTATCTTGAATAGTATTTAGGTGATCATGACTCTGCAGGAAGCTGTTAAAAGGGTCGGCTAAGCTCGGTAGTCGTCATCGATCGGCTGCAATGCGGCTGGGCCATGCCATGGCGATCTGGGGCACTTCAACAATCTTTGTGCTCCTCTTCCACTACTGTAAATGAGCGGGCGTTGGGTCTTCCACTCAGCTCCTTACTCATATAGGAAAACATACTGTAATCTTCGCCGTCATAGGTATCTCAAGACCCCATGTCGATCAAGAATCTATCGAAAATTCCCTCCGCAGCCACCGTCCGTGAGCCAAACGGATCGTTCGAGAAGCGACACCGCCCAGATTGACACGAGGCTGCGAAATGACCAGATCGTGATCGATACTTAGGGGCCACGTAATTGGTCCAAAGGCACCGGATCTAGGGGGTTAGTGCCGCGCCGCAACTCATTATTGGCGACATGGTTGACAACTTTAGCTCTGCAGTGTGCTGTGCGCAAGTGCTCAATACTGTATGTAATTACATAAAACGTTAGCTCTGGTTAGGGTGCCAGTGGGGGCAGGTTTGGGCAACTTCTCGTGCGGAGTCGCCGGCTTCCTTTGGACTTGTATTCCAAATAGTTGGAATCTGTCATTCCCATGTGGCATCGATCAGGGGTGGCCACATTCAGAGCCAGAGGACCCGCTCTCGTCTGTTGCCAACTCCATACGAATGATATGATGCGAGAAAATGTTACGTGACCTCTGCGAAAGAAGAATGGATAAATGCACGCTAGCTTCGTCTTGTTGGTGACCAACTCGACCTCAACATTGACCATGACCTCTGGCGTAGGCGCCTAACAAGGATCATCGGACAAATGAGGTTAGAGCGGTAATGGTAGTGCCTGGATCTTCCATGCAGTGGCCATGCAAGTGGCACACACAAGCGCCAGTCTCCAGGCAGGACTGTCCACTCAGGGGCGTCGTGAAGTGGGCCTAGTCTAGCAATGTTGGTTTTGTTAAAGAAACCAACCTCCAAGATTTGGTCTTTTAAACTTGGCCAAATTTCCATGAACAAGGGTATAGGACACTACAGATGGGTGTTTCACCCACGGATAGTTCTCCACGTGGTCACCGTCTTTTGAGGGAATCTTTTTTTTTCTTCGAGGAGGATCCTCGTGGACTCAATTTTACGCCCTTCTTATTGAGTCAAAAAGCGCCAGATGGATCTCGGGGCGTGTCTGCTGGGGGCCAAAAGTACCTAAAGTTCCTTTTCCCCCCACCCGCGCCATCTTCCCCTAGTCATCGTGCATAGCTGTCTGTCACCCTAGCTTAATAATAGGCTGTGTAACAACTTTGAAAGGGCTAGCGGACTTGGTCTTGCAGACGGAGACGGAGATGCACGGTAGTTAGGGCTTCTAGAACTGGGGAACCCCCGAGCCGAGGAATCATGCCTGCTGGAGATATTTTCCCATAAGATCCAGATCTCTTGACTTTGGGTGACATGAGAGGGGCCTTGTAGGCCAAGCAAACTAGGAGACGGACGAGTAAGCCGCTAACCATGCAGCACTGGCCAACCTAAGGAACATATACCGAAGTATAGAACGGTGTCTCCGTACATCACCAACAGTCATGCAGGTTGACTTTCAAGGGGTGCTTTTGTTGTTGGATGCGTCTATCGGTCTATAGGCCACCAGGGTCTATAGTGCATAGGTCATGGGGGGTACCATTAGAAGCGCAAATTAGGGCTCATGGAACGCCCCATGCATCCATTTTCGACGCAACTCGCTCGTCCTGGCAGGACCGGGCTCCAGTATCCCGCTAAAACGCAGAAACGCAGGAGTTTCTTTCTTTTTTCTCCAACGGGGCCAAGCTAAATATGAAAAAAAGAAGGGCTAAAGGGCCAAAAAAGACGCCATGCCCATAGCTTGAGAGTACCCACAGGGTTCGTGCGGCTGTTTCCTGTTCATTGGCTGCCTCCGGGCCAGCACTCAGCCGTTAGGTGCGCATCACCGGGAGATTGCCTGCCTTTGGGGCCTGGCTTTGATGCTAGCGACGATCCGGAGAAGGACAAATGTAGACTCTTGCCTCTTGTATCGGGTGACAGGCGACAGCCGACCTTATTTAAGACTTGGCACATCCTAGTGAAATTGAATGGGTCGGCCCATAAAGAGTCGTGTCCCATTTCTTGGAATAGAATACTGTCCTCCTTTCGTTCCTAGTAGTCAACCAAAAGGTCCCGATTACCCACTATCTCTTCCTGGGTGTTCAGCCTTGGAATCCGCTCAAGCTACTCTGAGGTTTTCTCCTACCTGCCCCTGCTCGGTCCGGCGTACAGGGGGGGACGCCGCCCGCAACGAACTAGGAAAATCTGCCCCAAATTCCATCCTGGCAACACTCCGAGGGAGAGTCATTTGAAAGGAGCTCCCCTCGGGCCTCCCTGGATGCTTCATTCCTTTCTCCCGGTGACGCGTGCTGGATCCATGGTCACCTCCAACGCCCTCCTCGTGCGAGATAACTGGTTCACGGAGAGCCCGGCTGTCGTTCGTTATCTGGGAGCAAGTCGGACCACCCTGAAACCCAGAAGAACCATGAGTAGTAGCAGGGAAGGGGGCCACCCAGAAGGCGGGAGTCCCGCTCCGGGACACGAAAGGTCTCCTCACTCTCTGCCGAGCAGTTGGAGCGAAAGCGGGCCAATGATCGAGAGGCCCAGCGATCTATCCGCCAGCGAACGAAGGAGCATATCGAGCAGCTCGAGCAACAGGTCGCCCGGCTTCAGATCCAGGTGAACGAAATGCGGCCACGGAACGAACAGTTCGATGACCTTGTTCGACAAAATGCCGCTCTTCAAGAGGAAATTGCCCGGTTGAAGCATCAACTAGCCGGTTATACAGGTCGACAGGGTTTCGCGGACAGTGGATGGAATATGGGTGAAGGGCCAAGTACCGCGGCGTCCGGTATACCAACGACGGGCACGATGCTCTCGTCACACTTCTCTGCGCCGACTCATCCCTCGGCAAGTTTCCCTCGAGCACCATCGACATTGTCAGTCTCGAGCCGATCATCCCACCCCCATGAATGGCAGCCGTCATACTCGAGCACACGATCGTCATCGCTGGGCGAGTCGTCGGACCCAGAATTCTCGGCTCGCATGGAGCCATACGTGATGGAGGGACAGTTGCAGGCATCTTCACGCATGGCGGCGCCCTCTCTTGCCATCGCAAACTCCCAGATCAGCTTTGGAAGCGTTACCAGCCCGACTCAATCAGGCTCGGAGTCTTCTTTTTCTCAGATGTATCCTGTAGGACAGCATCCACAGCCGGGGCAGCGAGGAGACGGGTTGCAGCCCGTCCCCCACTCGTCGATGAATCAACCTGCCGCCGGATACCTTCCTGGCCATCGATCAATGTCCCTGTCCATGCCTAGCGTCAGTGCTCCCACTCAATCAGCTCCAGGTCAGCCGTATCAGTCGCCGAATGCTCCATACCAGGGCCATCCCGGCCAGCCTCCACAGAGAGATCCGTCATACCCATATCCATGGAACCCGCAGTCATGAACAACCTGGTGACGGAGTTTGGGTGACCAAGTTTGTGTCAATGGCAGGAGGCGTGCAGTATCGCCTTCGCTGGGGAAAGCAGAGGAGAAAAAGCACAGTCCATCTCCTGCCACGTTGAATGCCTGCAAGCGCTTCTAGACTAGAGCGCTTAGAAAACCTTATTGAAGGGTACGTTACGGCACTCAAAGGCACTTGCGTTAGTCAACGTGACTAACAGATTTTATTGTTCAACCAACAGGGGCAATTTTCTTCTGTGGAAGATAGATGAGGTCAACAACGTCGATGGGCAGGATAAGCACAGCTGAAGAGGAAAATATAGCCGGCCCGGATCCTCGGACAGATTCCGACCTCGACACTCCACAGGTTATATTCACCGACTCTTGATGATACTGTCATCGTTTATTATCATTCGGATATAATTTCACACGGACAGACGGGGATAAAGCACGACGAAAGTTGTCGAGGTGCGATGGCCGCTTTACTTGGGAGAGAGCATTGGATAGGGTTACGGGAATCCCCCAAACACACAGCCCCGAAGTAACATGCCACACTACAAGGGGCAGTCCCCATGTTCTGAAACATGTTACACAAGAATAGCGCAGGCGCTATTGAGGTCCATACTGATCATACATGAACGAGATACGACAAAGAATGCCCTGATCAATTCCAATCATTGATGCCCTATACTCCCAAAGCTGCGAAAAACTGTACAATACATCATCAATGCGCGCATAGCAACCCAAATTTATCGCAGAAGAAATCCAAAAAAAAGTCAGAACTAACTGGTCGCTAGTCCATGGTCTAGTTTGTGTACTGCTTCTGCAGCATCTTGGCAATGGTCTGCAGCTGGATGTTGCTGGTTCCCTCGTAGATGGCACCGATCTTGCTGTCACGGAACATCTTCTCGGCAATGCCCTCACGGACGAAGCCCATACCACCCATCCACTCAACCGCGGAGCCAGCCACGCGGCCGGCAACCTGGGAGGCGTAGAGCTTGGCCATGGCAGCGTCCTTGACGAAGTCCTGGCCGGCCTCCTTCTTGCGGGCGGCGTTGTAGACCAGAGCTCGGGCAGCGGCGATCTCAGTGTAAGCCTGCGCAATCTGGTGCTGCATGCCCTGGAACTCGCCAATGAGCTGGCCGAACTGCTTGCGATCATTCCAGACGTAGCTATAAGGTTCGATTAGCAAGAATTCAGCGCTGTTTATAGAACAACTACTTACCGAGCAGCGTGCTCCCAGGCACCGAGCGCCAGGCCGGTCATCTGAGCAGCGATACCGATGCGACCCTCGTTCAAGATCTCAATGGCGATCTTGTAACCCTTGCCCTCCTCGCCGAGCAGGTTGCTCTTGGGGATAACGACGTCGTCAAAGTTGAGCACACAGGTGCTGCTGGCGCGGATACCGAGCTTCTTCTCCTTCTTGGCGATCGAGAAACCGGGGGTACCCTTCTCCACAATGAAGGCGGTGATACCCTTGTAGCCAGCGCTAGGGTTAAGGTTGGCAAAGACGATGAAGATGCCAGACTCCATGGCGTTGGTGATCCACATTTTGGAGCCGTTGATCTTGTATCCATCAGCGGTCTTCTCAGCCTTGGTCTGCAGGGCAAAGGCATCCGATCCAGACACGGGCTCCGACAGACAGAATGAGCCGACAGTACCGGTGCTCAGCTTGGGCAGCCAGGTGCGGTGGGCCTGGGCATCGCCGTACTTCATGATGGCGGTGTTGACGAGAGTGTTGTGGACATCGACCATGACGCTGACGCTGGGGTCGATACGCGCCAACTCCTCGATCGCCACGATAGCAGCGGTGAAGTTCATGCCCGCTCCGCCGAACTCCTCGGGGATCTCAATACCCATAATACCCTGCTCGAAGAGGCCCTCGACAACGGACGGGTCCATTGTCTCAGCCTCATCCATATCCCGGACCTTCGGGCCGATCTGTTCGGAGGCAAACTTGGACACCATGTCGGCCATCATGGTCTCGGTCTCGGACAAGAGGGAGATTGGCGTCGGGGTCAGCTCGGAGAGGTCGGCCTCCCGCCGGCGGGGAGTAGTCGAGAAGGCATAGGCACTATGGGCCAGTGCATGTCAGTTGAAAGTTGCTTTGTGCAGCCGCATTAAGCGGGATCGGTACTTTCGTGGTGGTGAGATTGAACATACCTCTGGACTGGGCGGATGGCAGCTAGCCGGTTGGAGGCCAGGCGTGCCGAGGGAGGAGTGCGCGACAGGGGACGCAAGGCGCGGGTGATGGAGGCCATTGCGAGTGTAATGAGGGGGTATGTGTATAGAGAGGGAGTGTGATTCTGTCTTGTGCGAATAATCGAGGGGAAAAGAAGAAGGGAATGTGAACGTGAAGAACAATAAATCACAAGGGAAGGGCCAAACGGGCCTCGGTTATCGGCGGCGCTGGGGATTCGCGGGGAGAGGCGGTGGGGCTTATCATTGGTCAAACCTAGGTTATCCCTATTTATGTTTGGCCAGGAAAAGATGATGTATATCAGCGAGAAAGAGAAGGTCGTTATTCAGTGGGGTCAATTCACAGATTGGTATTTGGTGAAATGAGTAACCCAGGGTCAAACTCACCGTGATCGTGTCCTCTATGTACATTCTCCATATGCAGGTCCACACGCCCAAGTACGCCCAAGTTTCGGAGCTGCGCAGAGAGGGCAGTCGGTAGGACAAAGGCATTTGTGGACAGAAGCAAAATATTCATTTGATGAGGACGACGGTCCAGAGGGTTTAAGGAAAAATGACATTTCTCTATAACTACTGGAGAACCACGTACTCTATGTTTATGTGTCGAGTAACTCGGCTTTCGGGCACCAACAATAACAAGGTTCCGGTTCCTCGAGGCAAGGAAAAGCTTAGCTTCGGCTTCATCTTGATCTCATCATGCCGTATCGGAGAAATTCCTACTGGAAAGACTCCATCGGTCAATACGTCCAATTCAACCACGGGCCCTTAAGCCCTTAAATCCGAGCAGTGTGATCCAGTAACCACGGACAGGTCTCATTGGATGCCCCAGTCGTTTCTAGTGCTGACTTGTATTTCCGAAGCCAGGATTTCGGGGTAAACCTGAATTATTGAGGCTAACATTGCTTTGCTTGGACCCCTAGCTAAGGCTTTGGGGCTCTTCGGCTATAGGAGCCTTTTCTCAGAAAGAGTATGTCTGCGCCCCATCCTGACGTACGTCTACAAGTGTCACCTCTTGTTAAATATCTGTATCCTTCTCTTACAGATAGAATCAAAGGACTGCCTTCGATCTGAATATCCTCACTTTTATCCTGCTATATCAGACTCATCTCCAGCCAACTGCACAAATGCCCAGCTCATCTATCCTCTCCGAATTCACCTTCACCAATTTAGGCCCCCTGACCACAACCTGGACTGCCCCCGCCAGCTGCGCCACCGTAACGGACGATGTGAAAATAGGCTATTCCTCATACATAGGCCAGGCAATCTGGGACTTGAGCTGCCAGGTTAAAGAAAACAGCTGCGTTCCAACTGGGACATCCGAAGACCCTGCACTAGTTACCGGCTTGAGTCCAACAAACTTCTACCAAGGAGCATACTTCTCGCCGGGCCTGTATTGTCCATCTGGATGGACTACGGCTGGCGTTGCTTCGCGCAATGGTACTCAAACTGTTACTTCGTCTGGGGATCCATTTAGTGTGACTTCCGCTGTGCCGACGTCTTTCGATGTGCCTCTTATGAACAATCCCGCCAATATCCTCATGCAACTCCTGGAACCGAATGAGACGGCTATAGTTTGCTGTCCGAGGTCAGTTAACCATAGCCTCCTCCCTTCAAACCTCAAACTATAGACAAACAAGTCCACTAATGGCTGATAGTTCAATGACCGCCGGCCCCTTCATCGGATGCTACTCAACCCTCCCCGATTACAAGATATCTACCGCCTGCATAGACTACGTCCCGAGTGGGGATCTCCAAGCCGTTAACCAGACATTCTGGTACTACGGACAGACGGTCGTTGGGAAACTCTACTCGCTCACGGGTAGTGTATCTCTCACTGACACTCAAGTCGTTACTTTCTCGCCAAGCCAGACTAGCACTCTCGTCGCATACTCGGTTTTGCCATTCGCGGCGTTCATTCACAAACCCGCGGACTATCCGGCAACTGCGACGGCGGCAGCTACGTCTAATGCTGCGGTGAGAATGTCATCTACGAAGGGGTCGTGGGATGTTATGGGTATTTTGGTTGTGAGTATTCTGGGTATGGCTCTTGGGGCTGCGATTGTCTTGCCTGTTTGAGGATTGCTGCGTGCAATGTGCTGGATGGCTGAATGAAGGTGAAAGAACGGGCTTGTCTTGAATGGTGTGGGGATCATGATCAAGGATTCTATCGAGGTAAAGAGCATCGGGGTTGACAGTTCTTCCTCTCTAATGTAGGGCTGCGCGCTCTGCTGAATCAATTGACCTTTGAACGGCATGCTAAATGTAACTCCATAAAAACAATCCATCTATCCGCCCAGAAAAACAATAAAACACCGCCTCGCTGGAAATCAAGAGAGAAAAATTTGCGCCTTTCCTACTACCCATCCAATTCAAACCCAGATCCCCTCAGTCGGGTCTGGAAGGAAGAATTCACAACCCAGATGCGCCTCCTTGGCATGCGCCTGAAGTTCTCTAAGAATTTGTTCCTCGGGGGATGGTCCATCGGTAAGATTCTCCTTGATATGAATAATGTAAACAGACAGACCAGTCAGCGGCAAGGGATCAGCATCCGCCCAGCTTGCGATATTAGACACATCGACATCCTTACTATCGGTACCATCAGCAAAGCTGTCAGACAGATCTGGGACGGAAAAATCCCCCGAGCGAGGTTCCAGTTTTTGGTCTTTCTCGCTCGGCGGGTTGGAGCCCCGCTTGGTTCGCGGACTGACTGGGCTGCCTGTACCGTCGCCAAAGCCGGTATTGGGTCGTTTGCGCTTTTTGTCGGGCAGCGGTCCTGGCTCACGAAGTGCCATCACCGTTGAGGCGAGTGCACTTAGTTCGGCTACCATGTGTCGAGGGCATAGGTGACCATAGAGATACGCATCATCGATACTATCAGTGAAGGAGCATTCAATGAAAATGGCCCGCAGGGTGCCTGCGTGAATTTTAGGAGCAGCAGTCTCCCACACGCGTTTGTTGCGTGGTTCGAGGGAGATCGTGTCCGGCTCGAGATCTCCGAATATGATAATCTCTTTACCAGTGCGGTGGTCGCGGAGGAAGAATGCAGAGCTTTCAACTGTGGCCATAATAGGTTCTTTGGAATTGGCCGGGAGTAGGCGTGGTGATCGAGCTGGGGAGTAGAAACTAGTGGAAATTTAGCAACTGCATTCCCTGGCGCGGATCGAGCACCTCTTGCATCTTGCTTACCTTGCATCAGTATGATCCATAGAAACCGCCCGCGACGGTAGCATGAATTGCTCCGATGGAAATACAGCGCTGCCAATCCTATGATGTGTAGCGGACTCGGGATGATATCGCTGCTTGCAACGACCATGACTGACAGCGAGACACTTGGTCAAGATGCCGTTGCAAGCACGAACGTAACCCCTGCTCTCACCGCTGCCGAACCTAGTGTTTCCACCCTCTACCAATCGTTGGTACGTGAGTAACCCAGCACCACCATCCTCATCTGACAGATTTGGCCAGATAATGTCGTTGAACATGTGGTTTTTGATTGCAGATAGGACTGATGGCAGAGCCGCAACAGGTTTGGGTCCACTTCCCGCCTCCAAGATCGGCGTGTTGATCGCCAAACCCGAGATGTGGTCCAGATGAGGGTGTGTGATCAAGACGGCGCCGATGATCTCCCGGAAAATATGTGCAGCATTGGCTTCTGCGCTTTGGGCGGGCAGATGTAGACCTTTAAAAGGCCCAGCTGTCATGAATCCCTCCTCATCTTTGGAATCCGGTAGGAAGAGCTTCAGTATGCGAATGATCCCCGCAAGCAGTGTCCCCGCATCTACGGCCACTAGTGAACCGGGGGACCAATTCATGGATGTTGATCGCACAAGAACGCCAGTCACGCTGTCTTCTCGGGGACCGCCATTGGGGCCCTGTTCGACGTTAGCATGTTGGATCAACCAAGTGGCAGGGGCTCAAGACGCTAGAGCCCCAAAATGTCTCCACATCTCCAAAGAACAAGGTATGAAAGGGACAGGGGGTCTGGATCGCAGATCGCCGACGTCCAGGTCTAGCACGTGACCATTGTAGGTGGTAGTGACGCAAGAGTTAGAACTGGAGATCGAGGTAGAGACGCACCAGGACAATGATTTGGAACGCAGGGGTTTCTGTTTCTGCCATTGTTTGCTCACGCACGTCGCCGTGTTGTCCAGTGCGTGAGACACCGATCGGTAAAGCGTGGCCCTGTGAGGGAATGGCCACGTCGGTAACCTTGATGCCTGACTGTTTAATAGTGTGCGGGTTTCAGAGATGTGTGATTGTCTCGTCTCACCTTGAATACGACCAATCTACAGGTGTAGATTGGTCAACCGCGGCTGAGAGGGGAGTTGAAGCGCGGCTAGTCCAGAGCGTTGGGCCGAGATCTAGATGCTGCCTAAGCCGAAAGTTGTGATTTGAACTGTTTCTTTTGCAGAGTAACTAGATATGATCTGCTGAGGAAGACTCTTAGCGCAGGTATGCGCGCAGCACGGAAAGAAAGTGCGGTCAGAGACGAGGAGCAAGGAATCGCAACGAGTCAGTTGCGAAATGTCGGGCAAAGATGTGTGGTACCGCAAGCGCAGACCAGGCCGGAGCACGTTGGCTGCAGATAAAGTCAGGCGCGCTTGTAGCTTGAAAATGGACGAGACACCAGACTCCGCCCAGTGTGGGACCCTTTCCCCAGCTTGTACAACGAGCAAGAGAGGCGCACCAAGTGCAGCAGAGCACAGGACGCTACTGCACGTAAAACCCTAGTAGCTGAGCGCCGATTGGATTATGACCAGTAGTATGTTCCCAGGTAGCCACAGCTGCAGCGACAACGAGCCCTGCGCACAACAATGTATGGCGGCGCAATATCGCAGGCTGATCAGAACGGATCTAGGCGCAGCACGCCGGGCTTTGTGCTTTGTGGGGGTGTCCAGCACAATGTGCGGCGGCACAAACAAAGCCTCGGAAGGAGGCGCTAAGATCTGGTGCAGCCGAGACACTTTCAGGTTACCTGAAGCTCAAGTGGAATTTTCTTGGGGTTGGCGGGTGCGACTCACAAGGTTGAAGAGGCTAAGATTTACGGAGAATCTGTGACGCGCTCAGAGCTCCAGGGCAACTCGGGGCGAGCCTTGGCGCATTCAACTCCACCTTTGGGGCACTGAGAAGCCAAGCCAGATTGCCATTTGCTTATTGTGGAGGCACCAAGGGGAGGCTGGGAAGACAGTGTTTTGCGCCCTGCAATCTTTGCAATCCACTTGTCTCCAGAATACTCCTGTAGGGGGAGCCGGGGTTGTCGAGGAGGATGCGGAGCTGATAAGTGGGCGCGGACGATCCATGGATACGAGTCTAATCGGTCGGTTGACCCATGACGTTCCACTGCCAAATGAGGGTCTCGAACCCACCCCCCATAGTTCTTGCCCTTTTGGGGGCCATTGTAAGATAACCTACACAATCACGTCTGTCTCATCCCTAAACTGTAAGAAAGGGATTACAAATCCATCTACAAGGCTATTTTCACAGAGACATGGTATGGAGCAGCGGCAAATATTCAGCCAGATCAATAGTTGCGAGTATAGATTCTGGAACCATGGGAGTCCTCCCAAGGCCATGAGGATGCTAAATGACAAAATGTACAGGCCGGCTGCTGACAACATGGATATAACCAAATCCAGGGGTAACAATAAGCGATTGATGGAGGTGGGGGGCGAGAGAGAGACAGCAAAAGACCGCTGGCCCTGTACATGATCGCATGGTCCATTGACAAAACATAAACCCGATTCATCCCAAGATAAAGAAGGCCCCCAGAATTCTCCAAAAGACAAGCGCATATTCCGTAAACCAGCCCACCCGAGTTGCTAGAACGCCATCCGTGGACTCGCTAAGTGTAGAAAGGGGAAAAAATTCAAAGAAATTGAGGTAGAGGGAGATCCGTAATCAAAGCCGACAGGAGACAACAAAAGCCGTAACGAGAGGGTATGTTCGAGAAAAAAAAAAAAAAAGACGTAAAAATATAGGAAGAAAACCGAGTGCCGAGAGCGAGGCACCGCTTTTATTGACGTTCATTGAGATCCCAATCGACCACGGCTTGATAGCTGGGCAGGTTCTGGGATTCAAGATCGGCGGCATTGGCATTCGGAGGCGGGCTGGATTCTCCGGAGCCTCGGGCAGGGAATTCTAAAGAAGCATCACTGCCTCTGCGGCTGCTTTCAGGGCTCGAATACTCTGGGGGTGGAGCCTCATGCTCATCTGGAGCGCCCGCCGGACGACCAGCCACGGGGGTACTGGAATCTTCTCCATCCACTCCAATGCGGCTGGAACCCTCCCCAGCATCCTCGTTAGACGGAATATGGGCCAGCTGGGCAAGGGAAATGTCGGTCGGGGATCGAATCGGACCGGGGCTGACGGCCTGAGGAATCCCAATTCCAGCACTCCGAGAATTATACGATTGGTACACGCGCTGGGAGATTGTAGCGGCGCTTTCCCGGCCAGACTCGAGCAGGATGCTGCCCTGCTCGCTGCCATAGGGTGGGGGCGGGGCGAGGCTGCCTGTCATAGGGGCCAAGCCCCATTTCTTCACATTGGCTTCGATGAAGACGAAGCCCATCTGGCCAAAATTGACATGGACGGTGCAGGGACCGTTGGCCCCAACTGTTGGGAACAAATTTTGGGCGCGATAGTTGTGGGCGACATCCTCGAGCTTCTTGCCGTTGCGAGTGAAGAAGATTGTCCCCGATCGTGGTCGGTAGCCGACACCGATAACGTCGCCTTGGAGGAGTGGAGGTCCGTATGGGGTTGGCGTGAATGGCTGGTTGTGTCGGCGGTGGCCGGTCGATTGATAGGCAACAGACGTTTTGTGGAAGCCTAGAGGAGAGTGACTGGTTAGCGGGACTGCAAAGGAATCGCCGGCGCGGCCGGCCTATCTGAGCGCAAGACCTATGAAAATCATACCAGGAATTCGGAAAAGAGGGTACGGTTTAGTCGTCAGACCGATACCGACCATTGTCGACTCGGGCTTGTCGTAGATCTTAGCCTCCCAGTAATAGACCTCGTTCTGTTTCGGAAGAGGTAGATTGGTCTGCACGCTGCACTCCGAGTCGAAAAACTCAATTTCGGTACGAGCTTCCACAAAACAGTTGGCAATCTCTAATTCTGGTTGGAACTCCCAAGCGGACACGCCCTTTTCTTGAATGGCGAGGAACTGTGACAGCGAAATATCCGTTTGCATAGATTCTGGAGGGTTGGCCTGGACGAAAGCTGGATGGGATCATCAGCAAGAAGACTTCCCGGGCTGGCGATTGACGGTGTGGAACTCTCATTTACCTTTTGCTCGCAAATACTCTGACCTGGTCAGGTCATCCATCGTCTCCAGCGCCGCTTCCTCCTCCCGCAAGAAGGCTTGTTCGTCATCATATTCACCGGGGCGACCAATGCGATCGAGCATAATCCGCCCGCGGCGGGTATATTTGAAGAAAAAGAAGATCGCAAGCACCACAAATGCAATCGCGGCTGATCCAAAGGCCGAGAGGATCCCTATCAAGATGCCTTTGCCGGTTGAGCCGGAGGAGTCGCCACCGGCGGCAACGAGGTGTGTGGCATCATCGGACGTCGACGACAGACTGGAGATAACATGTTGCAGGCTTTCTTGTATTTGTTGTTGCGAGAAGGCAGCGGCGGCCGTCTGAGTAGCGGCTGGAATTGTCTGTGTCTGGGGGATGAGGCCGAGCGGTGACGTCGACGGAGTGGCTATCACTGATTTGAGGGTCGAAGGCAGGCCAGCGAGCGCACCGGGGCCCGATGCCTCAGGGCTCTGCATCGTTCATTGACTGACAAAGGAAAGTGGAAGAAGAGACGCAGGCAAGATGAAGAAGAACGAGGGGTGGAGGAAGAGGTGATAGACGTGAGGCTGCAGCGTTCGTTGGAGTGGTAGAGAGTCAGTCGAGCGAGTGGGCGAGCCCAAGTGGAAGTGGGCCGCGGCGGTCGACGTGGACTGGGGGCGGGCAGAAAATGGCAAAAAAGTGGGTAAGATTGGCGGATCAACCAAAGACAGAGAGAGGAAGAGAAAGATATACAGATACTCTGTCGGTTGAGTTGGTCAGGATAACTCCGTAGATGGCGTGCCTCGAGGATAGATGCAGATAAATACAGCAGAGAGACGAGATGAAGAAGTGCAGGTCGTGGGCGGGTGGACTCTCTCTTTCGACGCTTTCGGCCGCCTGGAGTCGTCCCTAGGTTCCTACGGAGCAGTCATCCTGATTACGGTGGTTTAGTCTTTACCTGCCATCCTCCTCCAATGCAAGGCAAGCCAAATAGGCATATTTTTCTCTCTCCTGCAGTCTTGATCCAATGTGATCGCTGTGCCTTTTTCTCCCAGAAGGGGACTGTGCATTTTTCCCTTTCGAACCTGTCATCTTCGCCTTTGAGCTTAAGGCACGGAAGAGGAGAGAGAATGGGCGGTATCACAGAGCCCGTACAGATGGGCCCATCCCTACTCAGGATAAGCCTCCTTCACTCCTCTTCCCAATCCCCCCCCCTCTCTCTTTCCTCTCCCCTCGTGGCTCCTTGCGTGACTGAGGGCTTGTACTTCGTGTCCTCGAAGCGTGACCCCCCCCCTTCTCGTCATTTGTCACTTTCCTTCCAAGTCTTCTGCCTCGGAGATCAGACGATGCGTGCAAAGGCTCGCGGTGCTCCCCGCGACGCTTCCTTGGCAAGCCAGGCCGATGTCATCATCAACGCCGTCGACTCCCTTCATATCCGCCTTGCCGTATCTGGAACCTCCAATGATAAATACCCAGGTAAGCTGTCGCCCTTCCGCCCGAGGATGGAACCCGCAAGGTCGATGAAATCAATCCCCCGTCCCTGTCGCGCCCTCTGATAGAACTCGCTCCCTTGGAATTCACTGGTTCCCGATCGGTGATCTCGCCGATGATCCGAGCTAATCGGAACCTCTCTATCCCATAGCCAAACAACATGCACGCAATGTTGCCCGCAAGCTTGGGGTGTCGCATGGTCTAATTTTTATCGCTGGTCAGCCCACGGTCAATTGGCGCGATTCCGACCAATCGCGCCCGTTCCGCCAACGTCGATACTTCTACTATCTCAGTGGCGTGGATGAGCCCGACTGTGCTCTGACATACGATATCGGCTTGGATATTTTGACTCTTTATGTACCGGACTTTGATCTTCGTCGGGCGATTTGGATGGGCCCGACTTTGTCACGTGAGGATGCTCAGGATCGATACGATGTTGATCGCGTGTTATACCAGTCATCGCTCCAGCCGGAGCTGGTATCTTGGCTGAGCGAACGTGTGCAGAGCAGCTTGTTATATATGGTGCATGAGTCAGAGACGCCCGAGGGATTGCCTGCAGAGCTGCCGCTGGATGCCAAACAGCTGATGCCTGCCATGGATGCAGCTCGGGGGGTCAAAGACGAATATGAGATTCGCATGATCCGTAAGGCCAACAAGGTCTCGGGTCTAGCACACCGGAAAATCCTGGAGAGTATCCAGAAGATGTCCAACGAGTCCCAGATTGAAGGGTCCTTCCTGAATACCTGTATCTCCCACGGTGCTCCGAACCAAGCATATCAAATTATTGCGGCGTCGGGGCCCAATGCGGCAGTTCTTCACTACGACCGAAACAACGAGTCTCTCAAGAACAAACCTCTCGTGTGCCTTGATGCCGGTGCTGAGTGGCAGTGCTATGCTAGCGACGTGACCCGGACATTCCCACTTTCTAGCGAATGGCCCAGCAAGTACGCGCGAGACATCTATCGCGTTGTCGAGCGCATGCAAGAGGAGTGTATCAAGCGGATCCGCCGAGGAAACCGCTTCCTCTCTCTACACGACCTGGCCCACGAAATCGCCATCATCGAACTACTACATCTCGGTGTCTTCAAGGACGGCAGTCTCTCCGAAATCCGAGCCTCGGGCGCATCCAAGGTCTTCTTCCCTCACGGCCTGGGCCACCACGTCGGTCTCGAAGTCCACGACGTATCCGAGTCATCCATTATGGCTCTGCATCCCGACTTTGACCACGATCAATACGGCCCAGTCCTAAACCCAGCTGGCAGCCTTGCACCTTGTACGCTTTCTGCCCCATTGCTGGAAGAGGGCATGGTGGTCACCGTGGAACCGGGGATTTACTTCTCGCCGCTTGCGCTCGCAAATGCACGAAAACAGCCTTATGCAAAGTACATTGACTTTGACGTCGCTGAAAAGTATGTCCATATTGGTGGTGTGCGTATCGAGGATGATATCCTCGTCACTGCTACTGGCTATGAGAATCTCACTACTGCTCCGAAGGGAGAAGAGATGCTTGCCATTATTCGGGGGTCTACAAAGAACTGTTGATACTGTGGTAAGAGGTATAGATCTAGTATAATGTAGATGAAGCGCCCCGCGGATATCTCAATTGATCAGTCTGAGTGAACAGAGTAGTTATGTGACAGAGGCTGTGTAGAGTGTTGGTGGAGGCGCAAGTGTCTACCTGTGGCTGATGTACGGTCTTTTCTTACAAAAGTAGATTTCGCCTACTCGTCTACGAGGAACCGATGAACCGAGCGGACCACACTTTGAGGCGCGACTAAGCCTGACCATGAAAGTTTGGATTTCTAGACAAAGGCCCTCGGCTTTTAGCTCAAAGTCAACTTGATCAAGAGCACGCCACAAGATCGTATGATCATGATGAAGAGTCTAGAACAGAAGCACCCCGTTCTGATACATGACCTGCGGGGATGGGAGGCAATTTTCAACCCTCAAACGAATTGGGTTTCAGTATTCTTTGATTCTGTGGCATGACTGACCCGGGATTGACCACGCGGCCCACCTCAAATGTGTCAAGTCGATCTTTATTCCCCGGACGGGAGAGTTAGTGTGGCAAGTGAAGTGTCACTGATGGGCTGACGGTGTGATCCAATCCCATTTCTCTATACCGTCCGCTAGAACCAATTACAGAGGACTGGCGCCGTCAGGACAGATATTTTCGCCAAACAAGTGCGACGCTTGACAGCCCTCAAAGTCAGTGCAAAGCGTACATTCCAACTTCACAGGTGTGGGGACTCTGCGCAATCTCGAGGTCGTAATTAAGGATGCTGCCGAGCGGGACCCATCGCCTGAAGAATGGCCACGTTCTAGCCATCAATGTCAGGCGAGTCGCGACCCCTGAAGACCACCCAGAGATACCCGCTGAATGTGTGTGACTGGACCACTTGGGGGCTGGTCATGATTGAATCGCGAGTCCCTTGGCGCTGCCCAACGGATGAAATGAATTGGGCAACTAGAGGATTCGTCAACCCGGGTTAGAAAGGGCACTTACTTCCTTGGGGGCTAGCAGCCACAGGAGGCCCTGTTGTCAAGGCAATCCGATCACCAGCAGATCGAAGGCAACGGATGGAGGCACAGGGCATGGCTGTGCCTCATACACCCTTTTGTGAACCCGGATTCGGTGGTGGGTGCTGCAAGGGAGCATCGAGATCAAGATGTTTGCCTTTTTGTGACGTGGACCCACGTGTTGACATTGACCGCGTTTCAGGACTGGAATGCGGTAGAAAATCGTGGTGGATGCAAGGGATATGGTTCTGGACAGTCTGGAAGCTCTGGACGGTGGAGATGGACAATTGAATTCAGAATGTTTTCGGCTGGGTGGAATGCGTGGTTTTACGTCTACCAGTACATCCTGTAGTACCGATCGCGTCAGGACTGCAAGCTGATGTATGTATCGATGGCATACAACCTCAAGGTACCTATGGAGGATTTTTCTTTGAGCGAATCCGAACATCGATTGCTGAAACATGCACGCTTTAGCCTGTGCATACAATATTCTTTTTGGTTCTAGGAGAAATCTTACGCCCGTCAGAGTTTTCAAGGCTCCTTTTACCCCTTGTAGCCTTGCAGCTAAAAAAAAAATATCGTCAGCTCGGAGGCTGACGCCAGTCTCCGAAACAACTGGTCTATGCTCTGCAAGTTACCTACTACCGCTCTAGGGATTTGTCTCCTTTCTTTAAGAACTACAGTACTATTGAGGACTCTTAACTTTCAACAATACTTTGAATATTATGTCCTGCTCATATCCGGCTCAAGGGGATATAGGGGATAAATCCGAGTGTCTTCGTTGCCTGGTGTGCTTTCCGTTCGGTCCGCACGGCACTCAAGCCAGCTCACACACTGGGGACCATGATTAGGCACACGAATCCTCCGTACTCCGTAAGCATTGCCTGAAAAAGGGAACACACGGCATACGATTAAGTAAGACTCCATACGCCGTCGATCCGCCCGGCATCGGAGCCACGCAGCTGTCAGGGCCCGAACGGCCGAGAATTTTGCACTGGCGTCATTCTTGGGCTTATAGGCAGCGGGTTTTCTGACGAATCTCACGCATTCCAGACCACGCACGGTTTCATAAGTCGCTCATGAGGCAATACGAATAGTTTCATAATCTGTATAGACTCGCACCTCATTACTTGCGACAGAGTTGAGAACTATAGATGGATCAAGAGGTACAATCACGCGATGTAAAATCACGTCAGTTCAAAGAATCGAATGACTCCGGCATCACGCCTTTTGCAAGCGCTAGCGTAAGGGTTTGGCGCCATTTTTAAGGCCATAAGGTGATCTGCCGCTGCTGGATGGTTCCACTGGCAAGAATGTGGGTCGCTGGCGTTTTTTTTCTTTGAATTTTTGCCCCGAAATCACCGGTTTCATGGGTTTCATTGGTTCCCTTAACTGGCTGGTTAGTCAGAGCCTCCGTCCGGAGCCGTGACTCACCTGCCCCGACTCATACCTTGCAAGCCGCGAGACCAGCTGGAGCGCTCTGTATAAAGCTATCAAACCCCTGCAGTAGATCACCTGCGGTTTCCTCTTTTACTCTTCATCTCATCCTTCCTTTTCAAGGGGGTGATGGTCACTCCCCTCTGTCCTTAAAATCATCAAAAGTTCTTCTTTTCGTTGTACATACTTCTCCCCCCCCCCTGGCTGAGGACTTGCTCCCATTTCGATATCGCCAACAACATTACCAGAGAATGGGCCAGAGGCATAACCGACGCCGTACTCGTCCTCATTCCAGAAAGCGAAGAAACAGTCTCGATCAAGGTCCGCCTGAATTGCCAAATACCCACTCACCAGGCTTGCCGTTGGCTCTCCCATCTACAAGTTGGAGCCCCCAGACTCCCGTGCTTCCACCAACAGCCCTTCACTACACTCCTTCCGCTGCATGCGTTTCACCTGGATCGCCGGTCTCAGCAGCCCCTGCCCCGACCTGGCATTATGGGTTTACGGCCTGGCCGATCCGTGAGAATGTACCGCAACGGCAGGAAGCAAGCATCGGTCTCGAGGCACGGCAGTGTCGCTTGTTCGGCGGGGAGCCGGGCGACGACCTAAGTCTCTGTTATCGTATGCTGGAGTATTTCGACGGTCTCGACTATATCGACCCGTGAGTAGCCATTTTTTCGAGCTCTGTACTTCCACCGATCATCTTTCTGACTTGCTTGTCTCGAAACAGCACTATGGGAGATTGAATGCTCTTTCCAGCCAGAAACAAACAAAAAAAACTCGAAAACCCAATATCTTTTTTTCTTTTCCAGATTGCGATGATTTCTGATCTTCATGCAACATCCAAGAAAAACAACCCTCGTTCGATTTGGCCATGGGATCGCCTTGAGCGTCCCTCGCCCACTGCAGCGCGCCCTCAGCCACAGTCCCAACTTGACGCTACGAGCATGACTGGAACGCCAGATCACATGGACTTCCCGGGTCCCCGACTTGAAGCAATGAAAACGCTCCGCCAGTAGGAGTGTTGGATTGGTCCCTTTCGACCCGGCCATGTGGATCCTGGCCCGCGATCATGCGAATCCGAGATGAGATGAGTCATGACCAGACTTTCTCGCGGGCTCCGTATCGGTCGAGTTCGCGTCTGATCTTTTACGGATTGTTGACGCTTGAACTCCCTTTGTGGACGCTGGCGAGAGTGTCATGATGGTGGCTTGTTCCTCTCTCCAACGCAGATCCGTTCTATTGAAATGCGAGGTGGTTGAATATTAGGCTGCCGCATACAGTGAAACAAGAATTTGACGGAGCATATTATCGATTGTTTATGATGATCTATAGGTTAGATGTACATTTGCATAGCCTGTATATACTGAGTCTCAATCACATTCAAGTACCCTATATCACAGATGAGGGACTATCTTTGTCAAATGAATTCTTATCATAACAACGACAGTATAGAAAGATAGTAAATAACCCTGTAGCAGTAGCTGGTATTCATCTAGACTATTTAAAGAAATAAGCAAAATGATCGACAGGGAAAGTGCAATGTTGTCCTCAGCTCACCGCCTTTGCCCGCAAAGAACTTGGCCGCGGTTTTAGGCAGGCGGTCGACCACTTGAGGACACGGTCATCACCAGATCAGGAAGCGCGAATACTCCCCTTCCACGCTCCTTTGATTCTCGAGGGCCATGCTTCCGGCTCCCATTGTTTAGGCTTCTTCTTTCCCTCTTCGATATCCTCTCTCGAGCCCATTCTACTTTGACCCCGCAACTCGGCAACCCACGATCTTTAACTTCCGCGGCGGCCACCGCTGTCGCCCCGAATTCGCCGCAGGATGTCGTCAGACTACACTTATGATGAGCAGGTGAGACCTTTTCTCTCTCTAGACAATGATAACGGAATGACTGACATGGTCTCTTTCGGCGCTACCAGGGGCAATTCTTCCCCTTCTTCATCTTGACCTTGAGCGGCCTGGTCACGCTCCCTCTCACCTACAACCTCCTCCGACCGAGCAAAGGTGTGTGACTGTGCCAGCAGTTCTTTGTGTAGTTTATGCTAAAGATACATCTCCGACAGAGCTTGAAAACACGGCTCCCCGCATCAAGTCCGACTTCAAACCCGAACATGCCGATCTTGTCGAGGCGGAGAAGCGCAAGCGCCTGCGCAAGGAGCGCCGGATCAAGCGCATTGTTACTGTGATTGTGGGCTACCTGGTCATGGCATGGATGGTGTACCTCATTCTTGTGACGGCCCGGACGGTCACCAAATTATATGACCCATATGAAATTTTGGGCGTCTCAAGGGTACGTTGTGTGAATTTCGAATGTGGCGGGGCTAGGAGTTGTTGTAGCCGCTGTTGGCTCCTGGTAGAGCCAAAGGATTTTCGAACTGACGTTTACATCTAGAGTGCCGATGAAAGAGCTATTTCCCGCCACTACAAGCGCCTTTCCCTCATCTACCACCCCGATAAAGTCCGTCCCGATCCCGCCAAGAATGAGACTATGGAGATGCTCAATGAGCGCTTCGTAGAGCTCACCAAGGCATATAAAGCGCTCACCGATGAAGAAATTCGAAACAATTATCTTCAATATGGCCATCCCGATGGTAAGCAGAGCTTCAGCATTGGTATCGCTCTTCCCAAACTCATTGTCATGGATGGCAATGGAAAATACGTGCTGTTGGTATATGGTGCTTTGTTGGGCGTTCTTCTGCCCTACATTGTTGGGAAATGGTGGTATGGTTCTCAGCGCTACACCAAGGAGCGTGTTCTTGTCGCCAGCGCTGGTAACATCTTCCGCGAGTACAAGGAGGACATCCTGGACGGTGGCATTGTCAACGCTCTCTCTTCTGGCGATGAGTTCAAGGAGATGCTCAAGGGAGCGCAAGCTGAAGCGGGTCTCGCAAAATTGGAAAGGAAGGTTCTAGCTGAGGAATCGACGTTCCTCTCTGCCAAGGACCGCGAAGCTATCAAGCAAGTGGACAACTCCTCCCGTCGGAAGGCTTTGGCTTTACTGTGGGCGTATCTCGGACGTATCGATCTTGGCGATGCGACCCTTGATGCAGAGAAATACGAAGCTGCACCTATCGCTCTATCTCTAGGTGAGGCCTTCACGGCGATCTCTTTGGCATTTGGCAGCCTTCGCCCGATTCTTGGTGCTTTCCAGGTCTCTCAGAACTTGATCCAGGCTATTGCTCCCGGTTCTTCGCCTCTCTTGCAACTGCCCAACTTTACCGAGTCGGTTGTCAAGTCCGTGGAAGGCGAGCACTCCAAGGAACACTGGACTGTTCAGAAGTTCATGAGATTGCCCGAGGAGGAGCGCCGCAAGGTTACTGTGGGTGCTGGTCTACTATCCGAGAAGCAGTATACGGAAGCTGTTACGGTGGCCCGTCAACTGCCCGCCCTGGAGGTTTCCAAGGCTTTCTTCAAGGTTATGGGAGAGAAGGTCATCACTCCTAGCAGTCTGGTACAGCTGGTTGTGAAGGCCCGACTCATCCCGCCGGGTTGCACGCAGACGCCACAGGTTAACGAGCTCGACTTGGAGGACATTGACCCTGATGAGGATGACCTGGACGCACTGATGGGCCGCAAACCGGCCAAGAACCGAGCCACCAAGATGGTCGATGGCAAGAAGGTTGAGAACAAGATTGAGACCATTCAACCTCCCCTCGCATATGCTCCTTACTTTGCCCGCGACCACTCCCCTCGCTGGCATATCTTCCTGGCTGACGCCAAGCAAGGCAAGATGGCCGTGCCTCCTTTCACATTCACCACCTTTGACAAGCCGATCCTCGATGAGGATGGCAAGCCCACATTCAACGTGCAAACTCTCAAGATGCAGTTCCAGGCGCCTCCACAGGTCGGCGACTTCACCTTCGTCATGCACATGGTCTGCGACAGCTATCTAGGTCTGGACACGAAGATGGAAATTACCTTGCATATTGATGACCCCGCCAAGGCGGCTGCCTTGGAAGAAGACGACGACATCAGCGAACCGGATGAGGGTAAGTTGTTCCTCCCGTGCTTGTGTCGCGGCACTCGTGCACATTTGTATTAGCTGTGTAGTCCGAATGCTAATCTGAACCTCTCACTCTAGACTCCATCGCCGGTCAAATGCAGGCGCTCAAGACTGGCCAGGCCCCCAAGCCCAAGAAGGCAAAGAAGCCTTCTGAGTCCGACAGCGAGGAAAGTGACACCGACGGCGACGCAGGCGATACTAGCGACACCAATACCGAGACGGAGGATGAGGATTAATCGCATTTACCTTGCATTGATTGATGGATTGTATGCAGGACTTGTGCGACATTGTCTGATTGATTAGGATTGATATCTCTGGGTTTCATTTTTTCGTTCATCACTTTTGCCATCGGACATCCCTTTATTTCCCTTTATCTCTATTCATCCCACGACGGTCGTCGTCTCATTGGGTGTATTCTTCGGGGGTTGTCTCTTTCTATCCCGTTTTGGTGCCATTGCTCTTTATTACGTCCTCGCTTTGAGCTGCATTCCCCCCTCTTTCTATTCCTCTCATCTTCTATATGTCCAGGTCTACATCCATGTTCTTCTACAGCATGACTACTAGCCAAAATCACCCCGGTCCAACGCCGAAAATAGACTTTGGGAATACAAAACATCTACCTTCTGGCCACTCGCACAAACCCAAAGATCAAACATGACCACTGGGCCATCCAGCTTCTGTCGTAGGGATCTGCGACCTTGAATTGTAAGGCTTTTGCTACCATCCCCGGGCGCGCAGGGGTGTCATGGCGGTCTTTGCGCCGCAGGTCGTCATACCCTCTGCTCAATAGTTTGGCTTAGCTTTACCTCGTACGAACGTCAAAGTAAGCGCACTGTTCTCCTTTGTGTGCTTTTTGGGGAGATGGCCGCGTTCCTGGGTCGATGATGGGTTGGATTCCGGTTCGTGTGTTGCGAGGTGGTGGCATTTTTTGTGAAATAATACTTCATGTATAGGTATTGGCAGTTGATGTGATGGGGAGATATCGTGGAGTCGCTTCGTCTATTGGGGTATGGATGTGAGTCGAGAGATCTACCTGCGGCTGGAGTTTGAGTGGTTTGGATGCAGTGCATGTTCATACCATTACGTCTATTTGCGTGAGTGGCAGATGAAGCCTAATTTTAATTGGAAGAAAAGCATTCTCCATGTTAGATTAGAGTGCTATGTCTGCGCCCATTAAGCACTAGTTCTATGGAAGCAGCTTCATCGATGCCTGAGGAAGATATGAAGACAGATTCTATCAATCCCTGACTGAGCCGGGAGAATATGACAATATGCATATTTGCCGAGTGCACCTGAAATCTCTAGATGCTGCCAAAGAGACGCAGATTGAGATGGAAAAGAAGGATCGGAGGAAGAAAATGACAACCCTCTGTCCCAAGACATGTGGAAAGAAATCAGCACGCTAGACACCACCCTGTTACATTGACTGCTTAGCTCCGACTTTTATACTCCCAGCGCCGATACGCCTGCTTTATGTACTGTCATACCCTGAAACCGGAAACGTGATAGTAGAAGGTCGATCTCGTTCATTCTCTCATGAAGATAACTGCAAATGGAAAAGGGGAGACCCAAAACCCGTACCCGGAACATTCAGATTGGAACTCCAGTCATGACCAGAACAAGGGATACCAAAGATAAATCAAGTAAACTGGGAGCTCATGCTGTGACTCAGCAGCAAGAGCAGATAAGAAAAACAAGAGACGAACAATGTCATATTCCTTATGCAGACGGAAATGACCAACCGGGCGTAAACTCAGGATAAAGCGATGGTTCATGCGTCGGAAATTGAAAGTCGCTTAGCAAGTCACTCGATAAACCGCCCATCTGGTGTGGGTGTGTCTCGGGCATAATCCCACTATGTAGTCGAACAGTACCATTCTTAGCTTCCGACGACGCAGTCGCAGCGTTACAAGTTCCATCAAGAAAGTATGCAAAAGGCTGCTGTTCGTGGGTCTGTGGACCATGTGAAATCGAAGACGTAGATGGTATATCGATATGAGGCGATATTTCGCCCGCACTTAGATCTGCGGACGTAATAGACGGTCGTTGTTGCATACCTAGCATATCGTGGTACCCCGGATCTGGATAAGTGTAACTCGCCTGTTGAACGGATTGCAGATCCCACTGCCAGGTCGAACTACTTCGACTCATCATGGGGGTAAGGAGGGAATTGCAGATGGACGGGCGGGAGGAGATGGTCGTTGGCGAGGGTTCGGGGGGTGTAGTTGGTTCTGGGGAGGGTTCTGCCGTGGCGCTGCACTCGGTTGATGTAGAAAGGAGGCGTAGGTATCGTAGATCTTCCGAGTCTTCGTCCGGTTCATCTGCGTTTTCTTCGGCTTGTTTGATTAAACCTAGTCTGTCGAGAATTGCGTGTGTGAGTGGATGACCGTCTGGGGTTTCGGCGAGCGGTTCGCCAGGAAAGTCCTCCTTGTTGATGCAAAATTTGTATAATTTTTGGAGGGCTTTGACAACTAGTGAGTGGTGGGATTCAAGCATCTCGACGAATCTATAGATTCTCTCAGTACGAATTAATGATCTCTTGGCGTCAGAGTGAGATAGTATGGACAAACTCACCCTCGAGAGTACACTTTTGTCTGGGTCGCTTTCCTCTCACGGAATAAACATGGGTGGTTATATACCGAGCAACGGTTGCAAGGCTGTTTTCCATCACACTGTAACAGTCATTGAGTATCAGAGTGGGCATTAACATCCAAGTGTAATCGCGATTGCCCTACCTTGGTCTTCTTGACGCGACAGCGATCACAAGCCTTGAGCACATGCTTCCGCTTAACCCGAAAAACCCGCTGATCGCGTTTCTCATCGCCCGTCCTCGACCGATGCTCTAGCTCCGATAACGAAGCAACAGCAAAGTCATCCAGACTATGTGGGAAACCCTTGGGACGAAGCTTCGGTTGCCACGACATGGTTGGCTTATACCCCCCGCAGAATTAGGCGCAGGCACCCGAGCACGAGACGCGCGAAAGGCCAAAATCAAGACTTGGGTATAGTATAAAGTAAAATGCAAGCAAGGAATAGGATTTAGAAGAGAATGATATAGACGAGCCAAACACCACTAGGGGAAAAAAGCAAAGGCAGAAGCTATGGCCGACAGGCAGACGGATGGAGCAGGTGGGGGGTGACATGGAATCGAAACTATGGGCTCAAATGGGGTATAAGGGGATATGAGAAATGATGAACAGATAAAGGTTGCAAACGCAAAACAGCCTCAATGGCGCACAGTCAACGTTGATATCATGATTAAATGGGGGCATGAAATGATCATTTGTGCAGAGTCAAGCCGGGGCCAACCCATCTGGATTGATCTGAGTGGTTAGTTTCGACCAGCTTGAGCTACGAAAGAAAAGAAAAAGTATCAAGCACACCCCTCACCCCTCTGCCCCGCATCGGCACATGTCCCTCCCGTGCCCAGAGGATCATGGTTCCGAGGGAGATACCAGAGGGTGACGTGGAGAGGGTCTGTCAGCATATCAACCGGGGGCGGCCGTTCGAGGGTCTTGCGACATCCTGTGGCTGTGGGAGGTACGACGCAGGGATCCCTGTCGCGAGAGGATGAGTGGCACCGAGACAGAGGGTCAGTGGTTGGAACAGGTATAGCGGGTTTATAGTTGACGGGGTTGTAGGCCGGGCAACTATGACTGGCCATCAGGGAAGGGAAAATAGTGACTGGAGGAGACGAGACATGGCGGTTTCCATAGTCTCCACATCGTTGTCCAGCGACCACGCACTCGCGGGAACCAAGAAGGACCCAGCAATGAGGAGGCCATTGCATTAACTTGCTTTGGATGCATCTTGACTGTGATGGCGATGGACAGTGGGCACGGTCCGAGCCGTCAGTGGATCCGGACTTTCGGCACACGGACAGCGTTGACAGCCAGCTTGGAGTTCACGTCCACGGGCTTTCCTCACGGACTTTGCTCATCTCGGACTTTGTACTCAACCCCCGGTCGCTTGGGCAGCGAGAGCAGGGTCAGCACTCCGCCCCCCAGAGTGGTTGATTTAGTCCGTGCGGCCAGGCAATCGCAATGAGAATCACCTTGTCACGCCTTGTCACACGCCCGCTGAACCAGCTCGAGGTTTCTTTCCAGGGCCAACACGTGCAATCCCAGTGGCTGTGGAAAGAATAAGCAAGTCAAGTGAAATGTCACTCCAGTCCACTGCCAGTCAACTGTCCGTCCACTGGATGTCTGTAGACAGTCTCGTACTGAGACCGTTGGACCGGAAGCCCTGAACCAACCAGACGGCCCCTGCTCATTCTGCTGCTGCTGCTGATCTCTGCTCTCTGCTCTGCCAGTCATGCTGCCCGGCTTTGATTTGAGGGTTTGCAGGTTGCAAGCGGTGTACAGTACTTGGGATTTGGTCATATCACCTGATATCCTTGCAGCCAATGCACCGAAACGTGGTACGAGGTGATATGCCCTTGGCCATGGGTGATCCCGGGAGAAGTCATGAATTAGGGGGTACGGGATTCGCATCTGGTCTGCAGGGGAAGGGAGAGGAGAGAGCGAAACAGAGTACATGCCCGGCTCATCAAGTCATCCCCTCTTTCCTTGATGGGTCAGTCATCTGTCAGGGCTGAAGGAATGATTGGAAAGGAACGTGGTATAGAGGGACATGTTGGACGCCTGAGGGCGGATGGGTAGAACAAAGAAAGACAGAACTGGGGAGATTACGGGGAAAGGTAAAAGAAAGTCTACATACTTGGTAGCATGTATAGATAATGTCTCTGTCTAGCCTCTGTCTACTGCATCTCAATGTATCCATCATGTCCAATTTACAAACTGTATAGATCTCATTCATCCCATCTCTCTACCAAGATCAACTATGATATGATCCCCCATCTAAGCCCCAGGAAAAAAAAAGAAACACCAAAACTCCCTGCACAACAAGCCCACCAGAGCACAGCAACCCGTCCAGATCAGAACCACCCGATCGGCATTGATCTAAGATCATCTTTCGTGTATCCTTCATCCTTCATACTACCCATTCTACCCTCTATAGCCACTGATCTGTGTATCTGTTGTGTCTTGCATCATGCTACTCGTAGCTCCCAGCCTCTCCTGCAGCACAATCCCCACCGTGTAACGGCCAGCTCGATCCACCGTACAATATCGTCTACTGGGTACAGCACAAACCCCAAACACCTCAAACCCCGGCAAGACTGACTGGTTACTCTATTTGGAGCTCGGGCTTTGCAATTCCCTGTCCTCAGGTTTTACCTCGGATGCATTCCATGCCGTATTATCCAATCCGGTTTGTGGCTGACGGATATCCGATTTAATCCATTTCAGAACTAATATAGTTTCTTTTTACTCTCAGCTGAGTTGCTAAGGCGGGGCTTAGTCTGAGAAGAGAAAGAGAGCGTGTGGATGCAAGCATTCACGAGCATGCTCATCCAATCATAGGTAAAGATGGGAAATGCCATCGGGGAGATAAGATGGGAGGCCGCGCTGTTGATTGATACCTGCAGACAGAGTCATAGTACAGTATATGCATGAAGGGAACAGATCACGCCCTATGACCTGCTAGATTCGATCGAAGCCCGGGTATAGCCCTATAAACAGCTGTGGTGCTGGGCGACTCTGCTAGATCTGCAGTTGCGAGGTGCAGGGTGTGTGTTCTATTGCAATAAAGGAATTTGATGCGTCTAAATTTCTATTTCCAGAGCGAGTCTATGAGCGGGAAGTAACTATTTGTGCAAGGCACTTCTATATCTAAGGACCAGATCTAAATCAAACCCTCTCTAAAGGCGAGGGGCATGGGAATAAATGCATTAAAATACCAGGCAGACCGGAGGCAGACCGAAGTCCTCGGTCTGCCTTGTTTTCGAGGCCCAATCTGTCAAGAATTGGATCTGAAAAAAGAACAGAAAAAAAAGAGGATGCGTTCACCCTGCATTAAGAACAGCTAAACAGGCACCTCATAGGCCAGGTCAACGGGAGGTTCATGTCAGCCCATGTCAGAATAGCAGGGCAGTTGATCATTGCTTGTTGCTTTTCATTTGCCATTTCTCTGGCTCTTGCTCCCTCCCACACTGTCAGGTACAGCACACCTCGGCGTCTCCATCCAACCATCCACACGGACCTTGTTTGCTCTTCACGCTTGACCTTCGACAGTGTAGGTCAATCTACCGTAAGCAGTCATGCTCCATGAAGCAGAATGCTAGCCTCCCCCTTTGCAAGCAAATCAAAACTTTCCTCGCTTGTCGCCGTGGTTGGTGGACTAGGCGCTGAGTGGTCGGGCGGCAGCTCAGGCATGCGATCTTCCTCCAAATGACTCTGACTCTGCCACCGACGCTCGCCAATCCACTCGAGACCATCACCAACACCGCTGATGGCCAGCTTCCGACATTCGCTTTCTCGTTCCACCAGAGATAGCTGGTCTTCATGGTCCGAGGGCGCGACCAAGGGCAAATTCCGACAGTGCCATTCACCCAAGAACATGCCTTCGGGATCAACCTCTTGTCGCACCTTTAGCCACTCATCCATATCCTTCTTATAGAGTCGGTGCAGCTCGGTAGAATCCAGGGTGGTAAAGTTCTTCGCCCAGTGAGGTCTAGCGCCCATGTCCCGCATGAGCCACTCAAAGGCCTCATAGTACCGCTGGCGACAGGGAGGATCGCGGAGATACGGGCGGTACAGAGTTGCATTCAGGTAAAGCGTGGGCTCGTCGCGGCACGTTGGGTCCAGGAAAGGACGCGGATTGGGATTCTTGCTCGAGTCCGACACTCGCACTTCAACGGGGCAGTGCACCCACAGACCCTTGGGGGAGAACGGAATGCGCGCGGTCTCGAGGTCTCCGTGCAGCCACGCGGAGAGGCGGATGATCGCCTCGGGGCCCTTCTCGAGGGGTAGTGCCCATTCGTTGACAAACTGTGAGTACAGGCAGTTCATCAACAGACCGGCGCGCGCTGGCTCGACGGCCTCGGTAACGGTTGATCCCGGCCGGAAGCCATATTGCATGCCGAAAATGAACCACTCGACCCAGGGCAGGATTCGGGGGAAGTAGGAGGACAGGGCAAGGAGATTGTGGTAGACGTGGTACCCGAACCACTCGCCATAGAAGTTCATGGGCGGTGGGCGGAGGGGTTGGTCAGTCTGATCAGCGCGCCAGACGATCGCGCCCTTCTCATAAGGCAGCCACCAGACGCGGACGAACTCATGGGATGTCCATAATCCAGTGGACCATTCACTCAACACCTTGGACAGAGAGTATCTTTCCTGGCGCCAGGCGATGTTGAACGCGGGCCTTGCCTTGAAGGTCACCTCGACCACAATTCCAAGCGCGCCCAAAGAGACCAGGGCGGCGCGGAAGAGGTCTGAATTGTTGGTGGCACTGCAGCGCACCAGCTGGCCGTTGGACAGCACCAAACTGAGAGATTCGATACACTCCGAGAGCAGGCCATGACGCAGAGAGCTGCCATGAGTGCCGGTGGCAATGACGCCCGCTATTGACTGACTGTCAATGCTGCCCAGATTCTCCAGGGTCAACCCTTGCTCCTCCAACTTCGGCCCCAGCTCATACAAGCGAATCCCCGCCTCAACCGTCACCAAGCGAGTCTCGGTATCGATATGCAGAATGCGATTGAAGTCATCGAGGTTGGCGAGCCAGGACGAGGTGCAGGTCAGATCGGATGGGGAATGACCGCTACCGACGGTCACCAGGCGTCGGCGACAGCGGCGGGCAAGGGTCACCAGCTGCTGGATTTCCGCAATGGATTGCGGGCGAACATAGAGCTCCGGTCGGGAGAAGAAGGTCTTGGCCCAAGTGTGATGCAGGTAATCGGTGGATGCGCGGAACGGGACCGCGGGGTTGAGCTTTGATAGCTCACGGGAAATGGAAGGGTCCATGGCAAGGGTGTGTAGGTGAATCGATCAGGTTGTATCACGGCATAGTGCAATTCTATCACATCGTCTGGAGAGACCGCGGCTCTCGGAAGGCGTGGGGGAAAAGAGATAAAGGGTGGGGAGAAGTGGTGGAAGGGAAGAGAATGGCACGGCACGCTAAAATGACAAAAAAGTGTCGCGATGGCGAAATGCGCGATCATCATTGATCGGCCCACTTCTCTTTCTCCACCTCCACCTTAAAATGGCAGCTCCAATACCTCTCTCTGCCTAACCTTCCCTCTAGGACTAGCGGTGATGGTCCTTGATCTAGTACACAATTCTAAGCTTTTCATCAGGGCCTCCGCGAATCGCAACCTGGTCGTTAATCCCCGATCGATCGATCGCTGGACAAGCCGAGGTCGCTCACCCGAAGCTCCTAATCTGGATTGATGACAGTTGCCGTTTTGGGAAGGTTATCTCCGAATAAGCAACCTGCATCTCGGGGCACATATTGGGGATATACTGTCATAAATCTCACAGCATCAATATATATACTGCCCGCGTATCAAAATAGCCTTCTCTGGCCTTCCTGGCTCTCTTCTAATTACACCCACGAAACTACCTATGCTACCTATAGATGACCACATCGAGTTCAACGGTAACACTCAACTTTTTATAGTACGACGACTACATATACCATATCTCCCACGAAAAGGACAATGTGATATTCAGCTATCTCGAGCGCTTTGAGTCAACGGTCAGGGAAAGCTAATCTAGCATTCATATAGGGACGATCTTCCAGCCCTGCTGGTTTGACTATATCATAATACATTTCGACCCTACACACAATCCATAGGATGCGTGTTTGCCACTAGAGACCAACAGCCGTTCAGCCGTACCGTTTCAGTATGATTATAACTTTAACGACCCAAGCTCACACTCCGGCCAGCCATGCTCATCGCAACAATCTATGTTTGACAAACCTGGCATTTTGTCATGCAACAAACCTCTTTCTGAATCAAATTGGATTGAAATGCCTACAACAGCTCCGAAATCTGGAAATTGTGCTTTCCCTATAGTTGGATTGCGTCAAAGCTTTCTACATGAGACTCCAGCCTATCAGTAATTGTTGGAAGCTGTCAGGACTCTGAGCCTTGTGCTTACGCAGCCAGATGCCGCGTATTTAAACCTCGTCATTTATATCAGAACCTCATCTAGCGCGCTCGACTGGCCATTGGAAGAAGAAGTACGATTGTTGGAAACCTCGGCCCTGGCTCCTGGAAGCACTGCGGAACCTACCGAGGGATCATATCTCCAGATTATTCGTCTTCGTGAAAATTCTGTACCACTGGGCCCCTTCGAAGCTGCCTCGGGACCTCGAAGTATGCAGAAGTACCCAGACAGCGAGTGAAAAGCCGAGTGGCAGACCATATGACATGCCAATATCACTCGCCAAGCCTGCTGAATTGGAGGTGTCTCTGGGGAAACTCGTCATGGGTGACGACCATGATAGCTACGCAGTCGGAAAAAGTGAGAAACGTCTGATCTTGATAGATTGAACCGATCTAGAAAAAATAGCTTGATTTATGCATATACCGAAGATGTCTCGAATGTTAAATGTGGTAGATGTACAACCCAGAATGCTCCCGCGATGCTCCTCTCCTCTAGGGCACAGTGCACCAATGATCCAGATGACAGACAAGCATGCAAGACTAAGAAAGACTCCATCCTCCCCTACCGCAAATGCTCTCTTTACAGACCAAAATATGCACAGAGAAATGAGAAAGATGAACCGCAGATGAAAAACGACAAGCACAGGGAAAAAAGAAAAGACAGATCACGAACGAAAAATATGCAACAATACATATAATGAAGTTTAATCTCCTCGCTCTGGCGAACGAATAGCTTCGATCACCACTTCGAGAGGGAACACACAGGGTGCGCTGAGGGAGTGAGGGTTCCATTTGCGGAATGCACTTTGACATCGGTCCGGGATTCCGCCTAGCGCGACGAAGCTCTTGGGGATAAATGGGCGGTCTTGGAGAGATGCCGCAAGAATGCCGTACTCGTGGGCAAAGACAACTGCAGAGGCGAAGTCGGCTGATTTCTGGGAGGCTTGTTCACCGACGATACTGCGGCGTCGTCAGTCATGTGTTCGGATTGGGCTTGGAAAAAAGGTAAACTTACACGTAGATCTCGAAGAACGTGTCCAGGACATAGACATCCTTCTCTGTCAGATCTCTGTAGCAGAAAGGCTCAATCTCCTGGACAGTGTCATTCGGCCGGACAACCGGGGATCCCGAGCCAGGACGGCGCATCCAGAAGCGGGTTGGCTGGGCCAGTTCATGGTCAACACGGAGGAGCCGAGTACAGAAGTGATTGTACTTCGGCTTCAATTGCCAGTAGTCCGAGCAAAGAAGGGGGTTGCCTTCACGAGCACCCGCAAAGTCTTCGAAGAAGCATTCTGGCTCTTGACCCTCATCGCACTCTTCAAACTCGCCTGTCAAGCCAAGATCCATGCTGATCAAACGAGCTGCGCCCGTTTCTTCAGGACCGCTGCCCCGACCCTTCCAGAGATACAATTTGCCAAAGGGCGCTGAGATCACGAACGGGAACCCGGAGCACAAGTTGCGCAGCGAGTAGTCGACTTCATCGAAAGCCATCTGGCCCATATGTTTCCGACCGCAAAGCATGTACAAGGCAGACGAGTTGGTACGAGAACTAGAACCACGGCGCGTGATAATAATCCCGCCGAGGGCTTGAATGAACCGCACAGGCTCCTTGCCTTGTCGAACCACGACCAATTTGCAGCCGTTCTCGCGGGCCACCTTGCGGGCAAACAACTGGGCATCTTCTAATGCTGCTTCAGGCACATCATCTCCGCACCAGAGGTGAACTTCGGTGCTGCCGCTACCCTGTGCTTCGAACTGATGCACGCATAGATACATGCTCCCCTCGTACAGGACATACTCCTGGTTGATCGGGAGTTCTTGTCTCTTCCCATCGCCTGTTAGCTCCCAGATAAAGCGCTTCACAGTTCGTATCTTGGTCGCATCAGGCTGATTCGTCAACATCAACTGTGGGTCGATATCCATCCGGTCTCGTGGGTTGGGAAAGGCTTTGAAGAAACCAGCGATGACTTCACGAGCTTCCGCTGCCTGCGCAACTAGGGAGGGTGCAGACATTTTCCGTGACAGCCGATGCGAATGTGAGGGTTTATTTAGGGAAATGCCCGATCGTTTGGGAGGAACCGGGGGAGAGGGGAGAGGCTTGGATTGAGGCGAAGAGTCGGCGACGATCACGCCGGGAAGCGGTTTCTGAGGGGTTGTGGCCGGCGTGTCCATCTGGTTCTCTCTGAAACTTGTCCTTAGGGGCGACGGAGAAGAAGGCGACGCATATCGGGCTGGCTGCGCCCATTCTGGCCTAGTTACGGGGGTTGAGGGCGATGATGGCAGCGGCGACGGCGACGGGCTTTGCTTGGGTGGGACAGCGGGCCTGGTTGAGAGGGGGCGTGATGACAGGCTTGCATCCCTCGGAGACCCGTATTCATGGCTGATATTCTCTTTATCGCTAGATTCGCTAGGAGATCGGTCAGGGTTTGCGTCTCGTGTGGAAATCGGCGAGATAGGAGAAACGGGCGACATTGGCGAAATAGGCGATATGCTACCCAGTCTAAACTGCAGTCCGCTGTTGAGAGCATCCTGGGTGCTGGTTCTTACTCCAGGGAGCTGTTGCTTGGTAGTGGGGCTCTCTGCTCGAGCGGTTTCAGTATTGGGAACTGGGCTTTCTTGCGGCAGGTTCTCCGAGTGAGGCTCAGAAGAGACCTCGGGCTCGGGGAGTGTCTGCGAGGATGGGACTTCAGAAGAAGAAATGGCACCAACCTCTGTAGTATCCTTCGCGGATGAGACAACAGCTGAAGCCGCTGGAACCGCAGAGCCACCGGGCAGTCTTCTCTTAGGTCCTCTAGCACGGGCTTTCGTCATATGGGTAAGCGGTGCCGATGGAGTGGCAGGCGAGCTCTTGCTAGGGGGCGAAACCGCCAGGTCCTTCTTAGGTCCCTCGACCACGGCTAGTGGGCCGCGAGAGAGGAGACCTGCTAGCGCAGGGTTGATTCGGCCTGCGAGCTTGCCTTTAGCAGCCGCGTATGGATTCACAGCAGGCGTAGTTGCTGCTGGTCGCCTCGCGGATGGTAAGCCGCGAACGGAACTAGCTGTCTCTCGAACAGCCTTTGGTTCCGGCTCAACCTCTGTGGTAGTCGTCTCAGCAATGTACTTGCGGTCTTCTTTAGGGCTCGAGATCGGCTGTGGATCCACAACAACTGTAGCCTCTGAGCTGGGAATCGGCGAGACAACCTCTGGGAGTGATGTAGCGATGGTTTCCTCAGATTGTGGAGGAAGAGACACAGGGTGTTCCAGTGGAGACTTTATTGGACTACTATCACCCGCAGTTGGAGAGGTCTGCTCGTCTTCTCGCTTGGCACTGGCAGTTTTGTTCATGAGTTGACGTTTGGCAATGGCTTCGGGCACAACCGCAGCAGGATTTTCCGGGGCATCCTTCTCTCCGAGTGTATTGCGCCTGATAGATCCCCCGCCAGCCTTCATTTCCTCTTTCCGCTTCAGGATACTCTCCTTCAACTCATCGACACGCTGGGTCTTCTTCGGGCCACCCGTAACATTAAGCGCAGCCTTTCCGCGGAGGATGTTGCCCTTCAGTTCGTCCGGCGCGACATAGTTGCGAGTCTCGGTTCTCTTGAGCTTGCCAAAGACGTTCTTGAATTCGGGCTCAGCTTGAGGTCCAGTCTCCTTGCCTACATCGCGTTTCCGCAGGTTTGCTCGGAAATCAATAACAGGGGACTGAGGCTTGGGCCTGGGCGAAATGGGATCTCGTAAGGGAAGAGAGAAATTGGGTTTCATGGTGAGCGCGGGAGGCGGGGATTTGCGAGTCGATCCAGGCTCTAGGGTCTTTCCACGTGGCGCTTGTACTTGTTCAGAGAGGACTTTGGGAGTTGCAGAAGGGGACACAGGTTTGGTGTCTTCCTGCTTCGGCGCTTCTTCTTGTCCTGCTTTTTCGTCTTCTGTTGCTGCTGCTGCTTCGATTTTTGGCTCTTCCTCGATAGGCTTCGTCTTCGTGGGAAGATTTTCATTGTCTGCTGCTGCAGGTGCAGGTGCAGGTGACTCTGGCTCTGGCTTTGGCTCTGGCTCTGGCTCTGGCTCTGGCTCTGGCTCTGGCTCTGGCTCCTTTGTCTTAGTCGCACTGAGCGTACCGAATGCCGGAGGAGCTCCAGAAAGACTTGGCTTCTTGAAGTGCCCACCTGGCGGGGGTGTTCGCATCAAACCAATGGGGGTGACTTCTTTGAAATTGTTCACACGGCCAGCATCGACGCTGCCTCGAGATTGTCGGTCACGTACCCAGGAGGGTTGCTGTGGTGGCGGCTGCTTCTGAGTCCGAGGAGATTCCGGACGGTTGAGTGCACTCTCGAGCCAGGAGGCTTTGGTTGGACTCCAGCGTCTGGGGTCCATTGTTCTAGAAGTGAAGGGACTTGATGGGGTATCACCGGTCATGCTGTCGGCAGTCATTGAACTAGTCGATCTGGAGTGGCCGTAATAGGCAGGTCGGTCTGGGCTGCCTTCAAGGCGGGTCTCGTTTCTGGGTCCAGAGGGAGTTGTTGGTCTCTCTGTGGACTCCCGAGGATGGACGGTTGCTTCACTGTGACTTGAGCTGGGTCGTTGTTGAGATGGCAGCGGGGAAGTGTCTCTCGCCAGTCGCGTGACACCAGTGGGAGTCATGTCACTGACACTCGCGGTGAGAGTTGGCCCTGCCACACTACTGCGGTTTGACAAAATTGAGTTACTTCGGCTTAATCCCTGCGGGAGTTGAGCACTCCACCGTTTCGACACGCTATCAGAACGCCGCATCATGGCACTCTGTACGAATCCACCCATGCCTTTCGTGGGCGATGTTGAGCGAGCTCGCTCTGGTGACATACGGCGCTGAGTTGGAGATGCTGGAACCGGGTCTTTGACCGGCTCACTCTGCGATGGATCTAACTTTGGTGTCTCCGATAAGGTGACCGGAGACCCAAGTCCAGTTGCAGGAGACACAGATGACACACCCGAATACCGGTTGCTGAAGTAGCTATCACCGACAGTCGATGCAGTTCTTGGTGGAGAAGGTGACCTCGCCTCAGCTTCCTCCACCTTGTCCGGCTCTGCGGTGGAGTCACGACTTAATCCTGGCAGTCGACGCCCTGCCATAAACTCTGTTGGACTCTCTGATCGTTCCTCGGGCTTTCGGAAAGCCGGTGAGCCCAGTCCACGGTCTGGTGTTTGGCGAAACCATGACGGATCCTTGGACGAGAGGGACTGCGCAATCTGAGCACGAGATAGCTCGTTTGCGTCGGAGGCTGTGGAAGCGTTTCTCAAATGGCTGGATCGAGTCGGGGATACTGAGCCAGGCGACCTGCTTCCCAATTCACGAGAAGATGGGCGCTGCTGCCACGACAAAGTCCCCGCTCGGCTACGAGACAAGGTTGGCATCGCTCGCGGAGGGGAATCCGTGTCGGTGTCCTGGATTGATCCGCGCCTCATATCACGCGCCAGTATGTCTCGCTCTTGACTTGAACTCACTCCGCCCGGTGTTTCGGGATCTGGTGTCTGCAGCGTCGGCTCCAGCTGTTCGGGAGGGTCGATAGCCGAGGGTTGGCCGATGGAAGAGGCACTCAGCCTGGAGGCGGCATTCAGGGTGGGAGATCCGGCGATCGATCGTGCTCGTTCTATCATGATCTATCATCAGCAACTCGCTCCAAATGTTTGGAGGGGGATTTTTCGAGGATTCGGCTGTCACGCGGGGTGCAACTTCGGCTCAGCTGAGGACCTAGCAACCCATCTCGATAATCTCCGAAGGAGGAGGAGGAGGAGGGACAGAAATGATACCAGCTCGGCGGGCCTGTCTCTCTTTACGGCCTTGCAGAATCTCCTCTTCCAACTTTTTGGTGCGCTCCTCATCTTCCTTGTCGCGGCGCTCGCCAAGTTCCCGAATGCGCTGCAGGAAGACATTCACGTCCTCGGCCCCATCAGGGTTGGTGGGGACCGTCATTCTCCTTGTCGTCCCCCAAAAGGACCAGCAAACTCTCCGGAATAATTGAGGTTGCCTGGTAGGGACGGGGGTTTTTAAGATTGGGGGAAGAAGTGGGAGAGTGGAAAGCTCAAGGGCTGAGGTGTTCTCCGCCCTGCTTAAATTAAATGGGGATGGACGCGATCATCGCAACTCATTGGCTCCTCCGATCACGATTGCACATCCCTCCGGGACCCTTGGGCTCTTTTTCCGCACTTTGCGACTTGTCGACTGGGGACGACATTATTGCCAAAGTCTCTACATCCACCGTTCTACTCTACTGACTAGTCCAGACTTCAACAACCTCGAGTGATACAGGAATTGTCTCTCAAGCTTCAGCGTGGGATGTTTGTTTACGGTCAAGGTTTGGTGGAGCGGATCGCGTCCAGTCAGCCCCGCTAGTTGTTGGCCGCCCAAATGCTGGACCCATGGGTGAGCTGCAATTTGACCGACTTTTTCTCGATTCTCTCGGGGAAATGGCCAGGTTGAAATGCGAAACTTGTCGGACAGACCGAATACCCTAATCTGGTTATCGTTTCCATACGCGATGCCTCGGAAAGTGATCTATCGGCTTGTACCTTGCAGCCGTGGTCCTTTGGGCGCACAGTCGATGATAACCCAATCATGATCCCTGAATTATCCATTCCTCCGTGGAAGGAAGAAGGAAGATCTGTTTGGCTTATCATTTCTTTGGAGTTGGAACTTTAAATGTTGAGAATTGCATCTGCCTGTTCGAAACATTGTAGCTCTTTACTAAAGTTAGGACAAACATCGGAGGTCTCTGTCGCTTGCCGTGGTCGGGAAGACATCCCGAGTCCGTGTAATGTTCTCGTCAGGCAAAGGAGCACTAGAATATTGAAACACACCCGCTGAAAGCTATGAATGAACCTCTATTTTCATGGTACGCTGTATGGAAGTTTCCCATGTCCTGCTGGATTCAAACGCAACTACCTAAGAAATGCTGTAGTTAGATAACCAACATTGGCCCGTTGAAAAGGCTCAAGTGCAGGGTCCACCCTTACGCACCAGACAAACGACAATGCTTCTTGCCTTAGGAGACCGATAGCCTATATACATAATAATAGAGATCTCGATTATCTCCAGATGAAGACCATCTGGATGTAGATGCCCAGGTGCCCAACGGCACTAATTCTTGCCAATAGTCGGGCTAACCCACCAACGACCAGAGGTCGGTCATACCTAATAGAGAAACAGTCGGTCTTTCGCATCCTGTACCACCCATTCCAACCCTTCTGTAAGGTTTTTCCCCGTCATAGCACTGCATGGGAGGATAGTCCATTTGTGGGTTTTGATCAGATCCAAGCCTAGGCGCTGTAACATCTATCATTAGCCCATGTTCTAGAGTGAACGAAAGCCCATGCCAATTCGACCAGAGTTCACATACCTCCCGTACTTCATCTTCCCCCATACAATGTTCCACATCTGTTTTGTTCAAAAAGACCAGGAGGGTAGCTCCCATCAGGCGCTGGTGACGGCTTAGCTTCAGGATCCAGAAGATTGAGCAATTGCGGTGGGGAACGTACCTCTTCCAGGAGCAGCCCAGCCAGCTCCTGACGGCAGTCGTCCACACGGAGACGATCAGTGGCATCAACGACCCAGACAAGAGTGTCAGTTTTCTCAAAGTAGTTTTTCCAGTATGAGCGTAGTGTCTTTTGCCCGCCGACATCCCCTATGCATGGTCAGTCCTGTCCTGGTCTGGTCTTGCAGGCTGCAGGTAGGCTCACAGATATTCAGTTTGTATCTATACGAGTCAGAATTTTCTCTCTCGTGGAAGGTTAACTGTAGAACTCACCCCATAAAGTCAATAGTTTTGATAATGAAGCCCAGTGTGGGGCTGACTGTGGTGATATCTTCATTCATGATCTTTTTCACAATGGTGGTCTTGCCCGCATTATCTAGACCCCTGGTCCACCGTTAGCAGCGCACTTGCACATTGAATGAGAGTTCATACAGCATTAATATTCGCATCTCCTTGTCCTTTAGACGGGCTTTTCGCAGTATTGATAACATGGTATCTAGTTTTTTCGGAGTGGTAAATTGTCCCGAGGAGTTGAAGAGGGGCAAAATCTTGTGGGAGCTCTGCCAGAATCTGCCCTCTTGGCTTTATCGATATGCAACACACCACTAACCTTCCTCTAACTACCCTTTTCTCAATACAAAGTGGTTATCTAAAAATATGATATCAAGCCTAATTCCTAAATAATCTTCCGATATTATGTTTCTACGTCATAGACTAACTCGAATATATCCTAACATGACAGCTACGAGCGGAATGTACGCCTCTGGTTGCTCCCACCAGGCATCTTGCTAATGATCATTCTAAAATCTTGTGAGATCGGGTACGGCACATTTTTGGAGAGGCCAAGACAAAAAAATTCGAGCTGGATCAGTCAAGGGAAGGGTAGTCATCTCAGCATAATATGGACATTGAGGATCTAATAAAGAAGGTCACGAGGGCCAGGGCCGTGCTTCCCGCTGAGGACTGGAAGATTCCCAAAATGGTATAGCGCCTGGCGATGCTTGATAGACAACCATCATCGAACAAGAGAGTGACTGCACTCACATCCAACCTGTCCATCTTCTGCGTCACATGTTCAGACCCTCATGGCATAGAGTAATCCAGAGCCTTCACCAAGTAAGTTGACGTTCGTGTAACGAGCGTCGAGGATACAGTCCACACTGTCAGTGACTGACGCGAACTCATGCAGCCAGAAAAATGACCAAATCGTTGTCTCATCCACAGGCCAGCTTCCCAGGAGGAGCTCGTTACCAGAGAGACAAGATGCCGCCCGAATTATTTAATCGTTGACGGGAGGAAACCTGCGTACAAAAGCTCCAGCATAGGTGTACATCAGCCTCTGCTACATTTGAGCAAAACTATTTCGTCAGATATCTCCAATGAGGAATGTTGTCAGGATAGTGGCCAGCAGGCCAGCAAAGTCTGTGCATTTGCAAATGGAAACACTGAGCAAGCCATACTGGCTGGTGGGCCACAGTCTCCATCCGTCACTTCCAAGACCTCCCAGGCTAACAATGCGTCAGCCTCGTGCCGGTTAGGCTTGACTCCTTATCCATTCATAGTTGGCAAGGAACTCGATCGGCGCTGTTTCGAATTGGGCTTCCATTCCTGCCTCTTGCTGCTTGGCGTTGAGCTCCTGTGCATCCCAGGATAATATCGTGCTGGATGAAGCTACAGCTGGAGTAGCACACCCAAAGCAAGTTTCTGTAGCTCGCACAAACTTCATCGAGAGAGATATCACTGATCTGAACGAAGAATCGTTTATATATGCGAGAAAAGAGCGTGGCACAGCTCTCATCTTCCATCTCGATATCAGCGGCATATCATGGCAACCACAAGCCAAGCAAAGCTTTCAAACCCACCCCCCCCCCCACCAAAAAGGCTTGAACCAGTCGGCATATGATCTGCAAAGTCACTGCTTAATACTATGCAGTTGTCACACCTTGCGTGATTCGTGGAATGCAGGTATCTGCGAGATGGTCTGTTAACCTACCCCGTATCATCTTTGATGCAGAGTATAAAGAGCTTGACCAAAAGCAAACTGTATGAAGCAGGATCGCCACGAACTGGTCCCTTGCGCAATGGAACACCTCCTCGACGACTCCTATGGTATGGCCGCAAGTGATCAATAAGGAGCTTTGTTCATTGCTATCAGGTCGAGTGGACTGTTTCGTTTATACTTCACGGCCGTTGCCAGAAGTAGCGTGCAATCACCTAGGCTACGATCATGGAAGCCCTCGGAATAGGAAGACAAACGATAGAACCATCGCATCGTTTACCATAAACTGAAAGCCATTTCGTTTCCACGTTTACAGGGCATAAAAGCGGGTCCTGTACTGGGTGAGCTGGTTGATATCTTTCATCCTGCCTTCTTCCTTCTTCCTTGATCGTCTCCTTTCAACAATCTCACAATCACATCCTCTCGTCCCCTACCCTTCACAACATGATGGGCGAGATGGGCCCCTTCCAGTGGATCGAAAGCCCACAACGCCCTCACAACCCGCTATTCAACGGGGCTGTGAGACAAAACAGAGGCCGAGCACTCGACCCTCGTCTCGAACCCATCGAGTCAGGCGTGGGAATTCCCTCCGTTGCGATGAACCAGCAGGAGCAGATGCCATACCCAAAGGCAGGCCCCATTCGCACTCTGACCCCTCATCATGGAGGCCCGCCAATGGACACTCATCATGCATCCATCCAGCCAGGCATGGGTAATCCCTCTTTCGCAATGAGTCCGCGGGTGCAGATGCCATTTCAACAGGCAAGTCCCAATCGTCCTCTGCCTCCTCAATATGGAGGCCAAGCGATGGGTCCACGACTCGCATCCATGGAGTCCGCTATGGGCAGTCCCTACTATGTGATGAGCCCGCGGGGGCAGATGCCATTCCAACAGGCAACGCCCAATCGTCCGCCTCCGCCTGGATATGGAAGCCCAGCGACGGACCCACGCCTTGCATCCATCGAGTCAGGCATGGGTAAGCTCTCAATGAAGCCACAGGAGAAGGTTCCAATCCCACAGGCAAGACCCAGACGCCCTCCACCCTCTCGTCCCTACATCCGCCCTGCTGTCGTGGAAGATGCCGAGGAAATTTCACGAATCCTCAACTGGCACTGTGTAGCATCTCCGTGGGACCCGGAAGCCGAAGTGATGATTCCTGAATATGTCTGCAATTTCCTTGAAACCTGCAAATTACGCAGACTTCCATTCCTGGTTCTCGTTATGCCGCCAGATCTGTCTCAAACCTCCGAAGACCCTCCAAAGCCGCAGATTTGTGGCCTTACCTACATCGATGCTTTCGATGAGATTGTCACTGAGGACTCCCTTGGTGACCTGCGGGTGTACATCTGTCCTAAATGGACACACCACGGCTTCGGTACCGCGCTTGTCGACTGCATCCTGGCTATTTGTGACATTCATTACAATCGCAGAGTTCACGTGGAGTGGCGCTCCGTTCCAAGTGTGGACTTAAGCAATGTGCTACGACTGGAACAGGTGATGTGCGCCATAGCCTATCCTGCTCAGGTGGAGAAGAACTTTGAGTTCATTTGGCACTGGCTGAAGAAAAGATTCGGCTTTCAGCTTTTTGGCGAAGTGAGGCAAGATCGCGCCAAGTACGGCTATGAGTATGTCAATGTTTCTTTCTTTCGCCTGACCCGGACAATGTGAACTTACTAACGTCTTCTTATAGAGAGAATTTCTACTGTGTTGATTTCCTCCTCAATGCAGGAAGAGCATGGAAAAAGAAACAAGCTCGTTATCTTCAGAGATTGTCATCAACACCATATGTCAATCTGCGGAATTGACATGACATGAACGAACTTCATAACGATCCCGCCACATAGGAAAGAGATTGGCCTGGGGAGACAACAATGAGGACCCTACAATCTCACGGAACGACAAAAATCAAAAAGCACAAAAAGAAAACTGTACAAACTATCCAGAGCTTAATCTTCAACGGGAGGTTTAGGATGGAACTCAGCATGTATCTATTACCTCAATATTCTTATCATGTGAATACGAGTCATGTCAAATTTTGAAAACAGTTCCATATGGTTCTGGTTGAATAGTGTAAGAGTAAGACTAAATGTACCGATGTTTATAATGGTCGTCATTCGATGAAAGTAGAGAGGAGGGTTCAGAAAGGAGCTGCTGATCTGAGGTTCCAAGGTTCTAAGGTTGGCGGTGACGGGTGGGTCTATCCTTACGTCAGCCATATTTTGCTCTCACCGCCCGGGGAACTTTTTTTTCTGCTGTTGATTTCTGTTCAGTGGATTGCGAGGGCAGCAGAGTCTGGGGATTTACTGGATCCATAATCGTTTTCTCCGTTGTGAGAAATTACAAGGGTCATTCAGTCCCTACACAGAGATATTGTCTCTGCTGTCATTTCCACAATGGCACCCAGCACATCCAAGCGGAGTGCGCCCAAGGACGACGATTTCGTCCTCACGCTGTCCGACGATGAAGATATTCCCCGATTCGACGACGAAGATAATGAGATTGCCGATGAAGCGCCAGCTGTCGACTCGAAAAAGCGCAAGCGCGAGGCCGAAACTTCCAAGGACAAGAACAAGAAGCAAAAGCAACAAGCCAAGAATGTGAAGGGCAAGAAGGGCAAGGCCCAGCCTGTGGTTGAGGAGGATGACGAAGAAGAGGAGGATGAAGAGAAGGAGGATATCCTGGGCGCTGATGATGATGCTTTGAACCCCGATTTCGAGTTCGACGTTGGTGGTGTGGCCAATCGCGGTGTCACGGAGGGCTTCGACGGCTGGGGCTTGGAGGATTCCAAGCAGAACGGCGGTGGTGACAAGAAGGCCGTGGATATTGACGACATCATCTCTCGGAGAAGGGAAAAGAAAGAGGCTGCAGCTAAGAAGAAGCAGAAGAAGCAAGCGCAAGAGGAGGAGAGTGCTCAAGACTCCGATGAAGAGGATCCCGAGGCTGATGGCGGCATGGAGGTGGACTTTGGGGACGACGAACTCATCGCCGAAGATGCTTTCGGTATGGGCGCTGACGGTGAGGATGAGAGCGAGGCCGAGGGCCCCGAAGTTGGCTCTGGGCCCGAGGACAGCGAGGATGAAGACGAGCAAGACGACGACGATGACGATGCTGCATCCGACAACGACTCCGTTGCTACTCCCGTTGGCCACCCCGACGATATCGGTTCTGACCAAGAATCCGACGTTGAGAGCCAGGTGGATGAAGAGGAGGCCGAGAAGCGCAAAGCCTTCTTCGCTCCTGAAGAGAAGGGCGACGACAAGGCCGCCATGGGGAACAGCACATTCCAGGACTTCAATCTCTCTCGTCCTATTCTGCGAGGACTGGCCTCGGTTGGATTCACCGACCCTACGCCCATTCAGCGCAAGGCTATCCCGGTTGCTCTTCTTGGCAAAGATATCGTCGGTAGTGCCGTTACTGGTTCCGGAAAGACTGGTGCTTTCATCGTGCCCATTCTAGAGCGTCTTCTTTTCCGTCCCCGCAAGACACCTACTAGCCGCGTCGCCATTCTGATGCCCACTCGTGAGTTGGCGGTGCAGTGTTACAATGTCGCCGTCAAGCTGGCTACCTTTACCGACATCACTTTCTGTCAGCTTGTCGGTGGTTTCAGTCTTCGCGAGCAAGAGAATGTGCTCAAGAAGCGACCCGACGTGATTATCGCCACGCCCGGTCGTTTCATTGACCACATGCGCAACTCGCCCAGCTTCACGGTGGATACCCTGGAAATTCTGGTTCTTGACGAAGCCGATCGTATGCTGGAGGATGGTTTCGCCGATGAATTGAACGAGATTTTGACTACGATTCCCAAGTCCCGCCAGACCATGCTCTTCTCTGCTACGATGACCGATACCGTTGATAAGCTGGTTCGCGTTGGTTTGAATCGCCCCGTCCGTCTCATGGTGGACTCGAAGAAAAAGACTGCCGTCACGCTGACCCAGGAGTTTGTTCGTCTACGCCCCGGTCGCGAGGATAAGCGTCTGGGATACCTGCTGTATCTGTGCAAGGAGATCTACACTGGACGAGTGATTATTTTCTTCCGGCAAAAGAAGGAAGCGCACCGTGTCCGCGTCATTTTCGGACTGTTGGGGTTGAAGGCTGCAGAGCTGCACGGTAGTCTGAGCCAGGAACAGGTAAGCCACGAAAATGCCGACCATGCCGCAAATACCGCACGGTCACAACTACGATCCTCTTGCTAATTTCGTGTCTCTAGCGTATCAAATCCGTCGAGAACTTCCGTGACGGCAAGGTCGCGTTCCTCCTCGCTACTGACGTCGCCTCCCGTGGTCTGGATATCAAGGGTGTGGAGACCGTTATCAACTACGAAGCCCCTCAGAGCCACGAGATTTACCTGCATCGTGTCGGTCGTACCGCCCGTGCTGGTCGGTCTGGTTGTGCCTGCACGATCGCCGCCGAGCCCGACCGCAAGGTTGTCAAGCTGGCCGTGAGGGCCGGGAAGGCCCAGGGTGCCAAGATCGTCAGCCGAGTGGTCGAGATGGCCATTGCGGACGCGTGGGCGCAAAAGGCCGACGATCTGGCCGACGAGGTGCAAGAAGTCCTACAAGAAGAGAAGACCGAAAAACAATTTGCACAGGCCGAGATGCAGGTCAACAAGGGCGAGAATCTGATGAAGCATGGCCACGAGATTATGAGCCGGCCGAAGCGGACGTGGTTCGAGACGGAGACGCAGAAACAGGCAGCGCGCAAGTTGGGGCGGGCGGAGTTGAACGGGCCAGAGTCCAACTCGAAGAAAGAGAAGGTCAAGTTGAGCAACAAGGATAAGAAGCGGATGGACGATGCGAAGATGAGACATGAGGGGAATGCTGGGTGGAAGAAGGGCAGGTCGGAGCGAGATGCTCCGAAAACGAAAGGCCACGACAAGAAGAAGACGAAGAAGGGGAAGAAATAAGCGCCTGGGCCACGGCGATGGACCCGAATGTTGTCGTTAGCGGCCGTCTAGTGTGATTATTGGGCCTGCATCCCTGCAAACCTTATATAGATGGAGCAAGAGAGACGAAGAGGGGACGCGGATAGGGAGGGAAAAGGGCGCATTCTGTGAATATTCTTGGAATTGTCATCATCAAGATCATCCTCTTCTGTATGGTAGTTAATCCTGGGGGGAACGATCTCTATCCTCAATAGCATTTCTGTTCTTTTTCTAGAACTATTCTGGATGACTCAGCACATGTCTCTCGCACAGAGTTTTATGTAACGTGGATAATTGCTTGCGCTGGCCCGGATCCTCGATCTTTCGAGTAACGATCTCCACTGGGCGTCTTCCAGACGCTTCGATACGTCCGAGGATTTACCGCAATTGGCATGCCGATCGCAACAACTTCCCGGGTACCGGTTCCTCAGTACAGTACTACTCCGTACAAGGACATTGCTTGGATTACGACACTAGTCTCCAACTGTACGGACACTACAGTAGATGGACCTCCCGACTGCGCAAAGTCCTGCAACTGCTCACTTTCCCTGGAGATGTTCCTGTTTTATGCTCCACTCCTCAACCAGCTTTGGATCCGCCATTCGCCCAGCAGATGGGCCTGACAGTGCCAAGGCGAGAATCGAAACCAGCCACGACCTCCTCCCATGCAGCATGCATGCGGCCAATTGGGCTATTCCGCCGCAGACGCACGCTCCAACCGTCCACGATTGGCTGGCCCTGAAGATTGGATCCCCAAAGTTGCAGAGGGCGAGCGAGAGGGAGGGGAAGGGCAGGAGGACACACGCTTTTGGCGGTCGAACCGTCTACCCGTTGGCGCAGCTCAACCAAGGCACTGGAGGACTCGATCGAGTCGTCCCGAGTCCCGACTCCCGACGTCAACGCGATCTCACCAAGAGAAAGAGAGAGTATAGACGAAAGCCCTGCGAAATCCGCTCTCTCTAAGGCTGGCCCGCTGGTCCACCCAAGCAAGAAAAAGGTTAAAACCACACTCCCCGCGATTATTAGCAGGTCGCCCCACGCAAAAGTGTCGCGCCGTTCGGAGTTCCCAAAATTTCGCCGGTGATTCCCCTCGTCCTCTTCCCCTCAACCCTTTTCTCTCTCTCGCTCTCTCTTTCTGTTCTTCCCTTGGTCATTGCCAATGGGGGTCGCCAGTATTGAGCCCCCTCCGTGAACATCTTCTTCCATCGATGGTGGTCGAGGCCTCTGGCATGTCCGACGTGCCTATTAAGAGCGCGCTTCCGCGGAAGAGCGCCTTCTCGTGTGAAGCGTGCCGCAAGCGCAAGGTGGGCTCATATTCGGGCAAATTCCGAGATCGCTAGAGGCGGATCGCCGCAACAACTGAGCGCTGAGACTGACCGTCGGATATGACAGGTTAAATGTAACGGAGCTAGTCCGTCATGTTCTCGATGCGCCGCACGAGGCGAGACCTGCGTCTACAGCTTGTGAGTCCTTTGGTGCTTGTCTTTGATTATGGACCTTGGACCCTGGCCTATCCCCCGCAGTCCTGGATCACTGGTGGCCGTTGGCTAATTGATGGGTCTTCCCCCGCGCTTCCTTTCTAGGGCTCCAACTTTATCTTATACAAAACAACTCGAGGCTAGAGTGGCCCAGCTTGAAGAGGCTCTGACCAAGCTGCGTGGCCAACAGGCTGACGCGGAGACACGCAAGGGGAGCTCTCCGGCATCGGTGGCGGAATCTAGCTCGAGCGCCGGCCGCAAACTCAAAATCGAGAACGACGACACCCAGGATTTAGCTAGGGAGTTCGATGGCTTGAACGTGGAAACCGACGGTCGCATCTCCTTCCACGGACCGACCAGTTTATTCCAGCTTCCAAGTGGAGTGGTGAGTGAGACGACATCGACGACTCATGTCGCTCAGGGGTTGGAAGCTCGTAAAGAGCGACTGATCAACAGTGCATGGCGGGAACGAGCTTTCGAACAGATGGCTGCAATGCCGGTAAGAACTTCCTGCAGTAACAAAAGGTTCCCGCATTTCAAGCTAACGACGATCGATTCATCTATCAGGAACCATTCCAGTACTTGCTTGATTCTCATTGGTGTTGGATCCAGCCGTTGTTTAACTTTGTCTATCGCCCAGCCTTTACCCGTACGTCTTGTCCTAATTCCTTCTCGGCGGTCCCTTGGCATACGTGATTCCAATACTGATTCCCTACGTATAGGTGATATGAAGATCCAAGGCCCGTATTACTCGGATGTTTTGATGAACGCCGTCCTCTCCCACTCCGTTCGTTGGTGCAAGGCCGAACCCCAGATCGGCCCGCTTCTAGAGTCATTCGAAGGCGGCGCCCAATTTTATCAGCGTGCAGTATTGGGGATCTTCGACTCGCTTAAAGTCGGCTATGCTAGTGTACCAGCCATCCAGACGCTGCTGCTCCTCAGCGCGCAAGAATGTGGTAAAGGTAACCGAACGCAAGCGTGGCTGTATAGCGGCATGGCGTTCCGAGTTCTGGATGATCTGGGAATTTCGATTGATAGTCGCAAGTATCTCGGCGCAGCCCAGTTGAGCGACGAGGATATCGAGATTCGGAACCGCCTTTTCTGGAGCTGCTATTTCTGGGATAAGATTGTGTCTTTGTACTTCGGCCGGGCACCGACGATGCAACATTCTCGCGTCAGCCCACCCCGCATGATACGTAAGTTTCGACCAAGAAGACGTACTCGGCGAAGTTGCTGACCAGCTGCCATAGTGGACGACACTTCTGAGATTGAAATATGGACTCCCCACGGTGTCACATTCCCTGATGGAGCCCATTATCCACCAACACAGGCGCATTCAACCTCGTGCTTCATCCAGACGTGTGGCCTTGCCGAGATCTTGAATCAAATATTGATCCACATTTACGATCCCATGCGCCAAAGCACAGAAGGGGAGTTCTTTGACTGTGTCCAGGAACAAGCCAAGAATTTGAGCGACTGGTGGGATGAGCTCCCCGATTACCTGAAGCTTGTGGCAACGGATCTACCCTCATATTCCCCACCAAGCCACATTATGACTTTGAAGTGCGTTTCCTCATGAGAAATTTTGTTAGTACCCGCTAACACCTGCTTTTAGCTGCCTGTATCATACCGTCAATATCTTGCTTCACCGCCCGATTCTCTGCTCTCGTGCGTTGTTGAAGACTCGACAAGAGCCATACGATAAGAGTCATCTTGTTCAATGTATGGCCTCTGCAACTTCCATCCTATCTCTCTTCGATCTGTATCGCCGCACGTTCGGCGATAACCATGTCGTCCTTTCCCTTGCCTACAGCATCTACACTGCAGCATCCATCTTCTTGCTGGAGATTCAGGCCCTCAAGTATGCAGCCCCAGGAACTCTGGACAAGCTCAAGTTCTGTATATTCGCACTTGAGCGTGTCAAGGGGTCCAATCCCGTCATCACCACCGCCCTCAGCCTTGTCTACCAAGAAGTCCAAAAGCTGCAGATCGATATCCACCTCCCGATGCCAGTCCAACTCCCGAATACCAATCAACAACAGCCGCCATCTCAACCTCAACATCCACCTCCTCACCCCACCCAACAAAGCCAATCACCTGTCAGCAGCAATCCCTCCCGCCACGTCTCCCCGAACATTCCGCATCAACACCAGCGCCAGCAAAGCCGCGCAACAATGAGTACACAACCCAGTACAACCGGGCCAAGTGCAAGTGCCTCCATGATCCCCGAATACAACACATTCCAACAACCGGTCGCCGGATTCGACCTGTCCCATATGGGCGATATGCCGCAGATGCCACCAACCCATCTACTAGGCGGCATGCCCAATGCATTGATGACGGTCGATGACCCAAGCGCATACGAGATCACGCCGGAGGTATACGAAGCGTTCTCGTACGCGCAACCGATGTCGACGACTATGACCTCATCATTTGAGGGTCGCTGGACGGGACAAACCCAGTGATTACGAGATGCACATTTCTTTTTGGCGGGCTTTGGCATTTGGTTGGGTATTTTTGGTTCTGATGATTCCCGAATAGTACTTGAGCGTTTGAGATTTTGGAATTGAAGTATGAATGAAAAAGTTTTGCATGGAGTTCGGTTCTATGCGAGATTGTACATATTCTATTTGTTGATGGTGAGGAATCAAACGAGTGATTCGGACGTGTCAATTTCGGTGCATATTGTCAATGGCGTACGGAGTACTCCGTAAATCGAACAGCAAGATATCAACTTAGGCACCCACCTGAAGGCTCCAAGGTTCGCTGACTTTTTTTCCGATTTATCGAAAGAACAAGTTGTCGCCATGTCAACGGTATAGTGTTCACTCGATCGGGTTAGCCTGTTGACAAGGCTACAATGTGCGCCATATTGAGATGAACACCTCATATGCTGGGGAGTGCTTTAATATACCCCGTCCGAGCAACAAGCGATCTCCATCCGACAAAGCCTACGGCTAAAACGCCTCTGATCTGTCCTTGCAGCTTGCCCCTGCCTGGTACAAGCAGACGCATCCGCGTCGACGGAGATGGAAATAATGAATGGTATGAATTGCGAGGAATCATTAGCTTCGAATTCTACCCTATACTCTTGGGACTTCTCAAGACATATTTGGCCGACATCTGTAGTTTTAGAAAACAATCCAAGTACTCGGACTCGACCGCATCATCTTTGATCTGAGCAGCGGATCCGCAGTGACTTGATTTGCGGTGCATTATTTGGATGGCTTGTGTAGGCTATTATCATGAAGCAAGCTCAAATTCAAAGTACGGAGTGCCACATAACTCTTTTCTCCATTTGGAACATGGGGGGTTCGAACTCGCATTTAAAAGCGCTGCCTGGTGTAGATGATGTTGGTGGTGATCTGGCCCCACCGAATGAGGCTCTTAAAGTAGTAGCCCTCGCCCCGACAAATACTGTCAGACTGATTCAATACAAGAAGCCAAGAATTCCCCTGCAGCTACCAGGCTCAATTATTCCCAAGTTGGTCAGTTACGAAGACATATCGGTGTCCCACTCTTCTATTGCCACTCATGATGGATGCCACTTTCGACGAGGAGCCTGTCTGGATGTAAGCTGCTTGCTCAAAGCGACACTACCCCTGACTTAACCCCCTCTTTCATAGTACCAACGACGATGCCCTGTCGGTCATATCAGACCACAAAGAACCGATCGAGCTCCCCGAGCCTCCAAAACCAAAGACACCCCGATGTGGAGAAATCTTTCGAACCACTCGTCCCGAAAGCTGGGCCATAGACACGGAGGGCACATGCCTGTTCTGGGTTAAACCCAGACTCTCTTTTCAACTACAACAATGCTCTTCCTGGAATACAAGTTCCACCTTCCAGGCATTCAATATCTGGCGTCCAGCATCATACTTTGGGCCCACCCTCACGCAGCTAGGACCGGACCCAGTCAAGCTGAACAGCGAGGACCTCATTGTCACCAGTTCTGACGATGACACTGAAACTCTCAAGTCTAAAGATACGGGGGCTATCCCCTTCACAGAGGACAATGTCATTGCCGCTATTGATATCGATCGCCCGGGTATCTTTTGCTGCCGTGTATGCTTCTCATACCGTGGGCAAGTAATCCTAGCCAATGGCGAGCGCTGGAAATTCAGCGAAATCGACATGGATTACTATCATTTTACGCGCGAATACGATCAGACCAATCCAGATGGTGAAGAAAATAGGCCGAGCCTTGTGTGGATGCTCTACGATAGCTCGAGGCCGGTACTGACGGATGGCGTCCCCGAAGATCTGCCTTTCAACATGGATCTTGAGACCCGCATTTGTATGGTGAAAAGGTCTTCCTGCCTTGGGGATCCTTGTCCGGATGGAGGGCCCGTTCTTGCGGTGATGAATCGAAATGGTATTGTTTGCTGCGACGGGGTTGAGAAGAACACGGAGATCGCGACGAGTAGTATTCGGGAATTAGTTCTAATGACGGCCCTTGCGGTTGCGCAATATGAGAGATGGCTCGAAGGTTGAAACAACAAACGGCTGCGAGTAAATGAGAGATAGGGAGAGAGGAAATGCCATGAATTCGTGAATAAATCGCTACATGTCATCTTGAATATCTAAACTACCATCCAAAGGTCTCTTGATGCCAAATAACCTCTCGACCCTTGGTGACCCATTTGCCAGCATGAGCACGTAGCTCGCGTCCCATCTCTCGAGGACCGCAGAAAATCACCGCAACCCGCTCGTCAGCATTATATCTGAATGTTTCATCGACAATATCCTTCAGGTCAGGTCGCCCAGCCAGTGGTTTCACTCCTCCGACCATGTCGCTGGATTCTTGTAATTCATTCAACTCTAGGCCTTCAGCATGGACTGTGTCATCCAGGGCATTCCTTCTGAGGCGATGCCGTGTCAAATAAATATGAACATTCGAGCTTTGAGAAAATGCCTGCTTTTCGTAATCTATCGCCCAGCTAGCCTCAGCAGCTGATCTGAGAGCCCAAGTGAGGTTGAGTCGATCCGACCCGCCAGTCTCCAGTTCCAGCTGCTCCTGCAGAGCCCAATAAACGGGCAAGATGAATGTCCCTCCGATACCTCCTGCCACGAGTAGAATACGGTCAACACTAGAAGCAAGCTCTGCGACCGGTAAAGCCCCTCCGTATGGCCCTTCTATACTGATCAAGGGGTGAGTCTTGAAGCGATCCGCGTGAGTCCGGAGCGTTTGCGTGGTAGGACCGCGTCGGGCTCGCAGAACGAGCGCGATTTCATTCGCTGTAACCTCTGATACCGTAAAAGGATTGGAGAGAAGGCCTTTACTGCCCGTGCAGGTCGGGTTGGAAGGGATAGATAAGTACACGTGCTGGCCAGGTTTGGCCTGGAATCGCGCCGACTTGGTCGAGGTCATAGGGAACCGTATCTTCAGCAACTCCGTATGAGGCACCTGCTCAAGGATGGCAGGGTCTGTGACCGTGTCCATATATCGGAGAACTCGATCAATGATGAACAGTGCCAGTGCTTCAGCAGCGTACAGTCTGAGTGGCTTCGCATGGAGAAGCAGCAATGGCCAAATCGCCAGCCCAAAACTGAGATGACAGTAAATAAATACGCGGTAACTCCATTTTCGAACCCTTTCAAGGCTTGTGGATGCGATAGTCGCTATCAAGGATATCGATATTAGCCCCGTGATAGGATGTTGTTGCCGTATACGATCCGCGAGAATCCCATTCTGAACGAAGTAATTGATATACCATGTTCCATGGAGAAGCAATAGGATCATAATGACTCGGCCGCAGATTCGATGCCAATGTATAAGCTGCTCGTGCGAAGAGCCAAAGATGATAACAAGCGGAGAAAAGCGAGTGCGCATCGACAGGAGAAATAGAAGAGGCAGCTGGGCTGCGGCCACACTTCCAAAACGTTTTGTGACATGGAGATAGTCTATTGCCAGAATCAGTATCGCGGAAGAGTCAATTTACAGTCTCCGCTTAGAGCTATAAGGGCCTTCTCATCTCCTTTACAGGGGGTGCCTCTCCAGGACCTGCACCGCGACACAGGGGTAAATTGCTTACCGTGGCCAGTCTGAAGAAAGCAGAGAATGAGGAGCCAAAGAGTCCAAATGACCGCAGCGATCGAGTGGCCTCTCAATCCCCAGTTTGGAGTCACTTCCCCATTCAACCACCACAGCAATACCCTGCACCGACTGCCAATCGCTTTGAGCGAGACGCCATGGGATTCTCGGGTTGATTCGGTGTTGCCTGGCTCTTTCAGGGCAGAGTATGCGACATCAACCGCCCCTGTCCTAGCGAAGAGCCATGTACATAGCCGATACAATGCATAGCCAGAAATCGGGATCAGCACCGATACTTGCGAGATATACGCATATTGAGAGAGGAGTTCTCGTCGGTGGCTTTTCTCGTCGGGGGTGATATCCACAAAATGGTAAGGCCAACCCATTCTGAAAGTCCGCTCGGTCGGCTCTTCGATGGAAGAGGTTTGCTCACAAGAGGAGCGCGTTACTTCCTTCACGCATCGGGAGGCTTTTGAACGCTCGAGGTTGGGTTTACGATGTCAAGAGGTTCTTTGTTTCTCTTGTCTCGTTGCGTAACCACAAGTGGAGAGCAAGTCCGACATCTCCGAACCCCCCACTCGTTCCGATTTGGGGTCTAATCAGCAGCCAAGAGAGAGCACGTGGGAATTTTATAATTTCCAGCTCATAAATCCAGCATTGCATGTATAAGTCATGCTTCCGATAGTTAGAAAAGACGACCGGAAGATTTCAACTTGTCTTTATTTTTATTTATTTTTCTTCACGTTTCCTATCACCCGTGCTGTGACCGTCAGTGACTTGTAAAGGAAGAATGTCGAGACCTGCATAGACATATCCCAAAACAGTGATTAATAGCAGCCCTTGAGAGCCAGATTGAAAGAGGTTTCCATCAGTATACCAAGAGTTGAACAAAGAACAGATACCTGAAGTCTTGTTGTTTGTCATGTTTTACTCCTTCTACTTCTAGATTTGGTCTGCTCAGCTGCTGGACACGGTTGCAATGATCGAGTTCTGTGAGCCCATCCATATATCGTGATATGGGCAGGGGTTGTCATTGAATAAGGCAACTTTGAACTATGAAAAGATGGAAGCTTCCTAGAGGTAAGATATGAAGAGATTTGGGAGGCTATCATTGACACCCCCTGTACCTCAACCTTTGACTAGCGGCAGATAACGTCGTAGACACCTGGCCCCCAATTACCACTATTTAGTCACTTCTACCACTTCTTACCTTGCCTGCAGAACTTGGCCCTTGTGATATTTTGTGTTCAGTTCACCCTCTATCAATTGATCATTGTCATGTCATTTGAGATCCAGCCATGTTCTGCAGCCAATGCCCTCGGCCTGTCAACCACGATGATGGGCGCCCGTCTGACAGACCCCCACTGGGCATTTCTGTGGGAAGACCCGAATCCTCAAGATATCATAGCAAGAGGTGCCCTCCGCGTCCCATGGAATCTGGCAACAGGCAGAGACACCAAAAGACATCAAAAGGTGATTGATGTCGAGACGGGTCAGATAATTGGTTTTGCAAGGTGGATTCTACCGGATTGTCTAGCAAAGCAAGGCAATGTTTGGCTTGAAGCTCAGGCACCCGAGGGAACTCAGTCTGAACGAGAAGCGTGGCAAAGACAGTACAAAGAGAATACAAAGGGCGGCCGTCCCATCGGTATGAAAAGTGGCGAGTTGATGAGCTATCGCAGTGCGCCTCTTGAAGTTGTTGATGCTCGGATTATGCGGGATGGGCCTTTTCTGAGTAACCTTTTCTTGAATTACTTGATGGCTACCAATTGTTGCTAATTCATTGTTCTAGCCCTGGATTATTTGACGACTGATCCTGCCTTTTGGAGACAGGGTATTGGCAGTATGTTGGTGCAAAGCGGCTTAAAGGTTGCTGATCAGTATGGGATGAAAGTCTACGTTATGTCGGAGCCAGCTGCGTTGAAGTTGTATCTCAATCATGGATTTGAGTTGCGCGAGACTGTGTCCACTGATTATTCCAAGTATGGTGGAACAGAGCCTACGATGGAGCATTTTCTGATCCGCAAGCCTCAGACGAGACTTTGATTTATTGGACTGAACAATCTCGTGCCCTTCTGAGCAACTGAAAGGATGGGCAGGAAATCAAAAGATACATGTACAGACTCGTAAAGATCAGATTAAGTACAAATTATCGAATAAGAGATCATACACCATGCAGTTGCCAAACTATATCCAAAGGCTATCCGTCGAGAAATGGAGTGTTCATGTGCTGAAGGTAGTGGGTATCCGGGTATCCAAATGGTAGATGATGCAAGAAAATATTTACGATGTCACTCAACGGGACCTGAAGATATTCGGCTCGATCGTCTTTCCATCCTGGACAGGAGAGGTAATTGCCTCCCTCGTCTCCGATGAGTCATCAAAATAGCTGGGGTGAGCGCGCCAGCGGAGGTACCATGGCCCAGCAAATAGCTCATCCATCCGCTCAATCGGGACCTGGGCCGTCTCCGGCATCCAAATGCCAAGAATAATCAGGCCCAACGTGCAGATGATCGCCCAGAACAGATAAGCGCCCCACACATTGAGGGAAGCGAACATGTTCGGCGTAACACGCACAACGGCAAACTGGAAAAACCAGTGGAGACCCATGCTGATGGCATAGCTCACATTGCGGATCCGCGTCGGGAAGATCTCCGTGCCGTAAAGGTAGGGAATAGTGCAGAGACCGATCGACCAGCCGACGGCATACACAAAAACGGATGCAATGGCCGCATCCGAGGCAGACTTGTTGCTTGCGGAGCCAGGCTGTAGTCCCATATAAACGCCCATATAAATGTGCGCTGCCAGCTGCAGGGCAAGACCAGTCAAAGCGCAGCGTCGGCGACCGAAGAGATCGATCAGACCCCAGGTAAATGCCATAGTGAAAACGAGCTTGACGATTCCATAGGCGCCCGAGGAAATCAGCGACTGGCTCGAGCCACTGACACCAGCGTACTTGAAGATGCTAGGCACGTAGTATGTTATTCCATTGCCACCGGTCCACTGAGCGACGGTTTGCATAGTCATCAGTAACCAGAAGCGCTGGCGGTAGTTAGAATTCAACTGAGATTCCTTGAACGCTTGCCAGTGAGAGACAGACTTCAGGTTTGCCCGCTCATCCGCCTGTCGGTCGATTTCCTCAAACTCCGCCTCGACGCTCTCATCGTCGATTGATTTGCCTCGCAGAAGGGCAAGTACCTCCTTTCCTTCTTGATGGCGCTGCTGCGATACCAGGTACCGAGGGGTCTCGGGGCAGAGGAATGACAGGCCAAAGGCGATACCGACAGGGACCAGTGGTATGGCCTGGACTAGCCGATATTGGGTTCGCGTGGCGGCCATGTGGAGATTGGCGCCATAATTAATAAAGAAGCCTAGTGCGGAGAGAGGAAGATAGCGCGTCAGATAAGATACCCCAGGTAGAAATTTTCGGGCAACGAAAGTGTAGTTTTGACTTACCCATGGCGAGCACTGCCAGCAGAATCACCATATACATGCCGACTGCCAGACCTCGCGTAGACCGAGGCGCCACTTCCGATAGATATAACGGCGAGGTGACCGTCAGCAGGCCAGCACCGAGTCCAGCGAAAATGCGGGCAAAGAGTAGCAAGCCATAGATTCCCGACGAGAAAATCTGGATGAAAGTCCCAATCGCCCACACGAGGCAGGCCAGTCGCCAGGAGATGAGGCGACCAAGGCGATCATTGAGATCTAATCCTGCTAGCGCACCGAATGCTGCACCCAATACGTTGAAGGAGGTAATGTTCGCAATTCGATTGGTCAACCCCGTAGGATCGTTCTTCCAGTGTGATTTGATGAGGTTAAAGTCGATCATGAAAGATGCGAGATTGACGCTCGCACTATATCCTCCCTCGTCATAACCTGTGATCATTGGAGGAATCATGTCAGCTCCTCGACCTTTGCTTACTCTCGTTTGTCACGAACGCCATCCACATTGGGGTTAGCAGATTAGTAGCATACCTTTAGGGATACTCCCACACGCGATGACGACGATCACCAGTGCATAGTAAGGGCTGGTCGTCCACCGCGAGCGTTCCAGCCATCGCATGATGTCGTCCGTGGAGGATTCCCACCAAAGCCCCGGCTTAGATAGCTGTGGAGAGCCACAGAATCTGGGGAAGCTGGAGGACGGGACGGTCGGCAACGGGTGGGTTGGTTGAAGGGGGAGGGTAATAATCGCGAGGAGGCGCATGTGGATAAAGGGCGAAAAAAAATCGCAGGCGGCGACTGATCTCGGCATCCCGTTGGGTCGCGCAAAGGTCTCTCGGTCAACGTCCGACAAGCTTTTGCTTTCCCTCATCTCGCCTCCCCTGGACTTCCCCTCTCACCAAAACCCCCCGATCGTCGCAAATGTAGGGTCGTGGTACTGGATAATATATCCCAATGATCCGAAATGCGCATGTGGTTACATCTGCTCGTGCAATGCCTAAGCCGCTTCTTGACCAGACAGACATGACTTTGCTGACCGAGCCCCATACCCATACTTCTTCAATGCCGGATTGAGCCGCGGAAACAAGCGAAACCCACTTACTCTTTGAGTGTCTCAGGGCTCCGCAAGACGGTCAAATCCTTTCAAAGGCCTTTGCCTCCTCGTGGGTGTCTTGCCTCGGTCGCTCTTGATTGCGCTATGGGCGTGAGAAAAGGGGGACAAATCAACAAAGCAATTAAAGACCCAAAGTCCGAGAATGCGACCCGGGCCCTTTTTGCCATGCCTCGCTGTCACCAGTAGGCTGAAGTCGCCATGCCAGCTGGCTTCCGGACGACTTCCGCTCTGATGCTGCTTCTACACCACCTCGCCATCTCTCGTTGCCACTGAGAGACTGTGAACAGCCGACGACTGTGGGTCAATTTTAAGGCCCGCTCCCGTGTGAGAGAACGGCACACGGCAAAAACTTTTTAAATAAACGACTGTTTTCCTCGCTTTTCAGGCCTGCTAGGCCCATTACTACGGACGTTGACCGATCAGACGAGACGGTATGATACCGATCAGGCTTGCCCTCAGGGTAAGCCCCAGCATCAGATTTTGCTCATTTGTGAGTTGTACCCCCCTAGGGCTTCGGGCCTCACCTTCATCGCTCTGTTGAGATGGTCCTTTCGAGCGGCCTTAATCTGATATAAAAATTCTCCTTCACGATGCTGACATCACCTCAGCCTCATGCTGCTATACTCGGAGGACCCCCGCGGATATCACTCACCGCAGGGCCTTCGACTCGGGTTAACCAGCGTGCGGTTCATGCGGCAGCCGCAGCAACTACGACTACAACATCTAGTTTACCCTTGCGACAGAGGCTTCCTCCTCGTTCATGGGACAGCCATATGCATGTCGTTGAGCCTCAGCGTTTTCCGGTCTCTCCGTCGGCAGTATATCAACCAGAGGTTCATACCCTGGCTGACGCTCTTTCGTTCGAGTCCTCCTTGGGCGTCGAGAATTTGGTCTTTGTTCAGCCATCTATCTATGGAACTGACAACTCCTGCCTATTGGCGTCTCTTGAAAAGCTCGGTCCCTCCCGTGGACGCGGTGTCGTGGTGGTTGACCCTGCCACGATCCAACCAGAGACGCTGGACGAATGGCACGCAGTTGGAGTCCGTGGCCTTCGAGTGAACCTGCAGTCTGTGGGAACGGTGATGGAGCCAAGCGAGCTGGAAGAGACATTACTTCGCCATGCTGAAATTGCCCGCCCTCGGAATTGGATCATTGAGGTCTACATCCCGCTGAAGATGGTACCCATGCTCGAGACCGTTGTCCCTCGTCTTGGTGTCCCCATTTGCATCGACCATTTCGGAAGCCCCGAGCTATCTTGTCTATCTTTGACCAAAAGCAACATCCCTTTCGATCCATACAACCTCCCTGGCTTCACTTCGTTGATTTCGCTACTCCGAGCCGGAAACACCTACATCAAAATATCCGCGCCTTATCGACTCACAAAAGACCGACAAATGCGTGATCTGAAGGCGATGGCACGCGAGTTCCTGGCCACAGCACCGGACCGGGTCATATACGCCACGGACTGGCCTCACACTCGCTTCACTGGTGTCGACATTAGCCCGTTCACCGAATGGTGCTTAGACCTTTGCATTCACGATCCCGAGTTGGCGGAGAAATTGTTTAGGCGGAATACTGAGCGGATGCTGGATGTCAACTCGAATTAAATTCGACACCTCTATTTCCACTTGCTGCTTCTTTATGAGATTCAGCTGTACATAGCATTATCCTGCATTACGGTGTGGCGTTTGATTGTTGGAGCATCATTATATCCATTTGCTTTTGGGGCCATGTCGGTCCTCCTGTGTTACTTCGTCCATCTCCTGAATTCATCTCAGCATGACCTCTTTTCGCAGTCACCGAGCACGTTCGTAAATATTTTAGCATGTGAGATATTCTTGTCATTCCGGTATATGTTCTTCCATATTTTCTCAGGGGACAGTATTGACATTGAATAAGCTCGCATACAACATCTTTGCCCGTCGTAACTGAACGATAACATACATTCATGAACGCGACCACGAGTCTCCTCATTTCAACCTTCCAACTCAAACGTCCTCGGCATTCTGGAAGATAACGTGCGAGGTACAAATCTTCTTGGGGCCCTGGAAAGAACATCAAAGTACTGTTAGTCACATATTTCGAAGTTAAGCAACAAACATAACAAGCACACTCACAACAGTATAGCAGCAAGCAGGACGCGACTGATCCTCGCATAGCTGAGGTTCGGTCAATTGCTGGCCTAGGGCAAGCACATATTGTTAGCATCTTCGAATACATCTGGTTTGATAGAAAACAGCAAGACCAGAGCCAGACAAACTCACAATCCAGGGCCTCATTCGCCTTTGGATTGCCTCTCGCAGGCTTCATGTCACGACAACAGAAAGGGTACTGTATCATGCCGGTACGATCGGCTGCGAACAGGCAAGACATGTTAATCTTGTTCGCAGCCGACTCAACAGCCAGAGTAGTCGCGAGAGCGACGATGAAAGTAGAGACACGCATATTGTATGTCGACGGGGGTGTATAGTATAGTTGAGTGGCAACTGTTAAGACTTGAAGGCGATTGGGGGTCTGGGAGGATGGGTGGTTGATGTATACTCGGGGAAACTCTCGAAGCCAGGCACCTTGAAGGGCTACGCAGGAGTGCGAAGTGCCTTGCTCCATTGGCCAGGAAGGCTAGACACTTGATTCTACGTTGGCATGGGGGTGTTCCGTGACGGACTTGATTGGATGGTTACTAGGTGGATGGTATATCCCCTTACATTCCCGATGCTCCTGAATGTGGGCAGGCCGGTAAACAAGGACCGCTCGTGCGTGTCGTGCCTCGCCAGGGGTGAGGCCGCGAGGCAGCCATCCTAGAAGTTGCTGATTGTTCCCTGGTCACATTTGAGTGATTATGGGATCGTGTTTTAACCTGGCTTCGGTTTGCCAAGGGATATGATTATCCCAGAGCACACTGGTATGAGTCCAAATCTTAAGGCATGGCGCGAAGCCTACTGCAGGGGCCGACGATCACGTGGAGCTCTGGATCTGGCTACATGACGTACTGAGCCTGATTACTGTAGAATGCTTGATGCCTTATTGCCTTGTATTTCTCCTCAGACGGCTGGTAATACATCTACCAACGCCCTCATTATTGCTGACCATACACAACTCTTTATGTCTCAAGCACCTTCACTGTTCTTTCTATCCACACACTACCCCATGAACTACATTCGTTCAATTACCAAAAAAAAAAAAAAATTAATATATCATGGTAACTGCCATCGATATACCCGTTAGACAGATAATTGTTTCATCTTCTAACGGCCAGGAACTGACATCGATCTCCCAACAACTTGTTCATTGTTCTGTTTTGGCAAGTACGTAATCTCTCCCTTCTTTTTTGATCTACCACCTAGACATCTCGGTTCTTATCATCGAGACAAACAATTCATACTTCCTGCTGAGTGACGACGCAGTATCGAGGCTCAAAGCGTATATCGAAAGTTAGGGTCCGAATCACTGTGTGCTACAATATTCGCGCCATCTTCCGGTCTTCCATGCTGAAGATCGCGGGCCCGGTTTTCGCGGAGGAGGAGGTAGGCCATCAACAGAGCACCAAAGCATGCCACGAAGCATAACGAGCAAGACACCATGCTGCCCATAAAAAATTGCGGAGAATTCTTGCTGGGGTACAAGTAAGACCCTGCAATTCCTACCCCATGGGTGATAGCAATGACAATTCCGATTCCCACGCCACTCTTCGTGTCACTAGCGAATGTGCTTGGAATCCAGGCCAAAATAATAGGGAATGTCATGTATGTTCCCTGTTCTGTGTGTTAGCAATGGTGATCCGAGCTTAATGGTGGCTCAACTCCAGTCATGGTCAGACTTACCACAACTATCAAAAATGTGCTCGCATAACGGGTATAATGATCATGCAGCAACCCCAGCAGAAGGTACCCCACCCCCGAGATACATCCTCCTGCAAATATCGGGAGACTGCGGTTTTACGTAAAGTCAGAAATCCAGGCGCTAATGATGAGACAGATATAGGCCGTCACATAAACTGGAACAGTCATAAGATTGGCTTTTGCGCCCGAGTATCCGAGCACCCTGACGATGGTGGGCAGAAAGACCGAAATCACAGCCAAAGATAGAAGAGAAAGGCCCGCGTGGATGAAGGTGAAAAGGTATAGGCGATAATCAAGCAAACCACTACCCATACATCGCTGCTAGTTACAATTCTGGACATGGCTGGTCCGACGTACACTAACTAGTCGATGAATATCCGTGGATAATAGAGTCCACAAGGCACGGCCCTTATTTAGCTGCATGTTCGAGGTGCGGATTCCAACCTCTTTTTTACGGATATGTGCAACGAATTCCCACGTTGAGTCTCTGAGGATAATCCCAACGTAGCACACTTCCTGTCCCTACTTGATATAATGCGTAATGTTCAAATCCCGAGTGAGGGTTTTCAAAATGTTTTATATAAATTTGCGCTAATTCTGGACGAGGGGTCAGAGCACGGCATTTCTATGTTGATTTTTAGTATCGTCAGCTTGGATGACACGAGGCTTTTTTCTGCCCCGAACTGAAACCCAACTCTACGTAACAGAGAGCAAGAACGAAATGGTGCTGAAAGTAGACTGAGAGCAAGTCTTGAAATTCAGAACCATCGAAGGATGGTCTGCTCGGTCTCGGGTCTTTTAGGTCAGTCATAAGTACATTTAACCTTCATCCGCCAACAGTAATGTAAATTGTTCATACACGCCCTGTCGAGGCGGTTATTCCACCATCAACCACAATCTTTTGGCCCGTGATGTATGACGCCTCATCCGAAGCCAAGAACAAAGCTGCCTTTGCCACGTCCCAAGCATCTCCCATTCTTCCCATTGGGACTTGACCGTCACGCTTCTTCATGTAAGCTTCTTCATCTCCACCGGGAGAATATCTCTGAGCCAGCGCTCGGGTGTAGGGCGTATATATCAGCCCGGGGACCACAGTGTTGAGTCGAATTCTTTTGTCCGCATATATGATGGCTGTCGCTTTGGTGAATTGCATAATAGCTGCTTTAGTGGCCGAGTATGCAACTTGTGGTTTGCCGATGTATCGTAAACCTGCAATGCTAGCAATATTCACTACCACGCCGCCAGTGTCCTGCTTTTCCATGACAGGTAAGACATGATGGCAAGTGAGATAGAGACTGTTCAAGTTGATATCGACCTGGGCATTCCAGATCTCTTCTGACATGGAAGCAGGGCATCCGGGTTCGGAGCGACCCACATTGTTCACCAGAATGTCTATGCGGCCGTACTTCTGAACACATTGTTCGACCAGAGACTTGACAGACTTCGAGCTGGTGACATCCGTTTCTACCACATCACAAACACCGCCTTCTTCCTCGATGCGATTTTTGGTACGATTGGCGGATGAAAGTGATCGATTTCCGCCAAAAATGAAAGCCCCCTGGCGAGCGAACTGCACAGCAATGGCCGCACCAATTCCCCAGCCCTCGTCAGTCGTCTGTCCGAGGCCGGTGATCAAGACAATTTTTCCCTTGAGGCTCAACATGGTGGTGTTTGTTTGGTTTGAATGATCATCTTTCCAATAACCACGAAGGCGGCCTTTAAGTACCGTCCGTAAAGAACCTGGAGACGGATGACATCCGCGCGTGCGGATAACCCTCCGTCTATTGGGAAGCGACCCTTAAAAACAGCCCGGACACCACATGCAATGCTTCTAATTCTGTCGGATACATTGAAACATTTCCATCGAACATGATGACAGATGAGCGACCCGTCAATCAGGATTATTACCTGGAGCAGCCGATCGTTTCAGCTACAGGGATGCGGCAGGGGCTGACATCGTACGGAGATGCCCACTTCTCACTTTTTCTGCGGAAGGTTTTCATAAAGGCTCTAGGCTATTCAGAAGATGCATTGTCGCGTCCAATTATCGGAATCATCAATACAGGCTCTGGCTTCAATCCTTGCCATGGCAATGCACACCAACTCATGGATGCAGCTAAACGGGGGATTCATCTACAAGGTGGCATAGCCATTGATTTCCCCACGATCAGCTTGCATGAAGGCTTCTCGCATCCCACCAGTATGTTCCTTCGTAATTTGATGAGTATGGATACGGAGGAGATGATCCGGGCACAGCCAGTTGATGCCTGTATCATGATCGGCGGTATGTACAAATCGACCCTCCTGCTCAATTGACCGCTGATTGGTGAATTCCAGGCTGTGATAAGACGGTCCCAGCACAGATCATGGGAGGCATATCTGCCAATAAACCAATTCTTCCTCTTTTGACAGGTCCCATGATGCCTGGAAGTCATAGAGGTAAGCGTATTGGCGCTTGTACGGATTGCCGAAATAACTGGGCATCCTACCGAGCCGGTTCAATCGATATGGAGGAGATCATGGAGATGAACGAAGAGCTAGCACCGACAGTAAGTATAGTTTTCTCGATCGGGAGATAGGAGACTTGCTAATATTGAGGCAGATTGGCACGTGTGGTGTAATGGGTACCGCGAGCACAATGGCTTGTATCACAGCAGCCCTGGGGTTGATGCCCTTACAAGGAGCTTCTGCGCCTGCTGTTTCCGCTGCTAGGCTACGTATAGCGGAGCAGACGGGTCAGATGGCCGTTGCCGCTGCCCAACACCAAAAATGCCCGCAAAGGGTTCTCTCGGTCGAGTCATTCTACAATGCGGCAATTGTCTTGCAGGCTATTGGGGGCTCGACGAATGCTATGGTCCATCTCATGGCTATTGTGAATCGCCATCCAGATATCAAGGGAACAATTACCCTTAAAACTTTGGACCAGATCGGCCGTACAACCCCTTTACTGGTTGATCTCAAGCCTAGCGGCGACAACTATATGACCGATTTCCACAATGCAGGCGGAATGCTCTGTCTTCTTCACAGGTTGAAGCCTCTCCTATATCTTTCAGCAAAGACCATGAGTGGGGAGACACTCGGTGAGGTCCTAGAAAAAGTCCATTCCGGGACTTTGAATATTCACGCACTATTATCCGTACACTGGACAACCCTCTATATGCATCTTCCGCTCTTATTGTGGTCCGAGGGAACATTGCTCCTGACGGCGCCGTTATCAAAGCCGCTGCATCGAAAGACAAGCGGCTCCTATATCACAAAGGACCTGCAGTTGTCTTTGAGAACCCTCGCGACCTTGCGTTGCGACTCGATGATCCGAATCTTGATGTGTCGGAAGAGTCAGTTCTTGTACTGAAAGGCATTGGTCCCATCGGTAACCCGGGAATGCCTGAAGCGGGGATGATCCCCATTCCTCGAAAGCTAGCGGTACGGGGAGTTACGGATATGCTTCGTATTTCGGATGGGCGAATGTCAGGAACTGCAGGTGGTACCATTGTTTTACACGTCTCACCCGAATCTGCAATTCCTGATTCACCCTTCGGAGTCATTCAGACAGGTGATATCATTGAGTTTAATGCAGAAAGGAGAATTCTGAGACTCGATGTTGACTCGGCCGAGCTTTTGGCCAGGCTCGCACAACGCAAGCTGCAGATCGAAGGAGACGGAGGTTCAACATGGAAAGATCGCGAGACCAGACGAGGATACCGTGGTCTCTATGAGAGGACGGTGAATCAGGCTCATGAGGGGGCTGATTTTGCTTTTTTGACAGCAACGGGCTCCTAGGAGACCTAAGTGTAGACAATGTTATGGTATATGTGAACGCAACGCCTCATGTAGAGAATTTTCAGTGACTAGGGAAAACACAAGAATAGAAGATTCGTTCCAGATTATAATCCCAGAAATTCGCAACCGAATAAGACTCAATCCGTTTAAACATACAGGCCTGTATAATTCACTTTCACCGGGTCTTTTCTATTCTGTCTATAATAAGAGCTATACATTGCATCGGTGATAGAAGGATGGTGGACTCTCATACCCCAAATCACTGCCTAACGTACTTGGTATGCGAGCCCTGCACGACGTTCACGGTTTCTTCCCCGACTTTTTTACCGATGGTAATTGTAGTGAACGCCAACGTTTTCCCAATCTTCAAAATCTTCCCTTCAATCTCGAGTATATCTCCAATTTGGGCGGTCGAGATATAAGAAACAGATAGATCCGTGCTAACACCAGTAGCATTGAGGCCGGTCGATGCAATTGCCATGCCCGCAGCCCAGTCTACCACACATGCTGACAATGTGCCATGTAGGGTGCCTTTGGAGTTGACATGAAGCTGGCGTAAAGGTAGTGTGGCGCGAATCAGGCCATTTTCGGCATGGTAGATACTGATTTCATCGAGGAGCAGATTATAGATCGGACTATTGCTGCGTTGGCGGGCCCAAACGCTCGCCACATGACTGAGCGTGGCTTCCATGGAAGATGGTGGGTTGAGATACTGAATTGGGTTTTGAGGATTTCAAGTCTTGGAAAGTGAGGTGGGAAGAAATGGCCCCAGAAGGAATAATTTCGACGTTGGTTTGAAACTTCCCTCAACGGCGCAAGCGGGGCACATCCGCGTAACGGATGGGACCCGATCACCAAGTGGCAAGAGTTTGATTGCCAACATCAAAGCGCGCCTATAAGATCCTCGCAATCAGAACAGTCTTTCCATGGCTTGAGGCTAGATCTCGAAAGCCATTCATAGCATGACATATACTTTCGGAGCCTCTCCGCACGACTTGCTGACTGGAGTCTGAGTGGAGCCATGAGCTTCCTCTCTTCCATCTACCCCAGATTTACCTTTACGGCGAGTTGATACTCCGCTTTCCCTAGTTTCTACATCTATATTTAAAATACTAGAGTCAATGGGTTATAAATTCCATGGCATATCCTGAGTTACTGTCTCCTGTCCTTGCTCAATCACCTTCGGTCTACAAATCTAATCATTGCATACTTCGTTGAAGTCATTCATTCGTCATGGCTGGAGGGACCAAGAAACCTGTCAACATCTTCCGACTGAAAAACCTGGGTGAGCCAAGTTCAGTCTTCAATTGGAGACTATGGTCTTCAGTTGTATCATTCGGCTTGATGGGCGCTGCGAGAGGTGTCGACGATGGTTTAATAACAGGAGCTTTCAATTCGAAAAATTTTCAAGAATACATCAATTATGGTTCGTACAGCAAGGTGGAAACAATTTCCGAGTTGAGAATCAAGGGACGAGCTCATCCCGCTTGGACATGAATATAGTTTCTACCGTTGATTCAGCACCCAGCGGGCGTCAACCGCTTGCCCGGGGTAAATCCGCCTCGGATGTATCCCGTCGCGACTTCGATCATCGTCGTCCACGGTAGGTCTGATTCTTCAGCCGCTTGGTTGCCAGATCTATAGGGCCAAGGTTTGAGACCATTTTATATCAACCTCTCTATTATTGAGCTTTTGGCTTGAGATTTCTGCTTCACATAAAACCCACAGAACTTTACAAACCATGGCCAATCAAACGGAGCAAGACACCGTTACCGTTCTAGAGGCCAAGGTGTGGTCAACGATGCCCGCCCAGTTTCGACACAGTGGCAGGACATCTGATCACTCGATCAACCAGAAACTCGGTCGACTCCTCGACTCATTCATCGAGGGCCCAGTGTTCGTACCAGGAATGGCCCGTTTATTCCTTGCAGACATTCCCTATGGACGGATCTTTTCGATTGACACGAATACCCGCGAATGGTCCCTGGTAATCGAATATGACGGCGAACCAACGGGGCTTGCCTGGCATCCGTCAAATCAAAAGATAGTCATCGCCGATTTCAAGCAAGGCATTTTGGAACTGGACGTCCATAGTGGCGAATTAAAACCCCTGGCGGCGAGATACCACGGTGAGCGATTCAAGGGACCAAATGACTTGGTTATAGCGGCAGATGGTAGCATCTTCTTCACCGACCAAGGCATGACAGGTCTTCATGACCCCACGGGACATGTGTATCGATTGAGTCTAGAAGGCCATCTGGACTTGATTATATCGAATGGTCCATCACCAAACGGTCTGGTCTTTAATCTCAATGAAACCGCGCTGTTCGTCGCAATGACCAGAGATAACTCTATTTGGCATGTACCCTTCCATCCCGACGGCTCTGTTCAACGTGTCGGGCGATTTGCGAGCTACTACGGTATCGGGGGACCTGATGGGCTGGCACTAGATTCTGAGGGGAATCTGTTCGTGGCGCATTCGACTCTTGGCAAGATCTTTTAGCACCGGCCCAATGGAGAACTATGGGCTAAGATCAATAGTCCGAAAGGAATGTCAACAACGAATTTGACTTGGGAGGGTCCGGCGTCTAGAGTTTTATACATCGTTGAGATGAAACTGCGAGTATTCTGAAAGTGAATTGGCATTGTGATGGCCGGATATCAGGAGGAAAGAATTAGAATCGCCCGTAGGCTTCAGTGTTGCAAAAAATGTCAATAATAAGATGCTCCATCATAGGTTATTGGCTCTGGGAATGTAAGCGTTAACGGCTGACATAGTGGCCTTTGTGCAGACAGAGAGCGTCCACCGAGTGGCCCGTATTGGCTCCAGTGTATCCGATCATTTGACGGGGCTCCATTTCCAGCGGTGTGCGTGGAGTGTCTCACGTGTTGATTTCTCAGGACGCCCAGGAAACCACCATCTTTCCTGTGCGAGAGTCCACGTATCCCGTGCAATCGGTTCAGGCAGCCATCAGCCAATCGGCTTCCTGTGATGGCCCATTTGTTGAGGCCCAACGCTTAGCTAATCCTCCAAAAAACAGGTGATCGGCGCTGATTGGCTCTCCCCAAATAAACACCCCCGCCCCGCCTTGAATCCCCCCTCTTCCCTCGTCCCTCAACCAAGTACAAGTATACGATCTGCTCCTTTGTTCGACTTATCCCTCTTCACCTGTTCTTCTACATCTCCTATATATTATCAGCACAAAGTCATGAAGAAGCGCTCTTCCACCCAGAACCCAGCCGACATGGATCGCAGCGTCTACATCCCGCTCTGCATTTGCTTGATCTCTTTCGCGGTGATCGCATACAACCACTAGTTATCTGGTCGAGTTTGTTTGGAACGCCACAGCCAAACACCAACCACGACCAGACCATTATACGGAAACACGCAGCACTTCATGTCTCAACTACAAGCCGGGTATCACCTACAAGTCCTCTCGCAGATGCGCCTTCGGTCTTCGCAGGCCTCCAAGATGCTACTCAACAGCACGAATCCGGCAAGCACGCTTGAGGCCCAGTCGCAATATGGGCTTGTTAGCGAACTGGCATGCGACGCACCAGTCGCCGCAGACGCGCGAGGATTGCCAAACATTCCTATGTCTACATCTTAGTCCTCGCGCTTCGCTCTCCCCATCGACCCTAACGTCGAGGGAATCCGCTTCTACCAAGCCAGGCAGGAAAGGAAATATCTCTGATTTCCTTGTCGTCCATGGCAGGATATCAGATATGATAAGGGGGGCTATTGTTCCAAGCCTACGCACTCATGCAATCTGAAGCTCCCTTCTCAACCCCCTCCAGACTCGAACCTCGCACATCATCAACTCGATCTCAACCATCAAGTTGAATGGTTTGTCGGAACCTACTACTCCTCAGCTATCTTGTCGATCACGGCATATGGCATACTACCTCTTACTCTGCTATGAACACTCTTTCAGACCTAAATCGAGATACCATGAGACCGTTTCTCGTGTGTTCTCGAAACGACTGCACAACCACATTCTTTCTTATTTCCTTCAGTCTCAACGATTTTTAGCTCAATGAAGCTTTCCCCGCATTTGATGCGATTTGAACCATCTATGCTTCTTCTCATATCAGGATTGTGTATTTTGCTGCCTATCATTCGATCCAATAATAATCTCATACTCTCTTAACTGTTCCTCCAAATCAAATATCCTTGTGGTGGACGATGATGATTAATCAACCTCATGCGCCTTGCCTCAGTAAAAGGAGCCAGGTAAGGCTAAGACCTAGAGCAATCTTAGAGATGAGAATTCAATTTCTTATTCAACGTGATCCCATCTTCATCATTACATGGGTGATCTCGAAGATCAAGGTGCTGAGCCTGTATGACGAGGTTAGGTATGCAACCGTCAAATCATATGCAGGAAGCGACGTTGCTGCATTGGGTATACGACTCGTCATAGAGGTCTAGGAAAATGAAATGCATACCACTACTAGTGTATACATACTACGACTCGATCTAACTTACTGCTCTCCTCATTATCAATCAAATGCCGTGATCGAACTCGATTTGTCATCACGTGGTCTCCGCGCTCCGGTCAGACCAGACCAGACCAGGCTCTGAGAGTTCCCCGGCGGCGCGTATCAATCGCCGATATCGTACTCGTCACTGCCGTCTTTTTGTCAGCTCTTTTTTCCCTACCCTGCTTTTCCTGTACATACCCCGCCATCTTTTCCGGCCCTTTCCCCCTCCTTCCTCCTATCCATGCTCTCCCGCTCCCTTCGCATCCCCTCATCCAGGATCAGCCTTCGCAGTTCTGTCCTGACCCGGTCCCCCGTCACTAAACACATTCACTCTGGTCCGCGGCCGACCGTGACCCAAACTCTGGCGACCATCAACCGCTCCTCTGCGACGACACCGAATAATCCCGGCTCCCGGCTGTCTTCAATCTCTCGGCACTTCTCTTCATCGTCTCCTGCTTCCGAAAGCAAGGAATCCTCCACAATGGCCCCTGTCGAGGTTCAACAGTATGACTACATTGTCCTGGGTGGTGGTAGCGGTGGTAGCGGAAGCGCCCGTCGCGCCGCGGGTTGGTACAAGGCAAAGACCTTGATTGTCGAGAGTGGCCGGTCTGGCGGCACCTGCGTGAACGTTGGGTATGTAGTAGTTCACATATCGTCCTGCTGTTTTCGTTAGACAGGAGCCCCCTTTCAAAGGCTAACCGAAGCATTCAGCTGTGTCCCCAAGAAGATGACCTGGAACTTTGCGACTGTGAACGAGACTCTGGAGACCGCCAAGCACTACGGCTATGAAATCCCCGAGGGCGTCAAGATCGACTTTAAGCATTTCAAGGACACCCGCGATGCCGTGATCAAAAACCTCAATGGTGCCTACGAGCGCAACTGGAACCGGGAAGGCATTGACCTCGTTCACGGCCGCGCTCGCTTCGTGGAGCCTCGAGTCATTGAGGTCGCCCTCCCCGATGGCACCACTACCCGCTACACCGCGCCTCATATCCTGATTGCGACCGGTGGTCGGCCGAGCCTCCCCACCGTGCCCGGTGCCGAGCACGGTATCACCAGTGACGGCTTCTTCGAGATTGAGGAGTTGCCCCCGAAGGTTGCCGTCGTGGGTGCTGGCTACATTGCCGTCGAGCTGGCCGGTGTCATGAACGCTACCAATGTCGAGACGCACATGTTCATCCGTGGCGAGCACTTCCTGCGCAAGTTCGATCCCATGATCCAGAAGACCATGACCGATCGGTACGAGGCTGCTGGTGTGAAGCTGCACCGCAAGTACCAAGGTTTCAAGGAGATCAAGCTCATCCGTGACGGCAAGGGCAAGGACAAGCTGATCAAGCTGATCTGCAATGACGGCTCCGAGCTGGAGGTCAACGAGGTTCTCTGGGCCGTTGGCCGCACTCCGGAGGTCGAGGACCTGCAACTGGACATTCCTGGAGTTAAGCTGAACCCTAGCGGCCATATCATTGTGGATGAGTACCAGAACACCTCGGTTCCTGGTATCTACGCCCTTGGTGACGTGACCGGCCAGGCTGAGCTGACCCCAGGTACGTACACCCCCTAACATTTGGAAGAACAACAAGCTAACTTATGCTCTAGTTGCTATTGCAGCAGGTCGCCAACTCGGCAACCGCGTCTTTGGTCCTCCTGAGCTGAAGACCTCCAAGCTCTCCTACGAGAACATCCCAACCGTCGTCTTCTCCCACCCCGAGGTTGGCTCGATCGGTCTCACCGAGCCTGAAGCCCGCCACCGCTACGGCGACGACAAGATCAAGGTCTATCACACCAAGTTCACTGCCATGTACTATAGCGTTATGCCAGCCGAGGAGAAGGCTAAGAACCCGACCGAGATGAAGATCATCTGCGCCGGTCCCCACGAGAAGGTGGTTGGTCTGCACATCCTTGGTCTTGGTGTTGGTGAGATGCTGCAGGGCTTCGGTGTCGCCGTGAAGATGGGCGCTACCAAACAGGACTTTGATAGCTGCGTGGCGATTCACCCGACTAGCGCCGAGGAGCTGGTTACTCTGCGGTAAATTTTCATAGATAAGAATAAAGTCAATCTCGCAATGCGATAAAATAAATTCTGTCAATTCTGAATATCGTCTGAAGATATCGTTCATAATGACTGTCAGTCCCTGGTTTCCACTCAATCTGACCAATTGAGGCCTACGATAGAGTTCGATGAATGATCAGACATGTGAAACCGAGGATTTGAGGTGTTTGCGAGGGGTAATTATGGAATGCTAGCGTAGCTCGTTAATCGATATGCGCAATTGAGTAGTCAAAATTGATACTATGCTATGTATAGTTATTGTTTATTGAATGAGTTACTTCATCATGCAGCTTTGCAGTTCATTCTAACCCAGTCCGAAAATCCGTTCTATCTATGCAGAACCCATGCAACAGTGGCAGTACCCGCTGCAAGAATCACCACCCAACGAGTAAGACCCCGTCGAATATGCATTTTAGAAATCTCATCAACGGCATCAGCATCATTAATATGTGGGAATGGTCGATCTTTGGGGATTTCCCTTCCAAGAGCCTCACACAAAGCCGGCCAACCCTCCGTCACTTCAAAAAACACCAACCGATCCTCAGGAACCACCTCCTTCAGCCAGGCGATATGTCGATCATAAGTGTGACGCGTAGGAATAGCCTCGCCGTACAACTTCTCCCACTGCGCCGCCAAAAGATGCAAATAAGGAATAAAATACATCAGCCCGGGCAACGGCAAAAGCACTAAATGGAGGTACCAAGGAACAGTCGCATTCCTAACCTGCTCCATGCTCTTCTCCCACGCAACAGGGTCTCGGATCGTACATATCACCTTCGCATCCGGGTACAGTTCCATCAACTCGGGGACAAACTGGGCTCCGGGGGAATCAGTCACAGCTGCATACCCGTCCAACTGGCGTTTCAAGACGCGGAGCATAATCTCTCGATCGGACTCGCTGCCAGCCAGCCAGCAGCGTAGAATCTCCATCCATTGCTTGATTTGGAGCGTCGGGCCTAGCGTGGCTTGCGTACCGCAATGGAAGACGGGTCCATCGCAGAGAATTTCCAACGCACTGCTGAATGATGCGGTGCCGGTGCGTGGGAGCCCTGCGCCGATGACTTGGAATTTTGTGCCCGGTCGTGGGACGGAGGGCTTTTGGCCCATTGTTGATGTTGATATGGGCGATGGGCGGGTGTTAGGTACCAGGATTTTGGTTCCAAGGCGGTTGTGGCGGTCGACGGCAGTGCAGTTTGATGGTCACGTTCCCCACCGCCCGATTGGGTGATTGGGTTTCTTTTGGTGAGCAACAAAAAGAAGGACAAGGTAGACACTCGATTTGATTCAGCGAAATCACTTTTTGTCTCTGTTTCACGGGGTGTTTGATGGTGATGGGAATGGGGTTGGGGGCCTGGTCTGAGTGGGAAAGCGGTGAGGTCATGGGTCGGGAAGGAACCTTGGGAAGCCACACTTGAAGACTAAGGCTAACCTTGGAGCAGTCGAGAGAGAGTTTGTTTCTTATTTTAGTCATTTTTGGGTTTTGGGCGATCCTTGGCTTCCATGAACGCTGGGGTTGATCATGTAGATCCTCGTTCTGCAATTGACCCTCGACCATTCACAATATATTGCACCCTATGATGCAGAGTTCTAAGCATTCTTGGCCTGGCAGATTCGTCAATCTACACTCTTGGAACATGGTAAAAGTAGTTCATTTTGAGACTGTTTCATCCAGTGCAATAGGTTATTCATAGAGGCTCCGTGCTGAGATACATGGACAAGGAAACAAAAGGTGTAATGAGCAATCTCATCCTGGTGGTCATTTATTCGTCCGGGTCGGACTGCCGTCCAGGGGCTTCTGAGCCCATACGCGCCGTCTGCAGATCCAAATTAGCCAAATCAGGTCAAAAGATCAAGATAGAAATCACTACTTACCCCCGGTGCCATACGTGGAAACGCGGGTTCATCAACTCATTCCGCAACCGAGCACAATAAACCTGGACCTCCTCCTGGCTCCAGGGATGGGGCGCACCAAATTTGGTGAGCAGCCACATGCCCCAGCCTTCCAGACCAGAACTCCAGTGCTGATGATTGACCATGCCCGCCTCTTTGAGTTCCTTGTCGCGGGGCCATGGTCCAATAGGCCATTTGTAGAGCTTCTCATGGACATTGGTGAATCCTGCACTCTGGATCCGTTTGGTCATCTGGTCGAAGGTGTTGACGCTTCGACCGGCCCGTTCGCCACAGGCCAGGACATTCGGGCCCCAGTCGTTCAAGATGTTATCGGGCGGCAAGCTGCCGTCATCAGTTTGGATCACCGGGCTAACCTCTAGTTGCTCGATCCATCCACCCGGCTTCAAGTTGCTGTGTCCCACCCATTAGCTATTCCATTCAGTACCGGGTGGACTGCATGTCCGGTTTTTCCTCCAACTTACTCATAACACTGCTTATAGACACGATCCCATTCTCCCTCTGCGAACGATCCGAGCATGATGCGCATGTGGATGAGGTCAAACTTTTCATGCCACGTCCAATCCTGCTGGATGTCGTCGACTTCAAGCACGCAATTGGGGGGCACCCAAGAGACTGGTGGAGGAAATAAGTCGACTCCACGGACGGTGGCTAATATGCATTAGATGAATAGAAGATTTGAGGATTGCGTGAGCCAGAAGAAATTTACCGTTTGGAAACATGTCGGCAACATCACTAGAGGCGGGTCAGTGCAACTGGAATTCGCTGTCATCGGCGGGCTTGACACCTACATCGCCCAGGTTCCTTTTCCGGTACCGATGTCCAGAATGTGCTCCGGTGATGAAACAGGGGACCGGAAGAATGGGTTACCATGACTGGACTCTAGAATGAGAGCAACAAGATGTCTAAGAGGAATTGAGTTGATTGCTCCGCATCCCGTGGGGAGACGGTTCAGTACGTACCCAGCTTCATATGCTTCGAATTGCGCGTCATCCGCCGGGATGCTGCGAGATACTATTAGAGAAGATTCGAAATGATGTTTCAAACTTGCTGGCATACAGGTACTCCTCGTTTCGAAGTGCTTGGTAGCTGGAAGACAGGAATCAGACATGCTTAGTCAGTGATCTTGGCTTGGATTTCATGAGCATCTTACCGTCTGCCATTCTCGATCAATCCTCGATAAATAGACGATCCGATGGAGGTGGTTTCCCTGCAAGACGGAGGAGGGGGTGAGATTTCATTCCAAAAAATTGCACCTCTCGGCCGGACTAGAATTTGCCGTCGCTACTTGGGCCACTTACGATTGCCAGTCGTCAGGCCAGTAGGTACTTTCGAGGGCGTACGTGTCCGGATCCTGAGGGATTAATTAGTGCCAGATACAGTGAGCTTGATTGGCGAGAACAATAAAAATGAAAAAAAAAAGCCTACCACCGCAATAGCCTCGGGTTCCGCCATGGCGAAGGAGGGGAGGAGGGGGGTAGGTGTGGAAAGACACTGAGCTGAGCTTCAGATCTTTGAGTGTTGAAGATTGACACTACTCTCCAACGTCAACACGGCAAGCTTTGCTTTAATGGGCTGGAGAATCGACGACGGACCGCAAATCCAGACGTCTTTCAAGTGTCAAAAGTACAGACACGGCCCAAACGCTAGGGCGTAAACTCAAAGCAGGATCGGAGGCACGAACCCTTTATGTACTTGGCCGTGTACTTTGGCCCGTTGGTGGACTGGGTCTCGTGTAGCCAAGGGGTCCACTAGGCACAGGCAGGAAGGAATCCCAGTGGCGGGTCACAAACGAAACGATGACTTAATGCACGTCGATGCGAACGGAGAATAATAAACAATAGGAGGACTAAATGAGGTAGATGATATTAAGGTCGAGTCCGGGGGGGGGGGCGACGACGAGAGGGGGTGGTTGAAAAGGGTGGGCGGACACCTGCAGCACGGAGGTAATCAGCAGAGAAGAGCGAACGGGGGAGCTTGAGAGAGGGAGCGGAGAGTGGATCTGCGCGTGGGAACAGTCCAAAGTACGGACTGTACGTATTAATGCAGGGTAATTTATGAAATTGATGGAGTCGATGGAGTACGGAGTACGGCGTAAATATACTGCTATTTACTGCTATTAGTATATATACTTCACAGTGCGGTATCAATGCAAGGACTGTACCCTGGAAAGATCTCGGTACGGTGTAATCTTTTCGGATGGTCATTGGATCCTCGACGGCGTTGACCTCGACCATCAGCCGGTCCAGACTGGCTGGATCCAGCGACTAACTCCATCGAGTCCAGACAAGTGCTGGGAACAGACTAACACACCACATCTATCCCACTCGAGTTAGTCTCGTGCTCCCCTCCCCCTCCCTCGTTCACTGATCAGCACCAATCATCATCCACCAAACGGGCCGGGGAGAGCGGGAAGAACTCTGGGCCGGCCCTAACGCAGGCGGGCGTGTAGCTCGCCCATCCAGCGATTGCCTCCAAATCCCCCCGATCCACTCAGACGGATCTGACGTGACGAAGGTGCAACAATGGAAGATCAAAACACCTCTGCATGAGGATAATGATTCTTGATTTCGATGTCGATTTCCCATTGTTCACACCCAATCAGGCCTGCAACCCAATGCCTCGGGCCATCGTTACAAATACACTTCGCTTCTGTTGCTCAACCGAACTACACTCGACGAATAAGACTTGGTTCCTGGACCGAATAGTGTCTAAAAAGGAATAATAATAATATTCGCATTTGACTCTCAAGAAACGTGTGTCAGTGGAGAAGAGCACTAGCGCATGGATCGCGGAGCTGACAACCAAATAATAAGACGAACTGTCCTATTTCCCATGCCCACCCCCCCCCCCCCCCCTGCTGCACTGCTTCGGCATTTCGAAATCATTTTCCTTTTCCCTTTGGGCCTTGGAGGCTTCTCCTATCAGCCATGGCCTGGTCGCATGTATCTGTCACACAGCTCGTGCTGTCTCTCGGAATCGCAGGAGTCATCTATGTAATCGGTCTCGCGATCCAACGACTATGGCTCTCCCCGATTGCCCATATCCCGGGCCCCAAAATCGCGGCCCTAACCATGTGGTATGAATTCTACTACGACTCATACCTCGAAGGTGAATACACCTTTAAAATCGCCGAAATGCACCGCAAATATGGTCCCATCGTCCGAATCAGTCCCTACGAGCTTCACATCAACGATCCCGAATACTACGACGTGCTGTACTCCCGCGAAGCACCCCGGAACAAGTCCCTCCATTTGACCGGCATGTTTGGAGCCCCCGCATCAGCCTTCGGCACGGTCGACTATCGTCGCCATCGGATACGACGCCAACCGATGAACCCGTTCTTTTCTCAGCAGCGCATCCGTCAACTCGAGCCCATGCTGCGCGGCATGGTGGACAAGTTATGCGATGGAATGCGCGCATGGATCGATAGACGCGCCCCACTCCATATGTACCATGCGTTCAATGCATTCACCACGGATGTAGTCGTCGAATACACCATGGGCAACTCATTCCACTACCTCGACGATCCCGATTTCACCCCCCAGTGGTCAAAGACAATCCAGGCTATCGTGCGTGCGGGCATGCAATTCAAACAGTTCCAGTGGTTCATGGGTCTTTTTGAGGTTCTCCCGCGCTGGCTCGTCCTGAGCATCAACCCGGATATCGGCCCTGTTCTCGACCAAAAGGCTGAAAGTATCCGTCTGGCCAACTTGGTGATTGACAGTCAGAATGCGGACGAAATATCTGGAAATAAGTCCGGAGTACCCAAGGGTACCTTGTTCCATGCTCTTCTGCAAAGCAACCTTCCGCCTGAAGAGAAGTCGGCCAATCGGTTGAGCCAGGAGGTTTTCACGGTTATCGCGGCTGGTGGAGAGACGACGGCGAAGAATTTGACTACGGTTACTTTCCATCTCTTGAGTAACCCAGACATGCTTAAGAAACTGCGGGAGGAATTGAACCGGTTGGATCCTGATGGGACGGCTACTTTGACGGATTATGAGGCAATGCCTTACCTGGTGAGTTGGTTCCCTCTTTGACTGAATTTATGCAAGTAACTATAGAACGCTAATCATATAATTCTAGTCCTCCATAATGCTGGAAGGTCTTCGAGTCTCCTTCGGCGTTGCAACCCGACTTCAACGCAGCTCGCCTGATCAACCTATGATGTATAAAGACTGGGTCATTCCTCCCGGGGTAAGTTAACCTTACATATATTCACCCATAGCCCGTTGATATCAATCCACCTAACCCCAATCCCAGGTGCCGGTCGGCATGACAAGCCTATTACTCCATAACAACCCCGACATCTTCCCCAACCCAGACAAATTCGACCCAGAAAGATGGATGGATCTAACAGAAAGACACCGCTTGGAAAAGTACCTGGTGGCCTTTAGCAAAGGGTCTCGACAGTGCATCGGTATTCCGTACGTTATCCCATTCCCTCCCCTTTCATCATCTCCATGCTAGAGAAATACAGTCGGGCAGTGCACTAATTTCACATCCACCCACAGCCTCGCCAAAGCCGAGATCCTCCTAGTCATCGCCACTATTTTCCGAGAATTCGAAATGGAGCTATACAAGACTACCTTTGAGGATGTCCGTGTCGTGCGTGACATGTTCAATGGTCATCCCAGGAAAGGAAGTCAGGGTGTTCGCGCTTTGATTACGGGGTGGAATGGAAGGCCGGGCTCGGCGAGTTCTTGACATGTCTTTTTTCGAGAGTGATAATTATTTAATCGATAATTGGATTTGCGGGGGCGTGCCTGGTGCCGTTTCTTGATGTGATTGGAATCGTTTTATGACTGTTAACGAAGGCGTGGTACTGGTTGATACCCATCCATCTGGTCAGCATACTGCCAGGCCCTGGATACACGGGGTTGTTGCACAAACGAAGGGCGAGGTATGGTCGAGCAGTTACTCAGGAGGAGGAGGGTCCTTGATGAGTATTTAATTTCTTGACTCCTTCGAGCCTCTCTATGATTTACTTGAATGCAGCTCTACGTGGATTCAATAGTCTCTTATGATTACAGAGGAGTTAAAGATTCGACTAAGTTACAGATCATAAAGAAACACCGTCAAAATGGGTTCAAATGTAATATGGCATCAAATGAGCTGGCGCTAAAACAAACCGCACTGCACGAGCATGTCGTCATGCTCGGCACGATCAAAGTAATGTATCTCATGCAGCGTAGACCCCAGCCAACAAAATGACAATCCCGCAATTCCCACAAATCGAACTTTCGAAATGATAGCGGGCCAGGACGGGAGTACGCTCAAATACAGTGGAAATGAACAAAATGGATAGCCAGCCAACACACACGGTTTTGTGGCATGAAGAATGAATCAAAAATTGATGAATCGGCAGGCTAGATGTGCAGTTGGGCTCACAACAGATCGAGTTGCTACATGTATCAACAGACAGTCATTGTATGTCATTGGAGACGGCGCCTGCGCCGTGGGATCATCGGGGTGGGGTGAATGAGATAGATTTGAGCGAATTGAAAAAATGAGAAGGATTGCACAGTCTCAACAAGGCGGGGTGGCAGGTTGTTCAGTCTGCCTGCGGCGGAATGGGCGGCTCTCCGTCGTAAATGGGACTAGTGGCGACTTTGTCAAGAGCCACAGCGTGCAGGGCTGGTTTCTTGGCGTCGTGCAAGAGGCCGGCTTTGCGGCGTTCGAGCTGCTTCTGGACCCATTCCGCAACTTCCCTGTCTTCTGTCAAGAAGGAGGGGGTTTCGCGATGTGCAGGGGCTTCGGAGGTTTGGGAGGCGGACTCGGCGTCAGCCTCCGTTGGCGGGCGCATCAGAGGTGCCAGCCAAGGGTGGCGGAGGAGCATGTTGTAGGTAGGTCGGTTCTTGGGGTTCTTGTCAAGACAAGCGTGGACGAATGCATGTGCTTCTTCAGAAAATCCCTCGTCGGGGAGAGTGGGGGGTTCGCCGTGGACAATTGCCTGGTGGGAAGATGTTAGCTCACGGACCCATCAGAACAGAGTCCATCAAATAGATACTTACATGAAGCTGACTGAATATGTTGGTGAAGGTCTCCGGTGGATAAGGATACCGGCCCATCGCACATTCAATGATCGACAGACCTAAACTCCAAATGTCGCTCTGCACGCTATATGTCCCGGCACTCGGGGCGCCCGACTGCTGCATACCGCCGCCCGCAATTCGTTCAGGAGCCATATAACTCTGGCACCCGATGTTGGTCTTGGCAATACTAGCGACTAGATTGCCACTAACACCGAAATCGCAAATCTTGATCTGCCCTCGGCTGTTGACCAGGATGTTGGTAGGCTTCACATCGCGGTGAATGATATTGTGCTCGTCCTTGAGCGCTTTCAATCCCATGACAGTGGAAAGGGTGATTTTGCGCAGGATGTTCTCAACCACGCCACCCTCGTAGATCTTGTCAATGGACCCACCATCCATATACTCCACGCACATATAGACAGCGCCTTCTTGGAAGAAGGCGCCGTAGAAGTCAATGATGAAGGGCGAGACACAGCGGTGTAGAATGTCCAGCTCCATGATGATTTGTGCAAACTTGGCCTCGTCCAGCTCCAGCCGAATTTCCTTCATGGCCATGATCACACCAGAAAGATTATCGAGAGGTCCAATTGCTGAACTGGTCTCATCCTGCCCAGGCTGGCGACTAACAATCCCACTCAAACCCAAGCCAGGTTTTCGGAGGTGTGGGCGGCTGTGTCGTACTTTGTAGACGGTACCATAGTTGCCCTTGCCCAGCTCATCTAATCGATCGACCTCGTCCAACGAGATCTTAAAACTGTGTCCTGATGAAAACTCGACGCCACCACCATGCAGAATTGCCTTGTTCTTGAAGTTCAATGTCCCGGCTTTCGTGTCGATAAATTCGGAATACTTGCTGAACACAGATACCCCATTCTGCTCTCCCTCCTTCTTCTGCTCCGTCCCGTTCGGTGCGGGCGTTGGCAGCCCGCCGGTCACATCGGATAGCTTAAGACCAGGTTTCATGCGCTTTGCTGCCAAACCTCCCGGGCGCGGAGACGCGGAACTAGACACCGAAGCCGTGATCGCGGGGGATGAGGCCCAATTCTTATTGCTGGGCCGGGCGGCTGGCGGCATACGCCCGGCGAGGGCCCCGCCAGCGCCGGCCTCATGCGCCGTTGGTACTGTGCCTGTAGAAGCAACGTGTGCTAGTGGAGCGCCCTGTCGGGAGAGAGAGAAAGCCTTCATTTTGGCCATGATGTCCTGGTTCAATCCCCCAACGCCTTGGGCACTCATGGACGCCTGCGGACGTGGCGGGGTCCCCGCGCCGCGCCGCGCAGCGTTGATCTGGCCCAAGGGCGTGGAGGACGGTGTGATGCCGGCGGAAGGATCGCGGAATGGCTGGAGCGAGGGGGTCGACGCATTGTGAGCCAGCGCAGCAGGCGAGGTAGGCTCGAGGCTCGGTGAGCTGGAGTCGCCCCGTGGGCTCTCCGCGGGGGGATCGCGATCGGCGTCCATGCTATCTCGCACAGGATCGGGGCCTAGGGGGGACGAGGGAGTCGAACCGACGACAAGGGCCGGTGCAATTGGTGCGAGGAGGCCGTTTTGGACTCGGTGTGCACCGGTCGGCGGCGCTAGTCCAGAGGGGTGGTAGAAGAAGTGTGCAGAAAGAGAAGATGGAGTTGGAGAGTTGAAGGTAAAGGAAATGGGCGTTGCGGGAGAGAGGGGCAGAAACCAGAAGAATGCCAAGAATTTGGGGGACTGGAATTGGGGGAGAGAAAAAAGAGACTGAAGTCAGCGGTCCAAGTTGCCTCCAGCCCAAAAGTCAAGCCACGTTCTCAGCCCATCAAAAAAAGTCAGGTTGAGAGAGAGAGAGAGATAAGGTGTGGGGAGTACCATCCAAGCGGCTTCGCCCCTCTCTCTCCCTCTCTCTCTCTCATGATCCATGACCAACGGCTTCGAACTTGATCCTCGAAACCGGCCTGCAGACAATCCTTCCATCATCAGCCCTGTTTTTCTCCTCCTGCGTCACTGCACGACTCGATCGACGGCCTGTCAACACTCAACAGCATGTGTCCTTGCTCTTCGACGGGATTCACATCTTCAACCGGGCGGGCGGACCAGCCAATCAGCGGGCCCAACCAGGCCAAAAGCAGGTTTGGGTTGACTACTACTGTAGCGGAGTAAGGAATAATATCTCGCTGCCTCGTTGTTGCTTTCCTGCCGTGCTTCGATCATCATCCTATCGCGGGGCCTGTTTCTATCTGACGACGCTCGAATAGCCTCGCCCCGGAACATGCCGAGCTGTTTCCAATCGTGACTTTTAATTTTTGACGGGGGCTCTATCGCCATCGCTTGTTGCGGACATGCGCCGATCCGGCTCACTTTCCCAGAAGGGCCTAACTACTGCACAGTCCTGACCTCGTTCGGCCCAAATGAATTCGTTGGGCCTTTTTGCCTGAACATGGGGGGTGTTGGAGTAACGCCACCTTTCAAATCGATTTTTTGTGAAACACAATACTCAATTTCTCGTCGCTGAGGGTCGGGCGTTGGTATAGTAGTGCTCATCCACATCCAGTCCACAGTCTCCAATCCACTTGCGGCCGGAAAGGCCGAGATGCCCGTCCTGCGAGAGTCGTTGACTCTGGTTGCTCCACTCTGATCGGGGACTCCCGTTGGAGGCTCAGAACGCCCTGGATCGAATCGGACCACCACGAATCATCCCGTGGTATCCGGCACCTTGAGAGACGTGCACAATTCCGTGACTCCGTCCAGATATTCAAGCACAAATTGGCCAATATTTACAGTGTGCGATGACACGCATAATTTAGCTCTACGCTTACGACAGCTCACATGAGAAACCGCAGCACGGACCGAGGAACATTTTTGACATTTCCAGCCCCCCGCGTGGGGGGTCCAACGTGGAGCCTCTCTCTCCCCTTCCCGCGCCTGCCAGGTACAGTCAGTCTCACGTTGACCTCAATTACCCGGTCGCCATGACGTCTGACACGCTGTTGGAGTGCTTCGATGCGGTCGGAGAAACTATTCATCTCTATGAACCTCCTGTTGAAACCTTCCCAGATACTGCTTCGCCGTCCCTGGTGATCCTATGCACCTGGGTCGGCGGCGCGACCCCTCGGCGTATCAACAAGTACCTGGCCCAGTATCAGGAAATATTTCCAACATCTTCTCTCCTCTTGATAACAACAGGTGTGTCCGACACGGCTTTCCGACCACTCAAATGGATACGTGCCAATCTGAAACCCGCCCGCGATGCCATAAGACGGATCGTGGGTCGTGAGAATGTCGAAAACACGGCCAAACCTAATAGTCGCCCGCGCGGCATCCTCCTCCATCTATTTTCCCACGGTGGTGGCAACATTGCTAGTCAACTCGCGCTCTCGATGAAGGCAGGACCCGACCGTGGCGCAATATTCTTCTCTAATCTTCGCACTATCATCTTGGACTGCTGCCCTGGCGACGATACATTCGCTCGAATGTATGCGGCTACTCGGGTATCTGTGCCACAGACCCCCGTTGCACAGTTCCTGGGTAATACTGTTATGTACCCGGCACTGGCCGTAGTCAATGGATTCCAGCATGCTGGATTGGCGCGCGCCGTAAAGGACCTGCGAGACGTCCTGAATGAACCCTCTACTTTTGGTTCGATGCCGAGGCGGTTGTTTATCCATTCCAAAGAGGACATCGTAATAGGATGGGAAGATGTGCAGTTGCATCTTGAAGATGCTCAGAATCGGGGATACTCCGTTGGTCAGGTGCTTTTTGAACGAGGTCCACATTGCGGATTGGTCATGGAAGATCCTAATCGGTATTGGGAGGCTGTGAAGAAGTTTTGGGCCGGTGAGGATGTTTGGGATGTCAATCCCGACCCGAGTCGAGCTACCACCAAGAAACAGGCGAACCTTCGCAGCCGTCTCTGAGAACACCTGACTTTTCTCGGTTTAATCACTAGTCCGGTCTATGATATGGATTTCATGGCAAGGGTCGAAGCCGGAATCAAGGTATAAGTACATAATTGTTTAGCGACGAAGGAGTAAATAAGGTACCACATTCAGCTGGATATCAGAATATAGCTATGAATCACAAGTGTATAGCAAGGCGAATACGGCATGCAGACAGTCAGATGAACTACGACAATAAATCTCTGTGTGAGTTACAAGCAGGACCAAGGCCGGGTTTGAGTATGGGTCACCAACGGCTTGCTATGATTAATTTCTGTAGAATTAACTTTCTCGGACATCTAATGCTTTCTTAGTCTATTGTCTAGTTTTAGAACTCACTGCTCGGTCCAGCAAAGCCTCCAAATCCCAGCAATCCCTCATCCTCATTCTCAACCTCAAAATCAAAGCGCACAAGATCCTCCCGATAAGGAATGAAATACGTATGCGTCACCCTATATCAAATCTCAGCTAAAGTTATTCATGTATCTCCTCGTCAAAGATAACGCACCTTTCATGCTCACTACTTGCTTGATACGCATCCAGCGCCGCCCGATCTTCGTGGTAGCTCACCAGCGCATACTGGAATCCCTTGCTTTTTGACGCGGGATCTGTTATCGAGGGACCTCCGACGACGAGTCGATGGCTTTTGACGCAGGGTAGGTTTTTTAGGGTCTTGAGTTCGGTGATGAATTTGTCTCTGACGCTGGTTTCCGTTTCGGGTCGGAACTTGAATAGAACTGTTTGCTCCAGTCAGTGGGAGCATGATGGTATGGTGATTGGTGTTGAACGTACCGATGTGGACGATAGTCATTTTGTCAACTTTTCTCGGGTTAGGGTAAAGTTTGTCATGATAATGCGAGTAATAACAGGATGCATTGCCTTTTTTAAACTTGCATGAGGAGAGACGGAAGGCATCCGCATCTTGTGGAGCAATCCCGTTTGATGGTGGTCTCGGGGTTGGCGACCAACATGTCTTGTTCAACGCATATCATTCCAATATTCTTGATAGGATCTATTACCAATTTCAATTATCTCTTCCACTATACGATTGTTCCTTTTTATGGCTGGCCTAAATCAAGATCAATGGAAGCCTGGTTTACCCTTGAAACCTTCCATACCCGACCTTACAAAGTCTAGTAGGTTAGTCATCCAGGGAAGGCGGATGAGCGGCTCTCATCCGAGAATTTGCCTTTGTCAATTACTACCGGACTGCTAGTATCTCGCTTGGCATAAGGGAATACCGGAAGAGGTGTACTAGTGTCCTGCTCAATGAACACCCCACGACGGAGTCGAAACCGTGCAGCATGCCGGCGCTGTCAGAGACGCAAGATTCGCTGTAATGGCGAAACTCCGAGTTGTGGGGCTTGCATCAAGGCCAATGTGCCATGTGTAAATGACGGCAAGCAGGAGGTCAATCGCACGTGAGTGGTTATGCCTAGTTTGATGTATTATTCTCCGACTCATCCGCTACTAGGTACATTGCAAGCTTGCAGAGGCGTGTCCAATGGCTCGAGTCTTTAGTCCGCGAGCATGGGACCGATGTCTCCTTGGAAGATGGACCGCCGCTTGACTTTAATGAATACCGAAATGAAGAATCCGTCGACTTTGAAGAGGGCAGTCAGAATGTTTTGACCACGACATCGCCCCGGCAAGAGCAGCCCCTGCCAATTGAACATGCACAACGATCCCCCACACAGTCACGACAGGCACACGAAATTGGCCTAGTGTCACTTTCCTCTGGCGGGGTGGCACGATATATCGGTCCTTCAAGCGGCTACTTTCTCGCCAATCTTGTCTTCTCTAGTGCCGGTCGACGATCAAGACCACAGGGGAATCGCAGTGGAGACGAGCCAATATCGCTGTCCGCAGAGCTATTCAACAGCCCTGCCCCATTACCCTCTCGAAAAGAGGATGCGATAGAGCTCACGTCTAAGTTTTTTTCTACATTTCACCTACTGTATCCATTCCTTCACGAGCCATCTCATATGCAACGCTTGGAAAAAATGTACACGGAAGAGTCAGCAGCAAACCCCAATCCCTTGGGCGCTTTCCATGTCTACATGGTGCTTGCAATAGCTGCTTCGGATCTCTCGCGACGATTCAGGCTTCGGTTACCGGCCGAGGGGTACTACACTGCCGCAACTCAATACTTTGAAAGTGCTTGTGCTGATGGCTCCCTGGAAAGCCTTCAAAGTCAACTTCTTCTCATGGTCTATGCTCTACATAATCCTTCTTGTGGAGTTAACATCTGGAGCTTGCACTATCAATGCTTGGGTGCACTGATTGATCTCGGTCTCCAGCGTGACGTGCGTACCTCATCCTCGTTTCACATCTCATTTCTGGAGCAAGAGATGAGAACGCGGATCTTTTGGGTGGTGTACAGTTTTGACCGAACTTTGGGCACAATGATGGGGCGGCCGATCGGAGTAAGAGATGAAGCCTGTGAGCTTCGGGTGAGTAGACCGTTAACCTGTATATGAAAATCGGACTTTGGAAGTTAACATGTAATAAGCTCCCTTCGGATGTCGCGGATCCGCACCTTGCTGATCGTGTTACTGGCGAGCGTTCTCATGACAATACACCTTCTCACATCACATACTCAATTCATTTGTTCAAGTTGGCAAAGCTGAATTCCGAAATCAAATACGTCATGCATAGCATCTGCCGAGAGCCGCCCAAATACGCCTACCCACCAGTCCCCGATATCAATCAATGGCAAAAGGACATGATCGATCGGCTGAAACTATGGCACACACAAATCCCCCATGCAGCGACCATGGTATCGATTGCCAAAATTTGCGAGACAAAATTTCACGAGATGATGATCTTGGTACTAAGACCAAGTCCTGGAATTCCCGATCCATCGGAAGAATTATTGGGACAATGCTTCCAACATGCGGTTGAACTACTTCGTGGCTTTGGGGAGCTGTACAAGCAGGAATCGCTACTCTATAGCAGACTGATTGTGCATTCACTGTTCCTTAGTACATTGATCATGCTTCACTGCCTTTGGCGGCTGCCCCAGGTGGCATCACAGATTCAAATTGACGACCTTGTCGCTGATACGGGTATCGCGTTGAACATTCTCAGCAGTATTGGGGAATATTGGGCCGAGGCTAGGCGAGCAAGAGATTGCATCCATGAGTTATCGGGCGCTACGATACAGCGCTTGCTACGGGTTCGTGCCCCGGAGGTATCGCCTCGTCTAGCTCGAACTCAGCCCGCCACGGGTGTCTCGAGACATACGAGATCGTACAGTTCCAACGAAGCACCAAGCTCAGCTTTGCCGGATCGGGTAGATTCAGCTATCGATGTTGCCCCTTCAACGGATTCGTTTGCAGACGAGTATGACTTTGGTCTCGATGGTTCAAATTGGTTGAATGATTCAATGCCGGGAGGTTTCATGGATTTTTCTGGTGCGCCTGATTTTGATAGCATCATTCAGCAGTATCTGGATCCAAATGCAGTGATGTGGAACTAATCCCATATCGTCATGAGTTATTTCGAGTTTGGATACGAGGTGCTTTCGCTGGCGAGACCGTTGAATGAATGGCAGTGCATCAATTCCATTGTGCTTCTTCCTTGGGGTAAATAGGTCAATCAATGACGGACTTGGCGAGTAGGAAGATATGAAATCTGTTGTGAACAGGAATAAAAATTGGTATGGTCCATCCATGAGCACCATGGAAACTCGTCAGGGTTCAAGGTGCGGGTGCCTGGCTAGCATGAGTCCAGGAACGAGAAATATATTGCTGGGGTCAGGAACCTAACAGTATGCGAGGTCAATGACGTGTCTGCGCTTCGTCCCCTAAGGTTATCATATATAGTGTGGGAAGTTGCCGTATTATCTTTCTTTGTCTAATAAAGTCTATTGTGTGAGGAGCTAATAGGGCTCATGATTAATCGATCTATCAGGGTTATGGTGGCCTGAAGTATCCGTAATAGGCTGAGATAGGAGGCATCACAGTATATGCCAATTTTACACCGGAATTATCCGAACGGGCGTATAACTCAGTTGGTAGAGTGTTCGCTTTGCATGCGAAAAGTCTGGCGTTCGAATCGCCATTCGTCCATATTTTTAGTTTTTGACAAATTTCACCATCAAAAAAAGAAGTTTCTAATAGGGTTCATACGTCTATTTGTCCCATATTTATTATGCTCGGTTTATGATATGTGTTGGTTTTATCTCTTACTTTTATCACCTCTGTCATACTTCTAAAAAAAATTTGAGATACGATCCAAGTATGAATTTGCTGAGATTTACCAGAATCTAGCTTGATCACGATCCTTGATGGACCTTTCTATCTCCGGGATTATTAATCAAAGGGCGTATAACTCAGTTGGTAGAGTGTTCGCTTTGCATGCGAAAAGTCTGGCGTTCGAATCGCCATTCGTCCATTTTTTGACCATTATCGGTCCTCTCTCATCTTATTGTAAGCGAGTTTTATTTTTCTTAGTGAGCTTTACGAACCAATAGAAAATTCAATAGTAAAACTGGGCGGGTTGCGCCTGCCCAGACTATTCTTCCCAAGAATGTGACTGTGTGTGTCACCATCGGAAGTACTCCGTCGGCGACGGGTCTCATCCGCACCTTCCCCAATCTTCTCCGCAATATAAATCCAATCCCAACACCAATTCTTCCAACATAAAGATCTTCCACATATCTCTCAATACTCGAGGAGAACCAAATTACAACCCAATCTACTTAGCGGGTCCCCAGCTTAAACCCATCCATCATGGCTGCATCTACACAACCACAACAGCAAATGCACAATATCAAACCAACAGACCTCCAAGCCTTCGTCACGCAAATCCTCATCGCAAACAATACTCCCGCAGAACACGCTGCCATAGTCGCAAAATGCCTAGTCGCAGCTGACCTCCGCGGCGTGGACACCCACGGCTCCAACCGAATCCCCTCCTACATGGAACGCATCCGGCAAAAAGCCCTCGACCCAACCGCCACACCGACACTGCGGCAAATCACGCCCGTAGCGGCGCAAATCGACGCCCGCAATGGGTTCGGCTTTGTCGCCGCGCACGCGGGTATGGCTCGCGCTATTGAAATGGCGCAGACGTTCGGCATGGGCATGGTGTCTGTCAAGCACTCGAATCACTTTGGCATGTCGGCGTGGCTGGTGAAGCAGGCCCTAGAGGCGGGGATGATGAGTTTGGTGTTTACTAATTCGTCGCCTGCGTTGCCTGTTTGGGGTGGGAAGGAGAAATTGATGGGTGTATCGCCTATTGCGTGTGGTGCGCCCGGTGGAGAGCCTGGCAAGCCGTTTATTCTTGATATGGCGCCGTCAATAGCGGCCCGGGGCAAGATTTATAAGGCTCTTCGGCGCGGGGAGCGTATTCCAACGGACTGGGCGCTGGATAAGGATGGGAATCGGACGGATGATCCTGCGAAAGCGCTTGAGGGGGTGATGTTGCCCATGGGTGGGCCGAAGGGGTCGGCGCTGTCGATTATGATGGATGTCTTTTCTGGTGTGTTTTCTGGGGCTGCGTTTGCGGGCCATGTTACGAATCCTTATGATCCGTCTAAGCCAGCGGATGTGGGTCATTTTCTGGTTGCCATTAAGCCGGATTTGTTTATGACTATGGAGGAGTTTCAAGAGCGGATGGCGTATCTCTATAAGAGAGTGGTGGAGTCGGAGAAGATGGCGGGCGTGGATCGGATTTACTTCCCTGGAGAAATTGAGATCCTTACGGAGGAGAAACGCCTGGTGGAGGGAATTCCCTTTGCTGAAGCAGAGATCGCAGGTCTGAACAAGGAGGCTGACCGCGTTGGTGTTGAGCATTTGAAGGTGATCAGTTAAGAGGTTTCTTCAAGGGAAATGGATATTGGGGTCTTCCGGCGTCATGTTTTGAAAGGAATAGAGAAAGATCGGTATATTGTATTATGATACTGGATCCATGGTCAAGTGTCATGATGAGCCCTGGACGTCTTTGTTTCTCTAAAGTGTCATGTCTCATGTCTTCCGAGTACCTCGAGTAACTCATGGAGAAACATCGAGTTTTATTCTTCTGATAAGGTAACAAAACTTCACACCTTATGAGACCAAGATCATGTGCTTGCCATTGCAGAGAGATTTACTTCATAGATCATGGAAAGCCAGAAAAACAAGGCTTCAGCCTACGTGGTTCGGCTGGAGGTCCAGTAAGAGACCCTACGCATTCATTCACCAATAGTCGCCACACTGTGGTGACCCTGCAGGTATTGACTCGCTGGAGTCATTATGGATTAGCATATTCTTACATCCTACAAAAAAGATCCACACAAGAAAACAATACCATAGCCAATCACAGTATGTATATTCAAACAAAGGTAAACATAGCCTCGTTTTACACCGAATAGAACCGATCAAAGACGAATCCATGGACTGACCTACCCAATATAAAAGGGCAAGCCAAAGAAACCAAAATTGAGCCAGATGAATAACCGAGAAGAGCAAATAAGCCGTCACTGGACAGTTACTAGCCAAGAAGGGAGAAGAAATGCCGCTCCAATGGGTAAGCAACGCAGGCTGAAAAAAAAAAAAAACCATGAAAGAGCGCACACGAGGCACATATGCAGGTAATAAGAAAAGCGAAATAAAGTAATGCTACTCAACATCAAGAATTGAATTACTGTTCAGAAAACACCTCCCGTATAAGACAGAGACCTTACAAGAACACGGGACAATCGGGCATCGAACATGGGAATGGGAACGAGGAATGAATCACACAATGATGAGAGCAAAAAAGGGGATGGTAAAACTCTGAAGAAGGACACGATTCTGGCCCCACTTTACAGTCAGAGATAATAATGACAGGAGAAAAGAAAATGGAGGCTTGAATCACAGAAGGGAAATAGTAGAACCCAGAAAAAAAGGGGACACATTAGCAAAAAGAGGAATGAAAAGAAGAAAAAAAAAGGAAAATGTATTCAGACAAAGGAAATGAACATGCTAGATAATTAATCAAACACCCAACGGATGAAGAAGAATTTCGCTCCATGCACAGAACGTGGAAAAAACTCAAACAAAAGCAGGGTATCACAGGGGGAATTCGAACAACCTCGCTGCTTTCTTCTTTTCTCACTCGGGTTTGGGCGTGGGAAGCAAAATTAATGCCTTGAGTGCAGCAAAAAATGTAGTTGAGTCTGCGCTTTGTATCGAAGCAAGTCGGGTGGGGTTTGGGGGCGTCATCCATCCAGGGATTTCGAGGACTGCTTCTCATTGCGAGATTAATTGGAGTGACCATTCTTCCAAACGTGTGTCGAGGAGGCATGACACAATAGAACTATCGGTCATCGCCAGCACGAGACTTGGCACGTCTGCGGAAGAAGTCCATGACCTTCCTGGCCGCACCAGAGCTGCCGGAATGGTGAGATCCATCCCGCTCGTACTCATAGGCATCCGCGAATTTGCGATGGTTCTTTTGCAGGACACTGGGCCCGCGCCGACCGGTTTGCATAGACTGGCGAGGCATGCTGTCGTAGGTGCCGTTGTAATCGTCGTAGTAATTAGGCTTTGAAGAGTAGGTGTAGTTGTGACCCGAGTACCCATCGTCGTTTTGGTGGACCTGCTCCGTGGAAATGGCGCCAAAAGAATCCTGGGTCTCGTCGAATCGGTTGCCGAGCTCAGCGAACTGTTGGTCAATTTGAGCCTCATAGCTAAGAGGGTCGGAGTTCTTCCTTTCAAAGGTCTCCTCTGCAGGCCCTTCGCTGACCATACCCATGGCCTCTTGCGTTGAATATGTTGTCGCGCGGGGTCGAGTCAGGGCCGGACCAGTAGCTGGGCGCTGTGGTCCAATGGGCTCCATCGTGCGCGGGGTCTGAGATACCTCCTCTGGAGTCTGATCTCGGCCAGAAGAGAAACCCCGGAAGGAGAAAGAAGACGGAAGCAGGGAGAAACGACGAGCACGGCCTTCACCGGCCTGGCTGGCCTTGCGACTGTGAGAGTACTGCATCGACCGCCGAGAATCCATGGAAACACGAGAATCTTCCCGAGGCAAATGCTCTTTCATACTCGTTGGGGGATATCGCTTGTTCTGACGATCCCCACGAGAGGTAGCATTTGACTGCGAATTGCGACCACCCAGGATTGAGCCAGAGCGACCAAATAGCTTCTCGCCGATACTAGAGACGGTGTTTGAACGCTTGTGGCCCTTGGGGGGCTCTTGTCGAGGAGTCGGGTTGAATGCTGAAGGCAGTTGCTGGGTGCTCGGACGGCCGATAGAAGCAGTGGATGCCTGCGCCGGGTTCTGCGCGAGGGAGAATTGGCCGCTCTTTGGCTGTGCAAGACGACCTTCAGTGTTGGTTGCAGTGACGGTAGGAGCCACTGGCTGGCCATAGGAGCCTCGTGAGGGCAAACGACCAGTGTGGAAAGATGCCATAGAGCCACCGGTCGTCGGCCGCGTAGTCGAAACTCCGGGGGTGGCAGTAGTGTGTGTTCCTGTGAATGCGGCATTGTCCGAGGTGGATCGGGGGAAGTGCCCAGGCAATGGCTTGTCGTAATTGACAGGGGGTTTGGGTGCCGTTCGCGTGGTTGTATCCTTGGCTGGTGGCGCGGGTGCTTGCATTTCCTGTTTCGTCGTTCCTCGGCTGCGTGATTCCGGAGTGTCCTGGTACTCCCCTCTCGTTGTCTGAGACTGAGGAGCAACATATTCAACTTGCACAGTTCTCCGCTTAGCATCCCGAGACGTCTTCGACTTGTCACTTGGCGATCCTTGTGAAATATCACCAGCATGGTGATTGAGTCCACCAACAGCTGGAACCGTGCTATGGCTGGTCTTGGGCGGCTCGCGAACCGAGGCGCTGCGCGCAAGTGCTGGCGCTTCATTCTTGGGTTCTGTAATTGAAGAGTGGGTCAGTTGATCCAATCTAACAATCGAATAATATTCCCACGAATTTTGTGAGGTCTTACCGGCCGGAACAGTTGAGTTGGTAATATCTGCCACATTGGTGGTGCTGCTGGTAATGTGCGACACAATGTGCGAGTACTCACTCAACCAGCTATGGCGAGCGACCTCGAAGAGATCGGCACGTTTCCGAGGATCGGGAACCAAAATGCGTCGCAAGAGGTCACGGGCGTGGGGGGTGACATATTCGGGGAAGGTTAGAGGTGTAGTAACGATGTACTTGTACAGGAGGTTGATGTTGTCGCCGTCGGGGTTGGCTGGATCATCGTCGAAGGGCAAGTATCCTGCGAGCATGGCGTACTGAACAGCAGATTAGAAACCGACCAGCGCACCACAAAGATTAACATCCAAAACGTACCAAAATAACACCACAACTCCAGACATCGACTTTGCGACCAGTATAAAGCGAGTCACTGACCACCAACTCTGGAGCTGCATAGCAGGGACTTCCACAGCTGGTCTGCATCAAATCACCCCGACGCATTCCATCAGGACCCAATTTGTCCAGACGCTTGCGCTTCACGTACTCCTTGTTGGTCAAGTTGTACTCAATCTCCTCCTCCAATTGATCAACGGGATTGAAGGTGTTTGCGAATCCGAAATCGGTGATGATGATGTTACGATTCCTGTCCAGCAACAAATTCTCGAGCTTTAGGTCGCGGTGAACAATGCCCTTTTTGTGCAGGTAGCCGACACCGGACACCAATTGCGCAAACAATCGGCGCGCTGAGTTATCTTTCAGATAGCGGTTGTTCAGAATGTAGTCGAACAGCTCACCACCAGATGCGTACTCCATAATGATACCGATGTGTCGGTCCGTTTCGACCATCTCATGTAAACGGACAATGTTGGGGTGAGCGAGGTCGCGCAGAATGGAGATCTCACGGTAGATCTTGGGCAATCGACTGGGGTTCGACCCTAAGGATTCTCGCCGAATCAATTTGATAGCGACTTGAATGCTCCCATCTCGTTTCCAGCCTAGCTTGACTTTTCCAAACTCGCCTTCGCCGAGGGTTTGTCCGAGGATGTAGGTACCGAAGGTAGTCTCCTTGCGCTTGAGATCTTTCCCGCTGTTGCTGTAGTCATGTCGACTGCGATGACCCGTGCGAGCTCCCTCCTCCGCGCCGTCCTCTCCAGGTGCGCCATAACTGGCGGTGTGGGCCTCCATGGCAGCGGCAGCAGCGGGTGATCCGCCCACTTGTCGCACCTGCTCTCTCTCCCTGTCCACCACGGGATCGCTGACCAGCACCGAATTGATCACCGTGCTGGACTCTCTCGTCAATTCCTGGCCCGAACTGTCCTCCATCTCGGAATTCATCTGAGCAGTGGGCTCTCCAGGGGTTTCTCGTGACCTGCCCGATTCTCGAGTCGTTTCTTCTAATGGGTCTGCTCGCCGAGATCGACTCTTTCCATTGCGATCCTCGCGTTGTCGGTCGCGGTTTTCCTTGCGATCAGATCGACTTTTGCTGTGTCGCGAGCTGGTTTTCTCCCCGTTGGGGCTGCGGCGAGCCGACGAAGTCCTCGGAGGAGGAACCGGTGGGGAGCTTAACATATCGGGATAGTTGCTGCGCGCATTCTTCTGTGGAGATGGTGCCGTGTGAGTCGAGACTGGTGATGTATGGGCAGGGAGTGGGAGAGGTTGCGGATGAGAAGTGCTCATAGCCGAGGAAGCTGGTTGGGACCCGCCTCACGAATTGGCTGTCAAGGAGAAAGGGTATTAGTACTCGGGTTGCATGCAAGAAATTTTTTTTCTTTGGACGATCGGGTGCGTGGTGAGTCGTCTGCCGTCGCGTCTTAACAACACACCTTCTGGTTGAAAGCACAAAAGCTCGGGACTGTTATGAAAGTGGTCCACGTCAACCCTCGATCAGGCTCTGGAGTGGAATAACGAAATTGACCAATTGCGACGGGCACGGCGCGTCGAAACACCAAAGCTCTCTCGGAGGGCGTTGGGCGAAGAAGATTGGGGGGAAGAGGTTGGGTGATCGGTCGCACTCACCGAGTGTCAACGTTCAGCCTCGTCAGCTGTCACCTTTCAGGGGCATGTCAGTCCAAGGCTGCAGATACAATCTTATCGGCAATCGACAAAAATGTGCAACTTTATCAGGAATAAGGGTCCCAACTGACAGGAGATCGATCTTAGGAATGGGGGGGTTGACAGGAATGTTACCGCCACGCCGAGGGGCTAGTGGTCGCAAGAAAGGGAATGGGGGGTAATTCAAGATGCAGATTCACATCGGACACCCGGTCACACTATGGACCTGATTGAACGACGCGTCGCCAAAGCAGGAAATATGCGAGAAAGGAAAGGTGAAGTGAAGATACCTGCACTGCAGTGTTCTAGAGTCCCCTCTCTTGGCTCCGGGGCCCACGGGGGTAGGAGGAAGCAGAGATGGTCGCACGTTGTCGGAGAACGGGGGGAGAAACAAACGCGGGAGAAGCAATGTCTCAGACGCGACGAAGAGTCCCGGATCAATTCCAGCAGGTTCAATGGCGGATACTGAACATGGTCGAAGCCAGGGTACGGAGTGGCGGTTGCGCGCGGACAGGGGGCGCGAGGGGAGCTCGGTCGGGGGGATGAAGGAAAAAGGGGGGTGGTTGGTGATTTTGGGGGGGAGGGAAATGGAGGAGGAAACCGACAAGAAAAGACAAGAAAAATAGGAAACGAAAAAAAGGAACAGCAAAAGGAAAATGGCCAAAGGGAAAGGGCCAAGAGGGTGGAGAGAAAGGATGGGAAGGACGAGAGGAGAGGAGGAGGAGAGGAGGAGGAGGAGGAGGTTAGAGGGAGGTACGAGTTGTCCAGCACCAACACCAGCAGCGGCAGCGGCAGTAACCACTGGAGCAAGTCCGCGCAAAGGGAGGTCGCAACCAGGCGTTGGTTCACTGGTTCGAGGTTAGTTTCTTGGGTTTAGTGCTGGTTAGCGCCAGGCTCCGGTGCTGCTGGTGGAGTCTGGGGAACCGCACTGCGGGTCGCTCTCGACACGGTGGCCGGGCTGGAACCGATGACGCTGTTGACGACGGATGATACTTGAGAAGAGCATTCTATCATAAACGGAACTATTAGGAAGAATACAACGATGATCAAAGGATCAATGGCGTGGAGAGACCTTGAAAATACTAGAATACCATGCATGGAACATCGGATGATGATACTCCCAATATCCACGACCCCATCAACCATCCCAGCCAGCCGAGGATACCTCTTCGACGAGGAACCAGATCGAACCTCACCATCTCCAACAACGCTAACGTACAATTATCGCATTGATAGGTCAGTATTGCAGTAACAAGCATAATTTATTGATGACAATTATGATTCTTCCAATGGCGAGCTCCCTGGTTAAATCGCGGCCAGGAACGTCCCCCCTGCGTCCCTTGCCTCGCCTGTGATAGAACGAAACGGGTGCGAGGCCCGAGGGCTGATCCTCGCATGTGGCCCAGTCTCCGCATCAACAAAAATAAAATAATATCGGCGTGGACGAGAAAGGGACAGGAAGGGAAAGGAGAAAAAAACACAAATAGTCAAAACTGCAAAACAAGGAAATTAAAATGAAGGATAAAACAAGCATGGTGGAAAGTCGACAGTCTAAGTATCGTCTGCTCTACTCGGACTACCGATGCAGTGAAATGCTTCGATGCGAATACATAGTCCCCCTGCACACTTCCAGGACCTCTATATCCATGCAATTGAGGCTGGAACAACTTAAGTAACCAAACACAAGCTCCAATTACGTGCAGGAGATGTGTTTATTCTTAGATGCGGGAAATAAACAACGGCAAGTCAGCAAGAAAGCAAAGAGGGTCCCGTTTCAAAAAGGGGGGCCGGCGCCGGCTGTTTCGCATTTCGCGCGGAGTGGGCTCTTCGCGAGGGCCGATCGTTATGAGTGCACGCTACGCCCTGACGGAGAAAACCGATCGGGGCATCTTGGACGGTTTAGGGACGGAGCATTAGGCATGCAATAGAATGGAAAATAATATTGCTTATTAAATTAGATTCGATATGATTTAGCGTGATCTGGATGATGCGGACGTACTCCGTAGTTACTAGTTGCAGTAGTTTAATTGAGCATTGCATTTGAACATCTGCTCAATGGCATGGCTGTACGTCCCCCATAGTCTCAGTATGTACAAGATCATAGCTATGGCTTAATCGCTTGTCCTAAATGATAAGATATGATCTACCAGATATCTTCGAAAGACGGTTTCGAATTGAAGAGGTTCTTATTTCTCAATCTTCATTATGTCTACTTCGTGGTCTCATAGTTCTTCGCCATGAAGTATACAATTTCATCGACGGAGTCCACCAAACCAGATCATTATGCAATGGTTAAATAATCGACTGTCCGCCGTGCCCAGTTCAACTCTCCGCGCTCCGTACAGCTTCCTCCGATTGCCCCAGAGGTTACCCCTTTCTTTACCCTCTCGTCCTCGATCCTTGGCACGGGCGGACCCATCCACGGTTAAGGCGCCGAGGGTCCCAAGGAAAGCCCCGAACGAGCGGATCGTGACTACTTCCCGCCTGCAACGTGAAATTCCCGAGCTTCCCACTGGACAAAACTCCCATCTCCTCCACAATCCATCTCAAATACTGAGATACTGGAATTGCAGATATATCCTAGATGGGACAATTAAAAGGGAATCAAATATCTCATCCAACTCCGTCACTAAAGTCACGGTCCTACCCGCTCCACAAATCCCCACTCCAACGGGAACCGCGCTCTGGACTTACAGTACATACTATTCTGTCTTCGTACCCGACTCTCCACGTCAGATTGCAATCGGTCGGTCATCGACCAAGTTACGGTCTGACGAGGACTGACCCGTTATGTGGAGGAAAGTCAACGGCGGCAGATCTCTCAATGGCCACTCCCATTCCCCCCAATCGAAACCCTCGAGCCTCAACTCACAGTGATGTGGATTACTCTTCACACCACCAGCAAGTTAGCAAAACTAACGAATTCAAGTCTGCTCGTCTGCTCAAGTCGGTGTGGAGCATGTCGCTGTCCTGATAAGCACCCATTGGCCCAGCGGCGACTAGCCAACTGTCAAGCGGGTGATGCGTTGGCAGCGCCATCGCCATAGGAGCCGCTCGGCCAATCGACCATCATCGACTCCCTCCAGCGGTAACGAAGGTCAACGTCCATGTGTCCCCCGCCAATGGTGCTCGTTGGCCGCGATTATAGTACGACGCTTGGTAGGGGCCGTAGCGTGGAAGGGGCGAGAGTGTTCCCCATGTATGCCAGTTTCGAGATGATTGAGGTGAGGCTGTGCGAAGTACTCTATACCTACCACGCCAACGAGGCTTGCAAAGTGACCTGCCTGGACGCACTGATTCAATAATGTTCACTTCAGGCAGGAGAAATATCGCCGACTGTCCCACCCAGTCGAAACTTAGATTCTGTCCGGGCCAATGACCGATCTCGAGAACGACGCCCGAAACCCAGCCTGCAAAGGAAAGATGATGCATAAAATGTCGTGTGGCGTGAAACTTTGTTTGGCATTTATGCGGCAATCGGCCTAACCTATCTACAGTAGAGTACTCCGTACAATACGCAATCCACGGGACCAGGTAGCAACCCCGGATCCCTCAGCCCCGGCGCCAACACAACCAGGGGATCAAGGGGGTTTCGCAGTCCCATCTCGAAAGTGGGGAATAATTGAGCAACGCTGTTTGCAAAAGACTACTGCCAAATTCGAAATTAGATTCCCGCTCTTCCACTCGTAGATTGTTTCCCAAACCCTAATGCCAAGGACCGCTAGTGCAGGTTTGACTAGCGGGAGCAAGACCCCCTGTCTAACTGCTTTGTCTTGCATAAACAGTAACAAACGGGTCATTCGTATCATACAGTAAAGCTCCTTGGAGTCTCCTGGAATGTTCTCTGCAAACAGCCCAAACAAAAGCAGACGTCATAGCGATCTGGCAAGATGCTTGCCCATCTCGTCCTCCATCACTCAGGCAGCCTTCATCGGTGCTCGTTTCCACCACACTCGTTCCACCGCGCTCGAAGGCCACGCAGAGATTTAGAACGCTACTGACCGTGGTAGGATGTTGTGCTTTACTTCTTAATTTTCATGGGATAGCTCCTTGCCTGTGGGTTTTTTGATTGCTCGTGTCTTTCTAGAGCTAGTATCTTCCACGTAAGCTAATATGTGTCTTCAAAAGCTATAGCTAGTTGAGAAGATAACCTAAAGCCCCCCTAGCGCCGATTATCCATCTCAGCTAGAAGAGCTCGAATTATAGGAGCAGGACTCTCGATATACCCCCACGCCCGGGTTCTATCGTAGCCCCTACGATACGCGATCTATATACAGCCCCTCCCCCTCGTATGCGGTTGATAATTGCAATAATATTACAAGCCAGTCACAACAGAATAGCCTTAAATTACTTCGGTTCTTTGAGTAGGAGGAGGATCGTGCTTACGACGAAGATCCACCGACCTGTATCCATTATCTCATAGAGTAGCGGGTCAAGATCAATAACCGATTTATATCGAAGGACACCGATAAAGACCTCGTGCTAGCTCTAAGCGATTACTAGCAGCAATTCTTGGAAAAGAAACTACAAAATGTCCTTAGATATAAAGCTCCTCGTGACCGAAGGTGAGAGCTAAGGATACTTCCATTGTTGTATCCGTTAGGGATCGTTCCTAGCGCGACCTAACTAAACGATATAACAAAACTGACATTGATTAGATAATTATCGACCGACAACTCTAGAAGTAGTCGGCTCTATTCTGTTAAGGCAAGGAGCTAGCATTAAAGATCTGTTTTAACTATATAGACGACCTACTTTCTCCTACTGCTAGGCGGAAATGTGAGAAAAGGGGTAAAACTTCTATTTCGAAAAAAAATGCTTAGTGAGCGAGACGCGCAGCTAGATACTAAACAGGAGTCTTCTAGCTAAAGACTAGTTTAGCGTAGCGTCTATAATTTAATGCCATACGATCTGCCGTCGTGCTACCTAGGTCCCTACTGTTAGCTGGATCCGATAGGAAAGAAGTATTATTAGCTCAAGATATATCACTTGAAGCGGCTTGTGACTTACGTGGAAAAGGGTAGAGTTCTAGACTCGCACAAAGATGTCCCCGAAACGGTTCGTGAAGAATTATATATAGAAAAGTAATAGAAAATAGAGAAAAACACACGTAAGGGGGCCCGAGACCCCTTTATTAGTCCGGGGGTTCCGTACCCTCTAATTAACATCAATGTTCTGCCTTCGCCCTCTCCTGTCCCTAGAACGGAGGTTACTATAAAAGCTAATGACCTAATAACTATAGGTTCTCTGGATATCCCCGGACCAAGAGACGCAGCAGTCAAGGAGTATAGTGAGTAGCAACAGTCGAATGTTACTAATAACAGCCTCAAGGCCGCGTTCCGACAAGCGTACGATATAATACTTGACGATAGTCTGGATCTGGAGCAGGTCTATAAAGACCAAGACCCGAAATTCTTCATTGACAAAGGAATCAAAAGGGGCATTACTCGTCGTTTTGTCGAGGATATTCCAAGGTAGGTCCATAATGTGAAGGTAGCAATGCATATTTACGAAGTCGTTTAGAACATAAGCAGGCGTCTTGGTTTAATTTTCTTTTACGATTTTATAAAGGGCAGTGCTGTTTTATTATATCCGCTTAGTATTAATACTGCTTTAATAGAAGGTTCATGCTATCTTGCCACCACTTATTATACCATAGTTCGATTAAAATTGCATATGTTCAACGATCAACCACCACCACCTCCCTCACTTGGCTCAGATCTTTATTCAACAAGCTTCGCAACAAGATCAGAGGCCATTTCCCCGTTATCATCCAAAATATATCGAAAACGAGTATTCTCAACCAGTGTTCGCACCTCACATAAAACATAGAGAATAACTAACATTCTTAGCCAATAACATCCATCTAGCTCCTATCTATCTGTCTACTCGTAGGTATATTCTAGCAGATCAAGGATGTGTGCCATACTTTGCCCGTTAAGAGAAAAGTTACAAAGGTCACGATGAAGTGACTCCAAGCACTGTTCTCTTAATAGGTCAATACGATACCGCGTCGCAAATACATATACCTTTGTATAAGTAAGAAGGTCGGGGTAGGGACAAATTATAGCCTCATCTCCAAAGAGTCTTAGCCGTCTAAACTAGCCCTACCGGCGTTTATAGGGACTTTCTACATAGACTGATGGCGTATTCAATCTCCGCCGGATATGAGGAATAGTAGCTCTTTTTCTTTATTTACGTTTTCTTGGAAGCTTAGCTTCCCTACATAGATATAGCCTCTAGTTCTAGCTCTAGGTCTCGAGAGTCTGCGTCTACTTCACGGTTAGGCTCTAGTACCTATTGTGGATTGTTATCTTCCAATTAACCTAAAGTAGGTATAAGCAACTATTTGTCTAGCGCAGTATTACTGTAGCTAGTACTCACTCTCTATATCTAAATAGCTATCGTCTTCTTTGCGATAAGGTGTAGTATACTTTCCTTTGTAACCAAACTCACAAAATGCAATAAAGGGTTGCTCTTCCACGTCTTCTATAAAAGCAGTTCGCGATATCGCTTCTTTCATATAACCATTATTCATAAGAGCATCCAGCGGGGCCGATAATTTATAAACAAGACCGGCGTAGATCGTCAACTTCCGCTGATCATGACTAACATAAAAGCGAAAGTCTAGAGACCGAATAAGTCTTTAACAGTTAGTTAACAAGTAAACGATTCAACGGATAATAATCGTACTCTTTAAAATTTTCCATTCCTGAATAGCTCCTATACACTCATCTGACCAACAAATTTCGGCAACCTTGGTGGAAGCTCAGCGCTGGCCTACGCTAAATAGGATATTATATATCACGGTGAGAGGTAGTTGTATGTATCCACCAGTAGATTCTTGCTACCTAGTCTATGCGGAAGCCTGCATAAGACCCTGAAACGGCCAATGGAATGAGGGGTAGCAAAGTTGAAAAGCGAGAACTGTCCTCTGGTACTCCGTAGAAAACAAACGTATTAAGAGACATGCAGCATCCATCAACAGTTGTTACTCCAATGCGGAGAAAGGAGTAGCGGTGAACCAATCATGTATGATATAGTGCAAAGGTAGGATCAAGACTGGCTCAGAATGCGGTAAGCCTTGTCTGGTCTAGATGGGAGTCCATGCAGTACACTTGAGGCATCACAATCAGCTGCATGGAGCCATATGTCAAATTTTTTAACACTGAAAATGGGGTTGAGTGGATGACTGGGAGGCTTTCAGGCCATCTAGTAAATCTTGAAACCGCAGACCCTATGCCTTACTACGGACTCTTCAAATACGTTAACGGCACCTCAATTTCTTACATAATCTTGGGCGGGGGTCCAAAAACTTGTGCGTAGTCACTGAAATTTAGCTCTAGGTAATACATTAGTCGCAAATATAAGAGTGGTATTCACAGGTTCCGGATCTTGATACAGTATATAGTAGTGTGTCGTGCACAAAAGGTATAAAACTCCCAATACAAAACACCAGAGAATGTTCTCAAACATACTACAGAGCAAAGACGAGGCCCAGCAAGCCCGCAGCACCCGCAACGCTCACAGCGATACTACCAGTAGCAATGGGCGCCCCACCGGTCGAACGCGCCGACGTAGAGGCGGCCTTAGAGCTGGAAGCAGCATCCGAGCTACCAGAAGCCGGGGTCTGTGTCGCAGCGGCACCAGTCGATCCACTTGCGGTGGTTGCAGCAGTAGTGTCCGCCGCAGCACCGGAGGTTGGACCGGCCGTCGCGGTCACTGCACTAGTTGCGCCCACGATATCCGCGTCGAAGCCACCCAGTTCGGTCACGACAGCCTTGATACTAGCCGGCAGATCGTTGTACCACGATGGGAAGATGCCATTTGCGGCGGCGCTAAGGACGGCGGCTTCCGAGGCGGGGTTCTCCATCTCGAACTCCCACGAGGACGGGACGGCGGTTTCGAGAACACTGATGTAGTCGGAGGGGAGCGAGGCCTCTGCGAGGGCAACATTTGCCTCGTCGACAGACTGGGCGTCCGAAGAGCCGGAATTGGACGATACCATAGTCGCGGTGGCTGTTTCTTGCGGCAGGGCCAACGCCGGCGCGAGCAGAACAAGCGCTGAAAGTGCAGTGAGATGCATCTTGGCGGATTATTTTAAAGGAATGAAGGTCGGGATGATCTCTATGAGCGAGTGACTGAAGGAAAAGGGACGCAAATCGAACGTGTCGCTGGGGACAGGAGCGGTAGATATCTCAAGGCCCGTACGACGTGATCCGTTCGAGCGTAACTGTCAGTCACCTGCATGGCGAAAATTGCCGGCGCAATTGGTTGGCTGGCGTTCGCTTGCATTTCCAGGGTCACTTCTCCTCGAAGCGAACGGACCCTAAGCGACACGCCTAATGAGAGGCTTTATCCCGTAGGGAACCGCCCGGGACCCACTCATTCCTCGAACACTGGTCGCGAGTATATGTCTGGTACCTAGAACTAAATGACCCACCGTCAAGAGCTAGCTAAGCCTATTTAGGAAGGCAACTCTCGAAGCGAGGTTCCAAAACAGGTTTAGCTTACTGTATTAAACAGGGGAGTACGCACAGTAAGATTTTCCCTTCCCTTTCCCCCTACCACAGTATATACTCAATTCACTCCATAGTCAACATGGCTACAAAGGCAGGTCAATTACATGAGCTTGACGAGCAGAATGATCGCATGCTGAGGGAGCGCCAAGAGCGAGAAGGGGATGAACAAGTGAGTCTGCTAATATCGTTCAGATATCTGTCAGACATCTACTAGGTATCCTAATGTATCCTAATGCGCATCAGGGGAGCCCATTCCAACCCGGGCCAACGTGGATTACCGGGGGTAAAGGCCATCGCCTAAGCGCCACTGAAATTGAATACGTTGAGGATCTACCTGAGTACCCCCAGACTAGCAAGGGTGGTTACGCCTATATTATCCCCGCCGGGGATCGGTCAGCTGCGCAGATTCACACCTCGATCTTAACAACAGTGAGTTTCGATAGATATCTATGGGATATCTACCAGATATCTAATTACTCGTACTAGATCCAATACTCTTACCATCAAGTCTACGCGAATAAGCTGTGTAAGAACGACTCATTCCTCGGCACCGACTTTCTTCATTCACGTTATACCTGCTCAGGCGCATTCGTTTGTCAATACAGTGCGCCGATTATTAGGTCAATGACACACACAGTGGTTGATGAGAGCCTTTGGGCGTCGCTCCAGGATATTCGGCAGAGTATGCCCTTCCTTGAAGATGACCAAGTCCGGAGAGAGACGTATACGTAGGTATCTGGTAGATATCTAGTGGATAACTAGCTCACTATGCCCTAGATACTTCTCGAGTACATATGCTCTCTTTCAGCGTGGTACCAGCTGCCGGCCTGGTTCACCTGAGTGTTACCCAATTCTCACTCAAAGCCCAGATGAAACACCGCTTGGTGGCTATACCTACGCTGTGACCTGTTTTATGGAGTTACAGTACCCTGGCTATCACTATCGCTCAGATACAATTCCCCAAGACGGGAGTATTGATATTAAGTTCCTACGCCAGTTATTGAACGGTGAGGTTCCTAGTCTTGTGGAGTCATGCTGTGCGATTGAAGGGACACTAAAGAGAAGTCCGCGTTGCGGTAAGTATAATGTCTTCTAGATATCTATTGGATATCTACTAGATGTCTGACAAATATCTATGTACTCCAGGATATTCCCATGTCCAAGGCCCTGGTCAATGGGACCGGCTAAGATGCGATGTAAGATTTGACTGGCTTATACCGCAAGACCTTCGAAAATGCCCTTTCTTCGTCTTTCTATCAGAAGGCCACCATACGCATCCCCCAGTACCCCCAAAGCGAAGCCCTGCAGAAATTGTGGAGGGGCTAAAGAGATTAATCACGAGGATGGAGAGACCGGATCTCACAACAGGTAACACCATCATTCAGATATCCACTAGATATCTACCGGATATCTGACCTTTCGCGAATTAGGCAAATTTCTCGCCAGCCCGGAATTACAGAGATTCTGTGAGCGATATCAACATCGGACACTTACAGATCTCCATAAAAGCTTTGTCAATACCGATCGTCTCGGTGCTATTATCCGGAAGCAACGGCTACTCTCTTTTCCGCAGGGACAGAGCCTGAATGGAGTGCTTTTTGAGCGGGATAGGAATTCGGAAATGAAGGTAGTTCAATATCATAGGTTTCTACTAGATATCTACTAGATGTCCATCAGATAACTAACAGATATCTAGGACTACATACGCGAGATCTTCATAGACCCTGATGGCCTTATGATAATCTGCATGTTTAATGGACAAGCTAATTTACTTGCTGAGGCCTGCTCATATGAAGTCGATATATCCTATAAGCGCGTGAGGGATAAGGATATGAAGGAGGTTGTTTTTGCGGCCTTCTTCCCTCAAATTGGAAGGGGTAAGTATCCCAGTTATCTCTCAGATATCTCATAAACATCCGGCTTATATCCACTCTAGTCCGCACACTTTGTCGCGTCTTTACTACATTTGACACAAGGCAAGGATATCATCGCTTATTCAAGCGTGTATACCAGCTTCTTAACCGTATTACTGGGTCTCGGCCTCCAATACGCGTTATTGATGGCCGTGGCCTTGATGTTGTGGTCGCCGATATGTGTGCAAAGCAATACTTTGGTAAGCCTACTAGATATCTAATAGTTACCTGCCAGATATCTGATAACCTCGAAGGATTTGCCGATTTCCTACATGATTACGACCCTGACCACCGTGATGGTGAACATTTAATGCGTCAGATAGCTATCTTCTGCCAAATTCACTTTACAAGAGGGGTTGATGACGCCCTTCGACGTACTAGTGGAGGTCAGCCCGGTATTCGCCAGCGAATGCTATCACTCCTATTTGCTGATGACCGGAAAGCGTATAACGCAGTGATTGACTTCATAGAAGGTAAGTCTTTAGATATCCTCTAGATATCTAGCAGATATCTAACTTACCTAGAAACCGAGGGAACCGATTCCCCCCTTACTTCCTGGGCCGAGCATAAGCGACATGAGTGGGTTATGTGTGGCCTAAATCCTGCCTGTTCGACTATACCACGCCCTTACTTTGAGTCTATTCGCAAGCACACGAATGCAGTAGAGCAGACCCATCATAAGTCAAACGTTCGTGGGACACAGCTTACCTTACTTGCAGCGATCTTAAGGTAAGTCTCTAGTTATCTGCCAGATATCTAGTAGATATCTAATGCTTCTTTAGTTCCCTTAAGCTCGATCGTCAGGATCTCCAAGAGTACCAGACTCACCACCAGTGGGCAATTCTTCCTCAGTATAGAGATTCCTCGAGAGTGGCCTCTCTTACACGGCATCTACAGAAGTCGCAGACGCGCCGCGCGAGTCGTAATCTTACCCGGCAGGATAGTGAGCCCTCTCTAGAGCAGGTTAGTAGTAGTGGTGTACCTATACGTGGAAGGTCTTCTACTACATTATCTAGCCGGTCTCGATCGGTGTCCCGGCGCTCAACACCTTATAAACGCCGACAATCATCCCCCGAGGACCTAGCTCTATCGCAGAAGAGAAAACAGGCTGAGATTGAACGGCTTGAGCTTGAGCTAAAGGATACTGCGCTTGAAAGGCTTAGGCAACAGGCAGAGGAAGAAAGAGTACAAGCAGAGCTTCTCGAGGCAAGGATTCGACGAAAGAAGGCACAGAAAGAGTTAGATGAGTTAGAACAGTGAATTAGATATCCACTAGGCATCTAGTAGATATCTAGTGGATATCTACCCCGCGAAGTTTCTATCACCCGCACTATATATATAATCTACGTCAAGAAAAATTAATGCGATTAAACATTTCAATTTTTGTAGGAAAACTACATAATAACGTAGAAAAAACCTCAAGAGAACCTATCTAAGCCTCATCTAGTTCCCCAACCTGGCTTTCCATAGGGATATCAAAGGTAGCCAGATGATCACAGATCGCCTTATTGTAGATGCATCCTACGATATGTTAGTCCAGCAGATATCTGATAGATATCTAGGGGTTTTACTACTCGGCAGACCTGCAGCCTTGCAGGCGGCGCAGGGAAGATCCTTTCGGGCATTAATACCCAAAATCCGGAGGACTTCACCCTTGTTCACCTAGATAACAGTTAGCCAGACATTCCCTAGATATCTGGGAGATATTCTGTTACTTACCATTCTACCTCTCTTCAGTGGAAGAGGGTGCTTAGCCGGGGCGGGGGCGGCGGCAGCAGGGGTAGCCTGCGAGGCTCCGCGGCTATAAAGACCATTGAAAAAGGCCTTTGCCGCATCCTTCGTGGCCTTATCTAGATTTCCGGCCTTCAGCGTAACGGGAGCAAAGCCGTCCTCGCTATGGGCCTTTTTCAGGTGCTCACGAAGCCCAACGGTCTTCTGGAAGGGTTTCTAGACATCTGTTAGATATCGTCCAGATATCCAAGGGATATCTACAGACTTACCTTTCCATGCTCGCAGTCCGGCACACGGCAAAACACCTCACCGACATGGACGATGACTTCGTCATCGGCATTCCGTCATTATTAGTTATCTGTCAGATATCTGGGGGATATCCACTTACTCTTTCGTATGCTGGGAGGGCCAACACACCAGAGGGGGCATCATTCAGGTACCGGTCGAACGCGCCGCAGTTCGCAAGGAACTTTGGCTTGTTGACCTCGGGGGGAGCCATCTAGATAACTGTCAGATATATGGCTACGTGGTAACAGCCAGATGACTCTGCCGTTGGTCAGATATCTGGCAGGTGTCTGCCACCCTTCACCGCGTTCCGGTTTCAGGGCAGCCCAGACGTCTGCCAGATATCCACCCACTCTCCACCACCAGTATCACCACCAACCACTCACCTTGAGCCGAAATCTGTTGAAACTTTCTAAAAATTGCTAGATCTGTGAGCCTGTCAGTTACCTGATAGATATCTGATAGATATTTGATGAAATTCGATGATTTGGGGATGAAACCTACCGTGGTTCGATAGCAAGGGGGCGGTGGGAGAGATGTGGAGGAAGGAAAGTTACAAGTGGGGCTGTATGCCAAGGTATTTAGTGTGGGGTCGCCAGAGCTGCCTGATTACCTGATTAGGCTTAGCGGATACAAGTTCTCGACGGTGGATCCCCAAGGTCTCGGCCTGAGCTGAACACTGGTCGTAGTCTGACCCTGTTGCCGACACGCTTAGGCACGCTTGGGCCTAGGATGATGACTAGCGCTGAGAAACGGAAAGGGCCCTATGCGGTGTTTGATGTCATACCGTGATTCCTATTATCGTGTAGGGTTTGAGAAATAATACTCGACTCTGCAAAGATGGCTTGGCTGTCTTGCTATTCTCAAAGGAACAGCACTCTTGTGAGTTCACACTGGAGAAGTCAAAGTGAGAAATCTCTCTGTAACACAGCTTGTACAGTACTGTAGAATCATTATAGAGAACATATTATGTCCGAACACGTACAAGCGTCGCGGGTGTTGGATCAATATCTCGCAGCAACCAGCTATCGTGACCAGACCCTTTGTCTTATCATAATGTCTTCAACCATTTGAGGGAAGATCCTTTCCAAGCTTGGACGAACAGACAAAAACCACTTGCATCCAGACTTTTCAGCGGCTGTCGAAATGAGATATTTATACCTTTCATCATATCTTGCTAGCGCGGCCTCACGATAAGTTTCTCGTCTCGGTATTTCCCACCATTCTTCTAGAGAGATAGAACAGTTATGCATGTTAAATAGTCCGAGCAAAATCTTCGCCCCCGGCAACTCCAAGTTGTCCAAACATAAAATTAGCTTCAAGTCTTTACAGTCCTGAAAACAGCATCGAATAGTGTCAACGAGGGTTTTCAGATCGTTCTGTTCCCTGCTGGAGAATGCTGCAATTTTCCTATAAACACGACCAACGGAGTGGCCCAGAATGAAGAAGGGTCTCAAAATCGCGGCTGTCACCACAATCAAGCCGAAGTGGTCGTCAACAAAGCGGCCTACTATGGGGCCCACTTTTGCGTCCACTCTTGCCAGCATAGTCTCAATATAGGGGTGTTCGGGGTCAACGAATACAGTCAGCCGTCTTGCCATATTGCACAGTTGCAAATGATCATTCAGTATCTGGGTGACCGAGGGCAGGGATGCCATGTATTCGCTGACTGGTCCGTAGCCACATCGGGGAACCTGGATATGAACACATATGGCGGAGCCCCTGGATGATAACGGATAGAACCTCTCGTCGAACCTGTTTATTGACCAACCCCATATTGAGAGACCTGAGGTTTAAAAATCTGAGGCCAGTAGAACTGATGATGATGTCGTACCCTTCATTTGCGAACTCGAAACTGATTTGGCCGAAAGAGATCCAATCGAATTGCTTTGGCTTGTGTCGATGGATGCTAATGGCATCTTTGATTATCTGTGTTCGAAGCTCAAAGGGCAAGTCAAGATAACGAAATGAATTGCGTTGAACAGTTGAGACCTCTGCAAGCCAGTTAGCAAGAGTGATTTCTATGAACCTGTGAACTGCCCACCTGAAAGAGACGCCATGAGTGTGGAAGGCCATATAGTCCCCATAACCGAGTATGTCCTCTATTGGGTTTTCAGGTCTTTATCACTTCAGGGGTATTATTGAGCACAGCCTCTAAAGGAACACGTAGACGGGGCAGCTAACCACTTCCGGCTTATGGCGCGGCATAGAGCCTCCTGACTGATGCCTGCTTCTGATAATTCTCGACTAATTAGACGCCACAATTCGATACGAATACAACGATACCTGAGACGTTTTATAAACAATGGCCCCACATCTACCAGCCGTTGTTGCCATTCGCTTAATCAAGGTTTAAGCTACGCCGGATAATTAATTCCTAGCCAACGAATTAGTAACTCGCAATATCTAGGGCAGTAACCGCGAGTAAGTTGATTATCTAGTTACAAGGGCTTCCAAACTGGGCCTAGCGCACTGTATGTCTCACTGAGCGAAACGTGGCTTTAATTAGTCAACTCATAGTGCCATCACTCGATGCCCCTCACCGCTCACAAATGACTCTTTCAAATCTTCACCCCAGCTCAAAACGCTGCAGCAACATTTCCTCTGATCTCAATTCAATGATTCTGCTTCATTTGCCCTCCGAATTACTATTACAAGTAGCGACTTACCTGGAGACAGAACAAGATATTAACTCATTGTCACAAACAAACAGCCGACTCCACGCTCTCCTCAATCCATATCTCTATAGACTGAATTCTCGAGGCTCAAATTCCGCTCTGCTATGGGCTGCCCAACATGACAATGTGGCTACAGCTCGATTATGTGTACAGGAAGGAGCCAAAGTTAGAGTGACGGATAGCAGGGGCCGGACACCATTATCCTGGGCCGCGCAGCACGGACATGAGGCGATGGTGAAGCTATTACTTGGGACAGGGCAGGCGGTTTTGAACTCAAAAAACTGCGAGGGGAAAACAGCCCGCCAGAGACTATTATCCTGGGCTTTGCGGCACGGACATGAACGCATGGTGAGGCATTTACTCAGGAAAGAGCAGGTGGCTGAGGAATTGAGAGACTCCGAGGGATGGACACCATTATCCTGGGCTGCGCAAAATGGTTATGACGTGGTAGTGAAGCTGTTACTTGAAACTGGGCAGGTGGATGTGGATTCGAAGGACAGTGAATGTCGTACACCATTTTCTTGGGCTGCGAAGAATGGATACGAGTCGGTGGTAAAGCTCTTACTTGAGACCGGGCAAGTGGATGTGAACTCGCAGGACAATGAAAATTGGACACCATTATCCTACGCCGCGCGGGAAGGACGTAAGGCGATAGTGAGACTTTTACTTGAGATAAGTCAGGTGAAGGTGGACTCGAGGGACTATTTCGGCTGCACACCGTTGTCTTTGGCCGCAAGATATCGCCACGAGGCGGTGGTTAAGTTAATAATTGAGACAGTCCAGGTTGACGTGGACTCGGAGGACACGCTAGCTCACCCAGTCTTATTCCGGGAGGCTAAGCTTCGATATGAGGAGGTGATGAAGCTATTACCTGAAACAGGGCAGGTGGATATGGCTTTGATGGACTATGAGGGTTGGACACCATTGTTTTTAGCCGTACTTGAACGTGAGGGAATAGTGAAGCTATTACTTGAGAAAGACCAGGTGGACGTGGGCTCGGACAACACGTTGTCCTATGCTGCGAAATTTGGACGTACGGCGGTGGTGAAGTTATTACTAGAGACAGGCCAGATTGGCGTGGACCCGAAGAACCCCAGAGGTCTCATACCACTATCCCTGGCTGCGAAGCATGGATATGAGGCGGTGATGAAAATACTACTTGGGACTTGGCCCAGGCATCCATAACTGTATTGAAGCTATTAAGATTGGGCAGGTGGATGTGGATGAACATGGCGAACGACAAACGTATGGCAGGCGAGACATTTTCTAGTCAGACTTCACGCATAGAACTTATTGTACCATGAAAGAACCAGTTGTACAGTATAGCCATGGCTGGGACGAGGTTTAATGGCCTTGGCTAGACCCTTAATGCATTCTATCAAGATCCCAATCATCGTTCGCGAGACTTGAGGGTGGGTGTTGATACTGTACTTGTGGCCGCAACTTGCGGCGCCGTGGCCTCGCCACTTGTTTGAAGACAAGAATCTGCGATCTGCTCCGACCCGAAGCAGACGCCAAAGTTGTGCCAGTTTCTGGTTCCCGTCACGTGTTGGGGAGAGACGTTGATATTGGAGTTGCATATGCGCTCCCTGTACGCAATATCGTCATACTTCTATCCTAAGCCTATCTGTTGATGATGCTGACTGCCTCATAGTGGGCAGCTCGTGCAAAGGTCAAACTTTGTGCTGCGATACAGAAAATGTGGGACCGGAATACTGTGCCAGCAGCAACCAGGTTAACATGAACTGTTTTTGATCGAGATCCTCAATGTTTGCTCCGAACCAACTGGGGGAGGTGGTTGTACTGGTAATACTGGAGGGGCTTGAGTCAGCTCAGCGTTTTTTCATGTGATTATAATCTGCAATAATGACTCGTCGGGCTTAACTTTCCTAAGCTTCTTCTATCTTTATGCCGGCATGCTGAAAATGACCTCTTGCGCTCCCTTCTTTCGCACCAACAGCTTTGATACACCATTCGAGGAAGAAATCGAATCCTTGACTTGGATCATCTTCAAAGTAGCCCCAGTTGCGTTTGATAAAGCCCTTGAGCTTAGCAAAGAATTCCTCGATCGGATTGAGGTCCGGTGAGTATAGTGGCAGATATACCATTTTCATACCCGCATTAGCACACATCTATGTAATCTTCTTAGAATGGTGAAATGATGTATTATCTATCACAATAACGGACTTCGGCTCCGGCTATCGTCCGTAGTATTGAAGAAGCTCCGCGATAAAGTCCTTAAACACCGCCGCATTAGTCGAGCCACGGAAAACACGGGAAAGGATTATACCATCCTGAGCATACGCAGGCAGGATCTGGTATCTCTGGTCGCGATGGAACCGAGAGACTTGTACAGGAGCCTTGCCGAGCGGTGACTACCCTGTTCGTCTAAAACCTGCGCGTTTATTATACCCGGATTCGTCGACGTATACTAGGTGATACGAATAAAAGTCCGATATATTGTGTAAATATATCTCTCTTAAGTCGGGGTTTTGCTCTCTTGCTTTCTATCGAGACACCTTTCTAGACTAACCGTGAGCTACGAGAGCCCTTCGAATGCTTGAAGCCGTGACCTAGGCCTCGAATTCATCAAATAGAGAAAGACAGCTATCTCATCTAGATAGAGGGCTGGTTTTTCGAGTAGGTGCAATACTTCTAGTATACGGGGTATTATAGTGCGTCTTCGACCGACTCGATTCGAGGGAGCGTGGACGTTTCCAAATTGCCGTAAGTTTCTGCGAATATTTTTGATCGTACGCTCGCTGCATTCAGCCTGCTCGGCTATTTGAGATATAGTTAGCGACTGGCTTTATATCATATCACGAATGAAATATAGCTTTAAACGACGCAGTCTCGGCGCCATGTTGCGAATATGTCCTGGGGTGACATTCCAGACAGTGAGTGGATGGATGTTTACGCAATGGTCTAGACGCAGCATCTCTCTTGGAGGGGCATCGAGGTTGCTGCCTGAAAAGCGTTACGTGTAAATTACCGTATCTTACGTTATGTAAAAACGAAGATCTATTTCTAGCATCAACGGGATCTGCGGCTAAACTTAATATAGACTGGAGAGTTTCAGCGTAGGGCTAGGAAAACAATCTCCGAGTGTTTGCGGGGGAATCTGATTTCGAAATCGGCAGTACCAATTAGACTCCAATGCCTCTTTCAATGTCAGACGCAAATCAAATAGAACAGAAGAGACACGTCATGATAACACGTTGGAAAACCAAAATGAATTGACAACCCGCCATATATTCCTCAAAAAATCCAAATAAATCGCTTGCTCTCAACCTATCATTCCAAACTTGCATATTCCCCTTGATTTACCGCTTCCCCCCGACCCTGACCTGGGCGTGCCGCCTAGCGACACTGTCCCAGATGCGCCATACGCTGGCGGCGGCGTGGGGCTTGGCGAGGGACGTCGCACAACTGGATCCCGGACTCCCAGTCCAGAACTAGAGGGACCTGCTTCGGTATTGGCATTAACGCCTTGGGGTACCTGGCCGCCATCGCCAGCGCCAACGACCACCTGCTTTCCGTCGCGCATCCGGCCCACCACCATGCCCTTGGCCACGGACTTGAGCAGCGCCCGACGGCTAACGCCCGTGGCGTCGATATACACGAGGCCGACGTTCTTGATGCCGCCAGTCAGATTGGTCGCGATGGAACCAGCCTCGGCGCCATAGCGGTGATTTATCACCGAGCTGGCGGCCGCCGAGCCTGTCATCAGCATGGTGCGCGCACTCTCTTGAATGCCATCTGCCAACGTCGAGAACGCGATCATCGACTTGTTCAGCACGCCTGGCTTGTAGTCTGGCGGTGGGAGGTGCCTGTGACCGCTGCGAGGCTTGGCGTCCTTACGTGCTAGCGAGGCGCCGATATTCTGCGCCACTCGTTCCACTTGGCCCAGGGTGCGGGAGGAGAAGTCTGCGGCGCCGTTGGAGAAGGTGCCGACCTTGCGAATGCGGGCGTGGGTGGCATCGGAGAAAGTCACAGGTTTGGGGCTGGGCTGGGTCTTTTTCATGAAGTTCTCAGCGCCGCTGGTGATGGCATTGGAGATGTATGAAGAGGTGGTGACGATCAGTCGAGATGCGGTGGCCGAGGTCTGGACAATGGTTGAATCCTGATATGCCGGATGCCGCGACATTTCCAAGTATTCTTCTGAGACGTTGGTCACGCTGACCCTGTTGCCCTCGCCTTCGCCAGGGAGTTCAATTCCAACGGGGCCTGTGTCAGGGTTAGCTCTTGAAGCAGATGTGAGCTACACGGGTGCGGGATACTCACGTTTAGATCCAGGTTTCACATCCGGGTCCTCCACCACATTGTATCCTTCACTCAGCTCGCCAACCACACTTCCATCCTCCTCGTCCACCAGCACGATCTTGCCGTGCATGTTCTCGCCCTTGCTGTCTCCAGTCCCAATATATCCCTCCCCAGGCGCATAGTCGGCCGGGTTGTATGCAGCGAAGCTATCTGACTTGCCGCTCGACGCAGGGTCGCGGTCGAGGAATGCGGTGCATTGTGCGAGGATTGTCTCGAAGGTATCAATATCGTCTTGTGTGACATTGTTCGGGCCACTTCCAATGCTTGGGAACTGAATGCGGATAAAGGCGCCCGCGTCGGGAGCCAAATCCCATCGGGGGATCAAGTAGCTATCGGGTGGTTGGTGGAAGATCTGGGTGGTAGCTGGTAATGCGAGATCCAGCTCGGGGGGGAGGTAAAGGTGTAGGTAGAAGTCTTCCTCGGGGGTTTGTGTGCCCGCACCGGCGGCATATGGAGGAGTTGGAGCCGATGTGGCAGTAGGAACCATCAGAAGGGAGAGGGTTTGAGGACCTGATGGTGTCAACTCCTGCTCCTCACCATCCTGAATGTGAAATGCGCGGATATTGTTGACGCTGTAGAGCAGCCGGGGATCGTGTGTAGCGCCCGACATGGTGTGAGAATGGATGTGTACTAAACAAGGAAATTGAGTTGTCCGTAATTCAAATCGGTGCTGATAACAGTCGATAAGGCGATGACGTCGGTTGTTTTCAAGCTGTGGACCACGCCTTTAGAACAGGGGAAGGAGCGAAAGACCAGTGTCTTACGGTCCACACGAGATCAATGAGAGAAGAAAGAAACAATCTCAGACGGCAGCCAAGGAGGGGCTCTCTTATGAGACTACTGGGGCTGGGCGCTTAGATAACAGGAGCCAGCAGGGGCCCCTCGTCATTTTCCTTATTCTCCAGGAGGACGAGATTGCTGCGCCACAGTTCTCTAGGTCACACCGCCACATCGCCACGCTTCTGCCACATTCGCCTGTGGCCAAAAAGGGTCGCGTTGTCTCCGATTGGATCTAGCAATGAAATCTAAAAGCCTCAGTACCTTTCTGGCTTTGAGGTTCCTTGGTTATCTGGTTCTTTGTGGCGACATCTAACCAGTATTATCCAACGATCCAGGGCCCTCAATGGTCGAAATCCAGATTGTGTCTGACTTGCATCTGGAAAATCCATCTGCCTACGATGTCTTCGAGGTCACCCCCCACGCGCCGTACTTGGCACTCCTGGGTGACATAGGTGTGGTGGAAGATGCAGGATTTTTCACTTTTATTGAAACTCAACTCGCTCAGTTTCAGGTGGTGTTTCTACTCCTAGGCAATCATGAACCATGGCAGTCATCATGGCCGAAGACAAGACTGAAAATATCCGAGTTTTCTGACTCAGTCAAGAAACGACGTACACCGGATGAGCCCACAACAAAGCCTCTGGGCGAATTTGTCTTTCTGGACCGGACCCGATACGATATCGCCCCAGATATCACAATCCTCGGATGTACCCTTTGGTCCAATATCACCGAGGAATACAAGGAGCGCATCAGCTTTGGAATCAACGACTTCTATTACATCAGCGATTGGGATGTTGCGGAGCACGTCGGCTGTCATCAAGCAGACCTAAAATGGCTCAATAGCCAGGTTGCGCACATCGCAGCTTCTGAACCACAACGGAAAATCGCCATTTGGACACACTACAGCCCTGTCATGACTGATGCTCGTGCGGCCCACCCAAAGCATAGCAATAGCCCTCTTTCGTCGGGATTCGCCGCGGATCTTTCGCAGGAGGAATGTTGGACCAATCCGCAAGTGCACCTTTGGGCATTCGGCCATACCCATTACAATACTGACTATACTGATGAAATGACTGGTAAGCGGGTCGTCAGCAATCAGCGGGGGTACTACTTTTCTCAGGCTGTTGGATTCGATTTGGAGAAGGTCGTTCGCATTTGATGAATATAGTCCCGCACATCTGGCGTGTCGGCTCCATACTTGTCGCTCTCTTCGAGAGCAAGGCCGCACACTTTGCATCCTATCGTTAGGACCAAATTGATGGAAATTCATCAAGACCTGATTATCATGTTCACAAGATCCACGCCGCTTATTCAGGCTACTTGGATGCGATCGTATCAACTGAGCAAAACAGTACTACTGCCCAGGTGGATCAAGACACTGATGCCAGGAATAATATTCGATCTTGCATATCTCGGTGATTTCTGATACAGAGGTACAAGAGCCACGATCTGATATCTGGCGTTAGTCTTCTTGGACCGTGTCACTTTCCTTGCCACGGAACTGCGTACTTTGTATTCTATATCGACGTAGAAATTCAAAAGCTTCCTGATAACAACCTCACTTATAACGATCGAGCCCGTCACCGATATCCAAATCCATGCTTTTTCTGTCTCCTTTCGCCTTTTGCTCTCTACCTTGACCTTTTCTTATCTCATACCTACTTCTTACAACTTTACTTCTTTGCTTCTATCTTCAAGACAGTGCGTTCCCTCCCACTTCTCCCCCGGTTCCTCTTCCAACTTCTTCATGTCGACTTTATTCTTCGTTCTCTCTATCTCATTCCTCATCCCTCTCCACACTACATAATTTGCATTCCCTCCCTGATTGTCCAATTTACACTGACCACTTTGCCTTCAGACCAAACCAGTCGGCATGTCAGCCCCGAATAAGGTCACCAAGAAACCGTGCGCACGCGCACCCAAGCTGAAGGTAGGCACGCGTCTGCATGAATTCCTCACCAAAGGCATGAACGCTGCTGCTGGTCCGTCGTCGACGTTCTCTATCACGGCACATGGCGATGTGCACAAACGAACTGCATTCCACGGAATCTTGAACAAGTTTCCCGAGTCGACGAAAGCCGCCGCAACTTTAAGAAAAGCTCAACTTCAATGGCTCTTGTCGGCCTGGACCTCGGCACCGGCGAACGCAAGGCCCTCCGCTGCTTGCTCAAACTCCCCAAAGACAAACTGAGAATCCTTGGACAAGCCCTTGGAGAGCCCTTGAAACACGCAGCGATCAACAAGTACCTTGACTACGAGCAGATCTGTGATAGGGTTGGCACCGGGTTCAACAAGCTGAGTCCCGATGAGCAGACAGAAATCTGCCATGATATTCGGGCTCGTACCAGCGTCGAGGTTCAGGGCTGCGCCAAGAATACTCCAACCACCACCCAGACGTTCACTACCATGCAGAGTCGTCCAATCAACCATGGCCAAATCAGTTCGCGCAACACGGCCGGGATCAATATTCCCCTTGCCGCTCCGTCCACTGCAGCCTTCAACTGGCAATTTGTCCTAAAACACTACTCAAGCGGTTTCAGTGCATCTCACTAAGTGCCTTGGAAGATTACCTCGGTTCTGCCTACACTTATTCCCTTCGCGGCGCTGCATGACTGCCTCTCCCACTATGGATATCGTCTTACAGCCAAGCATATACAAGACCACAAGAACGAACTCTCATATGCATACCCTGCATTTTCTCTTTTGATAACAGGGGCACTTCTATAGCGCTAAACAACGCCCACCCTTATAGTGGACAGATATGATACTGCGAGCAAATTCAGGGCTATTGCCATTTCTAGCTATGAGTGCGTTACTTGGCGATGCTTCAGTCAGAATTTAAACGCAATATCAGAAATGCAGATTCGACGCCTTTCATTGTATAGTAGATCAAGGTATCTCCCCTGTCTTGAGGAACGCATTCGACTGCTTATATGATCTAACAGCGTGATCAACAAGTAAGCAATATTCATTTCACAACGTTAAGGTCACCGCTGGCCCGGACTGGTGTCTGCTGCTTATTCCTCGTTTCAAATATGCTTGTTTATACCATGATCAAGCCTAGGTGTATATGCGCACGGCTATACTCAGGTGTGCCGCAACCTTCAGAAAAACATTCAATGACATACATATTGCCATTTGAAGACATCAACACGTCTACAAATAGAGAAGCCGGAAAGAAAAAAGAAAAGCCGAGTTTGATTTATATAGCGAAGAACGAGGAAGAAGAGAATCCACGAGGCCTATATTGGCAGAAGAAACAAAGGAACGGGCAAACAGTAGGTAAGCGCTGGTCCTGGAGGATCCGCTTAGCAGGAGGAAATCTCCATCATCGTTTATGTAAGTGCGGGTAAGAGCTTTGGGACTGGACCGTCTGTTTAATTCATGTATTCCATTGTATTACAAAAATCATCGAAAAATCCACCATCGACTGATGCTAACAAGCCGAGGTCAGTCGAAGGCCCACTTGTTGAAAGCCTAATCATTGAGGGAACAAAATCACTGTTCATGGCTCATCCACCAACCAATAAAATTGAACACTCTGTCATGCAAACAGTGCAAACTGGCGGCGCGCCACTCATTCCGAATAATTTTTGATAGAAAGATTGGCCACCGCAAGTTTTAATTTCTGTTGCAGCAAGGACGTCCTACGGATTAGAACTAGCTCAGTGAGTTAGTTTGGAACCAGCAGAGTCAGTCTTTTGTTCAAAATGTCCGACATGGACTCGACAATTCCTCAATCCGCGGCTGCGGAGACCATTCAAGCTCCATCGGAAGCGGAGGTCATCAAGCGCGATGCAGCCAACGGTAGCCCTGCTGCCGAAGAGCCTCCCTCCAAGAAGGCCCGCATAGACGAGCCTGGGGAGCCTGAGGATGAGCGCGCGACTTTGCGCAGCAGGGGCATTGCACCCATCAAGGCAGAGTAAGCCAGAGTCATCCATCTTTGACACCAGTCTGGTCATGACTGACAATTCTACGAATCTTAGATACCTGATCAAATCTGCACCTAAGCAAGTTCCCGATGCCGTCACCGACGATGCAGCCGAAGCTGCTTCTCATACCGAGCGTGATGACGAGAAGAAGAAGAAGGGTAAAAAGAAGCCGAAGGGTCAGAACACCAATCGAAGCTTTGGCAGCTCAAAGGATGCGAAGGGCTTGTGCGCCTCTAGAATGCTCAGCCCAGAATTTTCGCCCGAAGAGTGCCAATTCGGTGAGAAGTGCCGATTCGAACACGATCTGCGACTTTACTTGAAGGAGCACAAGCGCGAGGACCTCACAACGTTCAATGGGATCTGCCCTGTCTATGAGGCACGGGGTACCTGCTACGCTGGCTGGCGATGCCGCTTAGTTGGATCGCACTCGATGGAGAGAGAAACCGCAGATGGAAAGAAGGAGCTTGTTTTACTGGAAGATGAGGAGCGCAAGGCGAAGGCCAAGCCCCTTGTGCCTCTTGCTACTCGCGAGGGCCTTGTCAACATCATTTCTTACGAAGACAAAGTCGCGCTGTCACGAAAGCGGGAGCACACTCCTCGTGCCAATCAATACAATGATTGGCTCAACAAGGTTTCTCAGGAACTAGAGAAAGAATTGCATGGACGATTCCACAATGGTGCAGAGATTCCCGAGAATGGAGAGACCCCCAAGACGAACGGTGATGCTGAAAAGGCCAAGGAGGAACTGGAAGACAACCGGGCTCAATATACGGAACCTCCCTTCTTGGCATCCGAAAAGAGGCGCATCTACTTTGGACCGGAGACTCCAGCACTGGCACCTCTGACGACACAGGGTAATCTCCCATTCCGCAGATTGTGCGGAGACTTGGGCGCTCAATTCACCTACTCCGAGATGGCTCTTAGCATGCCTCTGATCCAAGGCAACAAGTCAGAGTGGACCTTGATCAAGGGCCACGAAACTGAAATGCTCCCTCCAACCATCACCCCGGGGCCGAATGTTGTGCAAGGATATGACAACTCTAAAGATTTCAGATTCGGTGCCCAAATCACCGCTAACAAGCCCTTCCAAGCACTCAAGGCCACCGAGGTGCTTTCCAGGTATACTCCTAACTTGCGCGTCATTGACTTGAACTGCGGCTGCCCTATTGAGCTCGTGTACCGCGACGGAGCCGGCTCTGCGCTCCTGGACCACCCCTCCAAACTGGAGAAGATCATTCGTGGTATGAACGCAGTGTCTCAGGAAATCCCCATCACAGTCAAGATTCGCATGGGAACCAGGGACAATCAACCTAATGCACTGAAGCTCGTTGAACGCCTAGTCCTGGGTGGTTACGAATCCAGCATTTTAGATGTTGGCCCCCCTGGTGCTGCAGCCATCACCCTTCACGGACGAAGCAGACAGCAACGATACACTAAGCAAGCAGACTGGGGCTACATTGCGGAGACCGCTGCTCTCATCAAGCGTCTGAATGAGAAGACGGACGTTCTTACGGACACCATTCGCGAAGCCGATCCTCGCTACATGCCTAACGGCGGCAAGACCTACTTCCTTGGAAATGGTGATTGCTTCTCTCACGTGGATTACGACGATCACATTCAGAATGCTGGTGTTGATGCAGTCATGGTGGCTCGTGGTGCTTTAATTAAGCCCTGGATTTTCGAGGAGATTCAGACCGGCCAGTACCTGGACAAGTCCGCCTCCGAGCGTCTTGCCTATATCGAGAAATTCGCCAAGTACGGCCTCGAAGCCTGGGGCTCCGATGAATTCGGTATTGGCACAACCCGCAGATTTTTGTTGGAGTGGTTGAGCTTTGCTTACCGCTATGTTCCCCTTGGCCTGCTCGAATACCTTCCTCCGCACATCAACGATAGACCTCCTGCTTGGCGCGGCCGGAATGACTTGGAGACCCTTATGGGCAGTGGAAACTACAAGGATTGGATTAAGATCACGTAAGTTTGCTCTATGATCCCTCTTGAAGCACTTGTCGAGCTTCTTGACTAATGTATGATTATAGTGAGATGTTCCTCGGCCCTGCACACAAGGACTTCAAGTTCGAGCCCAAGCACAAATCCAACTCCTACGAGGCTGAGGGTTAAATATGATATTTTACACGTCTTGGGATTTCAGTTTAAACTTGTATATGGCATAGAGAATCAACATGAACGTGACACTGTTCCGGATATGATGAAATGACAGCTCCACGCTGTAACGTTAGGGCTGCCCGCACGGTCACGTGCAGATCAGGACGATGACGTCTTCCCCCCGAGGCTTGGAAAACTTCCCCATAAAAGACCACCACCTCGAAACCTGCACGTCCGCCAGCTGGTCTTCCAATTTCCATTTGCTGCCCGATTTGAACACGTCTACCACTTGGTACTCGTACTTTTAGTCTCCTAGCTCCCCACCGCTCGAAGCAATCTACCTGCTGGTGTTTGTTTACACTCCGGCCAGTTTACACCAAGCTCTCCAATCAATCCCCCACCCCCTTTTGACAGGCACGAACCTCTGATCCCGCATCTCGTGCTACTCAAACAAACATCGACAAGATGACTCTCTACTACAGCCTTGTATGTTCAACTTGTGTCTTCTCCAGATTCCCTGCTGTTGCTCTCCCGCCGATTCAGCTGTGGGCGCGGTTGCAGCCTAGCTGGCTCGATCGGCCAGCTCGCCAAAACTCCCCCGCAACGCGTTTGAGGGTAATATTCCACCAGGTCTGAAGACTGACAAATATATCTTCAATTAGGTCTTTCTTCTCTTGGTGTTCGAGATGGCGGTCTTCCTGGCCCTCATCGTCCCTCTGCCGTTTACCATTAAACGGAAGCTCTTCGCTTTCATTTCCGAAAGTCCGATCATAGCAAAACTACAGTATGGATTGAAGGTATGACAAGCACCGTATATTGCAGATCACCTGTGCTTATCTAATGAACAAAATATAGATAACATTCATCTTCATCCTTATCCTGTTCATTGACAGCGTCAACCGGGTCTTCCGGGTGCAGCAGGAGCTGGCTGCCTTCACCAAGGATGGTTCTGCGATCGGGTACGTTCTCTACAGTATAATTCGCCCGATTATGACCACCACTAACCGAGTCTTCGTGATAGCGCTGCCCACCTCGGTACCGACCGTATGGAGGTGCAGGCCCGCAAGTTCTACTCGCAGCGTAACATGTACCTGTGCGGCTTCACCCTCTTCCTCTCCCTGATCCTCAACCGCACCTACATCATGATCCTGGAGGTCCTCCGCCTTGAGGACCGTGTTAAGCTGCTCGAGGGTGACAAGAAGGCAGGCGGCAAGGACTCTGCCCGTCTCGCCGAGGCTGGATCCGTTGGAGAGATTGGCTCCCTGAAGAAGCAGCTGGCCGAGAAGGAACGCGATATCGAGACCCTCAAGAAGCAGTGCGAAGGCCTGACTCGCGAGTACCACAAGCTCGGTGATGAGGTCTCCTCCGGCAAGAGCGACAAGGCCGTCAAGAAGGACCTGTAAAGTGTCCGCCTGTCTCTCTGGGTCTGGAGACCGATTCCGGCCGCCTCGTGCAATCTCGGCCTCTTCCTAAGGCTCTGAATTCCAGCACGTGAAATTACCCGCGCTAGTGCCGTGTGCCCACCATCGGTCAACCTAACCTCGCACACGATATTTCTCGATACACCGATCGACAACAGGCCATAAATATCTCTTCCAGAACTATCAACGACCTTCCGCCACGTTGAGGGGTACCCACTGCAGAAATTAACCCCGTAGGAACGGTGCTTTTGTATCATCGTCCCTAATATTGACAGTATGTTAGCCAGGTGTTCGAAGGATGGAGTCACTATTCATAGTGCTTGTTCTAGAAGCGCTCGTCTTTTCAATTTCTGCACGATGGTTTTTTGGGACCAGGATCATCTCGCATTATGAAGATAGGGCTTTATTCTCTCGGGTCATAAATTCATCTTCTTTGAAATTCATAAAATCTTCGTAACTGTACAGATATTGTCTATGATCATGCCAAGGTTGGGGGGAGTATAACCATATATAGTTCGAGCTTCAAATGAGGAATGTCCAGAAGCTGGGGTATACCAGCTCTTCCTCAAAGATGCGACGAACTTGCGCGAGAACAAAGCGCTCCACCTTGCCCACATTCTTAAGTACTTGTTTACCGTCTTCTTTACGGCCAATCTCGCTGTCTACTCGAATCTCCTGCAGCAATCCACCCTGTCGCTTTTGGTCTCCTCCTGATCGAGGTCGGCCATCCTCACCAGGCTGCTGACTGCTCTGATGCTGCCCTTCAGAGCCGAGCAGCGCATCGGCATCTTCGGGAGATAAGAAACAGAAGTGGATGCGTTTACGGATATACGCAACCACCGCCACGCCGTCAAAGGTAATGCCTGTGACATTGAGTTTCAGCGGGAGACCGACGAAGCTCGGCATCGGGTAGTCGAGCAAGATCTCAGCTGTCAATGATAACCGGACATCGCCGGCATATTTGGCGTGGCAGAGGATCTGGAAATCTTCCGGGCGACGCTCGCGCATTCGAGGCGGGATTGGGGCGGAGGGGTCGATGGCGGGTTCTGTGGATGGCTGCGGTATGTCTGCGGGATCACCGCTGTTGCGATTTGATCCGCCGCTGCCGGTATGGCCAGCTGAAGGGTGTGAGGGTATTGTGTTGGCGGTGGACGGCCGTGACGCGGAGTTCGTGGTGTCGATGTCTGCGTCTGTTCGGTGATGAAGGCCACTAGGGCGGGGGGACGGCGTGGCTGGCCACCTTGGCCCATGCCCGAGTCTGACCAGCTGCTGCCGAACGGTGTCCCGCCAGCTACAGCCGCGAGGGGAGTCTGGGTGCCCGAGAGACCACCGAGGGACATCAAATGGTACCCGAGAGTCGATGTGCCTCCGGGAATACCAGGGGTGCCAGCGCGAGGTAGGAAGTGCGAGTTGAGATGGTCCCCTAGGGGCAGTGGAGACCGAAGTGCAGAGGGTTGAAAAGCCTCGCCGGGGTAAGGATGGTGGTGGAGGTTATACGGGACATCGTCGTCGTAGGTGGAGTCCGAGTTGCGTCCGGACCATTGCTCATCGATGAGCTCTTCAGAGGTTGCAGATGTGTCGTCATCGTCTTCTTCGTAGAAGTCAGAGAACGGTTCACAAAAATCCTTAATCTCAAGATCTGGTCCGATAGTCCCGAAATCGAAGGCATGGCATTGGACGGAGCGGATGAAGCGCGGTAGGGGGACCTGTTGGAACTTGTCATGGACAAAGGAGCGGATGCGCTCTGCTAGAGCTTCTCCGTCCGGACCGGACGTGGCCCTTGCCCAGTCGACTTCGATGGACATTACATGTGCGTCGCAGATGGACCGAAATTGTTCCAATGTCTAAACGATGGAGCAGGGAGCTCTCGCGACGACCTGGTAACTTCCAATCACGTGATAGATACACAGCGAGATCGAAGATCGCCCTGGATGCTCCCTATCTATCCCAACTTGGCGCCTACGTAATTTACGAACCCCAACCTGTAGAATGATGCAACCAAAAATGGCTTTTGGAATCAAGAGTCGGGATTTGCTATCGATATTGAATATGCATGTTGAAGCCAGTCTATGGATCTATGGACCCTCTTCTCTTCCCCCAACCCCCGAACCCTCGAGGCGCTTCAAACCCTGGCCGATAGGGCCAACAATGTGACGAGCATGCGAACGCGCATGAGCGATTAAGCCTTCAGGATTTCTCAAATGCCGTTTATCCGAGTCTCTAGTTCATTCATTGTAGTGTCTCTGTTTCATTACGTGCTTATTGGCCTTATCTTCATCCTTCGACGGTACATCGCTCCAGGAACATGCTGCTTGATGCGAGATGCCTTCCCGAGCGTACTTCAATGCGGTGGTACCAAAGGGGAATCCCTTTTTGGAAAATACTACACAAAGGATTAGAGTTCATGTATTCCGAATCAACTGATTTGAGCGCCATGCAGGTCTGATGCCATGCACTAGATGTCCATCCGCGGCTCTCAGCCTATCGCCTAATGCCAGCCACGGTTATTGCTACAGATCTATTCGTTTGATTCAAAAGCCAGATGAATCTAGCATTAAATAGCTGGCAATGTATCTGTCCACTCCTCGTACCTGTTGCCACACTAATGCACGAATGCTTTCGAGACGTTCTCGGCTTCTATCAATCCTCGTTAGCCCACTAGTAACTGACGGATGACAGATTTTCGAGCTAGGAACTGGAGAGGCACTCGCCATTTCCTAGCGTCCCAACATATTTTATGTGTAGCTTTATAGTCAGAGATATGCTACGATTTGACTCTAAGGGAAGAGTTGAGATTTCTACGGGTTCGGAATTTTGGAACGTGCCAGGCCAGGTGATTAAAGAAAGTCATCTGAGGATAATGAAGGCTTGTATTCAGGCAAAATATTAAGCCCCTACATGGCAAACGCTTTAAGTTGCCAGAAAAATTGCAAATGCCAGTTCAAGGTAAGAATGAACGCAAAATATCAGACTGAGCTAAGCAAGAAAGACGTTCCAACACTGAAGATGCCCCCCAACCTATGTCTGGGTTCGATAAGATACATGACAACAATCAACAGTCAACTAATCCTCCTTTTGACATACATGTAGCAAGTCATTGTTCAAAAAGACCGGAGCCAGTAATGAAGGGCTCGTTGAAAGTGATGGGATCACAGCCAGGTCTTTGTGTATTAACCTGCATCAGCGAACCGTAATCGGGCAGCAAGTGAGTCCTATACTGACCTTGCAGAAGGCTGTCTAGCCACCGTGTGCCGGGCATTTGTAGCCGTCTCGGCGGCGATAGTGCTCCTTCACTCCCTGGCAAGATGGAGTTCCAACCTTGGCACAGTGAACGATACCGCCCTCACGCAGGCAACAACCGCAGTCGTACAGGAAAATGTAAATAGAGCACATTTTGAAAGTATAGATGTGTTTCCTCCGGATAAGACAACTCAGAAGGCTTTTCAAAGTGAATATAGTCACTGATGAGCTGGCTGGCTGGATTGATGAGGGTGAAGACCCGGAACAGCGAGGAATCAAGGCCACTTTATATCATTCTGAGCAGCGATGTAGATATAATGACTGTGCCACGACAGGGAGCTCGCAGCAAATGAAATGACCTTCACATAAGACTGTGATATCTTGCGCATTCACTGCCGCTGTGGGGGATGATTGATGCGCCATATGCATCTAATGTCTTAGTAGTCACTCCCGAAATGAGCAAGACATTTGGATGCAGAGGGCAGACAAGGCATACAATGTTCTAGATGGTAGAATGGGAAGACCGGTCATCTCTGCGAACCAACAAGTCCAAATGTTGGCGTTTAAGTGGATCATCAGAGAGGGCCACCCTGTGTCCAGCGGACGACGCCCAGTGATCAAGGTTCTGTGAACGCCGGCACTGGCATGTTCATCGAACCGTCGATCAGGGCAGGTCACCTCCAGTTGGCATTAATGTCTCGACGCTATTGCTGATAGATTCGACAATACCTCGTTAAAGACCATGGCTTGTGGACTCAGAGGCCAACTAATCGTCGTTTCGGTAAAAAGGGCCGCGCAATGGAACCAACGCTCACTGAACACAACGGGACAAGCCGAAAACTCAGAATGAAATGAGCCTACACAATAGAGCATGTCATGTTGCTGTGTTTCTATCGGAAAGATTCCACCTGCCACAGTCCGCGTAGTGGATAAGCCCCAAGTTTTCGGGGGCCAGCACAAGAGAAATGGCGTGTGGCACCTCGTAAATTAAACCTGAGCACGGTCAGCCTTTTCTTCGAGAGTCCACGAATCATAAAATTCCGAGTGAAGGCTTCTCAGCAGGATGACGTTCATCAGCGGGTGTGAGGCCCGGTGGAGCGTGGTAGCAGGACCCAGAACTATAGGATCAACATCGCGGCCTGAACGGGAGCTAGAAGCTCGCCCAAACCTCTCTCAAGAGAAGTTACAGACATCACAGTTCTGGACAGAGGGCCCCCAATAGCTAATCTCCATACCATGACCCCAAGCTGACCATGCGCAGGCGACCGAGAACCCGCCGGAATGGATCAGTTGGTGATAGCAGCGAACAAGCCGCATTAGGATGACAGATTCGAGACCATGAGGTGGTATTAAGCGAAAATCCCAGTTATCCTGCGTTCGGATTTTGAGAATGTATCTCCAACTCTGTTCATAACAGCTTCATCGACTGTTGGGTGCTCCTATGTCATCAGTATGTGGCATCCTCGTTGATCGAGGTTATGAGTATGCATCGGCCACGCCGGGATATCTCAACCAACGATCAATGCCTGCCAATGAAAACTCACTAGCGCCAATGTGACTGGTGAAAATTGACTGTGCTCGGCGGGAGCACGGTCGGGTCCCTCCCCCTAAATATTTGTGACTGAGGCTCATCACTTGGCGCCTGTGCTCCGGGAGATCGACTCTGGGCAAGGAAGCCGCCGAGAGTGTCGGCGGCAACGCACAGCGACTAAGCACAACGCAAATTATTGGCACTCTTCCCCCACTCTATTTGGCGCCGTTGGACTTCCAAGAGTATCCCAATGGAGTACACCTCAATCAACGAAGGGAAAGACAAAGAGAAGGTTGGAAAAGTACGTTGTGTGGGAGGCACCTTTGGTGGTGCAGGAGGACTACACCACGTGACTGGTCCAGCTATTGATGCTACGACGGCGTCTGTACAACCTCACTTTAGGTTCCTGTGTGCTTTCCATTCCCGAACCAACCAGGAACCTCAACTTCTTTCTCTCCTTCATCTTGGATCTTCGTGTCTGTGTGATGGTTACTTCGAGTTCTAGATCTCACATGTCGGCCACTTTCCCCGCAAATGGGCCAAATCAAACAGCCGAGTTGATCGGGCACTATCGGCTAAAAGAGATATCATCTTCCTCATGAAACCGCGATTCCCACCAGTGCCAATGATGTCATTTGCTGTTGCTTTGTCTCGAAAGAGAAATGAATTGCGCTATCGCGGGGATCACCGTGAAAACAAACCGGAGCAGCCAACTGTTACGACGCGGACACAGTCGGGATGATCGGAGCGCGTCGACAACATCCACGAACGAGATCCGGTTGTGCGAGGGCCACTCGTCCACACTTGAAACCAGGCGGCTGCATGGGCATTAGGTGGAACGAATCAGCCTGTGAAATGGCAGTGCTCTCGCACACTGGACGGGGAGCGTTTAACTAATTATGGGGTCTTTGGTTTCTGTTTTCCTGGGGCTGACTTGGCCCTCCCCTCATCCTGGCTGTGGATCTTCCGAGGTTGACTTTTCTTTGGCTCGCGGCTTGCAACGGACCCGCCAGAACGAAAAAGGGGAAAGACAATAGCAACTACTCCATACGATTGCTGCTTATTTCCCCCCACTAACAAATGGCTCAAACGGATTACGCAATTGGCAAGTCTTTCCATAGCCACAACACTGGGCAATTATTGCAAGAGACTTGCTGCTTAGTCTTTGCCAAGAGAGACGCATAGCTGCCATGGCTGCTGGGAATGACTGAAGAAAGTGGCGGCCAGGCCAGACCGACGCTGGTGTGACCCCAGAATACCAAACCACCAAAGCCAAGAAAGGCGAAGTCGAAGAATTGGAAAGCAAAGAGGGAAGATCACGATAGCGATTCCAATAGTGACGTCTTGGCCGGTAAGAAGGAGGAGTGCCTGTTCCCCCTTTTTCGGGCCAAGACATGTGAAGTGTTTGGGATGTACCGGATTGGGCAATCGTGTCGATGATTGGGGCAGGCTATCCAGTTCTCTCCAGTCCTATCCACTGGCTTGATCCTGTGCTATGCAAAATTATCAGCGATTATCGCGGGGAGGCTTGCCTGGCTGACTGCGTGACCTCTCGGGTATCCACTGGCTTTCCCGCTGAGATGCACGACGTGCTGGATCGACGGGCTTGTCTTTGATACCGGAATGCCCCTCCCTCTCCAAGGTCCCTCGCTATCTCTTGGCTCCGTTGCGACTCGTGGACTATAAAGCCTGACCGATTTCACCCGCTGAGAGTGTGCAACTCGTCCCATCTCTCACCCTCTCTGCCTCTCTCTCCCGACTAAAAAGTGTTTATCTGTTGCAAAACTCCTGCCCCGCGCTCAGCCATCTATAACCGCTTTTGGCTCAACTCTCTCACCCGGCACCCATCCACACAATAATCTTCCACTCAAACCATCGCCTAAGCGAGCTAAAAGTCTCTTTTTCAAAATGTTCAAGATTCCCCCTCCCCGTCAGTTCCTCGTCCTTTCAGCCACTAGCTCAGCTCCCTTCGACCCGAGCCACAAGTTCCTCGTCTTATCTCCTACCGAGTCTGGCCCCGACTCTCGTCTCTACGATGAGCAGGCCGTGACCGAGTCCGCTACGGACGAGCACCAGCAGGAGCTGCATCGCTCCAACAGCTCCTCTTCCAGCTCTTCGGAGGACTCTCAGGTTGACGATCTTACTGCCAACTTACCAAGTGGCTTCCTTTTCCTGGGCCACACCAGGGGTCGCCGCGCCTCCCAGTGATTGAGACTCACATGGCTATTCCTTTTCCGTATCTTTCCACTTCTCATGACAATTGTTTCATCAACTTGATACCAGCGACCGACGCATTTTGGTTTTACTGTATGACCTAGCGATCATCTCGGTTTATTGATCGTGGATTTGGCTCAACCCAAGAGACACCGACATCGTGCCTCTACGCATTGAACCCATCCCCTTCTGGACAAACCAATAGGATGGAAAAGCACAACAAGGGTGTTGGAGGCGCTATCTGATCTGGGCTTTTTCTTATTTTCTTACTTATTTCCTTATCTCTCAAGGTCAACATGCCAGAATCCCCAGTGGGCATGTTTGCAATGCAAGCAACAGATTGCAATACAAATATGAAATTTTTTCCAATTACTCCGTCCCTCTCCATTTTAGATGTATGTACAAACAAGGCACCCTTGCCCAGCCCAGCCCAACCAGCTCTTATCTCTGCCCAGAACGCAATAAGCCCACTGGATGCGAGGGAGGTGCCCTCCTGGATACCTGCCAAGTGACGTGCCAAGGGCGATTGCTGATCCGCCAAGCCTTGTGCAGTTTGATAGACCCGTCTTGGCTGTGAGGCTAGGATCCCTGCGCCTCGCGGATCATGTTCATCAGGTTGCACAAGCTGATTGCGGTTGTGTACCGTGGCGAGCCCTAGATCACTTATTGGGATGAACTTGCCAATATTGCCAAGTCTACCTGTTACGAATTGTGCTGTTGTGATGTGGATGATGATGTTTCGCCCACCTTGGCCGTTCGTCTCTCTTCTTGCCCCTCCGTTCTTTGCTTTTTTTTTTCCTGGCGCCAGCGGCCAGTTCGCCCTAAACACACGTTTGTTTTTCTATTCGTGGGATTGGACAGCCATTTGTCCTAGACTGGCTGCTTACATTTCTGGGGCTAATTATTCTGTGTTGGTCGCCTCGGTGAGATCACGGTGGAGTTGGAGCCGGATCCTTCTCCCCTCATCCATTGACCCCCCCAAATTCCACCCCGCATTTCGGTGAAGATCTGGAGCAATAATATACATTTTAGACTCAAACGATGATCTCGGTGAATATTGCAATCTTTGCATGCATGGTGTGATATCTTCATCCAGTGAGATTTGGCAGTTCCGGTGGCAATCTGGCGGCTTGAGATTTGTGGAACGTGTTATCTCCGCTTGTGCGTTTAGGGGGCAGCCGGTGAAGGATCATGCTGTTTAAATTGCGGATATTGCGAGATTGACACTCGAATCGGCCTCGCGGGTATATCTATTTAGCCGAAGCTGGAAGCCTAGCCGTTTAGGGCGTTGTGTTTTGGGTATAGTTGTTGGTTGCACTCCCAAATCAGTGACTTTAATGTCCTGTGCTCTGATCTAAGGGCGTTGTGAGGTTTGGATATATGAGGCGACGTTAGTCTTGTTAAAAATCGCTACGGTAGGTTGCATTTCACTTTCCCAAGTTCAACTCTCATGATAAGGATTTCAATTCAGGTCTACCTCGAGATTCCTACTGGACGACTTCGTCAAACTATATTGATAACCCTCCCACCAAATGTCTTGCTTAACCAAAGCGAGAGACATTTGGACAACGTTCCATGAACGACTCATGGAAACTAGGTATAAGCCATTTTCTAGGGAGAATTGGAATATAAAGGAAGGATCGAGAAGTCGCTGAATGAATGAAATGAAATTTTCGATGGATATTTGCTAGCTAATGCTCATTAAGTCTCTCGATGAGAAGAGAGAAAGGCTTGTGTCTGATAGAGCCAGGCCTTTGTCTTTAGCAACAATTGTCCTAGTAATTCTTATACTGAGATCTTAAGTATACTTACGGAACCGAACAAAACGCTCAACAATTCCCGAATATGTCAAGGTAACTTTCCTATTACTTTCCTTCACGGAAGAGCTAATCGCGTTTTAACAGACGCAGAAGAGGGAATTCTACGGGATCTACGAGCCGACTAGCTTCTCGAAAATACTTGAATATTTTAAGTAGTGAAGTTGGAGGTGCTCGAGCCTAACCCAGGCACTCTCCAAAGCTACAGATGCCGCCAAACTATGTTGATGTACAGCTTTAATTCTTCAGTAGGTTTTTGGCCAGTCAATTGATCTATTACGGATGTTTCTAGGCAGTCTTCTCTGAATTATTACAGCAGAGTGGTCAGTCACTGAAGCATTCAGCATGGCGTTCGAGAACCAACACGAACGGAGAAATTGGTGATGCAGTCATCGCAAACTATGTGCCTAGAAGTTTTGACCATCTGTTGGGTCTGGAGTATTTCAAATCCCTTCGAGAATATCTAGGCAATCGATAACTCAGGTCCTATTTGTCTTTTGTCAACAAAGGCCCAGGACGACCTAGGAAGTGTTGGGTTCTAATGAGTTCAAACGTTTTCCATGAGAACAGCTTCTATACGAAATACAGGTCACGGAATGAAGGTGAGATTGATATTGGCCAGGGACTCACAGGCATGGTATGCACCAGACGAATCAAACCTACTAAATTGTACTTGATCGTGAATTTCGGCAGCCCAGCCCCCCTAAGTTCTCATGATGATCTTGTAACATATCCAACGGCTCCAAACCTGATGGAGTAGTCTCTGCTGCAAGCCTACAGGTAGACCTTCCGCCCAAGACGTGTGTCGATTCAGGCGAGGTCACATGGTCAAAGTTCCTCTATGAAATTATTGATAGGTATGACTCGGGCTATCCCTGTCACGAGACTATCCCAATTTCGTGGCTTTCTCATAGACTGACTCAAAATAAGTTCAGAACTAACTACATACTCCGCATTCCCCGCAGTTGAACGCGAGCCTCCATGCCGGGGGGGGGGTTGGGGGGGGGCTTTAACTCGGGCAGGCCCGGGACGAAAGCCCAGGTGGCTTGAGTCTAAGCACTGGGTCAGGTGAAAAGGGCGATGGTGAATGATTGACGCAAGGATGTTCAGTCCGGAAAGCCGCATCGTGCATCTGAGCTAGCCGCACGCGTAGATGGAACCGTCGATAGCATGGTAAGGCACGAATAAGTACAGATGTGACAATATGTTCAGGGGGGCCAAGATCGAATCGATAGAAATCAGAAATGCCCGTCCACTCTCGACTCCTGAACGCTTGTTCACCGCTAGTTGTGCTCAACTCGATGTTTACAGCCTCGAGTACTCCATATGCTGTTTCTCGTAAATCGACAAGTTAGCGGTCAGCGCGCTACCGCTAACTATTTACAGGGTCATGTGCACTCCCAAGCTAGGTGACACGCTAGCGGTTTCCAAGTCAGGGTCGCTGCCGCCGCAGTGATTCTATGAGACAGTCTATGACGCTAGGGTCAATCACATGCGAAGTTTTAAAGTGAAAATCAATTGTTGTGGTTGTATCTGTTTCCAGCTATCCCCACTATAGGAGCTAAGTAGCAATCTAGCGAAAGGGAAAGTTGATCGAAGGGAGATCTCCTGTATGCCTGGCAGATCCCCGCTTAACATACTATAGTACAGTATAGAACGCATCGGGGGTTGATCTATGATATCAGTCCCACTGCGGTGGGTTGGAATGGAGGGGGTAGTTTAGGTAGTAGCGTGGCATGTAAACGGAATCCATAATTAGTATTACGGAGATCTGGCCGTCTCAGGGGCAAATTGCGACGTTGAGCAGGAAAATGAGGAGCTGTTCGAGTCCGAAACTTGCGCTGGTTGGCTGTGTAGTGTGTACAGCGCATTGTTGTCCTTTGAACAATGCCAGAGTGTCTTCTTCACTATATTGAAACGATCAGGGTTGAGTGCCGAAACGCACATGCCAAATCGAGCGACGCCCGAGTAAATTCCGTGGGGAAACACACGCGGCAGGAAAAAGACTTTGGGGCTGAGATGGAGAATGCAAATCATACTGTCTTCGGCAGCAGATAGATAAGTTAATTTGAGGTTACCTGCAGGAGATTCTGGGAGATAAATGGACAGTCTCCTTGATACGGAGTTCAACGGGCGCTGTAGTATGGTACAATCAGGGAAGAGCGGAGGGCCACCCGTGTAATCCGTATTCTATACCTATTCCGTACTCCGTAAATACAGAGGGCAGACAGGATGGCCTTGTCCGAGGGTCCAATTTAGAGCCCAGCGGGGGCGGTGTGGTCGTGTCACTTCCATAGGACATGAAGACTCTGGGCAACGCTAATTGATCGAAGGCCGACCGAATGCTTCTGCCGCGTTTCTAGCGCCAAAGCCAAGACCAATTGACTCCCGACTGAAACCTTGGGTAGTAGGCTAGAGCGAATGGAAAGACCACGATGTTTAGGACCATTTGCCGATTGACAGTGCCCGATGTATGAGGGCGCTGGTTGAACCTGTATTTCAAGGTTCGTACAGGTCACATTGTTGCCCCTTAATCACCAAGACTGGAGGCGGAAAAGGGGGCAGGTGATCAACTCAGCTTCAGCGGATCACAGTCGTACTTGTCTCGAGTCCACGAAAGCATGTACTGTATGTAGTATTACTTCAGACCAACGGAGAAGGCCGCGGAGTCCCATGGACTCCGTTGGTGACCAGTGTGGCAGTGGCCTCGGCGGAGCGGGAAATCGCCACCACCAAACGGTCTTGCCCCTTGCAGATGGGACCCCAGATCTACTAGGGCGGTTGAGGGAGAGCTTGATGCTAGCCTGCATGCTTTAGATCGTTAGATGGATCCGTATCCGGTGCTCTGGCGCCGCGGGCAACTTCGCTGTTACGGCGTGCTCGATCAGTAGATATTCCGATAGGCCCTCCTTAGTCTCCCAAGGGACGCCCGGCAAGCAGGAAGCGGTGGAGTCCCGACTTCCTTCACGATGAACCATGGGCGACGGTGTTCCGATCAGAGCGAGGATTCGCTGGGGGTATGCTCGACCCGCTCCACAGCCAGCCCGCGGCGTCGGCAAGAACAGTCAACCATAATGAAAATCCTCCCCGATCGGATGGGGATTTGGAGGAAAGGTGGCTGGAGTCTTAGCATGTCAGATCAGTTCTGCTTGAATGATGCGTCGAGTAATCAACCGGGTGGACGACGGAGAAGAACGTCAGCAACGTAAACATGAATCGGAATTGAGCTCAAGAGCGCATCATCAGTCAAGGCCCCATTAGTCATTTAATACGGTTAGCCGTGTGAAAATGGAGGGGAAGATGGGAATAATACCAGCACGTCCCCCAGTTCGCCACGTTGATTACCGTTGATACCCCGAATATACCAAAGTTACGCTAGTCTCGAGGCCCGTGTTTCAGGCCCGTACAGCCCATTACCGATCATGACGTCCCCCCTCGCTGGACTCTGCAAGCGGTGTGTCGTGGCATCATTCGATCGGCATCGGAGTCCCGTCATCGACGCATCTATACACAGTGCTGCTTACCACTAGATCTTAAGCAGTGCTAGAGTAGCTATAGCGTACCGGAACATCTTTGTCCGGTTAATATGCATTGATCTCGCAGCTAGCTCCAGCCAGGTAACATATTTCAGCTCAATTGGACCCGAGCAGCTCAGTGAAATTCAGTACTTTTTTTAATGTGCCTTAACTCCCCGGGTTGGCACTGCATCACGTGCAATCGGTAATACAGTAACGGCGCCAACCCCAAAGCGGCAGGGTTGCCTCCATCGCAGTCAGTCCCGCTGGGACTCACGGCCCTACCTCCTCTTCTAACCCTCGCTGATCTGGTGTCAGACCAAAAGTAAAAGGAGATATACTCGTCTCAAGAGTTCATCCATCTCTCATTCACTACGACACGCGGGATCCAAAGTTTTGAACAGAAAGACCGGCGCGTTCCATCGCCACTACTGCGCCAAAGAGACAGGCGATTCGCTGGGCCCCAGCACCAAGAGTGGGACATCATCCGAGGGTGGACTCCTCGAACCCGCCCAAAACCGCCATCCACCTAAAAGTCCACACCCATCGAGGGGCAGTTGGACGAGACTTGCTCTCCTGTCGCATTCTCATCCTCTTCAACTCTCCACGGTGACTTTCGTTCGCGCTTCGACACGGGACTTTCCCCATCAACCCTGTCCCCTCAACTCCTCGGGCCTGGCGTGCTCCTCCTTCGCGCGGGACCGGACAGGGAACTAGGATCCCTGCAGACCTTCCAGAAAAAAAAAGGTTACGGGACCTATTTTTTCTTTGCTTCTTGCATCTTTCCAGAACAAACGGAGTTATCTACAACGACTTGACATTCTTATCATCCTCGACCACGCTTACATCCCCTCCATCACCATGGCAGGCGCCGCTCCTATTGACATCACCACTCGACAGTCGACCTCGGTCTCACCACCGGGGCAACAGGCCTCGAACCTCACTTCGGCACTCCAGAGAGCTGGTACTGGTGAGCGCACAGGTAGTATATCGCATCACCCTAGCGGTGGGCTCGGAATGTTCAAGGCCCCGCCGCCTCGCAAGGACTCGATCGGTGCCGCTAATGTACAATGGGGAAACGGGACGAAGCCGATCTCGATGACGGGGTCTGCCCGCGACAAAGGCCGGCGGGAATCTCTCGCGGGAAGCTTGGTGGGCGGTATGAGCTGGGGTGGTGTGTCTGTAGGAAGCTGGATTCGCGATGAGTGAGTGGCGGAAACCCCATGAGACGAATAGATTAGAGAGGAGAGAGCAGGCGCACAGGGCGTGCGAAGGCCAAATGATGCCCCCTCCTGGCCCTTCCAAAAGACCTCTGTGCTCTGCTTGATTGTTTCACGGCATCGGAAGACTGACCAAGGAATTTTCCACACAGTATCATCATGACCGGCACCTCTCCATTTACCTTCCAGTCGCCTTCTTTCCATTCATCCTCATATCTGCCGAAGTTGGAGGCCAACTTCATGCGGGACTTTTCCTGCTGCGGTGTGACCTTACCGACGCTTCATGACCTATTACAACACTACGAAGAAGCCCATGCGACCAAGTCGCCCAATCAAGGACATCGCCCGAGCCAAGGTGAAAACCGGGCTGCTTTGGCGGCTGCCGCGATCGCACAGCAACAGAGCCAGCAACATGGTAATCAAGGGCACGGCCTACAGCCCGACCGCACCCTAGACATGCAACGGAAGATGGGCCAACCCCCTCCGCATTACAGCACGTGGATCTAGACACGATGGATGACATGGAGTTGGACGACCCCATGGGCGACGCGGATGCTGCAACGTCCCAGCTGTTTTCCCCCAGTTACGCGAAGGTGGCCAAGGCGGATTTGGAAACTCCAACCAGGGCCCCCAATTAAATCTGGGCATGCTTCCTAGTCATCAGGGCTTCAACACCCCTTCTCAGCCTGGTACCCCGATCGGCTCTGGACATCCACTTTCCCTATCGAACAATCCTACCGTTTCCTCTGTCAATACCCCGACTCTGATGGCCAATCCGCTTCAGAACTCCCAGTTCCGGAATACCCCCGATTCTTCTGGGCCCGGAACGCCGGCTGAGATCGATGAGAGCGTGGTAGGCGGATTTGGCGATCTCACTATGCAGCAGAATGCGATGGGCCAGAACCAGGTTCAATATGGACGCTACCCTGGTAATAATGATATGCTTGATCTGTGCATCGACGAACCTGCCAAGCGGCTGTTCAGCCCAAATGGTGGGATGGGTACTCCCAATGCCCACTTCAAGCTCAGTGGAGCTCAATATGGTCCCAACAGTGATATTGCTCGGCGGATTCGGGAACAGCAGCTTCTGGCTGGTGTTCCTGATACCACGGCTATTCTCCCTAATGAAGAGCCCAAGCCGTTCCGCTGCCCTGTTATTGGCTGTGAGAAGGCATATAAGAACCAGAATGGTCTCAAATATCACAAGGCTGTGAGTATATGCAAACAAGCTCTTATGATACCACACTCTGACATTGTCCTCTTTCCTCACTCTAGCACGGTCACAATAATCAACAGCTCCACGATAACGCTGACGGAACCTTTTCGATCGTCAATCCGGAGACTTCAACACCTTACCCCGGCACCTTGGGCATGGAGAAAGAGAAGCCGTATCGCTGTGAAGTGTGCGGCAAGCGCTATAAGAACCTCAACGGCCTCAAGTATCACAAATCGCACTCGCCCCCTTGCAACCCGGATTTCCAGCTTGCAGCAGGCCGCAACCTGAATCTCGGCGGTGGCGTCATGCAGGGACAGAACATTAACGTTGCAGGAGCTGGCCTCCCCGGAATCGGCGAGGAGGGCCTCTTGTAAGCGTGATGGGCTACTGAGAATAACATAATCTCCACCCGTCCTAGCTTGTCCATACAAATAATATCCAGCGATTTTTTGATGCAAATAGTCGATACGGTCGAGAGGATCTCTTCGCCGCGCTGTTTCTTTTTGGTTTCCTCCCAAACACGATGTCATGAATTGGTTCGGTGACTTTGGAGTTTTCATCTTGACTTTTGTTTTTACCTACCCTGGGATTTGACCTTTACGTCTGGTTGTTTTGGTTTGAGTATCCTGATGCCACCGGTTCACCATCATGGCAACTGGGTTTGATTTCCTACTCGTTTGTTCTTTGCTCGATATCCCTCTCGTTATTTCCAGTTACCCACCTTCCCCATCCTCGAGGAAAAGGGTAAATCTGGTCATAGAGCCGTCCGCAACCCGAGCGATCAAGACTTATCCTGGCAAGACCTGTTTTATCTGTCTTTGTCTGTTTATCCGTCTGTCTAGAGGGCCTGGTTCGTTTCTTGCATATCTCTCCACTTGACATGGCTAGGATTCAGGCCTATGGAGAAATGGGAAATGAGTGTGTTTATACCTGCGGTGTTTCTTCTCCCCTTTTCTGTTATTGCATGCTTGCGTTATGCATTGTTTTTCTTTCTAAGGGCTGGCTTTTTGCTTTTGCTGATTCCATCTATGGTTACGCTTATGCTCATGATTGAGTCTCTTTCTTCCATCCACGGGAGACAGTTGTCGTTACTCCCTTGGCCGTCTTCGTTTTCTCGAAGCATCCGCGAGAAGCAAGCTACCTTGTGAATCGGGCTGCGGTTGGATTGGGACTCTGGGCTCTCTTTCAACGATTATCAGGGATTATGTTGTCACTTGATGATCTGTTGCATCCTTCGTCCTGCCGTCCAAAAAAAGGCCCCGACTGTGGGCTTTCATTTCTTTGCCCTGCCTAGCTGGCTGCTGGGTTCTTGCAACTTCGGTCAGGGACTGGAACTGAAACTACAAACAAAAGTGTGGTTCTCTGGCGTCGGATCGTGTAGATATGGTTTTATACACTTTGGCTTCTCGTCGATTGTGATTATTTGATTGCTTCTTCACTTCATTACATGGCTATGTCCTCCTTCCAAGTCGCGTACTTCCTTGTTATCGACTGCCTACAAGAGATCTCTTCAGAGAGACGGGCATTGGTAAAAAAGAATATCCATTTGTAGTTGGCGAACCTAGCTAGGATCTTGCCAATTTATTCTAGTACAAAAGCACGAGCTGTGGGCAAGAAGGCGTAACATCCACGAGCCCCGCCTCACTGTAAGCGCCATGAGCGGATAGATGCTCATAAGAAGTAAAAACATAAGGGCAAAACCCGAGGTCCAGTCTTGTTTGGGTTTGAGGGAACATGAAAAGAAAAAGGGATAATCGTGACGACAAAAGAGACTTCGCTTGCACCAACCATTTGCAGAACATAAGGGGTTAGGGGGGTGATTTTCGTGTGCTGGATGGAGCACTTGCCAGGGAAAAAAAGGTATTACAGACCGAGCGCGGAAATTTCGTGAACATCAGAGACTGTAGATCGAAAAACTAGATGGTGTTGAAGGAGATTTACCACTCGAATTCACCCTGTCCCTTGTGGAAGACATATCTAGACAACAAATTAGCTCGCGCTCATCAAGAGCTACGTTTAAAGAAAACTCACTCCTTGCCACCTGTGGTCAAGATGCCGTCCTTCAAGGTGCACTTCCACTTGTTCTTGACCCGTTGGACCTTATCGTAGGTGCAAAGCATCACCTGGCCATCGGCCTCATCGGCCTCTGCCTCGTGATCGATCAGATCGTCAGGGTCGTCCAAGTCCGAGTTAATCGCATCCTCGTCTGCTTCTTCCTTGATGTCGTCGTCCACGCCATCATACTGGCCATGCGTTTTGGGGAAGGGCGAGTTCGACTGGGAAGCGTTGGCCCGGACTAGAGGAGCAACGAGAGCTGAGCGACGGGCCTTCGTGATAGATGACTCCTGCTCAGACAGAGGACGGAGCAAACCACCGCCTTCCAGCCCGCTCATCTGATGCTTCAAATACTCGCGCAGAAGATGATCGCCTTGACCATTCTGAGCGGCTTCTCTGCGACGGGCAACCTCGGCCTTCCAGTCGGCGAGTGCGTCACCAGCACCATCCGTCTGGCTAGGTCCGATGGAGGAATGGCTGGGCTCCTGCTTGATTTGGGGCATCGTGCCATTGGAAGGGTGGTGCATCTGCGAGTAGGGCTGCTGTCCGGCAGACTGGAGCTGACTGACTGATGTGGCAGCAGAGGCGCCAAATCTTTGCGTCAATTGAGCTGCAGCGCGGTCGCGAGCCATTTGCGGGTTCGGCGTGCTCGCAGGCATATTGTGATGCATTGGGGGCATTTGGGTTGGGCCATTAGTGCCAGGCTCTGTCTTGATTCTCGGGGCAGTCATGGGTGCTGGCGCAACGGGTGCCACCGGGGCGGGGGCTTGCACAGGGATTTGCTGTGGCATAGATACTGGAGGAGGGACATATTGAGGCTGAGGTGGTGGGCGGGGTGCGTTGGACGGGACGGTGGCCTGGGGAGGTAGAGGAGCTTGGGGGATGGGCTGGACTGGGGGATCCCAGGGGAACTGAGCAACGTTGACCGATGAGAGCTTACTCTGCCAGGTCTAGAGATAAGTCGTTAGTGTGGTCTGTCGTGGTGACGGGGGTTATGATTGCAAGGTGTTTCGACGAATGATGGCTTGGCGGCCTAAGCCCCTCTTAGGCGGGTAGCGGCGGCGGCATATAAAGGGAGCCTCATAATCCGGTGTTCCCCCATAAGCACTGCCTCCCGCACCACTTCGGGTTCCCCCGCTTTTGGTTGACCCTCCGCAGAGTGACCACATCCAAAGCCATCGCAATTCACCATATTCACCATATGAAAGCCCGATATGAAGACTGGATATTGTAACTCACCTCGCGCAGATCAAGCAGTGTTTTCTGATCAACACCGCTCTCCTCAAAGTCGACCTGGGAGTTCTCGCAGACGTCCTTGATGACCTTCTCGAATACCGCACCCTATGGTAGCGAGGGATATCAGCCAACCCTTCAGAGCATTCAAGATGGTTGAGGAATATCCCTCGGGTGAAGAGTGCAAAGAGATGAGATGAGCAGAAAGAGGGTGTCGTTGCAACCGTGTTGGGTAGGTTGTCGCGAGACTGAACTTACCACTTGCTGGTTCGACATGGCGGCGAAGAAGCGGGATTTGGTGTGAGCGAGGGAGAAAGGACCGTGAAGGCTGATGAAAGGAGAACCGCAAGGATAGCAAAAGCGTGGTCGAGTGTTTCGGTGGCTCGACCAGATGATATAGCCTTCTGTCGCAACGGGAGAGACCGTTGGAGCACTGGTCGATCACACCTCTCGGGAATCGGGCGGGTCCAAACGAGCTACGAGTCTGTAGAGCCCTTTGTGGAAGTAACGAGCGAACAGTATGGACAAAAACAGCAGGCAAGAAATGCAAGCCCAAACAAATGGAGGGGTAAGTGGGATGGGTAGTTTGGGCGATGGGTTGGAGAAGGTGAAGGTCGGCCTTCCGCGGTCGAAAACCGTCTCCATCTCCCGACGCTTAGTCATCCACGGGGAGAGCCCCAGCCCCAACTGCCCAGTGCCTGCCGAGAAAATGGAGGCTCTTAGATGTAAGGCCCAAGGGTCGAAGAGAAAAGATCTACGAGAGATAGAAAAGGCAATGAGAATGACAATTTGTACAACCCAGCCTATGGCAATTACACAAAACACCAAAAACTCCCCCAGATTAGCACCGATTTGAAATCCCAATCGACGCCGAACGATATGAATATCCCCCAGCCCATCAATGCTCGCAAGATCACCATGAAAACCGGGTATTAAGAACACACAAAGAAAAGAATATCTAGATCCCTAGATCACCATTCACCGAATAGTCATCGACTTGGTCAGCTGGGCCTTGCTACCAACCCCGGCCTCGCGGGAAGCAGAAGCACTGCTGCCAGGCTTGCGCTCAAACACCTTCCAGAACTTCAGACTCTCGTCAGCAGCAGCAGTGGCAAGGATCTGACCATCGGGGCTTAGGCTGCTGTGAAGAACACGAGTCTCGTGAGCAGGAATCTCGACGTTGCGAACCAAGGTCGGGTAGCTCCAGATGCTGAGGGAGTTATCGGGGAAGCCGCTGGAGCTGACAATCTCGCGGTAGTGGTTGCTCCACCGGAGGCTAGTCACTTGGGAGCCAGTATCGATGCTGTTGGTACGGGCACCAGTGGTGGTGTTCCAGAAATGAATGTGACGATCGTAAGATCCACCACCAGTGGCCAACAGGTTCAATTGCCAGGGGCACCAACTCAGAGCCTTGACGGCAGCACGGTGGTTGGTCTTGGTGAATTTGGGAGCGCTAAGAGAGCGAGCGTCCCAGATGTTGACTAGGTTGTCGTTGCCGCCGGTAGCAAGCTGAGCGCCATCGGAGCGCCACTCCAGACCACAGACCTCAGAAGTGTGAGAAACAAGCTCGGCAACCTTGTGGTCTGCAATGCGAACGTCGTGGTTGAAAACGAGCCCACTACGAGCACCAGTTGAAAGAGTGTGCTTGGACCAGCCCATCACACCCACGCGAGAATCATGACCGTACATGCTGCGGAGCTTGGCGCCCTCCTCGACGTCCCAAATCTGAACCTCACCGGTTCCAAGACCGACGCCAACGTAAGCACCGTCGCCACTCCATTTCACACTGCTGATGTAGGTGTCAGGCGAAGTTTCTAGCAGGCAACTGACCGTTCCAGTCTCGGCAGACCAGACATAAACGTTGCGCTCAAGGCCAATGGCGACCTGGTTACCAGAGCTCCAGTCCAGTAGGTTGAGGTAGTAGTCATCCAGTAGCCCAGGGGCATCCAAGACACGTTCCGGAGCAGTCTGAACTCGGCGGCGGAACTGAGCATTTTGAGACTTGGCAGGACGAAGAGGTCGATTGTACTGAGCACGGAGATCAATTGGCTTCGATGACTCGGGAGGTGGTGGCTTGAATGCAAGAATGCGAGTGTTGAGGTTCACACCACATGCCTTTGCCAGGGATGACTCGTATGCAACCGCGTCTGGCGCAGGGCGAGTATAGTTTGGCGGCTCATTATCATCAAGGCCCAGGTTATCCAAAGCCGCGGTCAGATCATCCTCAACTGCGCGCCCGCTGATATCGAAGGCACTGGCAGCAGAGGCCAGAACAGTAGAACCCTCACTGCCGCTGGTCTTGGGACGCTGGCTGTCGTCAGGCTTAGCGGCACCGCTTGTGACAAGGCCCTCACTAGCCGTTCGATTAGGGATGAAGCGGTCCCCAGCATTGTGGGAAATGCGGACAGTAGTCTTGGTTGGTCTAGTGCGGGTTGTCAATTCCCGTCGGGAGCGCTCTTTTGACGGAGTCTGAGACGAGGAAGCAGGACCAGTACCGGTCAGAGACCAATCTGAGACACCAAGCTGCAGATGCTTCGGGGACTGTCGGGTGCGCGCAATGTTCGACTTGGGAGAATCACGGTGTGTGCGGGATGACTTGGCAACAGCAGAGGTCTTGGCGACTGAAGTCTTGGGAACCGAAGGCTTCGAGATGGATGGCTTTGGTACGGTGCTCTTGGATCCGGAGGATTTGGCGAAGTATGATGATAGATTACCGCCATAGATAGACTTGGGCTTCTCGCAGCCTGCGTCTGCCTTCTGGGGAGTGAATGGTGACGACTCGTCAGATGCTCTGGGGGTCGCCCGAGTATTAGGTGAGGGGGTCAGGGGCATACGACCTCCAGCGGTCTTGGAGGAGAAGATCCCATGATGGGTCTTCACTGGTGTCGAGACCGAAGCAGTTGCCATTGCTGGAACTGATCGGAGCTTTTGGTGGTTTGTAAAAGACTAAAGCAAGTCACAGGATGGCTGGCTGTGAGCAGATAATGCAATGCAGAATATGAGGTGTTGAGATTGAGGATAGGTGAAGAGAAGAGAGAGCAAGGTGCAAGTTGAATAGAAAGAATAAATAGAATTCCTCTTGCGGACTCGCAAGTGTCTCGCCGGGGCAACGGTTACCTCAGGTACGGATACGCTAGTCCAAATTCGGACTAGCGGCACGCTGCACATGACATCCCGGGGACCTCCAATCTCGGCGCCGATCGCCTCCGTCCAGGAAAAAGTGTCTTCGGAAGTGTCTTGCATCGGCGTCCCGATTCTTCCTTGTTGGCCGGCAACTTCACGATGCGTTCAAAGCCGGAAAGAAAGGGCCTTTAATTGAACTTGGTGGCGTGCCGCCTGTTAGATCTCTTCGTTCTCGTTGCGACTGCCTGATGGCCGACTTGTCCATTCCCTCCCCACCATTTACCGTTCCACTAGGACCCACCCACACGACCTCCGTCATCCTGGGCTGGATCTTCAAGACTCTCCGATCTGACCATCTCTGAGCGCATTCGCTCTCCTGCCTTTGCAATGCAGTCGCAGGATACATACCTGATGCCGGCCAGCCCTGCGAGCGGTCGCCGCGCCGCTGCCGCTGCCGACTCGGTCCCTGCTGTGAACAAGGCCCAGGGCCATGTCCCCGCATGTTTGGTAAATGCCTCCCTGACGTACTGCGGCAACGATCGCATCTACGCTTTTGGTGGCTTTGACCAGTACACTGACGAAGGTATGGCTATCCCGATCATTCCTTTAAATTCCCTTGTCTCTTTTATCCCTTCTATGCCCATACCTGAGAACTAACCTGCTGTTTTCACCACAGTGTACAACCACGTGCTCCGTCTGGACCTGAATACCTTGCGATGGGAATTAGTAGACAACTTTGGGGACATTCCTGGTGTTCGTATGGGTCAGTATAACTCACCTCATTCCCCACAACATGTGCATACCGTTGAGTGCTTTGGCTTGCTAACTTGTCGGCCTTTCTTCTTTTAGGACACACTGCTAGCCTTTACCAAGGAGACAAATTGATCATCTTTGGGGGCGAGAACGAACATCGCGAATACCTCTCTGACGTTATAATCCTAGACCTCAACGCCTTTCACTGGACGTTACCCCAGATTAGTGGATCGATCCCTCGGGGAAGGGCACGCCATGCCGCCGTCATCCAGGACGACAAGCTATTCATCGTTGGTGGAGTGACTGGCGAGAACAATGTCATTCTCGATGACTTGACATATCTGGACTTGCAAACCTGGACCTGGTCTCGAACTTGGAGCTTCACAGCCCGTTTCGACCACACGGCTTGGGTCTGGGGCAACCGTCTCTGGATTTTTGGTGGCCTTGGACCTAATATGGAACGAACCTCCGATATCTGGTGGCTCGACCTCAAAGGCTCGCCTTCTCTAGCTGGAATCACCTCCTCCCAAGGTACCGCCAATCTTCCGGACACACGATTGCCTATTGCTCATTACCCAGACTCTATCTCTAGTCCTTCCTCGCAACAACTGTCGCCTCGCTCAGGTATATATGCCGCGAACTCCGCAAGTGTTCAAGTCCGCAACTTCAGCCGTCGCAAACCTCTGGCTCCGGGCTCTATCTCATGTCTTCGATTCCACTCTGGCCCAAACGTTCCCCAACTGTTCTCCGGTACCCACTTTCAATCCTTTACATCCGGAGTTCTCCTAGATCTGATTACTCCATCTGAGACTGTGCGGTCGCAGGATTGTAATCTGTCTGCTCTGGATTTGAACTCTCTGCGTTGGCAGCGACTGGCCGACGGACAAGAGATCTTCCGGCCCGGTTATCGGTGGCATTACTGCACTGTGAACGAGACGGGGACCAAGGCGTGGTTGCTAGGATGCAGTCTCGACTTGGCCAATAATGCGCCGGGGGCCAGCGATGAGAATCACATGAGCGAAGTGCTCGCCATTGACCTAGAGAAATACGGCTTGCTTGGCAATAGCCTGTCAGCGGAGGCTCCCCTCCAGGATGCCTCATGGCCAGCTGACCGGCCGGGGAACTCACCCGTCGTTGGTCTTGGGGCTGACCTCTCTGCCGTGTTTGACCAATCCCCCGAATCAGGGAGCGGCGCGGACTTTGTCATTACCGCCATTCGTGACGATCACGATTGCTCGGTCTCAGATGACCTGTGGGATACCCCATCCGGATCTGCCCCCCAGACCCAGCCTATCTTCGTCGAGCCTAACCCCGCCACATCAGATCCCATTCATGTTCACAAGATCATCTTGCAGCTTCGATGGCCACACTTCAAGCGGCTATATGCAGCCCAGATGGCCGAGTACCACACCAAACGGATGCACATTCCGGAGCCCTACTCCGTCGTGCGTGCGTTCCTGTACTACCTCTACACGGACAGTATCGCCGGCCATCCCGAGTACTGCTCGAGTGTGATCGACGTGGCAGGGATGCTGGTGATGGCTAATCTCTATGACATGCCCAAGCTCCGTCTACTCTGTGTGAATCGATTGAGCCGCGAGTTAGATGTGGAAAATGCAGCCATTGTCTGGGAGCGGGCTGGTCGAACGAGTGAACATTGGCTGATGCGCCGAGCTGCACAGTTCTGCCTGACCCACTGGGGCCGCATCGTGCGAACGGACGGTTTCAAGTCCCTCAGCCATCAGAGCTTGATTGAGCTATGCGAGGTGGTCGATACCGAGGGTCGCATCATCGCCGGGCCTGACCTAGAGATGGTTGGTGCGTTTGGGGCGGATGCCCAGTGTGACCGTGACTCGAAGAGCGCTCGACTGCGGATGGGTTCCGCCGCGAGCTTGGACGATGAATCGGAAGATGAAGATATGGTACTTTCATGAAACGAAAAACGAATTCGACACGCATTGTCTTCCGGCGTTTTCTATTTTCTTTTTTTTTTTCAGGGGGAAAAGGGGGCTTGGCACGGACGGACTGATTTTCTAGGATGAAGGAGGAGGAGTCTTTTCTTGGTGGGCATCATCATCATCATTGTTGAAATCTATGCATCCTTTTTTTTTGAAACTGTACAGAAGTACCTATGAGGCAAGACCTATGCCGATGCACGTCTATCCTAGTAGTCTATCCTTGTCGTCCGTCGAGCTTCTAATAGCCCCACCCCGATTTGTGGACCTTCCAAAGCATTTCCATGACTCCATAAGGCCATGTAGAATCTGCAACGATCCGAGACTCCCCGGCCGTTCTTGTTAGTCGCGCGGTGAGCGGCCCGTCTAACCGCCCCGTATTTTTCTTCTTTTGGATCTTTTTCGTCTTTCTCGTCGCTTCCTCGGTTCATCGTCTTCCCTGGGCCACGCTGACCCAGAGCCGAGTTAGCTGACAGACTCCGCAAGGGAACCTAGCTCGACTAAGTCCGGACTAAAATTCTCGACCAGTTTGACAAAATCAGACTAACAGTTCTAACCGTCTAACGTCCTGTCGGGCCCCACGATCGCGGCTCCACTCACCCACGCTCTTGGAACGGGATCTCCTCCGGCAGGCGGAGCTAATTCCTATCAGGATAAGGAAGCTCTCGCCTGCTGTCCCTTTCTTTTCTTGCTTGTGCCACATCTCCCACCGAAAACCCTCGTTGGACATAAATATATATCCCCATGGCAGCTCTTTCAGGGCCAACCCGGTCCAGACCTGCGCCGCAATTGTGTGCGACCCTACCCCAATCCCTGATTCACTCGATCCGATTATTCCACCACGTTCGACATTGACTGTCGCCATCATGGGATCGATAGAGCAATCTTCTCTGCCGGCTGATTTCGTTTGGGGCTTTGCGACCGCAGCCTATCAAATTGAGGGCGCTGTGACCGAGGATGGACGTGGTCCTTCCATTTGGGATACGTTTTGCAAGGTTCCGGGCAAGATCGCTGGCGGAGGATCCGGTGAGGTCGCGTGCGACTCGTACCACCGTACGCATGAGGACATTGAATTGTTGAAGACATGCGGTGCTAAGGCATACCGGTTTTCGCTATCATGGTATAACCCTACAATCCGTTTTCAGCAACTTAACCTTTACAAGTTGTATATATGAAGATAGCTTTTGCTAATCACTTGCTTTTTTTCGTACATGCAGGCCTCGCATCATTCCCCTGGGCGGCCGCAACGATCCTGTCAACGAGAAGGGCCTACAGTTCTATGTGAAGTTTGTCGATGACCTCATTGCTGCGGGCATTACCCCCTTGGTGACACTCTTCCACTGGGATCTTCCTGATGAATTGAACAAGCGTTATGGCGGTTTCTTGAACAAGGAGGAGTTTGTTGCGGATTTTGCAAACTATGCCCGCCTGGTCTTCAAGACCTTCGGATCCAAGGTCAAGCACTGGATCACTTTCAATGAGCCCTGGTGCAGCTCTGTACTTGGATACAACACGGGTTCTTTTGCGCCTGGGCACACGAGTGATCGTACCAAGAGTGCCGTGGGTGATAGTTCAACGGAGCCATGGGTTGTGGGCCATAGCATTCTTGTCGCGCACGGTGCAGCGGTGAAGATCTACCGTGATGAGTTCAAGGCACAAGATGGTGGCGAGATCGGTATCACATTGAATGGTAAGTTAGGCGTTGTCCTACAATCTCTGTTTCCCTTCAATGCAAGCAGCAAAATTGACGATTGACCTTGGTAAGGTGACTGGGTTGAGCCTTGGGACCCCGAGAACCCGGCCGACGTGGAGGCCTGCGATCGCAAAATCGAATTCGCTATCTCATGGTTTGCCGACCCTATTTATCATGGCAAATACCCAGACAGCATGATCAAGCAACTAGGGGACCGTCTGCCCGCGTGGACGCCGGAAGACCTCGCCTTGGTGCACGGGAGCAATGACTTCTACGGAATGAACCACTACTGCGCAAACTTCATCCGTGCCAAGACAGGAGAGCCCGACCTCAACGACGTTGCAGGAAATCTAGAGCTGCTCCTGGAGGACAAGAATGGTGTCAGTATCGGTCCGATCACTCAGTCACCCTGGTTGCGACCTTGCGCGCTGGGATTCCGGAAGCTTCTCAAGTGGCTGAGTGAGCGCTATGGATATCCTAAGATCTATGTCACAGAGAATGGAACCAGTGTGCTAGGCGAGAGCGACATGCCACTGGAACAACTGCTTGATGATGAGTTCCGTGTGCAATATTTCAAGGACTACATTGGTGCTATGGCGGATGCGTATACGTTTGATGGAGTCAACGTTCGCGCCTACATGGCTTGGAGTCTTATGGAGTACGTTACTTTCCCCCAGCCGAGACAAAAGACTACGCTAACCCGCATACTGTAGCAACTTCGAGTGGGCCGAGGGTTATGAAACCCGATTTGGTGTGACTTATGTTGATTATGAGCACGATCAGAAGCGGATTCCGAAGAAGAGTGCTACGAGCATTGCTCAGATCTTTGAACGACTCATCGAGAAGGCCTAGGATTGGATTTGAACGAATCAAAACCAGGACTTTTGGATCCTCTAGATTGGAGGTTTCGTATATTCACGACACTATGCCTGCTATGCTTTGGAGCATGAAGGAGGAAGCAAGAATGTAAATTTGAATATGCATGCTATTTTCAAGAACGCAAGTCCTTTTTTATGGTAGATAGAATAGAACAAGGTAGAAATGTGACCCACAATAGATTATGACACCAAACATACAGAAGCAGTTCACGAGTCTGGAATCTAGAGACCGAGAATAAGTACAGCGAAATATGCTTCGGAGTTCTCAATTTCAGAAGATTTCTCCTAATATCTTCTGAAATGGCTTTCTAGATGGCTGGGGCAGTATCCCTCGATCCATCTTTCAGAGCATGACTAATGGGATGATTTTGAACATATCTCAGGCTTTCAAACTCATAGAACCCGACCGTATATCACAGCATAGATCCAGTGTACGCATCAGGGCTAAAGCCAACATCCTCAAATAAATTGGTGAATGGAAACATGATCGGAAATCCCGATGTTCGGTTCTCTGCTGACCCCTCATAGTGAAACACGTTTCCTTCACTAGTGCTTTGCGGGGGAGATAATCCCGTTATGACCCCCATATCAGCAACGTGAAGTGACAAGCGTGAATTATCTTGCCAATAAGACTCTTGATTGGAGGGATGTGAATCAGGTGGAAATGGGGATAGGATAGGTTGTTCCTGTCCTTCGGAGGTTGGGCCGGCTTGGTCTTGATCAGGCGGTATTTTCAAAAGGTATTCCAGAAGATGGCGCGTCCAGATTGCTATTGGCCAAGTGTCCTGAAATTTGTGGAGGATTTGCATTGCCAGATGGGCACGATGCTCGGACACTACTCGGATATTGGGACTTCCTTTTCGAATGTTCATGATACAGACTAGAGAAGACGCGAATATTGCTGGTAATCTGTAATTCTTGTTAAAACATTACAAACTCTTAGTCAGAGGGTTGGATAAAAACAAACATTGTGAAAGGGGCGTTGTAAAGCGTTCCAGATATAAGCAGGTCCTCGAGTAGCCGGGTAATTTTTCCAGCTGCCTGGAATATGGGAGACTCAAGACCAACAGTAATCGGATTTGCGGATAGCAGGCGATAGAATACTATTTGATACTCGCTATTGTCACACCTGTTAAAACTTGGCCGAGGCTGAACTTTATAGGAGGATACAGGCTCACCAGTAAAGTACCTGAATCAACGCGGGCCAGAAACCTCTCTCCAAAGAAATCGGGGCGGGACTCTCTCTGAATTTATCCGGAAGAGTTTGCTCCCACTGGAGTAATTTATTATATGATGTCCTGTCGGCTATTTCGTTGCCTTCTGTTGATGCAAGCTTGGTCACGAGACAGTCGCCAACTATAATAATTTAGCATCTAGTGAAATTGAGGGAGAACGGTTTTGCAGTACCCTTGGAAATGAGGTCGACGAGATAGATCAGATACGTTGTACTCTCTTGCGACACGCCGTACTCTGATGAGACTGCACTCAATGAGCAGCAACCGGCAAAGTCTTCTTCAATGAGGTTGCCGATATTGCAAAATTTGGGATAGATATGAGGTGGTCGACCATAGACGGCTGCATGATGAATGTCGTTGATCTGAGAATATCAATTCTATACTCATCTCGTTTAAACACCGCGTGGTAGACTTACATAGAGTACCCACCAGATTCTCCTCCACACTTTCCTACTCGCTTCGGGTAGGATATCATATGACTTCCTATAATCCCAATGAGTCTTGCATCCATGATTTTCACGCTATGGAGATCTCTCACAAGCGATGCATGCCCAAAGATTGAGCCAAACTTGCTGCCACCCCTAGCCAGTACCAAGTGTCTTTCTGCTCCATCGGGCCACCCCACCAGTTGGACATAAGGATAGTGGCCTGCACGATGGTTACTCCATCTGTTTCGTTGTCACTATCGTACAGCGCTTTTGCCCTCCGATAGAACGTCAAACTAGCCAAGTATCGAGATGAGAAACCCGCGTCATGTAAAGTGGATTCTGGGCAATGGAAGGCTGCAACCATGAAAACAGCGTTTAGAAGTAAGGGAGATATAGACCCTGCGCTGTAATCTGCGAAAAACGGCGCCCAGTCAAAAAGAGGAAAAACCGAGTATGAATATTTCCAGAAACTATCAACAAGCGCGTCGCTGATCTGCTTGCTGGGTGTGCGGAAGACGCCAGCGGTGTGAAGGTGCTTTTGATCGTCCTCCCGGATCTTTTGAATTGTGGATTGAGCAGATTGACCTAATTTTTCCAGCATAGATCTCTGCAGATTGTCTCCCCAGAAGCGGTGCTGCTGACCGGTCTGGAATGGATCTCCCACTTCGTGTAGAACATATTTGAAGTTGGCTGAGTCTCCCATGTACACCACTCTCCCGGGCATGGTCACACCATCCTGTTGAACTGCTAATTCTGTCAGAGAAGGGCTCACATATCGAGTATGACTGTTTCTCCGGTCGCTCTCGGGAGATTCAACGATTTCCGTGCGAGGGCTTTGGAGCAGATCAGCGGGATGAAGCCGTTCCAAGGCAGTAGGAGATCGTCGACTTCCAGCTGGCGAGGCACGAGACAAATCCTCCACTCGCCGACTTGCCGTTCTCGGATACCTTTTTATCTGTGAGTCCCCGATCTCATGAATGTGGGTGTTATGGGAGATATGTCCACCGGGTGCAAGCAAAAGACACACACCTTCCTCGCCGCGAATTGATCAACTCACAGGCCGTGCCTGCCAATTGACAATTAGAGCAAGCACTATCACTAGTTCGATCGCATTTCACCCGACGCAGGTTGCAAAGCTTGCAAGCCACGCGTGCTCGGCCCTTTTGAGGCGACATGGCTGCGGAGCGGATATCCTTCAGACTCACAAGCAGGGGTTAAGCTACCTACAGCACGCATGCCAGATGGAAAGCTCCTCGAGCTGGAAGCTGTGAATGAGCGTTGCAGAGGCTCTCGAGCCTTCTTATCCAAGACCAATGATTGGTCTGGAAATGTTCCGTCCTAGTTTTCGGTTGATCGCGTACCCCGCACGCATGTAATCTTTGCCGGCAGGAAAGTTTACGCTACTTTAAATTGCGTTTACTGGTTGACTAATGACCTTCCGCTAGTTACATGGAATTTATCCAAGTTTCAGGATAAAAGCTGTCATATGTTGATGTATTTCTCCTCTCGCGCCATTGACGTCTCAAACATGCCCAAGCCAGCGAACTTCCAACAGCCTCAGTGGGAAATATAGCAGTCCAGCAGTCACTGTGCCCAATTCATACGCCAGATCTCCAACTCGCATAGCAATCGGCCCCACATACCAACCCGTGGACATGGATGTGACAATGAGAGCCCAAGGCACTAGACTGGAAATGATGGCTGGAATGCCCGAAGGGAGAGCAGCAGCATCATTCCAGATAGCCGGGTCCAGATTGGCGGGGTCTGCCTTACGAAAATATAACCACTCGATCAGAAAAACGCAGACTGTCGGCCCCGTCATATAGCCTGCAATGCTCACCAAAGTACTCAGCGTGGAAAGGAACGAGCGCGAGGCTGCAATGGCAACACCGACCATGACAGCCGCTGCTCCACACAGAATAAACACCCGCGGTACCCTGCCTAGCCACGGAACGACAGCAACAGTAAATAGAGACATGCTATACATATCACGCGCGGATGTAGTGACAATTGACATACCCAGAAGGATGAGGATGAACCTGCCAAATCCCCCTAGACGAGGGATGAGGATTTCTCCTAGTACACCTCCCACGCCACCTGTAGCATACGCTGACGTCCACGAAGGAATGGAAGGGATAGCACCGCCAACTGCCGCGCCGAGGATCATCATCAGCGAGAATGGGACGTACAGTCCTGCCAGGCAATACAAGGCAAGGCGAAGTCGTGGAGCTTGCGGAGGCATATAGCATGCATAGTCTCCCACAATCGTCCCCCAAGTTGCCATGTTGGCTGCACATATTGAGATAGTCGCTAGATATGGTGCAGGCCCAAAGGAAGACGCGGGTGTTTGGGTCGATAATTTGCTGCCGGCACAGCCGACAAGTATCAATATCGATATGCCACTGGGAATCCAGATATATTGGCAGATGAAATGAAGGGCCTTGTATCCAATGAAGCCAATGCAGAAAGCAACGGCAAGAATGATACCGATTGCTCCTTCGATTGGTAAAGTGCCTGGTCGGACGGCGGCGAGGCATTCGGCCCCTGCGACCGTAGCCAAGATTCCAAATATCAGAACCTCGAGGATGACTATAAGGCTAATCAAAATATTTGGGTATTTTCTGTGTTTTCAAGTACCACGGATTAGAGAGACCGCGACTTTGACGGGCCTGCACGAGAGACGGCTCTTACCCGAATACATAACGAAACTGGACTGACTGTCTCATGCCCAGTTGAGGCGCCAAAGTCAATATATAGAGAGTGGGTAGAACAAAGACAAATTGCATAGTCACAATCATAGCAGCGGCATCTTTAAAGGACAGACCGAATGCTAAGGTGGGAGTGACGCCGATACTCAAACTGGATAGTACTGTCAGTCCCTTCTCTAGGTAGACATTGTTGAGCAGGTCCTTCTACTTACGGAAGAAGAGAAAGGAACGATCCTCCAAATAATGTGAAAATGTTATAATATCTCGTATGAGTCCGTTTCTCCACCGGGATCGGGTCAAGACCTCTCATCTCCACACCGGCCATGGCCAGCCTTTTGAGAATGGCAGTGAGAGAATGTGGGGTGATGAAATTCTCCACGATCCCATCTTCCGCTCTCTGGGACTCAATATCATCTCCATCAACAACTTTCTCGTTCGACTTAATCGAAGTCATTGGATGATTGGAACAAAGGCAAAATTTATCGGTGAGTGCAACATGAAAAGTTGACTTTCCAGGTACTTTCCAGGAGTGTGCAGGTCCTCATCCGCACGTTCGTGAGTGCCATGAGATATTATATGTCAACGACCATTCATTGTTTAGAGTTTAGTGATTGGGTCACAGAAGCTAGAAACACAGTCTAGATAAGGCTAAGGGAGGAGACGTAATCGTGTTGGTGGAGGTTGGTGCTCGGCATCTCCGTCTAAATCGGCGACTTGACCTTGGCTACATTATTGAAGCGTGGCTGAATATCCCCGCTTTATTATCACATATCACGAGGCTTATCAGTGATCCAATGGAAATAGGTTGAATTTCAATCATCGGCTGGGCAATATTGACAGTATGTGAATTATATCTATCCTGTGTGGAGTAATTCGTCTGCAGACGCTTTGTCTCAATGACGATGATGGAGCTTGTCTTGAAAATAATATTTTGTCAACCTCTTTTTAACTGTCTGTGGCAGGCCAATTTACAGACTTCTTTGTAGATCTCTCTTCGTTGCTACAGCAGTCCTTCTCTCTCTCTCTCTCTCTCTCTCTCTCTCTCTCTATGTAAGGCAGCTTCTAGGAACTCTAGGTAGGAAGATTTGAGTTCCAGTAAATTAGGAGTAAGCAGACATATGAAGTAAAAGTATCAACTACCATGAATTCGTATGTTTCTGAACCATGGAAAAAGAAATCCATAGTCCCTATATTGATAGTACACTCTTATCAGCTTCCTGAACAAGTTGTTCAATTTGCAGGGCAACCTTCTCTGGAATCTCAAGGCTCGGGAAATGCGTCTCACCCTTGAGATCAGCAAAGGAGAACCAAGAGTGCTTCCGGCTGAGCTCTTCATGAATTTTCCGATACTCAGGGTGATTCAATGGGTGAGAGAAGATATGCCGAATGAGCGGAGGGTTCCTGATCATTTCCATCCGGCGCATGGGCGTGCCATATTCTTGATAGGCCGCAGCGATGACTCGACAGGAAAGTGCCCACATTCTGTGACCAAAGCTTCCAAACGAGTAGATATAGTGATTCTCAACCGCCTTGTTGCCGCTACCCGCCGTCCAGTTGTCGTATAGGCCCTGGCGAGCGGCCTTCCACGTTTCTTTCGCTTGCATCGCTTGGAGTCCCACAGCAAACTCGGGAGGGGGCGGAGTCATGATTTGATCAATCATCAGGAGACAAAGGACACGGTCTCTTCCCAGTTTGTCGGCAATTCCCAATGCGGGCCAGCCACCATGTGAATGCGAGACAAGGTAGAATTTGTCGACTTCCAGAGCGTCGAGCAGACCGATAGTGTCACTGATCTGCTCCTCGACCCCAAAATCATCGATGGCATCGCGTGACGGTCCATGTCCTCGCCAGCAGACTCTGATGACCCAGTGGTCGTGGCTCAAGTAGGAAAGGAGCTCGTCATACAGACGAATGTCGTGCGCCCATCCAGTCAAAAGGACCAGCGCAGGTCGATCGGCCGTTCCACATTCGTCGTAACAAATTTCAACTCCATTGATTTGCTTTGTGAGGTACATGGTCACTTGAGAAGAGAAAGAGAGACTGTATTGTTTTTGCACCTCCAATAATGGTCACTGGAGATCTTTGACTCAAAAGATAAAGCTATCGTAGTTTTGGTGAAAGTGCTTTCCCTTATATTCACATCTTCTCACGCATTGGATCGGCAAATGTTAGCCCTGACATTGCAGGGCTATGTTTTCGAAAGTGAGCAGTAGGAAATGAGGGGAAGATTCCAGTTCTCGTCGGCGGGAAGCGGTTGGAATTCGCCGTCTTGAGTCGGCGACTTGAACTTAGTTTGGAAATGCTAATCTATGTAATCAAAATATGGTAGCGTGTCTGTAAAAATGAGGGTCATCAACAGAAACTTGCTAATATAAGCCAAACTGCACGTCTTTGGTGCTCCTTAGTCGTGTATACCTCCAACAGGATAGTCAAAGATATGGCGCCCATCATCATTATTGGAGCAGGCCTTGTGGGCTTGACTTTAGCACAGGGACTGAAAAAGCATGGATTTGATTTCGAAATCTACGACAGAGATAACAGTCTCGAAGAGCGCCCGGCTGGATGGGGCATTACAATGCATTGGGCACTGCCTGCCCTCGAGTCTTGCCTGCCACCAGAGGTATTCAGTCAACTTTTGTCCATTCAAGTGGATCCCACTGAGGGTGGAAAAGGTAGGGCTGATCTCCAAATTTCCAGTCAACTGTTCCTGACGGACGACTCGTTCATTAGAAAATGACTCCTATCGCTTTTTGGACCTTGAGACAGGCCAGGACAAATACCGCTTTCCCTCATCGACCCACTATCGGCTGAACCGCAAAGCTTTTCGCCGACTTCTTAGTACTGGACTTGACATCCACTGGGGAAAGCGATTCACAGGATTCAATCCTACCGAGTACGGCGTCCAGGTCAATTTTGATGATGGATATACAGTAGAGGGCTCAATGCTTCTTGCTGTGGATGGCAAGAATAGTCGCACGAAACGGCTCCTGCTAGGTGAAGAGAATTACAAGCTGAATCCTCTGCCCGTTGCATTTGTGGGAATCAGCTTACGCTTGTCACCCGAGAAGATGAAACCATTTCGGGACATTCACCCTGTGCTTTGGCAGGGGACGCATCCAAGATCTGGGTATTATCTCTTCTTCTCGATGCTGTCGACTCCCCAGAACAACGGGAGTGCCGGGACAGAAGACGAGTTCTACGAGGGTCAATTCAATATGAGCTGGCTTATCGATCGAAACGGTCCATTGCCAAAATCACCGGCTGACCAACTGGCTCGTGTCAAGCAGGCGGCTGTGAGTGATACCGGCTTCTTCCCCAGCCTGCGTCAAGCTATTCTGGATATACCAGACGACAGTCCCATGCTTGAGATCAAGTTAGAAGACTGGCCTACTCAGGACTGGCCTTCGATTGGAGGAAGAGTGTCACTCCTCGGTGATGCGGCTCACACAATGACAATGTGTAAGTAACCTTGACCTTACGGACACTTCCGGATGGACTTTGTGCTAATTCTGGACTTAGATCGAGGCGAAGCGGCTAACCATGGTATATGCGATGCTGCACGGCTAAGGGATGAGCTAGTGCTTTGGAGAGATGGGAAACAATCTCTAGAGCGAGCATTCGACAAGTACCAGATGGAAGTCAAAAGTCGCACTCACGACGCGGTTATAATGAGCCGCCACGCCTGTCTCGACTGTCATGATCTCAATTCCCTCAAAGTGGACAGCCCAGTTTTCCAGGTGGTTGGCTTCAACGCACTCGCAAAGCAAGCAAGAGCATACATTTAAAGTTATAGAATCATAATGATTCATTTGATTGAACAAGTAGCAATTTTGCCTTTCCTTGGCGGCTGAGCAGGATAAACTGGCCGTAATGAACAACAGGTAGCTGAATAATAATACGATGGCAAAACTGTTCATTTGCAGACATGACTAAGGCCGTATTTCAAAGCTAATCAAATATTCTACCTAGCACTAGCTGGATCAAATAGGACAGGATGTACCATAAGTGAAACAGCCGCAACCAACCTGGTTCAATAAAATTTGCTTGTGGAAAATATGCTAGGTCATCCGAGAGGAGCACAATTACATAGTGGAGATTATTCGTATTTGCTTTCAATGCTACGACGACTTGATGTGCGCACAGCCCAACATCGTATCTTAGTCTCAGCAATCAATTGGCAGTCTCTGTATGATCTTACGGGGAGAATGATAACTCTATCGTTATTGTTGACGCATGGAATCTGCGCTTATCAGTCGTACTCGCCGACCTTCCAATCGGCGACTTCTTCCCGGTAGTGGAACGTTCCCCGCCCGGAAGAGCCCGCCAGCACCCCCCCCCCGATCAAATCAACCATGGATGATCCGAACATCGGATCCAGCAGCCGTTTTGCTAAGAGGCCCTGGTCCAGTTCTCTCTTTTATCTCGCCCATCTGAAAGGACAGGATTGTCTTTGAAGATCTCAAAATACCCATTGGATCTACCTGTTTCCTTCTTCATACAACTCCATATCGCTATGGCCAGCACAATAACGATCCAACTGCCTGGGGGCCCCATCAAAGCGAATTTGACATATGACAGCCTCATTCACGCACGGGGAATTCCTTACGCCCAAGCTGAGCGCTTTGAAGCACCACGGCCGATCAAAAATTGGACCGAGATCCTGAACTGCACAGAACGCGCGCCAATATGCCCACAGCTCCCTTCGCGGCTGGAGTCTGTCATGGGCCCATTGACCAAGGGCCATAGCTTGAGCGAAGACTGCCTGCGCGTATCCATCATTGCGCCCAAGAATGTCACAAACGCCCCCGTCATGGTTTGGTTACACGGTGGCGCCTATATCTCCGGCGGCGGAGACCTGGACTGCTATCAGCCGATTGACCTCGCCAAACGAGGGGTAGTCAGTCTCAACATCACCTATCGATTGGGAGTGTTCGGATACTTGCATTTAGACGGCATTGCGCCCGCCAATCTTGGGCTGTTAGACCAGCGAGCTGCATTGCAATGGGTCCAAGACAACATATCTGCCTTCGGTGGTAATCCGGGAAATGTCACAATGGTCGGTCAATCCGCAGGCGCGGATTCGATTGTCTGTTTGATGGCCTCGGAGAATACTAAAGGTCTTTTCCATCGTGCCATTCTTCTCAGCCCACCATTACGAGAGTTGAAAGAACGAACTCCTACGGTACCTATGCTCACGCAAAGAGCGGAGCAGCTTCTTACAAAGGACCCAAGGGAAATGACCATCGATGAATTACTTGGCGTGCAGAGGCAGCTCTTAATGGATCCAGTTCAGACCCAAGTCATGCTATTCGCCCCTGCTCTTGGATACTCGCCCCTCCCAGCGGAGCAAGACTTTGATCAAAAAGTTTATGAGGCTGCGAAGGATATCCCTATTCTCATTGGCTGGACTGGCCACGATGGGCGCCCGTTTGCCAGCATGATGGGACCGCAGAATCTACTCAAATTGCCTATAATCGGGCCCTATGTGGAGGCTCTTGGAACCTGGTATATTACACAGAGCTACTTCAAGTGGCCATCTCAGCGCTTCCATCAGCAAGTTCTCCAAGCCGGTGGGAGATCAACAAGTTATACATTTGACTGGGCAGGTACAAAGAACCCATTGGGTGCATGTCACTGCATCGACGTCCCGTTTGTACTGGGCACGCGAGAATCCTGGAAAGCTGCCCCTATGCTTGCTGGTAAGGATACTGAAGAGCATCTCTCCCGGCTTGGCTCGGACCTCAAGGATCTATGGGTGAGATTCGCGAATGGACGCAGGCTCAAGGAAGGTCATCTTGAGTTCAGTAAGAGCTTTACCCTATCAGAAGCTCTTTTCGAGGACAAGAAATAGATTATAATTTGTTTCAATTCGAGTTTTCATAATCGAAAATGCATATAATCAGCTTGTACTGCATGCATTGATGAGAGTTTGTGGCTTCTTCTCATTTGCGGCCTTCGCTGATTGAAGGTTCTGCCATCCCAGTCGACTCACGTCGTTAGCGTGCTAAGTAAGCCTGGGAGGGGGCGATCTGCCCTTTCCAATATTAAACACCATCGTAGTCAAAATCCCTCAAGGAAGCTCACACGAAGCGATGCACTTATCCCGCAACCAATGGCTCGGTGACATGCCTAGTCTGGTGATATTGGAGCGCCCACAAGCACAGTGAGAGACACTTAATATAGCATATTTCAAGCGTGTACAAAGAGGAGCATTGAGGGAAATAGCTCTTGCAAAAGGTTTTGCAGTATCTTCACCGGCACTGTATATCAGGCCTCTAGTGGCACGATTTCAGAAACTTGTTGCCACGACTTACTTGTCGCGTCAAAGGATCGTCTCAAATAATTCAAGTACATTTGATCTGGACCACGACCCCATCTGGCGACATCACATTCGGTGATACCGGGAGGAAAGCCGTTGGCAGGTCTGAAAACGCCACAGAAGGATACACGTGCCTCCTCAGGAATATGACCCGGTAGCGTCTGCGTGGACAAAGTCTCCATCATAGACCTTGCAGTATCAAAATAGTGTGCCTCTGACTTCGCTTCTTGCATCATACAAGCATAGCCTTCCTCAAGCTTCATGAGGTTTCCTGCTAATAGCGCAACTGGGGTGCATTTGAAGAATCCTTGCATCGGTGGAGCTTGTCGCAATAGCCGCAGAGCTCGGTGTCGTAAGATTGGCTCTCGACATTTCATTGCTGTAAGGAAGAGAGGAATGCCGACGCCCATCTCAAAGGTAAATGGTGGTTGCGAGCCATCGGGACCAGCCGAGGTGCTGAGCGTCAGATCAGCCTGTTCAACGATGGTCACAAAATCTGCTATATGAGCATCATAGATGGCTTCTGAAGATGTGAGACATGCAGAGAGCGAGATAGATGCTGCAGCGTGGTATGTAAGAAGAAGAGGCTCAAAAGTCAATGAAGACGAAGATTCAGCCGAAACAATTTGGCAATAACTTTTATAAGCGCAAATCCAGTCATTGAGTCGAGTCTGGAGGGATTGTTTTCTCTCAAGCATATCCCGACTCACGAAAGCTTCGCCTCCAACAATGTCCAGATGCACCCTTGCTTCACGTTCGAAGAGTATTACATCCGTAGAAAGAACAGTGATAGCAGATCGAGCTGAGCTGATTGACGTAAACATAGAAGCGCTTGTCTCTTTCTCAACAAGTGCAAAAAGCTGACTAGGTTGGACTCCAGAAATCGTCAGGGAGACGGTGCCCAAACGTAAGAAAAGCGGGATTATTGTATGTTCCAAAAGAGCAGCTTTTGTCGCGGACACCCCTCCAAATGTAACTTGAGATCGCAAGTCAAGTATCAAGCTGACACCTTGCTTGTATAGCTGTAATGCCTCCTCCATACGCCCTTGGACAGTCTCGATGCAGATAAACAGCACACAACTAATGATCGCAATGTATGGGTCTGCCTTTCCTCGCTCGATCTGAGAGTGGATGCTGGATATTGAGCGTGAGTACCATGCCAAGGCCTCGTGTTGAGACTCGCTCAAATGGTGCGAGTTTAGTCTACGAGCCCTCAATAATGTGAAATCAGTGCATTGGTCAGGGTGTTCAAAAAGGCCACTGATCGCAATCATGGCGTCCCACACAGCTGGCTCCGTGCGGCAAATCTGTGGTACAACGCCCGTCCAGAAATCGATGGCCATTCCGCCAGCGAGGTATTGAGCGGCATGTTGAAAGTAATACTCAAATGCACGACGCTCGCGCCGGCCTGGGTTTGGCGATAACGATAACGCGTGGCTAGGTACCAGTGATGATGGGGTGGTTGGACCTCTGGGGGAGGTTTCATCGCCCTCGTACTGGCATTTTCGCCCCGTACTAGAGCAACGATGACAGATTGGCTTCTCCTCGCCGCACTTGACCCGCCGGATCCTGTTTGGCGGTTAGCGGCGAAGGCCAAGGGTAGGTGGGGAGCATCTCACTTGCAAGTTTTGCACCCAGATCTTGATTTGGAAGCCCCGATACGGCGGCTGCCTGGGAATTCAGCGCCCATGCTTCACAATGTCCATCTCAAGCCTGCGTCAAGGACATTGAGATATGCAGTTGGACCTAAAGCGTGACTGAACAGGCATGGGTGGAAGAAGTAGTCTCCCCCGCCACATTTCGAAAGGCTCGCGGCCTTGTTGCCTGAGGCACCGACATTATGTAGCTGGTAGAAATGGTTAGCTAGGAATTTCAAAATTACATCGAGATAACGATTAGAGATAATTTTGGCACGCACTCATTTTGGCTCTGAGACATAGCATAGAACCTGTGGTTATTGTGTGTAAATTGAATAGTGGCATTTATGATCTAATCCAAGACCGTCTACCTACTCCCCCCTTCAAGACTACTCAGAGTGCATATCTGAAGTGCTTAGACTCCATATCAGTCATATCTTTGAACCCATCTACAATCGCTTGAGACTGAGTCTCATGGGAGGTTGTATCCTCCCCAGCTGCTGCCGCAGCAGCATCTCTTCGCATATTCTCCCATCGCATAGCCATGTATGCCATGATTGACAAAACTATGATCCCAGCATAGCAAATCAGCAGGCCTGTCAATGCAGAATAATACCGCGGAGCTTCATGAGAGAAAAAGATATTTGCGCCAGCAACATTCCCCGCGGCATAAAGTGTAAACCATATTCCGTTGGCGACCGCTCGTTTGGTGTGGCCTGCTACATTGGTAGACAGTAGGTTCCAGGAAACAATGACCGGAGCACCAATGATATACTGAAGCCAGGTGCATCCAACAAGCGTCCACCGGTGGTCAAGGCTCGTAAAGCGGATACCCAGTAGCCCGGCGAATGGAATGACACTCACAACGGCGAGAACGATGCAGCGTGAGTTAGGAACGTATGTTGCAACGAGACCGCATATCGGGACTATTATTGCTTCAATGGCACCCGTTGGTAATTGAAGGAGTGTAGCGTTGATTCCACTGAAACCGAATCCTTTGATCAGCGATGAAGCGAAATTCGAAACGCCACCGTTAATGACCCCGCAAGCAATGCCGATACCTGCACAGCAAAGTATTTTGATATCGTATAGATTCTCCACGGCCTGTCCAAGTTTTATCTGTCGAGTCTTCACGCCAATCATATTCTCTGCGACTCGCCTGACAGCTACGACACGCTGGCGATGTGTCAGGAAGGGCGCAGAAGCGGGCGAATCAGGCATGAATGCGAGGAATACGCCTCCACAGACAAAGTTAAGGAGTCCAATAGTCAGGAAAATGAGTTGCCAGCTATGGAGAGCGGTGTTGTGGGAGTGTCCGAGACCGAAGCCGAGCAATGCTCCTACCATGGTCGCCATCCCGTTGGCACTCAACCAGATGGCCATGCGAAGAGGCTGTTCAGAGCGCTTGTAGAACATGGATGTAATAACCATCACTATCTGTCATTAGAGAATGTGACTTTTCATAATATGTAAATCCTAGCCGATAGCACTTACTGCATGGACTGACGCCTGCCTCTGCCATACCCAGGAGGAATCTCAGTACCAGAATGCCTGCATAGTTCTTCGCTCCAATATGGGCGATCACGATGACACTCCAGATGAGAATCATGCCTCCCATATACTTGGCGACAGGCAGTTTCTGAATAAGTAGGTTTGCGGGGATAGCCCAGAACAGATAGCCAAAGTTGAAGATGGCAGCCACCCAGGAGTAGCGCTGGCCCTCCAGGCCAAGGTCAGGAATGAGCGAGTACGCCGAAGCATAGTTGAGAGATAATTTATCTGCGTCGCCATGAATTGTTAATCGCAAGTTTCGAATACGACTCCGTTGTTCAGGTATATCATACCAAGGAATTGAATCACATAAGTCACGTAGAGCTTAAGAATCATCAGGAAATGACCGTAGAAGTTTAGCAAGCTCGTTAGTTTTATCGACTCACAATTGGCATAATTCTCCAGTCCAGAATTCTTAAGACCTTAGCCCCTTCGCTCTCTAATTCTTCGGTCGACAACTGATCGGCCTCGACGTATAGATCAGCCCCGATATCACGGATCTCTCCGAGAGAGACATCTTTTTCCACTGCAGGCGGTTGTTGCACGTTAGCTTCCTTCGAGTCCATATTGAACAAGGCAATATCTGAGATAAATGATGCCAAATTCTTCACCTCCCCTGCCCCGCTAGTATCCCCTCTTTAAATGCATCTTTACTCCGCAGGCCAAGAGCAGTCATTATCGCTGCCAAGCAGATAAGGTTGATCTTGTTATCTTGGCAGACCGATAGGCGCCCAGGCGGACTATCGCCCGCCCGTGAGTGATGAAGTGGAGAAAGTTTGTTTAGCGGACAATACTCCGCCATCTCCGCACTGGACAATCAGGTTGCGGCCATGTCTGTATAAAATCATTGCAGGATAACAGGAACTCTATCGGCTTCTCCTGCAGCTGATACGAATTCACTTGAGTGTGGTCAATTGCCAATCAACGCAACACAACGAATCAGGAAGCTAGAATACCATCTTCAAGGCATCATGGCCCAACTAGACTCGGGTCTAGAGTTCGCTTTACTCGACGCTAGTATCTCCGAACTACAGAATGCACTCTCATCGGGCTGGCTCACCAGCGTGGACTTGGTCTCGCGCTATCTGCGACGTATTAGTGTCTATGATGCCAACGGACCAAAGCTCAGTGCCATTCCAATTCTAAACCCATCCATCTTTGACGAAGCTGCCGCATCTGATGCCAGGCGTGCGGCGGGACTACCACCGCGACCTCTAGAAGGAATTCCTTATCTGGTGAAAGACAACATCAAAGTCAAAGGCATGACAGTCGCCAACGGATCGCCTGCCTTTGAGAAACTTATTGCAAATGAAGACGCGGCATGCGTGCAGATTCTCCGGAATGCTGGCGCTGTCCTTCTTGGGCGGACCAACATGCCTGCCATGGCGTACGGTGGGATGCAGCGTGGAGTCTGGGGACGTGCCGAGAGCCCTTATAACAGCGATTACTTAGCAGCGGCTTATGCATCGGGCTCGTCGAATGGCTCTGCTGTGGCTACAGCTGCAAACTTCTGTGCATTTTCTCTGGGAACCGAGACTGTCTCTTCTGGCCGTTCGCCTGCATCCAATAATGCTATCGTTGCGTACACACCGTCCAAGGGACTTCTCCCACTTCGGGGTGTGTTTCCTCTCTATCCGACCTGTGATGTATTGGTTCCACACACCAGGACTGTGGAGGATCTATTCCAGGTGCTTGACGTCCTGGGTGTTTCTGATCCAGCACCAGTGGGCGACTTCTTCAATGAGCAGCCATTTGTTCAACTTCCCTCGATGGAAAATATCCGCCCGGAGTCTTTCAAGACCCTCAAGGATGGGTCGTCTTTGAAGGGTAAGCGCATTGGTGTGCCTTCTATGTACATGGGAGGAGACGACTCCTCCATTTCACCTGTTAGCAAGGTCAAAACACGATCCTCTATCATTAAGCTCTGGCAAGAAGCAAAAAAGGCTCTGGAAGCTTGCGGCGCGGAAGTGGTAGAGACCGACTTTCCTCTTGTGACAATCTACGAATCCAATGCGGCCTCGGGTCAATTAGTGACCGTTGCAAATCTGCCAGAAGGCTGGTCAGCCAAAGAACGATGTGAGGTTGTCTCCCATGCTTGGGATGATTTCCTTGTCTCGAACGACCAGAAAGATCTCGCGTCTCTGACGGTTGTTGATCCTGCAACGATCTTTCCTCTGGCTCCAGGCTCCCTACTTGGTAACCCAGAGGCTGCCAACAAACCACGCTGGGGCGAGATTGTAGCTTACCCGCAGACAAAGCCAGCGTCCATATTCGAGATCCCAGGAATGAAGCAGGCAATTTTTGCGCTTGAAATTGCCCGGAAAGAAACTTTCGAGAATTGGATGGATAAACTTGGCCTCGATGCTGTGGTGTTCCCCGCGAATGGCGATGTGGGCACCGCGAATGCTGATAGGGATGAAGAAGCATCTCATTTCGCCTGGAGCAACGGCGTTAAATACTCCAATGGCAATAGACCAATTCGTCACCTAGGTGTTCCCACGATTTCGGTCCCAATGGGTGTGATGGAGGATACAAAAATGCCAGTAAACCTCACTTTTGCGACCAAAGCGTATGAGGACGTCGATTTGCTACGGTACGGCTATGCCTTTGAGATGGCAACCAAGCTCCGGGTTCAGCCATATGGTGTGCCAATGTTGTCCTCTGATCGGATTTTGGTCGATAAAACGCCCCAAACCTCTCTAGAACTCGTGGTGGAAGAGCAGGCTAAGGAGGTCCATGACTCGAAGGTGCTCGTTCGGATCCAAGGATCCGTACGTGCATCTGGTGATAGCCCCGTGAATTTGACGTGCTACGTCAATGGAGATTCATGTGATGCCATCGTAGAGAATGGCAAGTGGTCTCTCGCAACATCATACTCGGTTTCTGAGCGGGATAGCCCGTGGGAGATGTGGAAGAGCCCAGCGTTAAGCCAGACAATTATCGTTATCACGGCACATGCCGGTGGCTGTGCAACAGCTGGGCAAATGATTCTCTTGTAACATCTTTGTCTTCATGTATTCTATATCATGTCATGTACATAGTCGTGTTTTCATATCATCACATCATTCACAATATCTTGGTCACCAAAGCGTCCGGTATTGCTTCATACTGTACAAATCCCCCATACATCATATCTTCTATCATCCCCAAAATAGCACGGTGTAGATACTTCTTCTTTAGCTGGTCCAAGTGGGCCTCTGCTTCTGCCAAGCCAGGAGGATCCATCTGCACTGCAGATGTCACAGTAGTCTGCAGGATCTTCTGGTACAAGAATTGGAACAGTTTGTAGTATGGTGTGGCATCTTCCCAGCGTTCGGAGAAACAAGCAAAGTTTTTTAGACAGGCGTTGATTGCTTCTGGTGAATCATAGGAATTTTGACCTTGTAAGATCAGGTTGTCCATAATTGGTCTTGTTGCCCAGATTAAGTAGAGAAGCATGATAGCAGCTCTAAATTGGAACACGAGCTATACAAACGTCAGTCATCTTTGCTTCGAGATATACCAGTCGGGGGCAGCTTACCGCAGACCAAGTAAAGCACATCACATGCCCCTCTTCCTGTAATCGACGGAACTGCAGACAGACTTCCACAACCGCAGAGAAGATCTCTTCTGTTCCCTCGTGGTCAAGGAAATTCCGCTTCTCTTCCATCAAGATGAGAATACTATAATCATATAACTTCGTCATCCAACTTGGGTGATAGAACCCACTAGAAACATTCGAGGTTCCGTAGCGGGGTATATCCTGTCTCCAAATATCTAGGGCAGACTTGAGTGACGAGCTGAAAGCATCTTTTTCTTCAGAATACCGCCAACGGGATCGCTCAAGGGATCTCCTAATGTTATTTTGAATTTTTCGCAGTCGGAATAGGTGGCCCAGTGCGGGATTTGCATTGCTAGGTGGTTGAATCGTGTCTCCTAGAATGCAAAGCTGAGTTGTTGTCAGTGAGTTTTTGTAATTAGACTATCAACCGTGATCGCGGGTTCCTTACATCATCATCCACTATTCGATAGGAAGGAGACACGGGCCTGTCCCATCCGGACGCAATCACCTCGTTCAGCATGTAACAAGCGATGAACATGTTCTCTGACATGACCTCGCCAGAAGCGGCGGCCGTTTCGTCGTCCCGGGCAATCCGAACATACTTTCGAAGATGCGTGATTGCAGCGGTACAGAATGGTAATATTGAGGAGACAGTCGTGGCAATCTCCTCTGACGACGGAGAATGCAATGCATAGACGATCAGCAGCAGGGATGCTTGAACTTGTAGAACCATTGACGGATGTCCCACAACATGAGGATAATAGTTCATTGCAGAGGCATAGAGTTCCTTTGAGCGAATCAAATGCGCTGGGTCTCGGTGCATTGTGCTGCAGAGTGACGCTCCAATGGCATACACCATCCGGAGAAAGAAAAATCGCCACTCTTCCTGTCCCGTTACGCCTTCCTCACGATGCCATATCTTCCAAGCAGACTCATTGAGGAATGGCCACTCGCGGTGTGATATTGAAAAGTATATATTTGTGTAGAGCTCTGTGAGCCATATGGAGTCCTCGCCAACCAGGGGGAAAGATGGTTTATCGAGGCGAAGGAAATCAAGGGTTTCATCATTCAATTGGAAGATGGAATCCGTGAGCGAAGACGGCGAGAACGGCGACAGTCGAGAAACTAGGCCTTGCGGTTGCAGAGCAGACGAAAGTACCAGCGCTTGGCTCTCATCTACCCCATTGGTCCAAAATGGCGACTGCCTAGTCGGTGCTATATCCACGTCATTGCTCCCATTCTCCACAAAATCAGTCTGGACGCCTGCATCGCATAGCTCCACACTAGTGCTTGCCCCTGGGTATGAGCCTTCCAACTCGGCTACCCTCCTTTCGAGGTCCTTCAGGTATGCGACCGGGACGGTGATGTTATCTCCCGACTTGCGCGATCTAGCAGGCAGGCACTCTGCGCCTTTACGGCGGCATTCACCGCAGGTTGGCTTGACATGATCACATTTGCGCTTCAGACGGAAACAGCGGGCACAGGCGATATCTCGTGGTTTGAATGGGCGCGACATGCGGGTGTTGGGAGAGGCGAGGAAGGAGAAGTGTTAAGAGTGCGGGGGAAAGCGGAGATGGAACCGGCTTGATATCCTTGTCATTGATAAGAAGGTTTCGGGAGCCTTCCGAGGCCGACATGACTGATAGCTTGATGGACCAGCAAAAGTTTGAGATAGCATATATTATGAGTGGCAATGAAAATTCATGAGATACGAACTTGAAGACTCACGCACTAATGGAGTAAGATATATTTTCCACGATAATCGATACACCGATATACCCTATAGTCCCGTTGCGCTTATTACTCTCGGCATTCCCCTTCATCTCAACCCCGGATCCACTTGCCCATGGCCGAATCATAGCCGATGATTTTGGGATCGATATTCAGCGTCTTGAGCATGAAATCCATAGTAAAGTCCTGTGATCGCTAGTCAGTTCCTGTACATCCACATATCAGAGTGTCGAAATAGCTCCATGATTACCTCGTCATGAGACTCTTCCTCCTGTACCTTGGAGCCATTCTTCTTCTTCACAAATACGTCGCCTAGCTCCCGATTAACATCTTCGCACTCATCCACATGTTCCTTCTCTTCCTCCTCCTCGTGGTTCCACTGAAAGGCATCACGTTTCGAACGCTCTCTCCACGCTGTCAGACCACCCATCATAGTCACTCGTTCCTGGGCACCAGAAAAAACCTCGTCGGCGGCTTCCTGGCTCGCATGACGCCACTTTGTGATCAATCCCTCAAGCTCCGCACCTTTATTTGAGGACTCGACGCGTAGTGCTTGTTTTGCGACGTTGAGCTCTTCGCGTAGACCTGCAAGCCGGGATTGTAGCGCACGCTCTTGCTTCTGTAAGCGCAAGAGCTCCGGGTCTGCAAGAGGCGACTGCGTTGGCGTGGCAAATGCAGAGTGATGCGTAGGTCTCATTGTGCGCGTGGCCTGCGATAACAGCGGTGATAATGTAGGGTAATCAGCCCTTTGAGTAAGATCTTTAGGTGTACAAGTCTCGTCTTGGGCGATTTCAGCCGCGTCAGGGGTGAGGGGTGATGTTGGAGACTCATCCTCGACCGGCACGGGTTTGCGCAGCGGAGACTTGAAAGGTCTTGAAAGAGCGGTGGTTGCGTCTAAGCGACGTCGCTTGCTTGGAGGGTGATTATCTCCCATTGCGAGGTGAACTAAAGGAGGCACGAGTGAGAGTAACAGGGAGTGGAAACCCGATACTGAGGGATTACGGAGGACGAGGATGAGAATGAGGAAGAAGAGCAAGTTCAGATGTCTTATCGATAAGATGCAATGCAGCTGACATTTATCTACACTTAAAATCCATACATTACAGAGTCTTTCATCAATGGCCCACTCCACCTGCCACCCACTGCGCGAATTCCGGGTCGCCAGGCTGAGGGAAGAAGCCACGATCATTGTTGTTCGCATTTGCATTAGCGTTTGCGTTGCCATTGGCATCACCACCCTGGTTGGCCGCGTTCGCGTTCTGCCGGTTCCGCTGCTGTTGCTGGCGGATGTATACGAGCACGAGAAGCGTCGCGGCCAGCCCGACGATAAGAAGGCCCTCGAGGACGCTATCGTCAATATCAAGATCCAGGTCGTCATAATATCCGTCACCTTGATCTGTCTGGACCGAGCCCATGAAGTCCTCATCGTCTTCGCGAGCTTCGTAGAGCTCGTTGTAATAATCGGCAGCGTCATTTTCAATGAAAGCCGTAATCCATTCTTTGAAGGTACGGCGAGGTCTCGTATCTGATATGGGAAATTAGTCAAAGATCGCGTAAGGTTGAAAAGAAGCATTCTCTTCCTCTGGGTTACATAGGCTTACCTTCATCGCGGATGGGATTGATATCTCCGTTGGTTATGCGGTTCCAGTATCCCCGGGCCCGCAGCTTCAGAAGGCTGAGTTTCACGGGCAGGTACGCCTCACGATTAGTTACCAGAGCAAGATCATAGTATCGTTTCGCCATGTGGAAATCTTGTGCCACGGCAACACCGTTCTCATGCATCCAACCTAGGTTCCAGTATGCCTGTGCACTGTGATGCGCTTCGGCCGCATTGTGATAACAGGTTGAGGCCTTCTCAGCATCAACCAGTGTGCCGGTTCCTCGCAAGTAGTAGTCGCCCATCTTAATCAAAGAGTCAATGTTGGACTGCTTAGCTGACCTAGTCCAATAGATCAGAGCCAAGGCCGTATTGCGTAGCAGCTTCGTCCGAGTCTTCTTGACCCAGGGCAAGATGCGGCTCAGGGAGAACAATGAGCGTTGTTCGTCGAGAAGATATGCCACGTTGGCTTGTGCATGCTCGTACCCCTGCTCAGCAGCCATCATGGTCGGGATGAGAGCACGCTCCTTGTCGCCATTTTCGTATGCCTCGTTCGCCTCGGTGAAGGCTGAATGAACTACTTCTGCCTTCTCAGCAACCATCTTATAATAGGCCACAGCAACACCACAGTGTGGCTGTCTGCCGACACCAAAGTTGGCCATCTCCGCGAGGTAGTAGTACGCCTCCATCCATCCCCAACGCGCCGCGAGCTCGAAATATCGAGATGCGGCCGCAACGTCTCCTTGGTCCAGAAAAAGCGCGCCAAGTCGAGTCTCGGCGCCCGGGATATCTTGCTCTGCTGCAGTCTTGAAATATGAAGCCGCTTTGTAGGCATCCTGAGGCACTCCATATCCGTGGAGGTACATCAGTCCCATCTCATGCTGGCAAAGAGCATCCCCATTCTTCACACCCCGCCGGAACCAAGTTAAGGCGTGTCCCAAGTTCTGTTCAACGCCCTCTCCGCGCAGGAACATCAATCCAATATGTCCTGCTGCTTTGGCGGCCAACTTGTCAAGCCCCGGGGAAGGATTTGGGACGAACGAGCCATCCGCGTTCCAGTAACGCTTGGTCACCGCTCTAAAATACTTCATGGCTTTCTTGAAGCTTCGAGGCAATCCATGCGCTCCGTCGTAGTTCATCTTGCCTAGAGTGAACGTGGCCTTGAGTTCGCCTTTGCGAGACATGAGGTCAAGGTACTCAAGGACATCTTCAACGCTGGCCTCGGTAGCGGCGTGACTAGGATCCCGTGCATTGTGCCCAGAGCTCGATACGCTAGCACCTTCTCCATAAACACCACCCTCCTCATCCGCCCAGCGGTAAGACTCCCCTGACCATGGCATGACCGCCAGGTGGACCAGACCGATAATATTCAATTGCCTTGTCAGCGACCCTCTTGTAGTAGAAGACTGCATGTTCGCAGTTCTTCGGGGTCCCAATGCCTGTATGGTACCGATATGCAAGCGTCATCTCCGATCGGGTGTTTCCTCCCTCCGCAGCGAATTCGTGGTACATCAACGCTTTCGCCTGATCGCGTTCGACAGCATCACCGATACCCGTCGCGTACATGAATCCGACCATAGACTGTGCTGTGCTGTTTCCTGTCAACCAGGCTAAGTCATTGTACCACTGGAATGCCGCGCTGAAATTGCGCGGGTGCGTGAAGTTGCCATAAAAGTTCATTTCCGCGAGAAGGAACATAGCATCCGAGTCTCCATCTTCATCCGCTGCCGCCTTGAGCTCTTCAACCGCCTGTGCGACCAATGGGCTGAGCTTCCTTTCAGCTTTATCAGGGGCTGGTCCGTTCAAGAACAGTAACCGAAAGGCCTCGCGACCGTAATGTAGTGTGTACCCAACGATTCCGTTGGGCTTGTCGACGCTGAGAACGGCCGGTTTTGCTGCTCGAAGTATCTTCCAAGCATTTTGAACTCGCTCTGCCACAGTAAAGCGAGTGAGGTTAGTATTACCGCGATGCCTGAAGCTGCACGTGCGACGGTTCTATCGGGCGAAACTCACGACTAACTGGCCTTGGCTCTGGTTCCGGCTCCGTAAACAAGAACTCTTGCTTCTCGTTATTTCCCACGACATCTGTGGACGAGGTTTCGCCCAAGGGAGCTTGGGTCGGCCCGGCTGCGCATGTCTGTAGAAGCACTTAGAAGCGGAGTCAGCACCGACTGACAACCCCGGAAACGAGAAGTGGAGAGCGAGGGGAACTCACGCAGGGCCGGCAGAAAGGAGATCAACGGCGTCCTCATGATGCCTGTGATATATGAGAGTTCAGGGATTGGAAGAATCGCATTGCGACTCCGTTGGGGGGCGGAAAGAGGATACGAGACAGTTGGAACGCAAAGCGCTTGGTGATGTAGTTTCCAACGGGCCACTTGGCTAAACCGCGGAGCTTCATTCTGCCGACAGCCAATCACCGCCTTTAATCTATATCCAACAACTACGGAGTACAACTGGACTGAAATGACGAGATTGAGCATGGGCGCGCTGAGCTTAATACAATTTCAGGGCCATTGAACGATTTACAACTACTACTGTTTAGCTGTTTATCATTAAAATCCTTTTATTCAACTCCCTAGAGTCTGTGTACAGCATGGGAGAAAATCAAATCAAATACAGAACCCCCAGTGCGCTCTTCATGCAAAAAGAAAAAGGGAAAACATTTGGGCAGCCTCAGCGTATTCCCTACCACGAATTCGAAACCCGTGTGGGATTTCTCCATGGGAGGTACCCGAGATCAGCTAAGATCTAGGCCCCGTCCCGAGAAACACTTGGAAACACATCCATAGCCACCTGCGAAAAGGGGGAGTAACAAAGTCGTTCTCAATTTCGGAAACGGCAATGACAGCTGGATCTGGGGCATCGTAGAGAAAGGGGCAGGAAGAAAAAGCATGAAAATAAGAAAGCCCAGCGAAGGGCTCACCAGCATTGCTAAGAAAACAGATACAGTCGAATGGGCGACGGGCGAGCCGCCCAGTGAAGCAGAAAAGATGAACATCCAATTCCGAGTTGTCAGCTGTGAGATAACTCTTTTTTGTAGTTTATCGGAACGTTTTGGTGATAATACAGTGGTGCAGCACGAGCCAAAGCTAGGCAAACCGTGTCTGTCCTCACTTCTGGCGGGGAGACCTATCAAGGGCACGTTAGTCAAGGTTCTTCCTGTCATGTCTTGCAAGATGGACTTACGTCGGGCTGTGGAATTCCGGCGAGCTCGGGCTGTAAGCAGCCGCAGGCGACGTCGGAGAGCCAGAGAATTTGGGAGACGTCGGCGAGTATGCCTCAGGTTGCGGGGGAGACCAAGAAGGAGAAGTGGGACTCCACTTGGGGGAGGTTGGAGAGGCAGGAGAAGTGGGAGACAGGTGCCGGCCACCACCGAGAGCAGGACTGGTAGGGCTGTACTCGGGGGATGTCAGGCTGAAGGCTGGTGAGGCCGGGCTGAAATTGGGTGACGACGGGCTGTACGTGGGTGAAGTAGGAGAATACGATGGAGACGCCCCCGCAGGTGACGACGGCGAGTAAGCCGGAGACGTGATCACGAATTGCGGGCTCGATGGCGAAGTTGGCGACATGCGAGGAGACGTGAAACCAGGGCTGCTAATACCAGGAGACGTGGGAGAATAAGCAGTCGAGGAGGGCGACCAGCTGGGAGATGCCATGCTGGTATTGAAGGGGCTGGTCGGGGAATAGACCTGGCCGGGGCTGCGGGCACCAGGACTGAATCCACCGTAGCCATCGGAGGGCTGGTACTTGGAGAGGCCTCCAGGCGACTCGGCGCCGCCCTGTCGGATAGGCGAGAAAGTTGCGTCGGGGTCCGAGTCGACCATGTACGGAGAGCTGGCCATAGGCGATCCACTATCGTACTGAGTGGCCGCACCGTCGGAAAGAATCGCGTCCTTTGCACCAACACCGCCCATGAGAGCGAAGCGGGCATTGTTCGAAACGACCGTGTTGAGCAGGTTCTGATCTAGGTAAACATCGAACTCTCCCGTTCCAGCGGGGGCCATCTGTCCAAGAATCAGGTTCTCCGACACGCCACGGCAGTCGTCGAGCTCGCCGAAAGCGGCAGCCTCCAACAAAATCTCGACTGTCTCCTCGAACGAACAACGCATCAGAGCGCCATTGTCGGCACGGTTAATACCATGACGAGTGACGGGAGTCAAGTAACCGCGGACAGTCATGACATCGACCAGGAGGGCCAAGTGACGGTGATTGACATAGGAACCGTCAAAGGCCAACACCTGGGTCAACTCACGAAGCACAGCAGTGCGGGCAGCCTCAATTCCAAAGACCTCGAAAATCTCGATGAACTGGTTAGAGTAGGTACGAGTAGCGTCAACACCAGGAATGGCGAGGACCGGCGCAAGATGAGAGCCACTGGTCTCCAGAACCCAGTCCTTGCAAAGAGGGTCGGTCTTGCTCATCAGTAGAGCACCATCCTCCGTAACGCGGACCTTGCTTCTCTCGTTGATGAAGGCACGCTCCACACCAGGCACACCACGAAGAGTAAGTGTGTCGAGCAGATGCTGTTCGAGCTTCTTGAGAGTCACGTCGTACTCAATGTCGTCATCGTCATCATCATCCTTGTGACTTTGGACTTGACGGATACGGATGACCTGTTCGTCGGCGTTGTTATCACTGAAAATGACAGCAATGTCGTCCTTGTACGCCTTCTTGATCTTCTCAGCAACATCCTGGACAGTAAGTCCCTTATCGAGAAGCTTGGGTCTGCTGAGAACAATGCGAAGCAGCCACTTCGACTGGTTGGCCAGGTCGCCTTCCACATCCTCGGGAATGATGAAGTATGACTCGACCATATCACGATCGTTCTCAATGACAGTAGACTGGATGTCCGGATCGTAGTAGATCTCGGTGGCCTCGGTGACTGATCGCAAGCTGGTGTGCTCGACAAGACTTCGCAACTGCTTGGCACCCTCCTTCTCGTAAGTGTTATCACCTTCCTGGTAGACAGTCATGGACGGAGTCTTGATGTTGGTTGCCACATTGAGAATTTCCTTCAGACGAGGCACTCCCAGAGTGACGTTCTTCGACGACACACCCGCGAAGTGGAACGTGTTGAGTGTCATCTGGGTGGCGGGCTCTCCAATACTTTGTGCTGCAAGAACACCGACCATCTCACCAGGGTTAGCCGCAGCGCGAGCGAAACGATTCTCAATGGCGCCGAGAACGTGCTGGAATGCAAGCTTATTGAGCGAGTATTCCGTAACCAGTCGCTTGAAAGCGAGGCGAGAGCGAAGCTGCGCCTTGAACAGGAGGGTCGAGTTGTAATCAGCTTCTTTTGAGATGGGATCGTCACCGCGAACGACGACCAGACGGTCAAGCAGAGCCTGTACTTGAGGGATAACCTCTGCAGGGTGAAGATCGCTGATAGTGCCCTCGCGGATGCGGAATGTCGACCGAGCCATTTCCAGAATTCTGCGCACGTTGATAGGGAGCTGCATCATCTCCTCATCCTCTTTGGCCACAGTACGAAGGAATGCGCGAGACTCGAGCAGGGCTTCCCACTCTTCGTCAAAGTAGCGCTGGACCTCGATATCACCCGCGATCTCGTTGGCCTGCTCCAACACCTCGGGGCCAAGAGACATCTCGCTGTCCATGACATCAACGCGGAAGCGCTGACGCATCTTCTCGTCGGAGCAGCGAATAATGTCGACGGGTTGGTTCTCAATGTGAACACCATCCAAGCCGTCTTCTCCATAGATGAACTGGATGATATCACCCAAGGAGTTACGGACAGTACCGTCGTACTTGACCATAACTTCTTCCAGGGCTTTGACCAGCTTACGCTGAATGTAACCAGTTTCGGCAGTCTTGACAGCGGTATCAATCAAACCCTCACGACCAGCCATGGCGTGGAAGAAGAACTCGGTAGCAGTCAGACCACGCAGATAAGAGTTCTCGACGAAGCCACGGGACTCGGGAGAGTAGTCATCCTTGGTGAAATGAGGCAGAGTGCGGTACGCAAATCCGAATGGAATTCGCTTGCCTTCCACGGATTGCTGACCCACGACAGCAGTCATCTGGGAAATGTTGATGGTCGAACCCTTGGATCCAGAACGGGCCATCTGAATAGCATTGTTCAAATCCTTCAAACCTTTCTCGGTGGCAGCACCAGCCTCATCACGAGCGTTGTTCAGAGCGCGGGAGACCTTGCTCTCGAAAGTTTCACGAACATTCATACCGGGCAGCGCCTCAAGAGTATTATCTGTAGCACTAGCAGTGATCTCCTTGACCTCCTGCTTGCGTTCGCGGACAGCCTCCTCGATCTTTTCAATGGTCTTGCGATCGGGAATCGTATCACCGATACCGATGCTGAAACCATTGTGAAGCAGCCAGTAGTTGACAATGGTTTGGGCGCCATTGAAGAAACTGACTGCGGTGTCAGGCCCGTACTCGTTGAAGATGATGTGAATCACACCGCCGCCACTGGCGCCGACGGTCTTCTTCGAAAGCATACCATACAGCAACTGTCCACCCTGAATGAGCAGGCCACCGTCATTAAGAGGGCTGAACTTCTCCGACAGAGGCGCGCTATCCTTGTCAACACGGACAAGGTTGAGACCAGAGGGGAAAGCCATGCTAATCATCTGCTTACCAGTCCAGCGTGGACGAGGCTTCATGATCGCAGGAGGGGGAATGACACCGTCCCAGTTCGGAACCCAAAGCAGAAGGTTCATGACTTGATCCTTTGTGAGGAAGACATCGCGACGGCAGATTTTGTAAATACCGCACAGCGTGTCCTGGACGATACCCATGAGAGGGCCGTTACGCTGGGGAGACACAATGTTCTTCGGGACGAGAGCAAGCTCGGCCAGTTCTGCACGCGACTCCTCGCTCTGCGGAACGTGCAAGTTCATTTCGTCACCGTCGAAATCGGCGTTGTAGGGCGTAGTGACCGACAAGTTCAGGCGGAACGTTGAGAAGGGCATGACGCGGACACGGTGACCCATCATACTTTCCTTGTGCAGAGAAGGCTGTCGGTTGAAAAGGATAACATCACCGTCGGCGAGATGGCGTTCAACTTTCCAGCCGTACAAGAGCTGCTGATTACCAGCGCGCTTGGCGTGGCGAAGATCGATTCGCTCGCCAGTGTCTCGAACAATGTACCGGGCACCAGGATGAACGTTGGGGCCGTTGGAGACCAACTGTTGCAGCTTTTCGATGTTGTACGGAGTCACCACCTCGGGGTAGGTCAAGATCTTAGCCGTCGAAAATGGCACACCGACTTCGTCAAGAGACAGGTTAGGATCACCTGTAATAACGGTACGGGCTGAGAAGTCTACACGCTTGCCCATCAGATTCTGACGCAAGCGACCCTCTTTACCCTTCAGACGGCTGCGCAGCGCCTTCACTGGACGGTTTCCCTTCTGCATAGCCTTGGGCTGACCCGCAATATCGTTGTCCATGTATGTGGCAATGTGGTACTGCAGCAGTGATTCGAACTCACGAATGACGTGCTCTGGGGCACCTTCCTGCTCGCATCGCTGGACATTTTGATTGGCGCGCACGATTTCGGCCAACTTGTATGTCAGATCATCCTCACCACGGGAGCCACTGGTAGCTCCCATCAGAACACTGGGGCGAACAGTTGGAGGCGGGACGGGGAGAACGGTAAGGATCATCCATTCGGGACGGGCATAGTCATTGCTCAGACCCATGATACGAACGTCTTCGTGGGAAATATTGCGGAAGATGTTCAAGGCCATCGCAGGAGAGATAACCTTCTTCTCAGGCTGTGCAGTAATGTCGTCCTCCATCATGCTCTTGCTAGGCTTCCAGGTACCCACAAGAGTAATACCTTCCTTGCGCACGGTAGGCTGGGCGTTACCACATCCACCGTGAAAGTAGCGCTTCTTTCCCTCCTTCTGCGATTCTTCATCATCGGGGGACGGGTCGGTTTCGCAAATGTTGATATCCTTGGAAGCTCGCCAGATCGCATCGAAGCGGCGTTTCGGGTCTCGGAGGCGGATGGCCTCCAAAAACTTCGGGTTATCCTGAAGTCAAGAATGTCAGCACGAAAAGGTCAGAAGATTTGCCATCCCATGAGGGATGACTAACCGCTCCAACTTTGATCTTTCCACAGTTGTGGCAAACGGTCTCCAACAGCTTCTTGATCTTGGTCACGAAACCTTTGTAAGAAAGGAAAAGTCAGTAATAATGAATGAAAGATGAAAGACTGCCGCGAGTCCCGAAGTGATCACAGCGCGGAGTCACTCACCGATGTGGAAGACTGGAGATGCCAGTTCGATGTGACCGAAGTGCCCAGGGCATTCTTTGGGTCCCTCTTCGCAGGTCTCGCAGTTGAACTGGCGGTCAATGGTGCCGAGTCGGGGGTCATTCACACCCTTGGTTCGAGGCCGCTGACGTTGCTCATCCTGTATCAAGTGAGAAAAGTTAGAGAGATCAGTCGCAAGCGGTTGTTTGATGGGTTTCTTGATAGATCAGCAGTGAGATGTGGACATACCATCGTCTCGGGATATTCCACATGGACCACACTCATGCGCTTGATCTCTTCGGGGGCGAAGAGACCAAACTGAATCTCCTTGATGGTGCGCAAAGGCGCCTTGGAGTAAGGGAAGTGAACGTTAGACATGATGGCGGTAGTTCGATGCGCGAAAAGCTGGTCGGATTATGGAAGTCGAGACGGGTCCGGGGGGGAGAGAACCTCAAACGCGGAACTGGGGAAAAACGAGGGATCTGGAGCTCGTTAAGGCGCAGAAACTGAAGAGACAGGCTGAGTCGATGACCAAACGTCAGGATCACACGAGGCGACGATGAAACGAAGGTGGTGTGGAAGCAGCTGGCCGGCTGAGGCCTTTGGCAGCCCTTGCCACGAGGGCGCCGGCGACCTGGAGTCCCCGGACGTCACGAAGCCCTTGGAAAGGAGAGGGAGAAGGGAAGTGTCGCTAGTGATCGCGTGTAGATAGTCTCCAGAAGAAATATCACGATGGAGAACGCGATATTCTTAGATGGGGGGGTGATGAGGAGAGCGTGTCGGGGAGGGTGAAGGGGAGATGGTGAAGGTTGCCTCACCCGTTGATGGGGCTCGAGTTTTCCCTCTGCTCACTTAGCGCGCCAGAGGGTGTCTATAGTGTGCCGTAGAGGCGGGCGGTGAGTGGCGGCAGAAGGCCATCTGCAGGCAACCGTCCTGGACTCTGAGGCACCAACAGGGTGCGGTATATACGGCCATGTCTCACCGCCTTTGATTCCACTCCGTTCGCCGTGAATCTGCAACGGCGGAAAGATGCGCTGGAAAACACCGCCCCGTCAGTATTGCTGGGTCCTATCGGCCTCGACTTCGCGTGCATTGGACTCCACTGTGTGCTGGATGTTCGAGCCACCAGCTTCCTGGCCTTGATTTCAGGCCTAGGGGATCTTGATCATTGGCGATTAACTCTACATTGCGCCGACTAGCCGCCATGAATTTGTCGCTTGTTGACCCGTTCGTCCTGGCGCAGGACTATCCAGACAACCTGACAGAGAAGTTACGTATGTGGGCTATTCTTCTACCTGTGTATGTTTGTTACATGCTCTAACTGCCGTCTAGGAAGTGGCCATGCGACCTGTCTCCGATTCAACCATACTGGCGACTATCTAGCATCCGGCCGAGTTCGTACACCCTCGCAATTTGGATATGCGGAGCAAAGAAGGGGCTGTGGAAGCTGACTACTATACATCAGGTGGATGGTACCGTCGTGATTTTTGACATTGAGACCAATGGAGTCGCGCGTAAGTTGCAAGGTCACACCCGGCAGATCCAGTCTCTCAGGTATGCATGGCAATTCTCCCCGCAAACAAGAACGAGACTAATGGTTATCGGTCACTAGTTGGTCTCGAGATGGTCGGTACCTTCTTACATCCTCACAGGATTGGAAGTGTATATTGTGGGACTTGAAGGATGGCTCGCGCGTGCGCACAGTCAGATTCGAAGCACCAGTCTACATTGCGGAGTTACATCCATTCAACCAGTGTGGCCTTACCTCCCCAAGTATGTCTGGAGATACGTTTGAGCTAATCGCCTTTGTGTACTATAAGTCTCCTCTTTGTGGCTTCCCTATTCGAAGACCAACCCGTCCTCGTCGACATTTCCTCGCCAAACCCAATCAAGCGAATTATCCCGTCCCGCACCCTCCGCCCTCAACCCACGAACGGAGAAGAAGTCGACCCTGCTGTCGCCGCTAAACAAGCAGCCCAAGATGCGAAGCACTCGACCTGCGTCACCATATTCACAGCATTCGGCAATCACATTATCGCTGGCACCTCCAAGGGCTGGATCAACATCATTGAGACGGAAACATGCACGACGATCCATTCCATGCGTCTTTGCAATGGAGTTGTTATCCTCGCCCGCCTTGCCAACAACGGGCGTGACCTACTGGTGAACAGCTCAGACCGTGTCATTCGCACCGTCCTCATGCCCGACCTCTCCCAGTTGGGTATAGATTTCGAACCCTCCGCTATCAAGCTACAAGTCGAGCACAAATTCCAAGATGTTGTCAACAGATTAAGCTGGAATCACGTCACGTTCTCTTCAACTGGCGAATTTGTGACCGCAACCACATTCATGAATCCGGATATCTACGTCTGGGAACGCAGCCACGGCTCTCTCGTCAAGATCCTCGAGGGTCCACGCGAGGAGCTCGGCGTGGTTGAATGGCACCCCTCTCGTCCCATGGTGGTCGCTTGTGGTCTGGAGTCTGGCTGCATCTATACATGGTCGATCATTAGTCCTCAAAAATGGTCTGCGCTGGCTCCAGATTTCGGCGAGGTTGAAGAGAACGTCGAGTACGTGGAGCGCGAAGATGAGTTCGACGTCCACCCTGCCGAGCAGGTGCATCAACGGCGACTCGACCTCGAGGATGAAGAGCCCGACGTGATCACTTTGGATCGTGCCGAAAACACCATCGACGCAGAACAGACTGGTGTTTTCAGCGTCCCAGTCCTTCTAGATATTTCGGATAGCGAAAGTGGCGAGGATATTATAGCAGTAGGACCGGGTACTATGCGCCGCCGCTCTCCCGGCGACGGAGATGCCGACAAGGACTCCAAATCCGGTGCCAATGGCGTCGCTCGTGGCGCAGGCAGGAACCGCAGGCGATGAAAAGCGGTTTCAACTGTTGTCCATCTTCTATCAGGTCATCCGTCCAGTCTTGGGCAGACTAGACAACATCATTTGCATATGAATGGCGTTTGAAATGTACGGGTTTGGAAAGGCGTTTTGGTAGGCTTTGGCTGTCTTACTCTGATTCCTTCTATGATGCGGCAGTATTTTGCCAAATGACAAATTTCACATACAAGACTTTTTACTGCCTTTTGATGAAAAATGAGATTAGATCAAATTTGGAGTTAAAACTATTTGCATGATATGCTACAGGGAAGTGCCTGAATGTTGCACAAACACCTCGAGCATGTTCCATCTCAGAAGTATGATGAGCTACGATCCAGACGAATATCATGATCAAGACTTGTGATTGATGTTGACATCCCTTGGAAAGAGGCTTCAGGTCTCCAATTCCCGCTATCCACCACATTTAACCTGCTCATCTTTAGTTTATCCGATCTCTGCAACGTCCATGGCGCGGTCCCTGTTTTACCTTGTTTTACCAGCTAGTGAAGCTTATTACGGTTGCTGGATGAGCAGCATTGTTGACATTTGATTTCCCTGCAGCACATAAATTAGTAACCAGACCAGTGGTGAACTCGCTGACCGATAACTTTACCAGTCATCTAGAACAGCGATCCAGGCACGCAAATCTCCGGGGTTTGCGGGAAATCACCGGGGTTAGGTAAAACTTCATCGGCTGTTGCATAGCGCGATAACACATACGCTTCCCTCGTCCCTGGCACGCACCACAGAAACGATATACATAAGTAGTCACCCATCCTGTATCGTTCAAATTGATATCAATGACATTTACAAGACGGTGGCTATGACCACCGCCACCATCACAGCCTTCAAGGCGACAGGATAGAGCCAGCGCCCGCAGCGTTGGTCATGGATGCTTGTATCTCTCTCGGTGAAGTGATTTGCCCTGACATATCCACGCTCCTTCCAACATGGGATGTGGCTGTGGTCTGTAGAGAGCCATTGGATTTCCTATTGCCTTATCGGATTTCCCAATCCTCCATTTCTCTCATAGTCACGCATACATTCATTTACGGGTATTGACAGGGCGGGGGAAGGGGGTAGAGAGTAAAGAAGGTCTAAGACCACGGTGTAAAGAGCCCAGTCTATACTGCGAAGACATCCGTCTGTACTGAGGTCTATAGGCAGTGTCATTTGCTCAGTACAATCGAATCAATTCTACTACCGCCCTTTACATTGGGGTCTCTTTTGCATCACCATGTCTAAAATAGAGATGTGAAGTTGACAACATTAGCAAAGGACAATTCTTGGATTAGTGATAGAGATAGGATCCCAATTGTTGGAATAGCCGAAGTTCATGGAGTCATCCTCCTGAACCAAAGAAAAATCAGCAAATCGACTGCCAGCCCTCGTAAAGGGCATGAACACGCTTCCTATTCTTTCAAACTTATCCATTTTTGTGGTCTAGTTTACTGTCTAAGACGGATGGATACACGCTAAAAATATCCGCAAAATGCCAAAAAATATGTACCTGGGCTCAGCCGGGAATCGAACCCGGGTCACGTCCAGTTCAGGAATGCTTCACATTCCGGGAAATCCCGAAGGACGTATTATACCACTAGACCACTGGGCCTTGAGTACATCGTTTCCGGATACATTAAAATTCATGAATAGATGAGAGAAATGACAGAGATATCTAAGGGAAGATCGGAAGGTTTATGGTTGTGACCTTGGTACAATCGATTGCGTGACCCTTCCAAGGCGAGTGTAAGACATCCTTACCTACGTTTGCTCAGGATACGAACAATATCAAATAATAATCATCATTCTTTTGGTTTACAGAAGGTATATAGGACTACAATGCCCTTCTTTGGACCGAGCTACTCTTAACAGGATATGTTGAGATATATATAGTCCTTCTATCCATCACAATTGAATGTCGGCTGACCAACTGTAAATCTTACCTGGTTCATTCAGGTCATTCAAGAAGAAGCAAATGCTATTCGGGAAATTATCCCACCGCGCAATCGAACGTAATTATGTGAGGGGTAAATAAGTTTCCAGCGTATGAGCATCGTTAGCGACCGGGTTGAGTTTTCTGGCATTTGGACTGCCCCAAGCGAACAAAACAACATAGGGTACCGTCTTACAGAGTAAATGGACGTAGGGCTTTTATACGGTAAGCTCTGATTTACCCCTATACCATCGATGATCAGGAATTCGCTAGTGTAAATGAAGTTCTCCAGCATATCGGAGAGGGTCTTTGCCTGAAAGCCACAAATTGAGCTGGGCTATACATCACAAGACCTCCATCTTCAGTATGCAAAGCATCCGAGTCTGCATAGACGCATTGAGCGGCCTAAGTCCGGAACCGCCTATATATCCTCGGGCGCGTTCAACGAGTCCTCGAAAAGCCAGTCAACAGCCATTGTGAGCCCATGTACGTCGTCTATCTGGCGAGCTTCTATCGGTAATCAACTGAGCGTTCTATATCGCTCTCCATGTTCCGGGCGTGACACTACTAAAAGAAAGTAAGATCTGCCTAGACGATCAATTGTTACGCCCCTGGATGTATCAAAAAGAGCAATAAATCCAGAACATCATACAATGCACTCAAATCACTCGGTGGAAGTCATTCTCGTCCATCCATTATCCCGGGTTGGAGTTTTGCATGATCGAATCTTCATCATCTCGCGTTTCCGGGATGCTCTCGGGTAGACGCTCAGGCATATATCTCAAAAATAAAGTGAAATGGTCGTATATTTAGATACTGGGATATTCCAAAGCTAGCTATAATCATATTCGAACACAGTTCTCAAATAAAATTATTCTGCTTCCCTAAGAGTAGATGCTGAGATGAGGTTGCATATACCTGACCACGTGGCTAACCTTATGCAAGCCACCATCGACCACGCGCCTTCCCAGCATGGACGCACCAAATTTCTTGGTATTGAGCGTATAGAGTGGAAATATTACTAGAGATCATTCGGAGACATCTTAGTCGCGAAGGAAAACTATTGGTCGGCTTCTCGGTGTCTCGTTGACGAGTGGATATAGAGGTATGGAGATGACTGCGTTACCAGTAGACTTCGTATACATTTCGTCCCAGTTCTACGGAGTACCTGTAGCATCTCGATGAGATGGCATCACAAATATTTGAAGACGTCAACCGGATCCCATCCCAGAGAAATCTCTCAAGTATCGGCTACCTAGCTACGGATAATTACACAGGTAGACTATTGAGAGGCTCTAGGAAGATGAGTCGCCATCTTGTTCCTCCGCAGACGAAGCCGATGCGACTGCCACCTGCACTTCCAAGCAATATGGACCACAAGCCGCTCCTGCGCGCCTGTAGTCTCTCCATCTCCATGGGCTGAGCGTGCCGAGGATAGGCCACGGCTTGGTATGGAAACATTAGACGTGAAAGGAGAAGCACATCACAGAAGAGGACATGCCAAGAGGATGGATGGGATGGATGGTTTGGCATCGTCTCCCTCATATTCAAAGGACCAACTAGTAGGTCCAGATATAGAAATAATAGACCCGTGGACACAGCCACAGCTCTATAGACCGCAAAGAAAGGCATTCGAGCCACGGAGAAATCATATTGACGTATCGTCAGACTTAGCAAACTCAACCACAAGCTTAGGTGAGACACCCGGGTATATACCACACAAGCCGCAAACAAACAAAATAAAACACAGGGAAAACCCTTGACTCCAACCGGAACGCCACATCATGCTAAACATGCAACGGAGAAAAATTGAACAAGAGACAGCAATTCGTTATCATGGCAAAGCCGTGGAACTACCCACAAGCCTTGAAGGGAACCGCCCTTCGCGCGGGTAGAGAAGAACACTCTAGTTGGCGAGCGGCTTGCGAGCTTGGTAAATATGCAAAATGTTGTAGCAGCGCAGATCTTTATTGAAAGCTTCGGTCTTCACGTCCGTCGCGAGGCGTTTAATCTTTTCAATGGGCCAACCATACACCCGGCTGAAAGGAGCCAGACTGAGGCTTTCCACGCTCTCCGAGATGGCGAGATTGTACCAGCTGGCAACTTTGCGCTCGTGCTCGTCGTCGTGCCAGGGGTTCAAGGGTAGCCCCACCATTTGGTGGTCGATTTCCGTGAAGCCAGCCTCTTGCAGATTGCGAATCGTCTCGCGGGAGCTATGGGCCAGCGGGCGCATCGTTGATTCCGTGGCGCGCTTCAGGGCTGTGTACCAGTGACGAAGGGCGAGGTTACTTAACGACCGATCGTCGCAGCGTGGTTCGAAATCGATTTCGACTTGTTCAAACCATGCGCCTGGGCGCAAGTGTGAGAAAATCCGCTTGTATAGACTGGGCCAACTGGCAACGCTCCCGCTTCCCATTTGCAGGTGAATCAGATCCCAGGAATCCTCACCCATGACCCATGGGCTTTCGAAATCGAACGGAGCGTAGAAATCGCAATTCTTGGGGTGGTTTTGTGGTTGAATTGGGGCGAGATCAACGCCTACCACGAATGAGTCGGGGTATTTATTTGCAACTTCAATGCTCCAAATTCCAGTGCCACAGCCCAGATCCAGGATGCGCGAATTTTTAGGATGTGGTGCGTAGATCAGGCCGTCTGATACACGGGCGACCGTGAAGAGCTTATGGAAGATGTCGAGGCGGTCCTGTTCCTCGTCGTCGCAGGGCAGCATGTAGGTGCCTTTGCGGTAGGAATGATACATGCGGTTATTTTCTTTATACGGAGGGTACTTTTCGGGGATTCTGCACGTAAAAAAATGATTGTCAGTTTCGGAATTTCGCAACACAATCAAGAAAGCAAAGCTCGATGGAGGGCAAGCTTCCGTTCTTCGCAGAGAGTACGTACGTGCGATTGGAGACTACTACGGGTGGCGACGAGCCGGAGGCATGTGAGGCCTGGGATGCTTGTGATGCGACAGAGCCATTGCTGAGGAAACGGCCAATTCTCCGATCGCCATCCTTGTCTGAGGGGTTCCGGTCTGTAATCATATAGATATCCATGGCGGTCGAGGTTTGGCGCGACCGGGCCCGTTCATTGGCCGGGGCGGAGGAACCATTATGGTATCGATCACTGGCCGGAATTGATGAGGTTTGATAGCGCTCGCTCGGAGGAATGGACGATGACTGATAGCGTTCGCGGGGAGGAATTGATGACGATTGATAGCGGTCACTGGCAGGAATTGACGATGAATGATACCGTTCGCTCGAGGGTATGGACCCAGAGTGATAGTAACGCGAGGAGCGACCGGCCTCACTCGCTGGTGTTGACTCGGACTTGTGTCTTTTCGGGGGTGGAGGGGAGGTCAACATGGGCGGTAGCCGGTTTCGACCGGACTGTTCGTCGGTCAACATTTGGGGCGGTTGATGGCGATGACGTAAAATGTAAGCGGGTGTCAGGGGGAGGTGGAAATGGTCGGGCGAGTGATTGTTTCGTAGAAGTCGAGACCGAGGTCGACGCGGAGAGAGGGAAAGATAGCTACGATCAATGATCGCACAACTCAAGTAGGACGGAGCAGAACATCAACAGAGCTGTAGTGTCCCAGCCACCACACCACCGGATAGAAATCGGCGAGGCAGCACGTTATGTAGGAACGCCAAGGTCACACGCAAGGAGAAGCGGCGATGCCAAAGTACGAAATGCCCGGAGGGCCAAGCGAACCAACCGAACCGAATGGATTTGGGGGGTGAGATTTGTTCAGCGCCGGGCTGAATGAGGCCAGGCGGGTCCAACACAAAGCACCAGGACGAGGAAGAGGAGAGGAAAAACAAGATGGGAAAACTATCGTCACCACTTCAAAGCCCAAGCTTGAGCTACCCAAGGGTGGAGGTAAGAACCACGGACGAGAACCTAACCCCGAGAGCTTTTAAGGTTGTGTGAAGCCGCTGGCTGGGATCCGTTTGGTGGCCCACGGGTGGGGGGTGGGAAGGAGGAAAGAAAGGAAAAGGTGGGCCAGAGAGGGAGAGCAGAGGAGAAGAGGACAAAGGGATGCGAAAAGGGAAAAGGAAAAGAAGAAACGACAGGAGGCGGCGGCGAATCTGAATCTGAATCTGATGTGTTTGGGGGAAGGGGAGAGAGAGAGAGAGAGAGAAAGAGAGAGAAAGAGAGAGGAAGAGGCGAACAGGTGCAGAAGACCAAGTCCAGCAAAAGGCTGACACTAAAACTAACAGCTGATCAGGCATGGGGGAGATTATTTTCTTATGATTCCTCCGTACGGAGGAACTCCTGTATGCTCATTTATCATTATATTATTTATTCAGTACCAAATCCGGTCTGTCACACCGTTGGTCTTATACGAAGCATACAGAGGTACAGGTGTGATTTACCAGATGGGCTGACCATCTCTGCTTCGCTAGTCATTCATTTCCTCATCCATCCCAAGACCTGCTGAAGGTTGAAACCCAATCCAAACCGATCCAGAGCCTCGGGTTCCCTACAAACGGGACACCCGGTGTCGGTGACTCGGTGCATACCCAAGTTGACCATCAGCTCTGGTCCATGCGCCCTTAAAGTTGGGGGGCTGGAGGGAGGGAAGTCTACCGGTTGGTCCTTCGTCCTGGAACTCGACGCCTCCAGAATCTCGACTCCTTCCCTTCTTGGCCATCCTCGTCTCTCCGATCTGTGCCTCCTCCAATGATGATTCCCAGTGGCCAGCGCCAACTCGGGATCGACCACAAGTCTCCACCTGCGCCGTGCGGGACGCGGACCGTCTGGGCCTCGAATGGTTCGATTCTGTGAGATCCTGTCATTTCCAAGGACCTGACTCGGGACTCAAGACACAAAGAATAGGAAAAAAAAAATTTACATCCATTGTCCCCAACAGCATGAGGAACAAGACAAGACAAGGATGAAAGTGGCCTCTGGGACAGGATGAAAGGAGGAGCACACAAAGCAAACGATTGTGCAGCACAGGCTCAACCCAGCAGAATGGGTATGCCGAGAAGCTTCGCAGCGTGGCGCCCAGTCAACTCGCGTCGCGTCGCACTCTCTTTTTGGTTCCCTTCGAATCCTGAGTTTTCCACAGACTTTGGGGGAGGTTTCATGGCTGGTCGCGTTCACCTGGTCAAGCTCATCGGGGGGTCCGAGAGGCGCGTTTCATCCTTCATCCCCGATACCAGCAACCGTATTGCCAATATACAGTAGTATATACGGTTATATTGGGTTCCATCGGATAGCCCTCGTCCTGAGGTTGTGACTGACGAGTCCATGACTTCCCCAGGCTGTGAATCCCTGCCACCTCCCTCGCCCCCAATCCCAACCTTCGTTGCTCCCACAGCCTTGGGACCAGTCGATGCGACGCTACGAATCAACACAGGCGGGCCCCGGGACTCGCAGACGGGCGCGCATCCTGGTTCGTTCCCAAGGCGCTTTGGGTGACCCTTTTGTGGACAGCTGAGGAGTTTCCTTTTCCCTTTGACCAGGTCACTGGTACGCCCTAACTAGCCCACTCCATCTTAAAACCCCGACTCAGGTTAGGGCTTAACCGTTAGGCCCTTGTTCCAACCAGTTCATCGAGGACTGATGGACTGGTTGCTGTACTGCGGCGATCGGGCGGTGCCGCTTATCATTCTGAGGTATCAACTTTGTCGACCTCCACCCTCTGGTTAAACTTTCCTATACTCCTTACACAGCCCATGACTGGCCCAGAAATTTCCCCCGTTCTCAACACCATGTACTCCGTACAGTGCGTCTCGAAACTGGTGCACCCTCCCTACACTCTTCGAGAGATTCTCTAGACCCACCGCCAAGATACACTAGTCTATTTTGGGAGTTTTCCGGAGTACCCCTGTCGATGTAACGTGTATCACTTCTTACATAGATTACCCATTAATTTCAAGCATGTATTCGCTTATAAATTCAATTCATCTGCTAACTCTATACCCCTCCGCCAAAATAGGCTTCCTCGGGAGGCGCATCTTAATAATCAATCACAAGTAACCTAGTCGAACCAAAGATAGCTCTAAACCTAGCTCCTTCTAAGCATAAGCTTATCTATGATATGATCTACAGTGGGGAACTATCTGTATCGGAGGTAGCAGAGGCTGCTAGCTGTAATAAGAGTACTATCCGAAGAATCTCTTCTAATATACGGATGTTTGGTAGCGTTAAAGCACCGCCTAATAAAGGCGGACGACCCCGTAATATCACTCTAGTTATACTCGAGGCGTTGTGCGAGTACCTACTCTAAAAACCTACCTTGTATCTCAAGGAGATAGCGGTTTTTATGTAGGACGAATTCGCTCTTCTCGCGACGAAATCGAGTATTAGTCGTGCCCTTCGGTACGAAGGCTAGTTAAGAAAGACTACCTATATTAAGGCCCGAGAGCGTAACCTAGAGCTCCGTGACGAATACATTTACTCTATCTTAGACTTCTAGTCTTATTACCTTATCTATATAGATAAGTCTATATATAATAAAAGGATAGGCTTTAGGCGAATAGGTTAGTCCCTACTAGGTAACCTAGGATCGACTAAATCACCACACAGCACCACAACTCCTGATGCTGCTAAAGCATACGAAAATGGAATCGCTACTTTCCTATCTAAACCATTTTAATCTTGTGACTGCTCCAGGATACTAGCGTTCATTGCTGTGTGGTAGCTAACCACTATATGTATGTCCTCTCCATCTTTGACACGTTCAATCCATTTTTGATGGCACTAGTAGTGCTACTGCGCAGAGGAAGCAGAAGGAACAACTCGATCAAGTTCAAAGCTATCTGAGAACTGCCTCTGAAGGAAAGAAGAAGAAGAAGAGAAAGAAGCAGGCCTAAATAGGCTGTTGGGCCAAACGGGCAAACGGGCGCTCCCCTGGATATCTCCTAAAGGAATCTCCCGTGGAGATTTCCTGGAGGGAAACTCCATCAGTATATAAATAGGAACATGGAGAAGAACCTTCCTCGCCGATATTTTCTATAGCACCCACTCAGCGAAGCATTTGGATTTGGCGTTCAGAAACGCGCGAGAGATCCAGCAGTCAAGTCCTGATGAGATCGTCACCACGGAGATGTTTCATGTCGAGGTATTTTAGGAAGCATAGCGAGCCGGTGCTTGTACAGTCGACTTTTTTTTCTAGCAGAAAAGCGAATAAAGAGAAAGAAAAAAGAGAAGGGATAATATCCATGAAATTCTACGAGTTCGCCCTAACGAATTTTGCATTATGGTTTTGAATTGACTAATCACTGGGATTGAATTTATCCCCATGGATGCTCTGGGCACCCTGTTTGCCATCCTGATGACTCTTGTGTGTGGGAGTGATGATTCTTGCGAGAACTGCAGTGATGGGTTTCCCTCGAGCAACCTCGACACACTCGCTGCTATCCTGAAGCTCCTTCGTGTGCTATTGGAGGGGTCCGCTAGTAACTGGCTCCCGAAATTAAACACGATCTCGCGCAGGCAGGTTCAAGGAGTCGCTGCCTCAGCCGCAGCCTTCTTTTCGGTTCTCTTTTTGACATCTTCCAACCGCACACTCTTCCGCTCTGCAGCGAGGGAGACCAAGAAGGCCACTCCGGCTAGGGCAATACTCCAGATCCAGGCGGCCTTGAGTCCTTTCATGTAGGCGTTAACGACGATTTTGAGATCCGCGGCATTCGGGAACATCTTGGCCAGACCGGTTGAACCGGCGGCAAGCACAGCAGAAGCAGATATATTCGGGTTATCTGTCGGCAGCGAGGAAAGGAGGACATTGTTCATAATATTCGTGGCGGCCGAAACACCGACGGTACCGCCAATGAATTGAAAGACTGTACGAGTCAGAGTTGATCAGTCGGCTTTGTCAAAGACAGCAAAAGAGGATAGGGCGCGGCATGACTCACATAAAACGGAGGCCAGGGTGACAGACATGTCCACCCGCTTGGAGATTGCCTGAGCCACAATGACGTTGAGCTGGATGATGAGCCCCGATCCAATGGAGGCCAACACCTGATAGCCAATGTATTTGCCTGCCCCAGAGCTGGGCTCCAGGGTATAGATCATAGAGGTTCCTATCGTCACGAACATGGAACCCAGCATCAGGAAGGGCTGGTAGTAACCCACCTTGCCGATAGCGATGGACCCAGCGAAACTGAATATGGCTGTTTGACAAGGCGTGTTAGTTCCGAGAAATCACGGTAGACCGAGGGAATAGGGGCAATGGCGAAAGCTACTTACAGGTTGTTAACACCGTAGGCAGGGTTCGAATCCCTGACTGCGATGGCGACTGGCCTTGCGCGGCCTGGAAGTAAATGGGAAGGGTGTAAAGACGGGCAAATCCAGAGCCCTGTGCTGTCAAGTTGAACAGCGCGAGGACGAGAATGGTTCGGCGCTTGATAATCCGAGGGACAACCATGGCCCCTTCACCTTGTTTCCATTCCAG